ATCCTTCAACAACACCTTCCTTCTGACATATCGCTCCTTCACCACTGCTTCTGAACTATTTGAGATGCTTATCCAGCGTTTCAACGTTCAACCTCCATTTGGCCTGAACCAAGATGACATGCAAATGTGGATCGATCGGAAGCAGAAGCCAATTCGATTCCGTGTAGTCAACATCCTCAAGAGTTGGTTTGATCACTTTTGGATGGAGCCCAACGACGAGGTGAATATGGATCTCCTGCGGCGAGTCCATACCTTCACCGGCGAATCGATTGCTACCACCAAGACACCTGGCACTCCCACATTACTAGCTGTGATTGAACAGCGACTCCGCGGACAGGACACCACTGTCAAGCGTCTTGTTCCCACCCAGAGCAACGCTGCACCACCCCCAATCATTCCAAAGAACATGAAGAAACTGAAGTTCCTGGATATTGATCCTACAGAGTTTGCTCGGCAGCTGACCATTATTGAGTCGCGCCTCTACTCTAAGATTCGTCCAACTGAGTGTTTGAACAAGACATGGCAGAAGAAGGTTGGCCCTGATGAGCCAGAGCCTTCTCCTAACGTCAAGGCTTTGATTCTCCACTCTAACCAGCTTACCAACTGGGTTGCTGAAATGATTTTGACACAAGGCGATGTCAAGAAGCGTGTTGTTGTCATCAAGCACTTTGTAAATGTGGCTGATGTAAGTGACACTGTAATCATGCTTCACCACCATGTTGCTAACCGACTCAATAGAAATGTCGCGCTCTGAATAACTACTCCACACTCACCTCCATTATCTCCGCTCTAGGAACCGCACCCATTCATCGTCTGGGCCGGACATGGGGTCAGGTCAGTGGGCGCACGTCTGCCATTCTGGAACAGATGCGCCGCCTTATGGCTAGTACGAAGAACTTTGGCGAATACCGAGAGACCCTACATCTCGCTAACCCGCCCTGTATCCCATTCTTTGGTATGATTCACAGCCACAAGAAGACCGTCTCACATATAATCTTCTACCCCTTGATTTGGAACTAACCAAGCCTAGGTGTGTATCTTACGGATCTGACCTTCATTGAGGACGGTATTCCTTCGCTTACCCCATCCGAATTGATCAACTTCAACAAGAGGGCCAAGACTGCAGAAGTCATTCGGGATATTCAACAATACCAGAATGTCCCTTACCTTCTACAACCAGTTGGTGAACTCCAGGACTACATTCTCAGTAACCTCCAAGGTGCTGGCGACGTACACGACATGTATGAACGAAGTTTGGAAATCGAGCCTAGGGAGCGCGAGGACGAAAAGATTGCAAGGTATGCTGAAAGTTCAAGCCGAGACAAGGGCTCCTTGTTGTTTGCATCTACCGTCGCAATTTTGCGATGATCCATTTGGTGTTCTTTTAAGTGGCGTTTGGCATTTGCCCACCGATACCCAAATTTGACCTCTTACTCCCTTTTTTTGGGCAAGAAGACAATCGCTTTTCTCAAATCTGTTTCGGCCGTTGAGACTAACCTCTTCTTTTTTGTGAAAAATCGTAGATTACTATCTGAATCCGGTTTCCTGTAGCCGGTCAACATCCCTGTCAAGGTGCATCTGCAGGTGCGCCACCAAGCAGGTTCGACAACTCCGCTCTTCGCCCATTCGACACCGACGACACCGGCGCCACTCGACGGCCATTGTCTTACAGCTCTTTGATAAAGATGAGCTGTCTCGGTCCGTTTCTGGGGCTTTTTTTTGACCCGAGTGACTGTCTCTAGGATATCTTAGTCTCCACTCCGAGCCCTGCTCACCTCTCGGAGCCGTTCCGCGGAAGCAATGATGGATACCTGCAGCCAGATCTATCACCTGCATGTCAATGGTTACAAACATCTGCATCTGGTCTCTGAAATTCCAAATACTTCTGCTTCATTGCGGCGGTTCACCATCGTCGTCACCCTCACCACCACCACTACCACCACCACCTCTTTCTTCGCACATTTTTATTACACCGACCAAGCTTTCATTTCCGGTCCTTGATATGCTTTACCTGATACCACTTCTTCGACATAGCCTCCTCTGATTCGCTGGTCTCTGTTTGCCTTTTCTTTGTTATCTATCCCCCCGAAACTTTCAGCCCGAGGCTCCGGGCCCCGGGGGCCCCGGGGCCACGACGCGCCTCCGACCTCATCTTTTCCATCGTACCATACCCTAACTCACTGCGCCGTGTCACGCCCTGACCTCCAGTATCCTTCGGTGTATATTTTCTCTTTCAGACCTCTCCACCTTCTCTTCACATTTCTTTTCTCTCCCCTTCTTTTCTTCTTACATATCTCATTTACCATATCATATCCCCCCTATGTTGCATATCGTCCCCGAGATGATGCGACCTGCTTACTTTTCTGTTTCTTTCACTTGTGCTTTTTTTACCCCCATCAGGTTAATGTCCTCGACGCTGTCTTCTGAATAATGTTCTGTCATGACCGACTTGATATCATTTTCCGGGTTCTTGTTTCGGTGTGGTTCCACATTCACATTCGCATTGCTGTTGCTGTTTGTGTTTGTGCTGCTGGGACTTGGGCTTGATTGTTTCCATTACTTCTTTGTATCTATTTTGTTCCACTAACCATTTGATCTTTTCCTGGGATTTAATTCTAGGTCAATAGAAGTTGATCATGATATCGTCTTGTTCGCCTTCAGGTAAAAAGTTACACTACTTCAATAGGGGTTTCGAAACTGGGTCGGAAGGTGGTTTCGTTGTTTATCATAGTTCATCTCTCCCTGTCCTTCAGAAGTATCGAAATGAGTTCATAAGTTCGTTCATTGTGGGGACTGCTGGTGTAGATACTCTATCATCATGATTCATTGCAGAGGCCGCTGGGCATAGCAGGATCCGTCAACTCAAATGCCAGTATGGTAGCAAAGATATCAAACATCAACCCGCCGAGCGCCAATGACACCCTCTGAAAAAAAAAGAAGCGTTTCGGTCATGTCAACATCTATTGGCTAAGATACATTAAAACGTCAGATCAGGCCGTCGAAGCGGGCTTATCTCCAACCCCGTGGAAGAGGTTCATCTTCACATCCGACGCTAGCAGACCCTTTGTTTCTTCTGCGACAATGCGCTGTCCACCACGGACAACCTTGTCCAGCTGTTGGTCTTTACTCGCAGTACTGGTAGTTCGAGGTCCGGTGTTTTCCATTCCACGCGCAGCTTTGCGCACCTTTTGACCGAGATCAACCATCTGCTTGTTGCCGAAATCGCGCGACGTGAACAAGGGACTTTGACTGAGAGTCGCAACCCAGTATTTGTTCCACAAGAGAGATAAGATTTCCGCATCGAGCGTGCTCTTGAAATGGCTAACATCGAGGGAATAGTATGAATTGGCATGCGCGCCAAAGTCTTCCGCTTTACCAAGCGGGATAGTCTGGTATTCATCGTCCTCATGAGCTTCCTTTGACGGAGTGAAATTCTCAGGGAATGTCCGGAAAGCACCAATCTCAACACGGCCGGCGGAGATGGTACGCTCAGGGTCAATGACCACAGCAACGAACGGACCTGTCATTTGCTGCGTTTGCTGCGTAGCCACATCAATACCCGATAGCCAGCACCCGTATCCGGGATGACTGTGGTACCATCCAACGGCATTTTCCATCCGTCCCGCATCCCGACACGATTGCAGATAGGACACCATGTACTCGTTCGCCTCGTCTTGCGCATTGACTCGGGTTTCGGTGCCTTCCACAGGGAGGCGGAATGCGTCTGTCACGACGAAGGTGTTTGGTAGGATATAGCCTTGCATTAGACCCATCACTTCGAGTGATCCGCCGGAGCGAGCGTGCATCACCATCTTCAATAGTGCCGTTGCGGAGACCCGGACGTGCTTGAAGTAGTAGGGGTCGGAGGCCCATGGCCGTTCGGCATTGAGTGACTTCTGTGTGGCTTCGTCATACTGGTAGAGGGCATCGCGTTGGGGGTCGAAGACGGTTATCGCATTCTCGAGCTCTGTGTGGGGGGAGCTTGGTCAGTTCGTCATCAACTATATGGATGTGGAGGATCTTACCCCAGGACTGCTGGGCAGCCTGCATTTTGGCAATGGGATAGAGAGATTAATCAATTAGCAAGGGTATTATTGAAAAAACAGAGGCAAACGATGCAAGGGTGAATTCTGTAAGGAAGTCAAGATAAAGAAGTCCAATGCAAGTGATGAAGAGAGCGGTGGGGTATCAAAAGGCGGTGGGACAACCAATCCAATCACCCAGATTCAGCTTGTTTTCTGCCCACTTTAAACTCCACCTGGACAGGGCTTTGCGCTAAGCCTAATTGAACTAGATGTGGTGTGTACAGCCTCCTAGGAGTAGCAAAGCCCTGAATGATTCTAGCGTGTATTGCTTTTCTATTATACAGTGGCTTCAGCTAGAGCTCCACTGTATTCCCAGCCATATTGAGACGGATACGATATTACTGTTGGCAAACAGAATAGAAAGCCAGATTATCACCTAGTTTGTTTATAGTCCGTCATAATTAGATACTTAAAGCTCATTCCCGGTTGCTGACGATCCACGGAACATTGGTGAATCAAGACAAGTTCTATAAATTGCTTAGTCTCTACTTAGCACTCAATACCTTACCAGGCGGCAAGTGTTGTGGCGTTCAACAGGCGGTGGCAGCGTAGATAGAGGGCAGTATTGGGCGGTGTGCACCCCTCAGCTGAGCTGACTCAGCGGTTACCCGTGACAACGATCTGGGCCAAACACGCGTGGGAAACTTGATGTTATCGCCGATTCAGCCCTTCCCTTCCCCCCCTCATAAACACTGCATCTGCATACTTCAATGCCTCTCCACTAACAGCTCTTGCTCATTTCCACTTTCGTTTATTCTCCGTCGCACCTTGTGTGTTGAGACCCTTGTGCGTGGTGCTTTTGTTTTGATCCCGAATTTGGTCGTTGTCGCAGACCCGCTCGGCAATTTGTCGGATTGGATACCTCTCCTTGACATCTTCCGACTCTTGTCACCCTCCTAAGGGATTTTCTTTACAATGGGGGTTGACACCAGCTACCTGACCACTCAGGTCAACAATATTGTTGAGCAGCTGCATGGTATCTACGACGAAATCGGAGTTCCTCCTCGCGAGCGCGAAAATCGCGAGGCAGAGGTGAGCAAGACAATACCATTGTACCCGGATCGCATAACTAATGGATTGATATAGCTCTTCAGCGCTCTGTCCGAGACACTTAACAATCATCTCAAAGTCGTTGACGAGTAAGTTGAGAATGTCAACAAACTGTCCCGAGGCCAACTAACCATGTCTATAGTGAGCGCGAGGAGATGACAGTGGAGGCCCAGCGCCTTATTACACAAATCAACCAGATGGAGTCATCGCTGACCGATGAAATGGCCAATGGCCAGTTCGAGCTGAATCGCGACGATCTTCAAATTACCTACCCGCTCAACCGATGCATCGCCTTCTTGCGCGAAAAGAACGATGCGATGAGCAAGCTGCACCGTGAACGCTTCGAGCAAGTCAAGAGTGAGTATGCTTTTGCGCAACAATGTGGCTGTTGACTAACTTGTGATAGAACTTGTCGACGCGCTTGAATCTTACTCGTCCCATCTCGAGCCGACATTTGTTAAACTTGAACTTCCTCCTACTGCGGAGGGTTCCTCGATTCCTCCGAGCTTCGACCTCTCACCGCTGTATGTGACTGCATTGGACGCAGAATTCACCCACGTTTACGAAGAGTACCACCGCCGTGTCGCACAAGTCCAATCTGCATGTGAAGAAATGATCAAGCTTTGGGCTGAACTCGGAACACCCCAGGCTCAAACAGACTCAACTATTGTCAAATGTTATCGCGAATCTCCCGAGCAGCTCGGTCTGCACGAGTCCGACCTCACAAGCCTAATGGCCAAACGCGACAAGTTGGTGGAGCAGAAAGCTGGACGCGAGCGCAAGATCAAAGAGCTTCGCTCTACTGTGGAGTCTCTCTGGGATCGCTTTGGTGTTGAAAATGCTGACCGCAAGGCATTCTTGGCAGGCAACCGTGGCTGCGGGTTGCGCATTATCAACGACCTCGAGGAGGAACTTACACGTCTCAATGAGATCAAACGCCAGAACCTCCATCTGTTCGTGGAAGACGCGCGTTGCCGTTTACAAGAGCTCTGGGATAGTCTGTTCTTCTCGGAGGAGGAAATGCTTGATTTTACTCCTGCGTTTTCTGATGTCTGCAGTGATGCTTTGCTCGAGGCCCACGAAGCTGAGATCCACCGCCTTGAGGCTCTCAAGGAACAACGTGCTCCTACTCTAGAGATGATTGACCGACACCGCACCCTCTTGACTGATCGTGAGGCACTGGCAACTTCAAGCCAAGATGCTTCTCGTCTTATGGGTCGTGGAAACAAAGGAGAGAAGCGTGACCCTGGAAAGTTACTAAGAGAAGAGAAGCTGCGCAAACGTATTACGAAGGAGTTACCCAAGCTTGAGGCTGATCTCCGCAAAGAGCTGGAATACTGGGAAGATGAATTTGGCCGCCCATTCCTCGTCCACGGAGAGCGATATCTCGATGCCCTGACCCCTGTTGCTGCAAAGCCTCCCCCACGCTCCAAGACTCCTTCCGCTCCTCCTTCCACCATTAAATCCAACTTTGCCAGACAGCAGCCGCCCTCTCGTCCCGGTAGCTCCCTGAGGGGTCCTCCTCCTCGCTCCGCCACGAAGACGCCCACTAGCAGCGGTCCAGTCAAGCACAATACCATTGGGTATGGCGCTTCTCGAGCTGGTGCAACATCCAGGGCTGGTGCTTCCTCTCCTTCCAAGCTTCCCGCACGTGTTCCACTGGGAAACATGCCGCACGGAAACAACTCTCCGGAGCGTCGTGCCCAGCCTGGCAGCTACTCATCTAGCACGCTCAATGGAAAGATGCCACCTCCTCGTGGACCTCCTCCTCGGATGCGTGCATTGACCGTTGAATCCAGGGAAGACCGCTTCAGCCACCTCATGGAGCCGCCTCGTTGCAACAGTGCCATGTCCAGTAGCTATGTGCGTCCTGTGAGCCCCGAAGACGTATATGATGACCGCCAGCGATCTTTCATGAGCGCCTCTGGCTTCTCCAACTCCCAACGTTCCACTGGCTTCTCTCATTCCTCCCAGTCTTCTCAATCATCGCTCTCTTTGAACTCAATGCAGACTTTCCCTCGCCCAAACCCCTATCTTAGCCATGCAGCTCCTCCTCCAGCTCCTCGCCAGGTCTCAAACGCTTCCACTGTCAACACAGCTACCTCTGGCTCAGAGAACTGGGAGACCTTTGAGGATGGCTCAGATGCTGAGCCCGATACCAGCGATATCTACTTCTCCAAGCTACGCTCTGCGCACGGAGGAAAGCGACTTGCCCCTGAAGACTCAGCCGACCTCATGGGAAAGAAAGCCAAGGGCATCCGAAGTGTCAGTCCAGATGGCCCGCACCCTGGCCAGGTCTTGCGCGTCGCAGGCAGTGATAATGAGTGGGCCGATGACTTCGAGTCCTACTAAATTCACCCTATAATAATTCCTCTGGATTGCACTCTCAGGACATTTCCCTTCCACGGCGCATCGGAGATTCAAACACTTGATGATCCCACGACCGGATTCTGAATGCCTCATGGCTCACGATGCATCTCGACATTTCTCAATCGAGCTTCCTTTAGATTCCATACGGACCGGTTTCTTATTTCTTCCTATGATTCCCCGCGTGGCCGTCTACAACTTCTCTTCCTGTCAAAATTTACGACTTATCATGTCAATCTTGTTCATGCTCTCATTCATCTGTCGATGTTATTGAGCCCAATGCTGCACCTGACTGTGTCAGCTTGCAGCCTTCCAGGATTCCTGTCCTTCACGTTCTTCCGATCGACGGTTCTTTCTGTTTCAATCTTCACTGGGTTTAATCTTCTTTTTTTTAGTACCTTGGCATGGTGTTTTCCTTCCTTTCTCTGTTACTTATGGTTTTACCTTGGCGCGGTGCTTACGGTCTCTTTTGATTCCCTCGATCTCCGGTATCTGGGGTCGGTCTTTTGCTTTCGTTCTTACTACGGCTTGTTTTTTTTTTATGTATTTGTCAGCGAAGTACAGTGTTTGAATAGTCGTTGTTAATTCCATCTCATTTATCAAGCCTTCTGCTACTGTAGTCCAGGCCACATCGGTAGTTTCGTAGATGAGATCCAATGCTGTTCATCCAGACACAGGGTCATAAGAAACAGAAAGTGGCCAAAAAATATCACATACGTATTCGCCACTCCGGTGATCTGGCACGATACGTTATTCATGCATACAACTCAACTTGGTCTCCGAGTACGCCCGTTACTGCTCGGCACACGACGTACAAAAAAGAAGAAGAAGAAGAAGAAGAAGAAGAAGAAGAAGAAGAAGAAGAAGAAGAAGAAGAAGAAGAAGAAGAAGAAGAAGAAAAAGACGGGAGAAAAGAAGATACAATTCGCTTTATGTATAATACAAGGAATGCAAATGCAAATTACAACCCCAGGTCACCTCCCAGACGCAAGTGTCCCCATCCAAGAATTATCCTCAGGCAAAGTCCCCTTGGGAACCCTCCTCCCAGCCGAAGGAACAAGAGACTGCGTAGAAGCCTTCGCATCTTGAATACGACGCACAGTTTCCTCCCTCCCGAGAATAGCCATGGTCTCAGGAATGCCCGGGCCAGGAGCAGAGGCAGACAATGCCCAGCGGAGGTAGTGATATAATTCCTTTTTGAAGACCTTGTCTGTTGAAACAGGTGCTGGTGACTCAGTGGCGGTTGAGTCAACCTCTGGAACGACGACGCTGTCCGAGCCATCGTAGGAGGTTATATTGAAACGGTGGGTTTCGATGTTCCAATGTGTGGGTGGGACGAGGGTTAGGGCTGCTGCTGCTGTGTGGAGGGCTTGCATTGGAACTTGAGGGGAGGTGGATGAGGATGTAGTTGGTGTATAGGTGGCCCGGTCGAGCTTTGGGGCGAAGAAGGTTGAGTTTCGTTGGACGAATTGCTCGGCGTCGGTGTAGGACTTTGCATCGGCGCGGATGAGTGGTGCGATGTACTCGGAGAGGGTGCGGGTCTTGAGGATTGTGGCGCTTTTGAGGGTTAGTTATTGACTTTGATGCAGATCGTGGATGTTGAGATTGATAGAAGACTTACAGTTTGTCGTGAGGATAGTTGGCTTCGACCACAGAGCTGACCCTGCTCACCATCTCGTCGAATTCAGGACCACCGGCGGCAGCGAAGCGTTGGGCATGGGCCTTTTGAAGGAACCAGAGCTTTTCAAAGGCCACAATAGTGTTGCCCCGTGTTATTTTGAGATTGAACTAAGATATTGTTAATAACGTAGTATGTGTTTTTCATGCGATAGGAACATACAATTTGTTCCAATTCCTTCAAGTCAAAGACATCGGATTTCTGGGAGTGGGACCAACCCAACAGGGAAGCAAAGTTCACCAAGCTGGTTGCAAATACTCCCTGCTTGTCCTTGAATGACGAGAGATCGATATCCGCATTTCGCTTGCTCAGCTTTTGTCCGCTCTTCTCGACGAGGAGAGGGACATGACCAAACTGCGGCGGAGTCCACTTGAAGGCATTGTAAAGAGCCATATGCATGGGCGTAGAAGGCATCCATTCCTGCAGAGTTCAGCCCAAATTCCCCAGGGTATAGGAAGAGATAGCATACCGTTCCTCGAATAACATGAGTAATCTTCATGAGATGATCATCTACCACATTTGCCAAGTGATATGTGGGATGTCCATCCGACTTGATCATAACGGGATCATCGTAGACACGGTCGATGAAGTCCAGCTTCTTGTTGTTGGACCGATTCTGACCTGTCTTGCCATAGACCAGATCGTTGAACATGGGATATTCTTCCACCTTTAACCGCACAATATGCGATTCACCATTCGCTGCACGATCTTCTGATTGCTCGGCTGAGATGTCTGCGCATTTACGATCATATCCAGGAGGCAGACCGGCCGAGCTGCGGTGTCGGGCGATTGAGTCTAGACGCTCGGCAGAGCAGAAACAACGATAGGCATGGCCATTTGAAATCAGGTCGTTGGCGTGGGAGCGGTATAGAGCGGTTCGTTCGGACTAAGCAGTATTGCGAGTTAGGGCTGAGCATTTGCGACCAAGGAGCGATGCCGTACCTGTCTATAAGGACCATAAGGACCACCCACGATAGGACCTGCCCATAGATTTTAATTAGCCCCATTGCCCCTATCTTCAGCATATGGTTCAATCTACCTTCGTCCCAGTTTAACCCAGCCCATTGTAGATCATCATACAGCCGTTGCTCCGCACCGGGAATCGTTCGTTTCTGCCCCAATCAGCTGTTGTCCCTATCATAGGGTGTGATTCGCCACGAACCTGGTCAGTATCCTCGATGCGCAAGAGGAATTGACCACCAGTACGTTTGGCAAGCAGGTAGTTGAAAAGCGCAGTCCGTAAAGATCCAAGATGAAGGTATCCGGTAGGAGAAGGGGCGAAACGCGTGCGCGCAGGACCGTCCGGTAATTTGGTCTTCCCATTGCGGGCTGGCGTAGAAGTAGAGCAGCTTCGACACTGAATGCAAGTCCAGCGACGGGCCAATAGCCCGCTGGGAGGCCTCATAGTGCAGAGTCACAAAGCTGTTGCGGTGGGGGAGGAGCGGACTCGGCGCGGAGCGGACAAAATTTCAGTTAGAAATTCACTCCGCCTCTCACTTGCCTTTCACCTTTGTCCCTCTTTCATACTTGCGCTGGGTTTGTTTTGTTTTATTTATTTTGTTCACTCTCCGTTGCAAAACCCCCTCGACTGGATTTTCTTGCAATTCGCGGCTTAAAAGTATGTTCCAGGCTCTTGGGTGGTTGTTGGCGCCTGCTAACGAAGTTTACAGTGGCTTCGGCTCAGATTGACCTCTATGGTATGTCGTTATACTTCGGATGCGCCACTCGAAGCAGATACTAATACAGCCGAGTAGAGGTCTTGGAAGTTCATGCTTCCGCTTCTAAGGACGACATTCGCAAGGCTTACCGCAAGGTACGATAGCCATGCTTCATACATCCCACCATACTAACATGTTGACAGGCGGCTTTGACCAACCACCCTGACAAAGTTCCAGAGGCTGAGCGTGAAGAAGCCTCAGTTCGATTCAAGGCAGTTCAGGAAGCCTACGATATCCTCTACGATGATGACAAGCGACACCTTTACGACACACACGGCATGTCCGCCTTCAACGGCTCTGGTGAACCTGGAATGGCTGGCGCTCCCGACATCGATGATCTCCTGGCACAAATGTTTGGTGCTGGCATGGGCGGTATGGGTGGTATGCCTGGTATGGGAGGTATGGGGGGTATGCCTGGCATGGGTGGTATGCCCGGTGGTCACCCTAACCGGCCCCGTAAGAGTCGCAATGAGGAGCAGGACTATGAAGTCAGTCTGGAAGATTTGTACAAGGGCAAGACTGTTCGTTTCACTAGCACCAAGAACGTCATTTGCGGACACTGCAAGGGCAAGGGTGGAAAGGAGAAGGCTACTGCGAAGAAGTGCTCAACTTGTGATGGCCATGGAGCCAAGGAGGTTCTGCAGCAGATGGGTGGTTTCTTGACCCAGCAGACTGTGACTTGTACTACTTGCAAGGGTCTGGGTTCATACTTCGCCCCTAAGGACAAATGCAAGAAGTGCAAGGGCGAGCGCGTCAACGAGGAGAAGAAGATGCTGGAGCTCTACATTCCCCGCGGCACAAAGTAGGTGTTACTTTTTTTTCTTCGTTGGAGTGAGCTGATGCTGACATTTTGAAGGCAAGGAGACAAGATCATCCTGGAGGGCGAGACCGACCAGGTGCCCGACCAGGAACCTGGCGACATTATCTTCAAGATTGTGGAGGAAGAGCACCCCGTGTTTGCTCGCGCTGGCTCCGATCTCCAGGCAACCATTGAGGTCACATTGGCCGAAGCTTTGAGCGGTCTTTCGCGCGTTGTGATCAAGCACCTTGATGGCCGCGGCATTGAAATTCGCCACCCCCAGATCCCCGGCCAGGTTCTCTCTCCTGGACAGGTTCTCAAGGTTCCCGGAGAGGGTATGCCACTGAACCGTAGCGATGCCCGCGGTGATCTCTATCTGATCGTCGATGTCAAGTTCCCCGGCCCTGACTGGAAGCCCTCTCCCGCTACGCTCGAGAAGCTCAAGGAAATGCTGCCCAAGCCCGAAAAGAATATTCCTGCTGAACACATTGACGAGGTTGAATTTGACCCCAAGGCCAACATCGAAGAATTTGGAGCTAAGGATGGACACGCATGGGAAGACGAGGAGGAAGATGATGAACCAGCGCAGTGCGCTACTCAGTAGATTTGCTCTTCTGGCATACATGGCGTCCGGGGTTTTGCATTCTTCAAGAGATGTCAATAATACAATACTCTTCATTCTTCCTGTGCATTTTGTCCTGCATAAAGTACATTCCACTCGAGGTGGATCAGTGTGGAGTGATAGCGTGGGGGTTTATAGATGTCGATGACGTCCTTTTACCGGGGGAGCTTGCTTTTATCGAAGCATCTATGTAGGATAACTCAGCTCAGTCCGACAGGAGAAGTCTGATTACTCGTTGTAACTCGTTATGACTCGTTAAAAAACCGCATCGTCCAATATCAACCCGACAGTTGGCGCGGGATGCCGTGGGGTTCTCCGTCACGGCTCTCGGCTTCCACATCGGCTTCGACCCTCACGAGTTTTCTTCATTCTTAACTGTCCCTCCACCTTCAATAATAATCATTCTGCTGTCAAGACCACTGAGTTCTCCCAGGTTTGATTATTGCATCGACAGCACACTCGAATAAACTCCACTGAAATCCCCCGACATAAAAACCCCCCCGCAAACATGCCGTGCGACACCAAAACCACCTGCGCCGGCTGTTCCTGCGCCAGCACACGTCCACCCCCAAATATAGAAGACTGCGAAGCCGAGCTGCTCGCACTACGCAAGCGCACAGTGGACCTAGAAAAGACCCTAGCAAAACTATCCGTACAAGACAACACAAAAGCTAGAGGTCGTAAACTACGCTCCACACGCTGGTTCAACAACGATGAAAACCCAGGCATGACAGCACTCTATATCGAACGATATCTCAACTACGGGCTCACGCGCGAAGAACTCATGGCTGGAAAACCAGTCATCGGCATCGCGCAGTCTGGCTCTGATATCGTGCCGTGTAATCGGCACCACCTTGAACTGGCGAAGCGTGTGCGGGAGGGTATTCGCAGTGCTGGGGGTATTGCGTTTGAGTTTCCTACGCATCCAATCCAGGAAAGTTCAAGGAGACCGACTGCTTGTCTAGATCGGAATTTGGCCTATCTTGGCTTGGTGGAGATTTTGCATGCTTATCCTTTGGATGGGGTTGTGCTTTTGACTGGGTGTGACAAAACGACGCCGGCTGCGTTGATGGCGGCTGCTACTGTGGTATGTACTCTCTTGGGGTGTGTTGGGGTTGGAGTTGGAGTTTGGTGAAGTGATTGGTGCTAATGCCTGGCGTGTAGAACATTCCGGCCATTTGCTTGAATGTTGGCCCTATGCTGAATGGATATCTAAAGAACGACCTGGCTGGATCAGGTATGGTAGTATGGAAAGGGCGAGAGATGTATGCTGCAGGCGAAATGAACCGTGAAGAGTTCATGGACTATGTGGCTCGAGGGTATGTCTTCGCTATTCGTACGAAGAGACACCCGCTGATCCGTTTATAGAGCACCATCTGTGGGCCATTGTAATACAATGGGGACAGCATCAACCATGAACGCACTAGCAGAAGCACTGGGTATGGCTCTACCAGGCTCAGCAGCAATCCCAGCTCCATACAGAGAGCGTGGCCAATGCGCCTACGAGACCGGCCAACGAATTGTCGAAATGGTCCACGCAGACCGCAAGCCGAGTGATATAATGACACGCGCAGCTTTCGAAAATGTCATCGCAACCAATACCGCCATTGGCGGCAGCACCAATGCACCAATTCATATCAACGCCATGGCCAAACACATTGGCGTGGACCTTTCCCTAGACGACTGGGACAAGATCGGATTCCACATCCCTCTACTGCTCAATATGCAACCCGCCGGCGAGTTCTTGGGCGAGGAGTATTTCCGCGCAGGAGGATTACCTGCTATCATGGCCGAACTACTAGACGCAGGGAAACTGCGCCCGGAAGCACTGACATGCAATGGCAAAACCGTCGAAGAAAACGTGCGCGGACAACATACCTGGAATCGAAAGATTATTCACGCTTACAGCGAGCCTATGATGGTCGATGCTGGATTCTTGCATTTGACCGGCACTTTGTTCGACTCGGCAATCATGAAGACATCGGTGATCTCACCTGCGTTTCGGCAAAGGTTCCTCGGGAACCCAGATGATCTGAATGCCTTTGAGGGCGCTGTTGTGGTCTTTGATGGACCGGAGGACTACCACAACCGACTCGATGACCCCGCAACGCCGATTAATGATACTAGTATTCTCGTCATGCGTGGTGCAGGACCGTTAGGATACCCCGGTGCAGCGGAGGTAGTGAATATGCACCCCCGGGACGTCTGTTGAAACAGGGGATTACTTCGTTACCGTGTATTGGGGATGGCCGTCAATCGGGCACATCAGGCTCGCCGTCTATTCTTAATGCAAGCCCTGAAGCTGCAGCTGGGGAAACCTTGCGCTGCTTCGTGATGGGGATCGGTTGCGGGTTGATTTAACTAAGCGCCGGGTTGATATTCTCATTGATGATAATGAATTGCAGCGTCGTCGCGAGGAGTTGAAGTCTCGGGGTGGGTTTGCTGTGCCTGAGAGTCAGACGCCGTGGCAGGAGATCTTCCGCCGTGAGACTGATCAGCTGAACGAGGGTATGGTGCTGCGTGATGCTGTTAAGTATCAGCGTGTTGCGCAGCGATGGGAGGAACCGAGGCACAATCATTGAGTTAAGTTGATGCTTGGGCGTTGTTTATGATGATGATGATCATGTCAATAATGTAGGGGGAACTGTAATATTGATCAGTTAACATACAACAATAAAGTAAGAGAACAGTTCTCTCGCCCCGGTAATACTAGACAGAAGTTGCGACTAGTCAATTCGTCCGCCATTGTTCTGCCCATCCATAATGCAGTGATACCACCTGCGCAACGCGGAATCGGTAGACAGATAGCTACAAGATGGGAAAACAGCAAGAATGAAAAACCAAAATAACATGAAACAAAAGAAGCAGAGCTGTTGCAAGTCCACATGGTCTGAACCCAACTAGCCAGCGGGATTAACACAGGTAAAAGGCGTCAACTTAGTCGTCTTGAAAGTCTTGTTCATAGACCAAACAGAAGCCCAAATCCCCAAACCAGCAGTAGAAAACGCAGCAAGTGCGTATATAAGATTAAAAGTGTTCCAGATGAACTTCTTCTTGTAACCTCTGATCCATCGCTTGAGTCCGCTATCCAAGTGCTGCACTTGACCAGTCTGCGGATTAAACACTTCATCGGAGAGGATTGAATCGTTCTGCACATTGTATCCGACCAAGAGAATGGGCGGGAAAGTGTAAGAGAATTGAAGGATGCAAGTCGCGCCGATAAATGAGCCTAGGTAGCTGATTTGAGGAATTGCCGCTGCTATCACCCAGGCGAGTGTCCAGTAGATCGGAACTGCGCAGGGCATCGTTAGATGATGTGCTTGTTTCGGGGACTAGTTTGGAAGAAACGTAATGACTTACCCAGTATGATCCATATCCATTTGCCAGTTCGACTGCTGAGTGGTGGGAAGTGAAAAACATCCTGCAGGACACTGGAGTAAAAGATCTTGATTCCGATATTGCCATATAAGATTGCTGCGATTGCGCCGGTAAAAAATGAAATAGCGTTGCCCACGGTCTGGAATTTGTAGCCCGAAGCCGGAATACCCGTAGGCAGGTTAGTATTCGGAAGAATTGAATGTAATACTTGGATATGATGGACTTACCCTGGTAGGCAGGATTAAAGGTGAACTGACCCTGAGCACTATAAGTAACGATGCCAACAATGAGGTAGATCGAATAGATAAAGATTTCCCCAATGAGGAAGCCTTTCCAGAAATCATAGGGTCGTCTCATCTCCGCCATGAGCTCGTTGAACAGAGTTGCGCCTCCGTATGAGAAGACTGCATTCATCATAGCATTGATCTTGCCATGCATTGTCGAGTTTGAAGGCCAGTAACTACTTGTCGTGATGGGACCCTTGGGGATTTGGTAGCTAGTAAATGAGGCTTCATAATTCGGCGGGTACTGATGAACGATGACCATGGTCATGACGACGACGACGACGTTCAGCCAAAGAGCGATGGTGGCTAAGAAGGAAAGACGTTGCAACGTGCGGATCTGACCGAGTGCAAAGCCAACGGCCATGAAGATCGCCTGAGCAGCAATGAAGCATAAGTATCCCTTTTGGTTGGCACCGAGGGCCATCTGGGCCAGACCTTGGCCATTTGCTTCGATAAGCAATGTGACATTCATCAGGAATTGGAAGCATTGCAGACAATTGATGAAGATACGCGCCCATCTTCCGTAGACGTGGAAGGCAACATCACCGTAGTTGCGCATTGGGAACCGAGTTGAGTCGAGGCCAATAAATATCTTCCACAGTTGAAGACCAGAGTAACAGGACATAGCACCAAAGAGAGTGTATAGCACAACGCCTGGTCCATATCCCATTTTACTAAAGGCCCATGGGACATTGGTAGGCCCCAGGATATCGGTGGCGAGTAGGTAAAAGATGGAGCCCCATGTTGCAGTTCGCACAGCTCGCTGAGCTTGCTCCCACTCCGACTCGGTGATACCCCAGTTTTCAGTTGCATGGGCGGTTTTGGTTTCCTCCGGAGGTGGAAGATCACTCTTCTTCTCGGTGGTCTCGGTTGTGACAGGGACTTCCTGAGAAGATTGAGCTGGGGCAGGTGCGGTTTTCTTCCCTGTCAGCAAGTTTTTCAAAGACGCGACACCTGCACTGGTGGTTGGCATGCTCTTCTCGATCTCGCGGGATCGCTTGGCCCAGTAGGCATAATTCTCAAAGGTGATGCTGGAATCCAGGTATATTGAGCCACTGCCATGAAGAACAGAAGGAGGAATCTCATTGGCTATGAGGGATGGCTGGTCCTGTTTGGGATTGACAACCTGGGGCTCATCGGTGGGAGCATCAGTAAGGCCCTGATTAGAAACCGAGATATTGTCCGCCATGACGAGACTTGCAATAGTCAAACCAAACTTGAGAGATGTGGCATACTGACAACATAGAAATGGAAGAAAAGAGAATATGGAAAGAGGAAAAGGGATCATTGGAAAGAAGGAAACCACAACAAAACACCAGGCAGAAGGACCAGCGACGCCTTCAAACAGAAGCAAATTTGACACAAAGATCAGATGACGTTTCTTCTCAGTCATCAGCTTGCTCAGTGTCTCTCCAGACTTGTGCAACATGTATAGGCTCCAATCTCTCCCGTATAGCTCAATCAGCTGAACTGGCCTTGACGCCTACTCTCTTAAAGCGCTGGGTTCTCCGTGATTCTATGGCTGACCGGGTTTGTTCTTGTTCATTCCAAGGTCGCATTGTGAATTGACACCAACTCTGAAAGTCCATAATTTGTCTGTGTTGAATCAACCTTACCTTGTAAAGTGGAATGAGATTGAATTTGGTTGACGTTGACTTAGACTAGAGGCTTCAAACTAGCGAGATCTCGTAATCATGGCAAGATTTCCTTACTCATCTTCAATAGGACTATAATAAGACTTTCATATCACGTTATATTCATAAGAGACCAGGACAGAAACATTTTGGATAAAGAAACAGATCATTCAAACCATCATAGCAAAGCCTGAAATGAGCAGTGCTCGACGGTATGTCCCAATGCACATATCTATAAGTTATCTATCTAGCCTCAACTTTTATACAATCCAAGTCTTAAACCCGATCCAAAAAGTCCGCAATACGACGATACATCTCCACAGGATTCGAATACATAGGGAAATGCCCACAACCAATAATGTCCGCCAACTCAACACCCTCCCTCTTCAACAAGGGCAGATAAGACAACCCACGCATCTCCTCCCCAAACATGAACATACGTGGACACGGCAAAGCCAGAAACTTATCCATCAGACCACCATGATCCGTCAACCGAACCATCGACTCAAAGATAGGCCGAACAGCACCAGCGCGAACACGATGGCGCAGCGTACTAGCATACATCGCACTGCCAAAAGCCCCAGACTTACGCGTGCGCTCAATAAAAGCATCCATAAACGATTCTGCATCGCCTTCGGGGAATTGGAAGATCTGCCGACTGAGGAAGCAATCCTCGGGCGCGAGATTACCCTTGATGTCCACGAAGCTGAGGACGCGGTCCGGGTGGCGGTTTGCAAGGAGGAGAGCTGTCAGCCCGCCCATTGAGTGGCCCATTAAGTGGAATTGGGTGATGTTGAAGTGGTCTAGGACTGCTTCTGCGGTCGCAATTAAGAAAGGGATGTCGGTGGCGGCGAGGTTGTCGCTTTCGGTGTGGCCGCATCCTGGAGCGTCATATGCAATGTAGCCATGCTGTTTCAGGCCTGGGTGCAGAGATAAATCTGCGAGGTCTTCTTTGCTCGAGCCAAAGCCGTGAAGGAAGAGAATTGGGTTTTCTTTGAGGTTGTGGATTGTTGAAAGAATCAGGTTGACGCCTTCGACTTGGAGGGGGAGCTCTTCGAATGTGAGAGGCATTTCTTTGTCTTTGTGTGTCTTGGTTGAACAAATGTTCTCTGATATTTTTATTCTCTGAGAAAGCTTGTAAAGGTCTGCTCATTATTAAGACTCGGTCAAAGGTTCGGCAAAATGTCGGTTTGCCGCATGTTACTCATAGAAGAGTCATCGCCACCCAAATGGCAAAGTTGCACTTCAGCAGTCATGTTCAGGTATCCTAAGTACACTGGCTTCAGCATTGGAAGCAACTCGGTTAGCTCCTGGGGTTAGTGAATCGGCTACGATCCAGCTAGTAAGGACCAAGCGAACCACCAACTGGTCTTGACTCCAGAGCCACTAGTGCTCTGATCTTGTTTTCAGCTGAAGCTGTTGGTAAACCATTGGTTAAGCTTGCTTGGACATGAAAACGAAAGGAAGCCTGGTCCTAGACACGAAGGGCACATCTACAAAGATTTCATGTTCACCGTGAGGTTCTCTTCATTGTTCCATTAAGGAGAGTATATGATATATACATGTTGAATTCCTGATCGTCCATAATAGACTTCCTGCTCGCTCAAAATTGCTCCAAAAATTGATATCGCATTTAGGGGAGAGCAGCGGGGGCGTAGCTCTGGTCGGGCTTGACAACCTTGCCGCCCTGAACCTGCTTGTCGGTATAGGCAGGCCAGATGATCTGGCGGGCCTTGTTGTTGACAACGGAAAGAGTGGTGAAGCCAGCACCCTCACCAAATTGACCGCTCCAGCCGGAGGTAACGGTATATCCACCGCAGGTGACGGGGCCACCGTTGGCGTGGGAGGCAGTGTTGGCGTTCACGACGTAGTTACAAGAAGTAGCAGCGCCGGTGCCGGAGTTGATGCCGAAGTTCCAGGTGCAGGAAGTGTTTGCGGTGTTGCAGGTGCGCTTCATGTTCTCAATAGTCCACTGGGGACCGGCGGCCATCATGGAAACGCCGGCAGAAGGCGCGGCCATGATGGAGGAGGCAAAGAGGCCAGTAGCGACGAAAAGCTGAGTGAGCTGCATGGTTGAGATTGTGGGGAAGATTGAAGGCACGGAACAGGTATAGTGTTTGAAAGTATGAGAGAATGTGTGAATGAGGATAGTGAAATAGAGCAGTCGACGGGTTGAACAAGGGTATTTAAGTCTTTTCTTGCTTCCGATTATCCTCCATCATACCACTACCGTAGAGCATGGACCGGAGCATGATTCATCGAAGTCATTCGAATTTCGCATAGCTTCTCCGCTATGAATCCTGCAAATAGAATTTGCCTACTGTACTATATCAGCCGATGTAACAATACAAATCAGACACGCAGGAAATACTCCACCCTTTGCTAGTGCTGTCTTACTCAGGTATGAGTGAGACACCTTGGGAGCCTGAAGAGAATCACCTCTCTACCAGGCAACTTCCAAGTGAACACGATGCATAATGTAAGACATCTACGAGACACGTCCAATCACATCAAATGAGCTGCAGGGCCTACCCCGCGTATGCACCCACCTGGTTCCACCTGCTGTCGATCCCATACCGGTCTTCCAGCGTGCTATGCTGTAGGCGCAGACCCTGAATGACGCGGGTGAGATCGAGTCCGGTTTTCTCGATCGATCAGCTTGCCCCAGGGCCCCAAGTTGTCCTGGTGACCCCGGAAGGTATACGAGGCGCAACTTGCACAAATACTTGAAAGCGAGTATAGATGCACGTGCAAAACCTAATACTCAGGCACTCCCCGAGAAGAGAGAGAGAGGAAAGGGGAGTGAATACGATTCGACTCAGTTGGGAGTGGCAATGTGGAGTTCGGTCTCCCGGGGAGCCGAGCATGAAGTAACCGAAGCGGAGATGTTGCCGTCAAGGGGGTACTATTTATACAAGTTGCAAGTTTCGAGTTGATTAAGAAATGTAATTATGATGGCCTTCACTTGAGTTGGTATATTAGGCTTAGATTGAGTATACTCCAAACTGCAGTAGGCGCCGACTGTGCCAGCATATAGATCATGCTTATGCTGGTGCGGAGCTATAACTACAGTCTACGAGTACAGCATTCGATATTCCTCGACAATCTTAGAACACAAACTATATGTAGCAAAATAACATGCATAGCAAACATGGTTCTTGATATATCAAGACTGCTCAGACACATCAATCTAGATCAGGGCCGAGGGGCGCTTCAAACCTCGGCCTCCTTTGATTCAACAGGCTACAACGGCTACTATCTACAGGTGGTCTAATATCCCCCGAAACTACGGTTGACAACCTCGTCGGAAATTATCCGACATTGCAAACAAAGACAGCGCACGTCCTGAATCCATTTTTGGCAGTTTTGCGGGAAATTACTTTTCGTCAATACTATAGCAACTTAAACTGATTGGCATGGTCCAATACGTCAATGTTACTAATCTTGCATCCATAGCAGAAAATCCGTATTACTGTACAATACAGACGCGTATACCAACAGAAAACGACTCGGTCGAAAAGTGCTCGACAGGAATTCGCGCAAGTCTGGGGCCCACTAAAGTCATTGAATACGAGACGCGAGAAGGCTGATTCAACAAAGTCGATCTTTGGACTAAAGAGAGTAGTAGACCGTGTATAGTGGCAAAAATGCCCTCTGGCGTTGCTGATCTCCTCATGTTCACAATTGAATCCCGGGTTGCAACAATGCCTTTTTTTTGAGCCGTATCTTCATGCTCTTGATTTGGTAAATCCCCTCCCTAATTTAGATATCTCTAATCCAGTCTAGAAGATCACTACCAGTGTCGAAGTTTCTTGACTAGAGCGATGATCCGTCTAATGCAACTGGAACCGAGATCATCAAGGCTATAAGCCGATTGTTATACTACACCAATAGAGGCCCAAAATGGATATCTAACATTCAAGACCATGCAAGTAAACAGTCTCATTGACAAAAAAAGATAGCATTTCTACTTGCGACCTATGAAGTCTATATTTTGCAGATGCACCCCGCGACTCGGGATAGAGAAGTTCCTCCGAGCAAAGCTTCTGTATATGACCGCATAGCAGCCCAATTTTTGAGTTTCTGGAAAATTAAAATTCGGATGGACATTAGCTCTGCCGTGGTCTCAGTCCCATTCGTGGACCTTGGAGCAATCCCTTAAGGTATTGAAGAGACAATTTTCTCTCGTTTGCCTAAAGAAGAAGCCTTCCCATATGCAGCCTTGAGCTTTAACGTCATCATGGATCGAATCAAGAACATGTTACTATGCTGGATATCAACCAGGTGATGCAACGGTGAATTTAAGCGATGTATAGCCATATTTCATCAGGGTGCCATAATGTTTCCTATACTGTAAGTTAAACCCCCAGCACTACTTGTTCGTTTTAATCTGCTAGTGCCCCATCTACAGTAGCTGCCAATCTAGCCAATAGAAGGGGTTCCTTGCCATGAGGGGTAAGTATCAACCCTGTTGAACAAAGCTAACGGAGAGGACATGGAACCAACACAACGTACTGTATATCCGTGGAACATGAATAGGACGAATTAACGCTAGGAAAAACATGTCAATATCCCAGCTCGGTTGGGTTGGCCATGTAAGCAGCAAATGGTAAGAAATGCATATCTGCCAATCAGATCGAAAAATTGGATTTACGGTCATGATTAATAATCTAAGCCTAGGGTCTCTTAAGTTAACGTTCAATTGACAAACGCGAGCCCATCATGTCCAGTAATTTCCGCGAAATCAGCAGTTACCTAAAATTATGATGAAAACCCTGAGCCTCGCATCTACCCAGAAGATACTTTCAGGGTATGAGATTCCCGTGCTCGGATATGGGGTATGTGGCTATATTTGCATTTGGTTCCAGAGAGTATAAGAACTAACATAAATCCACAGCTTTACCAAGTGTGAGTCATAAGTGGTTTTCTGGTATATTGGATTGATTTGATGATGAAACCAGGCCGAGCGCAGTCGCAGAAGATGTAACCGGCCAGGCTTTAAAGGCCGGATATCGCCATGTAAGGCCGAAATGCTTCACGCTAGGTTTTGGCTGCTAATATTGGGTTTCGCCAGATTGATTCCGCAGCGGCGTATCGCAATGAGAGGGAAAGTGTCACTGCCATTGAAAAGGCGGGACTTAAGCGTTCTGATGTCTTCTTGACAACAAAGGTCTCACCGAAAGCTACTGGATATGAGGCAGCAAAGCAGTCTATTGAGGGAAGCCTAGAGAAAGCCGAAACTGACTATTTCGACTTGTAAGAACCCCTTCACTATAATTGTCAGCTGTGGACTGATCAAACCAGAATTCTACTTCACGCTCCCTTCGGGGGCAAAGAGGGCCGTCTCGGCGCCTGGCGGGCCTTGGTAGAAGCGCAACGAACCAAAAAGGCTCGTTCAATCGGCGTTTCCAACTTTGGAATCCATCACCTGGAAGAGTTGGAAGAATACATCCAAAGTGGTGGAGGGGGCAGGATTGAGGTTGGCCAATATGAACTTCATCCTTGGCTCAGACGTGCCGACTTGGTAGACTGGCTTCGCAAGCGTGGTGCAGTCGTCGAGGCATATTCCCCTCTCGCCAGAGGAACTCGGATGGAGGAACCTGCTCTCCGAACAATTAGCAAGAAACACAACAAAAGCCACGCCCAGATATTGATCCGCTGGAGTCTTCAAAAGGTTGGTTCTGACTATATTGGGTCTTCTGTGCGAGCTAACATCACTGATTTTAACAGGGCTTTATACCACTTCCAAAGTCAGCTACCCCAAGCCGTATCAAAGAGAATGTGGATGTGTTTGACTTTGAGCTGGATGACGATGATATGAAGCTTCTGCACACCGACGAGTATTCGCCTTGTACTTGGGATCCTACTGTTCAGCAAGATTGAATTTTGATGTACAAGCCCTACTGGAAGCATAATCAACTTTTTATTTATTAAATCTATTGTCTGAATCAAGATTAAAAAAGACAATGTAAAGGCCATATTATTCCAAGTAGAGACTTCACGCACAACGAGATATGTCATCTCAGGATGCTGATTGACGCACCCTTCAAGATACTTTTGAATCATCTAACTAGGAAGCATCACATGGACTTCTGGGAAATTTAGCACATCTCGCATAACCAGTGGGATGCCAAATCAGATGCACTTTCTTTGTCTGAAATGCACGCCACTGCCAGGTGCAGAAAACCATCTATCGAACCTCGACTGTGCGCGTGCTTTTTTTTTCTGTTGAGAAGATTAAGTGGACATTGGTGTGTAATACAACTCGACGACCTATCGCCCGGAATTGAAGATTTCGAAATCGGTCACAAACGACTACTTGGCTATTTTCGGTCTGATAGGCACGTGTCTTGGGTGATGATCTACGAATCCGACAGGGATAGGGCGAGCGACCACAAACTATGTATTTAGGTGCATTTTAGTGTTTGAACTTGATAGTGAAGCCTGGACAAAAGGCAATTATGTCCAGTGGAATGTTCGGTCTCTGGATATAGCATTACTGGCGCTGAAGCTGAAAGGCGGGTGGGTATAGAATTACTTGCATGCCGCATCTTCACAGGGTGATTCAGTATAACCACTGTAGAGGCTGGAGGACATTCTGGCTAGCTGGAAGAACAGGTTGGTTATGACTGGGCCGAACGCATACTCAGTCTTGAAGACTAGCAGCAATCAAAGGGAGTATGGAATAGACGTGTCCGAACGAGTGCCCAAAAAATAGCTTCCTATTTGCCAAGATTTGGGCATTATCGCCAGACAAAGGCACACCTATAATTGCTTTTGATATTAAAAAGCAAGGTGGATTGTGATATCCGACTGTACAGTACAGTACATGTCTCTCGCAGCTGATTGTGAGCATCAAAATGCTGCTAGTCTCATTTTCATAATATTTTCGTTTTTTTTAAAAAAAAAAATCTTGCTTGCAAACCCAAACATGGACCACAACGGTTCAAAACAAGTACTAGTGTAGGCGAGGAGTTTCATCTCAGAAAAGGAGATCAATGATGACAAGGGGCTTCTATTTGGATCTTCAAGAGCTTGGGCCTCCGCCCTGAGTTGCAATGACAAACACAAGCCAAAAGACAAAATTAGAGGCGAATGATCTAGATAGATTTGAAATGCGCCGGATGACTCAAAAGAGGCTCGAGGGGCTGAGAAAAACTTGCGTCTTCCACAGCCAAGACTGGCGTCGCGTATCTTGCATAAACGGGTTAGCACGATATTAAATTTTCCAACGCTCAAGTCATTCTAGCGCTCCATCGGGGAGCTCAGCGTCATACAGTAGAATAATTATGGCAACAATCGGCTCCACTAGCATTTTGCGGTCCAGGGTCTTTGGATCAGGTGCGGCGATAATCCACTGTAGTTTGTTGACCATCTAAATCCCGACTATGCAGGGACAGGGATAGTGCCAGATGAAATGATGATAAGCTTGAAATCGTACAGCATGCATCACCTCATCCTCCGGCTTTGTTGAGAGACCTGTGATATATCACCGACGATCCGCGCGTGGAAACATCGTTTCAAATGACTCCGAGTGTGCATCCGAGTGTGCATGAGCCACCAGGGCTAGAAGAAGACCCGGAACCAATCCTTGCAGATTAAGCCAACGCCGAGACACACCACGACATAGGGCTGAGGCACAGGCGAAGGACTGCGCCACAAAGAATTTTGCAGCCTTGCCTTGGGCGGGAAATCCCCGTCTGGCCGTCGGGGAAGGTCTGCCAAGGTCTTTCGCTGGGTCAGAAGAGGGTCTGGGACACGGAAACCGCCTTCCGGCGCTGAAACATGGCCTCGAAGGGGAGAGAAGACTATGACGGTGAAGAGGAAGGGATCAGCCACACCAGAGCCGAAGTGGAGGAAAAGGAGAAAAACCCGCGAACCATACCCAAGTGCCAAGCCTCGGCTGGTCCCGCAGGAGAAAATCTCGCAAGTCACGTTGCTTATGTCAGCCCCAGTGGCTGCTGGGTGGAGCCTGAGCAGTCTAGAACTGCCCAAAGGGGTTTAGTTCAGTGGGTTCCTTGGCGATGGACTTTTCTCTTTAATTCCCCCAGACATCAAACACGCACATTCCTTATTTCTACTTCTCCTATATATCACCATGGTGACTTTCCTCCAGTTAAATGCTTCTGCTGTAGCATGCGCTGAGCTTTAACACTGTGTGTTGCCGACTCTGGTCCAAGCTCCCATCGATCCTATTCGCTTTTCACCCTCCTCCTTTCTGAGCTCTTGCCCTGCAAGCTTATCGACTCCAGCTCGACTCCTCTCACCGCATCGATAACAAAGACTCTTGCTGGTGCTATCTGACCTGGACATTTTCCACTCGCCTCGGACCACCTCGTGCCAAGTGCATTTGCCGTCTTACATCCTTTGTCTCTCAGGGGTCTTCACCGAGCTTCTGTGAACCCGGAAGACCCGTCAAATTTCCATCTCAACCTCGATTTTAACTATTTTTTATTTATTTGTCACCATGGCTGTCGACGCATAACCCAATTCGGCTCCTGGACTTCTTGCATTTCAGCGATATCTCTATATCTTGGGCCTTTCCCTCCCTCTTTGACCTTTCGGACACTCCAGTCAACGTGCACATCCTTTTATTTAGTCTTTGAGACTACCCTTCACAATGGCTCCCAACCTCTTTCTCTGCGCGCGCACCATCTTCTGCCCTATTTACTGGTTCCAAAAGGGCGACCGCGACAGCAGTCTCAAAGAACAACACTGGGAATCCCCCGTCCCTGGAACTTACAAGTTCTTCCCTGGTCGTGGATGGCACCTTGTCCACCGGGACGGAGCTGAGCACGACGAAGAAAAGCCAGCTGCCCTGGTTTACTGTCGCATTCTCCACCGCTACATGTTTGAATCCGAATTGGAAGAGCGCTGCCGCTTCTTCGATGCGCCACTGCACAAGGGTGCACGCTCAGAACAGCTGCGCTTCTTTCTACTTGATGACGGTGTTCACTGGGTTGCCGGCTGGGATGCCCACGGCAGTTTCATTCCTGGTCCTTACCCCAAATGGTGGCTCGATGAGGATGGCTACACTATGCACCGTGGTGCCTCTCCCCCTACCAGTGCCAATGTGTCTCGCTGCAGCAGTATCATTGCTGGCAAATTTGATTGAGCGACTGCTCTATTCTTGTGTGGTTGCTTAAACTACCATTTAATTATGATTGGAAATTCCATCATACATCTTCTTAGCGCTGTTGTTTCGGTCCTGCGAAGCGTTCAAGCGTGTTCTCTTTGTCCATGGATATCCTCAAAAGTGCTCGGTTTCAATTTTACGTGTGTATTGATTTTCATGTGTTGGGATTATGGGTTGTACCCAGGGTTGGTTTACGCTCGTCGGTTCATGTCATAGATTTCAGGTTATTAGACTTTGGATCATCTAGGCGTTTCAGATGATCAACATGGCGCACGTTTTTTTTCTCTTTTGCTTTTCTCTCTGTTCGGCGACTTGCATTCCCATATGATGATCAATACGAATTAAGACAGAACGTCTTACCACCACACCTGTTTCCTATTCCTCGTAATCACATCACACCGCATTATCGGACAGGGCCTCATCCCGCGTCTTATATTACGAATTTAAGAACCAATGAGCGTACAGTTCATTCCTTGTCCCAGCCGATAAGACCCGTAGACTACATACCAACGCGGTCATATTCTTTTTTATCCACGTCGATATCACCTCACAACTTCGCCCCCTCCTGAACAAGCAGCTTCTCCAACCCCTCTCGAACTCGGCCCTCCATACCCCCCCTTCCCAACACGCATGGTCTCTCTCAGCACGAACACATGCGTATAGGTTCCAACCATCTTAACGCCCTCTTCGCCCTTCTTAAAGATACCCACTTCCCACGTCACACTCGAATTGCTGAGCTTGTTCACACGCAGTCCAACTTCGAGCAAATCCGGGAAGCGCACGGATGCAAAGAAATCAGCTTGTGTGGAAACGATTAGACCAATTTGGTCTGCGCCTGCTGCGATGGCTGACGGCTGGCCTGGTTGGGGCTGTGCTGCTTTCGGTGTCGGGTTGTTCACGCTGAAGGGGTCCATGCCGCAGTGTTCGATTAGGTAGGTATTTGCAATTGTGTCGAAGAGGTGGGTGTAGACTGCGTTATTCAGGTGAGCGTACATGTCATTGTCGAACCTGAGATACATTAGGGCTGTGTTCTATTGGGATTCCAGTTAGATGTCTGTGGTGGGCTTACCATCTTGTTTGGTGGACTTGATGGTAGCCATAGTCACTGCGCTTTCGTTGCTTCTTGGCTGAGTATTCTGATGGCGCCATTATGGGTAATCGCAGCAGTAGTTGTGTAGTTGGGAACTGGGTGTCTCTATGGTGCTTAATACCCTGAGATATCAAAGGAATGAGGTTATCTCCGCGTTTCCTCGGAGGTGATGGACCTCGGCATGTCGGTGATTAGGTAAGATCTCCAGTATTGCCCAGGTGGACATGTGGATTCAGTCAACTAGACATAAACTACACTCCACTGCAGTTTCAGCCCACCGATCTACAGTTTATAACAATGTGATTCTTATACTCCGTGGGCAGTGGCCTGTAGACCCTCATTGGCCAATCAGAGCCATGGATCTCCTTGAATGTGGGGCGTGCCTGATAACACGCGATAGAGATTTATTCTTTTTCTTTTCCCCAGACTTCAACTTTGCTCTCTGTCTACTCTTGGATTTTGTGTCCATTGTTCCTCCTGGCTCCTTCACCTCGTATAACGGCCTATCTGCTGCGGCAAGGCAAACTGAAACCCCCGCCAAAGCCCACCATGGCCCTCATGAATGTCGACCAAGTGCCCCCCACCAAGCCCGCGGCGAACAGCCCGGACGTGGTCGTGACTCCCTGCAATCCCTGGAAGGCACCATACTACCTGGATGGAGGCTTCCGTCGCATTAAGCCTTACCACTACACCTATAACACCAACTGCAAGGAGCGATGGCGTGGTCGTACCTTGGTCGAGATCTTCACATCCGAGTTTCGCGATCGGAAGCCGGAGTATTATGTGCGTTGATTGTTTGATGCGGGAGAATCGCAAACTGACAGTTACCAGAGATCCGCTCTTGAAAACGGCCTCGTCACCGTCAATGGTGTCAGAGCCTACCCCGACACTGTCATCAAAAACGGCCAAGTCATCTCCCACACCACCCACCGCCACGAACCCCCTGTCACAAGCCTCCCCATCGGAATCATCTACGAAGATGAAGGTCTCATTGTTATCGACAAGCCTGCTGGTGTGCCCGTTCATGCGGCAGGTCGATACAACTTCAACTCGGTTGTAGAAATTCTGCGCTCAGATCGCGATCCCAATTTCGTGCCTCGCCCGTGCAACCGCCTCGACCGATTGACCTCCGGAATCATGTTCATCGGAAAAGATCCTCAAGCGGCAGAGAAGATGGCCACCGCTCTCAAATCGCGCACAGTACAGAAGGAGTATGTAGCGCGCGTCAAGGGTAAGTTCCCAGACGGGGTGGTAGTTTGCGACCAGCCCATTATGCAAGTAAGCCCAAAGCTTGGTCTGAACCGCGTTCGTGCCACCGGCAAGGAAGCCACAACCAAATTCCGCCGTCTGGCCTACTACCCCCCGGACGCAGGCTCGGGATCTAGCACCCCGGACGGCGAGCGTGCCGCTACACCCCCTTCGACATCCCTTTTGTGCGAGACAGAAGGATACAGTATTGTGCACTGCTTCCCTCTCACCGGGCGCACTCACCAAATTCGAGTCCACCTCCAGTTCCTGGGTCACCCAATCTCAAACGACCCCATCTACTCTAATCGACGTGTCTTCGGGCCGGGACTCGGCAAAGCCGAAACAACCGCCGAACGTGACGAGGAAATTGTTGCCCGGTTATCTCTCATGGGAAAGACAGAAATCGCAGATACAGTCTCGTACCGCACACATTTGACTGCCGCGCCCAACGTACCCCCAGGTACCGACCCAGTCCTCGTCAACGAGATCATGTACCGCGAACAAGTCGCCGCGTCAGAAGACTACGCCAAGCGCAAGGGCGAGAAATTGTCCGGTGATCTCTGCGACGTCTGCGGTACGGAATTGTACTCGGACCCCGGTGCTCACGAACTCGGTATCTTCTTGCACGCTGTTGCCTACGCTGATAAAGACGGTGACTGGGGATACCGTAGTCCGATGCCTCACTGGGGTATGCCTCCGCATGGCTGTGAGGGACCCGTCGGAGTGCCGGACTGGGTTCCTGCTGCTGAGGGCGAGGAAGTCGTCATTGGGCACGGCACCATTCCTGATGGACTGGGTGATGAGGATCATGCTGCCGATGCTAATACTGGATCTGTCATCCTCGAGGGCGTTGGCCTCGTTAATATTGCTGAAGCGGCACGTCTTCAGCAGCAGGCAACAGAAGCTGCTACGGCTTAAGGCTGGGTGTTTAAATCTGTGGTTCCGTGTTGCGAATGGCCGACACTTTGCCCTATCTTTTGGGGTATCTTGAATCATACCTCATTCGCCTTTGGCATGATTGGTTTCACGTGAAAGATTCATATGCATAGCGTTATGGTGCATGATACATACATTTATACTTAGTCTCTTGATGATATGTCATTATATATACTCTGTCCAGGTAGATCCGACATCGCATTTACGAAGCATGACCAGTACAAATGCTTCTACCGGTCAATTTAGCAGAATTCTACTGCCATAATTAGCAATGATCTTGTAGCCCGTCATTCTTGTACCAATAAAACAACCGATTATTGGCTGTATATTCCCCACCACGAGGCTCAAATTAAGCAGGGCATGGCAACGCATCATCTCCAGGACGACGTGATTTAGGTTTGAAGATCTGGCTAGGATGCTGCGTTTTGAGAAAAGGAAGAGGGCGCCTTTTCAGTGGTGTCTTGGGGGAGAGGTCATAGTTTGAGATGTTGATTTGGGATAGAGGACGCTGGTATTCTAATTGCCCTTTTGAAAATTTAAAATTCAAGATGCTGTAAATGTATGCAAATTACCGTTTTTTCGGTCATTTCCCCCAGGTTCTGCTCACAAAATATTTCACGGGGCTGATCATTCAGCGGTTAGGCTATCCTCAGCCCTAATCTCTCAAAGTTCCACACCATTGCAAGCTTTGCTGCGGCTTCAAATTCTGAACGAGAGTTGTCAAGGGAAAGAAAACAGCACGCTGTCGAGAATTAGAGGGACTGGAATGTTTGACTTCTTTTACTCAAAAAGGCTTGGATGACTTCCGGCTTACGATAATTTGGTTTTGAAATCACAGGCTAATATCATCTTTCGGTGTATATAACTTACATGTTTATATGTATATCCAAAATTTTGATTTGAAAGGAAGTCCCAAATGAAAGCGCCTGGTCGCTATCCCAACGCCTCGGTGTAACTGATATATACTGGTACTATCCATGGGTGAACAGCGGAAAGAAATCTAGCAGCCATGGATCAACCCGTCTAACTTATAGTATCTCCAAACATTGTCCTATCCGCTTCACCGCAGCATCTACTCGCCACAACATTGTCCCTGACTTTGTGCCGGGTGCAGGCTTGCCGCGCAGGACAGCCCTGGATGTTGTACAACGAGATTCGGCTGTGAGGCGGTACTGGATACATTCCGGGTCTGCTGCGCAGTAGTCGGCACAGTCAGGGAGGGAAGCGGGAGTCTTGGGACCCTTGTAATCCTCCTTTTGATCACCATCCGGGGCAAAGTTATCCCAATTATCCAGGTGATCTGCCAAGGTTGGACGAATGAGATTGCGGAAGATCTCCGCGTAAGTCAATTGCGTCGAATTCGACTGTGAGAATGTTAGCTCAGGCCCAATATCATCACAGTAGCCGAATTCCAACAAAATCCCGCAACGAGACAGACACTCACCTCAGCAAACCACATCTGCTCAAACTCCCAAAACCGATCCACATCCGCCGGAGTCATATGATGGAACGTGAAAGGCGCATGACACCAAGGCCTCACTCCAAACCCATCCCGAAGCATATCCTGCTCCCAAACCGACTGAGTCGTAACCCTCGGCCAAGACCAAGTCAGCCCAACACCAACCTTCTCCAGCAACATGCCCAGCACACAATCACCGGCCCACTCGCGATCAGTCGTCTCATCCCACTCGCCAACATGAGCCGTATGATAATCCGCCGCGGCATGAATAGCCGCATGGGAAAGCACAAAGCCCGACCCACCGTGCGCGAACAGATTCGGCCCAATCTGCATCTGATTCCCTAGATAGAATTTGTCGGCTGGATCAAACCGGCCCAGCCAGGCGAGCAGATTCGGCCAGATGGGATACGTATCCGCTTCGAGGAAGACATACCAGGCTGCATCGGGGCGCGCGTGGCGTGCGGTGTGGATCATCGGTAGGAATTTCCACTTGTCTAGCTTCCAGCCTGGATTCTCGCTCATGCCGGAGGGGCCGTTGGCTACTTTTGTTTGGTCTTCCGAGGTCAGCGCTGTGCGGCCTCCGGTGCGTGCCCGGTTGTAGAGTGCGAAGTCGATGTTGGATTGTTTGAGCGATTCGGAGACGTTGGCGAAGACGTCGTACGTGCGCACGCCGGCTATTTCTTCTTCGTAGTCTGAGACTATGATTTTGTGCGGAATGCAGCGGAGTGTTGTACGCAGATGGACGGGGACTTTGTCTTGCGCTTCTGTGATGCCGGTTTTGATTACTACTAGGACTTTCTCCATTCCTGGTAGTGGTGGACATGTACTTGGGACATGGTCTGTTGCGGAGGGCGAGGAGGAGGTAGAGGTTGAGTTCAAGGTTGTAGTTGTGGTTGTTTCGCTTTCGGGTTTGCTTTCGATCTTGATCCCTGGGGCTGATTCTTTCACGTCCTGCGTGGTATGTGATCCTAGGTCTGCGCGAATGAAGTGTATTATGAGGAGGATTAGGACCACCGGGGCCAGGATTCCCCAGCGACCATATCGGGCTGGGAGAGGCATTGCGGAAGATGTAAGTGACAAAAAAAAGAACAGCAGTTCAACTAATATAAACAGGAGAAGTGTCGGCCTCCATAGCCTGGGGTGTCAGAGTTGGAGGTATGAGGGGGCCTTCGAGTCTTTAAGTCATCGTGGGGGCTGTCTCAGGCTGACAGCCACTAGAGCTAGTCGCGCTAATAGTCTGAGACCTGTCAACGGTTCGCAATGGAAGGCAACTGTGTCCTGTGCTGCTACTGAGCTGCTGTGTCCTCGCATCTCACTTTGCCCGTGTCACGTAGCGTCAATGGTGGGTCTGTCGATCTGAAACGTGTGTAAAGTGATCGACTCATATGGCAGAGTGCGAGGTGTTTCACTTGGGCTGATCACTTCTCTGGGATGAGAAGGTACTTTGGAAGATACGTGATGGCTATTCAAGGGACATGGATGATACAAATACACACATAATGTATGTCATGAGAGAAGATTGCGATATGGCAGAATATCGGAGATGATCAGAGGTTTCTTAGGGCTATCAACTAGGCTTCACGTCACGGGTTCATCCTCTACTTGTACAATATTGAGCAGATCAGACTACAATCTGCCACACCTAGTTCCAGGAATATACTGATCAAGCCGGATGTTTTGGCAATTTTTGTTGTCATTTCAGAGAACAATTCTCTCGCTGTTTAAGCGCCCGGCACTATGACCAAGCCCGAGGACATGCCCACAATCCTTAATTTCGTAATCGCCGGAGATAAAAGCACCGTACAAAAACCCCCGACCCTCTACACCTGAACATAAATGAACTTTTGGTTGCATTTAAGCCTCGGTGGTGACACGGCCCTTGGCGTTGGTGACCTTGACACCGAGAGCCTTGGCCTTCTCAATAATGTCAACGCGCTTGCGGGAAGAGACGGCGTGGCCGATCCTGTGGGTTTGTTAGTCAATGGTCCAGCATGCCAGGTGACATATGGTGTGCATCGGAGCGGAACGTACTCAGCAGCGAAGGTGCGGTTGTGCATGAGGAGGAGCTCAACGTCCTTGGTGTTGTGGACGAGGAAAGCCTTGTGGCCGGAGGGCATCATGTGGCGGGTCTTCTTGTTGGATCCGTAACCGATGGAGGGCATGGCCTGCTGGCCCTTGAAGCGACGACGCTGGGCATTATCAATACCCTGGGGCTTGCGCCACGAAGCGCTGCAAATCCATGTTAGCATTGATTCGTGGTTTCAGGTGTGCATGTATAGCTTACCCGACACGCATGAACCGGTCAGACTGGTGACGGTTGAAGCGGTTGGTGCCTATTGCGAACAATGTCAGTCCTCCATTTTATTTCGTCAAGTTGGTCGGTGATGTGCTGAACAGAACCAAAGAACCCATCGCGAAAGTCTCTGCCTCTGCAGAAATTGTCTTCAAGTAGGTTCTTTGGCCCTTTGGATGTTTTCGAGTTTTTCAATGTCGCCCTTCGATCTCAATAACATCTTGATTCTTTCCAAACAATTCTCCAAGCAGTGATTCGTTTTTCCAGGTCGGTGAAATCTCCATGTAATCGATGATCGAAGGGTGGGATCGGGGGTGCAGAGGGACACAGGGCGACATACGCTTCTTCACGATAGGGATGTGCTTCTTAGCGGCGACCATCTGGAAAGAAATTAATGACTGTGACGACAAAGAATTTGCGATCAAAAACTCACCTTGTCGGTATTTCAGGGTCTCGCCGGGCGTTCGAGAGTTGTCGTGTCGGAGTTCAATCTCGAAAACTTCTCTCTCAGGTTCTCCGGCGCAGAGTGGGAGACCCACACTAGTGCGCTTTGGGCGAGCTAAGCGAAGCGGTGGCTTAGGTCAGCGTAGGGCAGTGTGCACAGCTGTGCCCTAGCCCTAACTCCTATTTTGGGATTCTCTATCGGGGTTAGCGTATATGCGGAGTAAATAGTTACTTGGAGTCGAATGTTCATCAGTTGATTGACAGTATGTTGGGTCTATAAGTTAGTTGGTCTATAGATTATCTATTGTAAATGCAACTGAGCCCTCTCTCCATCCTTCTCTCCACTCTGAAGCATCTGCTCCAAAACCTCAAGATCAGCCAATGCCTCTTGAGGCGACTGTCGACTGGCAGGTTTCCCATTGACGATAGAAGTCGCAAACTCCGCCACCTCAGGAGCAACACCTTTACCGTCAAACTCAATCGTATTCAGAACACCATTGACAGTCACATCGTCAAAGTTCAAAGTGACCACACCCTTCTCACAAGCGAACTCAAATACTTGATCACTAAACGTCGATCCCCATGACAGGGAAACAACACCCGTAGCACCCGTGTCCGTCTTGACAACAGCATCTACAGTATCCACAGGTGGGAGATGAGCCTGCTGCAGCTGAGAGTGCGCTGAGAGAGTACTTATATGCACATCAGATCCCAAGATCAGACGTAGACCCGCAACCATATGCACTCCTCCATCCAAGAGGAATCCACCCTGGTATTCGGGGGTCTTACGCCAGGCGGTTTCTATCAAACATTAGCAGTCGTTTAAATCTCTTTCACGCCAGCCCCAGTATCCCCAGAATTGGGAACTAGAAAGCGGATATAGAAATGAAAACATACGATAATACTTGTTATCGGCCTTGACAAGATTATGAACATTAACCCTAAAGTTCAAAACCTTCCCCAAGGCCCGCACCTGCTTAGCCGCAAAGATAAACTTGGTCAGATAGCGGAAGTTCTCCCCAACCGCCCAGAAGATCTTGCTAGTATCGATGTTTGTCTGATACCACTGCAAGAGCTCCTGCGCCGTGGCGATATCCTTTGCGATAGGCTTCTCGGATAAGACGTGCTTGCCCGCGAGCAGGGCTTTGCGAATGAAGTCCGGTTGAACCAGGATTGGAAGGCTATTTCAATATTAGCTTGGCTTTTCCCCTTCTAGCCACCATCTTGTCATCACATATAACAAGCTTAGCATGGGGGACAAGGGGAGACGGTCGTACGCAATAATCACAGCACCGATCTCAGACCGGGCCAGAAGGTCATCGTAGGACTTGTCAGCTGCCGAATCCTCAGAGTAGAGATCCACGCCTGACACACCACTGGCGAGGTCCTGGGCTGATTTCAGGGATCGCGAGTAGATGGCCTTTAGGGTGAAATGTTCGGCTGCTTGGACGGCTGGCTGCAGTGGGCGTTAGCCCTATGCATGTACTGTACATATGTGGAGACAGAGGTAGGTGATTGATCATACCAAGTGTTGCTCTTTGGCAAAGAGGCCTGTTTGGGGCGTTAGCTATGGTGTTATCACGTTATCCAGATGGGGAAGGGTAGGTATGTACCGCTGCCGATGATAGCTACGCCAATTGACATGATGATTATGAATAGGAGAGAATTTGATGTAGGCTTAGGGGATATACAAGAGAGTCACAGAGAGGCAATTCGAAAATGCGATGCGAAATGTCAAATGTCAAATGCCAAAGAATGTCTACTAAAGGAACCGAGTGGGGGAAACGCACTGGGAGGAAGGTCCAACCTCAGCCTCACGTCATTACAATTTTATACTGGACGTCGGGACTTTTCAACGAATTTGTACGATTTGTACGATTCACAGCTGAAATTCACTAAGCATCCAAAAACTAATTAAATACTTTCCCCCAATCATCCAGGGAATCCCAAAAATATCCCCAAATACAAAAGGCGCCAGGGTAATCCAATCATGAAAAATCAATAAAACGCCCAATCATATCATCGTGACGAATCCCAAAATCCAAAATAGAAACCCAATCCTACAGTAGTCCCAAAACACCCGGTCTTCGTTCTGCTAACATCGATTAACCAAAGCCCTCAACCGCTCAACTCTAGCCATAGCATTTTCCAACTTTTCCAGTCGAGATCTCTTCTCTACATCCCTCCGCTCCAGTACAGCAATCCTCTCCTCCAGCTTGGCGCGCGCCTTGCGTTCCTGCGCAACCATCTCGTTCGCCTGGCTGAACAATTGCACGGTCAACTCCTCCAGCTCCGTGCTCGCCTGCGACAACTGGCTTTCGGCCGCTTTGCGCAGGCCTTGTTCGCGTTCGAGAGCGTCTTGGAGTTCGGAGGTGTTGTCGCTGCTGGCTGGGGAGGCGGACACGGGCGCGGGGTGGTGGTGGTTGGTGTGGTGTGGGAGGGTTGGTGTGGCTGGGGGTGGGACTGAGGAGGAGGTTGGTGGTGGTGTTGGGGCTGCGGGGACGGTCGTGCTGGTGGCGGTTGGTGTTGCGCTACTGCGACGGTAAGGAAGGAGGGAGGTGAGGGTAGCTAGGCGGCTGTGGTAGGTTGCTGTTGTTGATGTTGATGTTTCGGGTGAGGTTGTTGGTCGGGGTTGATCTTGCGGTGTGGAATTGGAGGTTGAGGGGGGAGGGAGGCGCTGCTACGTGGTGTTGCGTAGTTTTGATTTTGAGATTGAGGGCGTAGGCGTCGGAGTTCGTCTTCATATTCGGTGAGTTTTGTTGCTGTCGAGCACGGCGGTTAGTTGTATTTTGGGGGAGGTGATGGGGGATAGAATGAAGAGAGTAGAAAAGACTGGTCAAGAGTAGAGAAACATGGAGAATAGAGCTCTTTTCGGCCAGTATCCAAGGGCAGTTTCTCATTTGTCGCATGCATAGTCGACTCCAGGACCCTGCGGCTCTTCGAAGAGGGATCACACTGCTTACCTGTCGCCGAAGCGCGAGCTGTCAACATATGCAGCTGCCCCTCCAACTCGTGGATTCGATCCTGAGCTCCAGAATCATATAGTCCTTCCCCCCAGCACATGGGGCATTGTTTTTCAGAGATCCCGACCCCCTTCATCGTTCCAACAAGTGTGGTGGTGGTGAGCGTGGAAGTGGTCGTAGCCGACATGACATGGGTCTTACCCCGGGATCAGGGTAAGGTTTAGGACGAGTGGGGATGGCGAGCAACGGTCGAGAAAGGCAGAGATGGGCAAGGGAAATAGTCCAGAGTGAATAAAGGAAGAGGGAAGAAAGACAGAAACAAAGCGGAATATGAAGGAGTGAATAGCCTTGGCTGGGCTTGGACACTGAGACTAGGAATGTCCTTTGAAGGGGCCAACTCCATCACCGGCCACTCTATTTCGGCTGGGCCAATCGCATCACAGTGCCTGTTTCAAGGATAATGTTATTGTTTCATGCCGATCAGCATGTCGTTTCAATATTGCCTCTGGATGACCAGCCCTGATACCGGGGCTGGTATACGTTCGGGGTGGGTCTCGACTCCGTACTTTGACTCCAATATATTGACTTCATGATACTCCCGTATTAGGGCTAAATTTAGACAATCACGGCCTCCGATATACTCTTGAGTCGCCCTTTTTCAACGGCTCGTCTCGACGATATCTTAACTATATCTTAACTATATGTTTACAGGGTTACTGGAGAACAGGACTGTCAACGAAGACTACATTTCATTCTATGCAGGAAAAGGGGCAGAGCAAAGAGGACCGTAAAGAAACAGCTAACGATGCAAAGTCCAGTCTAACAATTAAGACAGTCAAGAGAAGCAGAGAACAGAAGTTGTTGGTCGTCAGCATTGTGCTCATCACTATCTCATCTCTCATCTCTCAAGGACATCTTGATCGCGTGGCCGGGAAGAACCAAAGAGCAGGACACCATCAGCCCTCCATCTCCAAGATCCAACACAGCAGACAGGTTGACGAGAAAGGAAGCAAGACCACCTGTGGTCAATCGAAACAAAAAAAACACAGGAAAAAAATGGAAACAGAAGAAGGAAAGAAGAATGGAACATGTATTCATTTCGCATCGGCTGTAATGGTCATGGGCAGATCACACGAATCACGCATGGGAATAATAGCTAGATAGCGAACAAGACATAAAAAATGGAACTTTTCGGACTGCCAGATCATCATAGCGAGGACTAGATGTGTATCGAAAATCTAGTCCACGGAAAAGAAAAAGAGATCATGAAACCAAGGAGTAGAGACGTGGCAAGAGGAAGGACAAGGACAAGGAGAGAACAAAAAGCTCAAACAGAATAGCAACCGTCGCACAATTGGCCGAGGCGGAACAAATGGCAATTATGAGCGACTTACCACAAGTGACACTTTTGGCGTGGAAACATCGGAAAGAAAGACTCGTTTAATCCATCTGCGTACCGTGAGCATAAGAAACGGCGGTCGCTTCGGGGTATCGATAGGTCTATGCGAATCCACGACCAGTCTGTCCACGGCGGGCGTTGCGCTGCTTGCCCACCGTCACCGTGCTCCATCCTTCGTCGTCACCAGCAGCGGCAGCCTCGCCAGCCGGGGCGCGCCAGTTGCCGTTGGTGGTCTCCTTCTCTGCCTGCGCGGGGGCCTCAGTCTCCTCAGTCTCCTTGTCCGCGTTCATGTCGCTCTCGTCTTCGCCGCTCCGGCGGAGAATCTCAAAGTTACCACCACCCTTGGGGGTCTCGAGGACGTCCTTGCCGTTGTGGTCCACAGCGGGGGTTGACTTCTCCTCCTTGGTGGTCTTTTGCTTCTCGGCCTTCTCGGCCTTGACCTTGTCGTCAGCCTCCTTCTTTTGGCGAATGGCAAGCTGGCGTCTCTCTTCCACCTGGCGTTCACGGGTGGCAGTGTCAATAGGGCGAGCGGCACCGAAGGGGCTGGCCTTGGAGTCACCGGCGGAGGCGGAGACGGCGGCGCCTTCGGCAGGAGTGCTGCGCTTCTGCAAGTTCAGCTTGGGGCGGGAAGCGGGAGCGGCAGGGGTGGCGGTAGGAGAAGCGGGGCTGGTGGGCTCCTTGGGAGTTTCGTCAGGGCGCATTCTGGAGCGCCACTGGTTGTCCATATCGGCGGCGGTAGGTGTGGGCTCCGGGCGGACGTGCTCGGGGCGGGGAGGGCGAGAGCCCTCATCCTGAGAGCGACCCTCACCCCAAGCGGCCTCATTTCTGCGGAATCCGGAGTTGGGTCCATCGTTGCTGGTGGGGCGGCCCTCGCGGGGCGGGCCTGCAGGGGGCGAAAGGGGGCCCTTGCGCTCCCAGTTGTTGAAATCGCGAGGCTTTCCGTCGGACTCGAAGTTGCTGCGACGACCACCGCGGTCGCTACCGGCATCAGAGGCAGCATCCATGCCACGTCCGAAGCTGGAACGCTCGGGAGCACGGCGCTGGGGCAGGTCGGGGAGAGGGCCACGGCGGGACCAGTCAAGGTCACGACCTTCCATGCGAGATTCCTTGGCTACATAACTTGTCAGTTGGACCGCACTTTATGGTCTTCTGGATAACTTACGAGGCTCGGCAACGCTGGTGCGAATAGAGCGTCCCTGGAGGCTGGAACCAGACAGGTCCAGAGCCTTCTGCAGACCCTCAACGGTCTCGAATTCGACGTATCCGAAGCCCTTGGGGGCCTTGGTCAACTTGTCCTCCACGACACGGACATTCGTCACACCACATCCGGTGAAAAGTTCGGAGATGTCAGCCTCGGTGGCCTCAAAGGAAAGGTTGCCAACGTGGCAAGTGTAGGGAGGCTGGGTAGGAAGATCGAGGGGCTCCCGAACGGCATATCCACCACGAGTCTCACGCTCTGTTCTTTGTTAGATCTCATCCTGTATATCCGGTGCGAAAAGGGTCATACCGAAGCCACCAGGACCAGAGCCGAACATGTCACCACCGGCGGGGCGGCGGTTGAAAGTGGAGGTCAAAGGCTGGGCTGTTTAGATCGTAAGCGACTATCGAATAGCAGTATAGGTATGCGATATTGGTACTACATACTGGCTGCACATATTGTTAGTACTTGCACATTCAATGGCGGGGGATCTGCAGCTTACATGGAAGGGGCATATCATCCATCTCATCAGCCCAGGAGCCGAGGCCTATATCTGTCAGTCACCATGTCGCTGCCTCGAAATTTCGGGTCGCTCACTTTCGTCGGCCAAGAAGGCGCCCATGGACATCTTCTGAGACTTTGCTTTGGGAGCTAAGCATATTGGGTTAGCGATCACCATAAGGACTCAACGTAACAGTCTGAAACGAACCCATGATTGCGGTTGGGAAAGAAAGAAACGCGCGGGATTTGTGCGCGCTTCTTAGACGGTAAGGTAGGGAGGGAAGATGGAAAGAAAGGTATTCAAAGAGACTTGGTAAAAAACCAAGATTAAAAATCAGAAGTTGAGTTCAATATCTTCAACCCACAGTGGAAAAGTTGGTAGAGGGGAAGTCGGCTGCGGCATGGAAGTGGACGGGTTACTAAATTTTTAGTGATGACGCTAGCCCAATCAGAGCCGCGAGATCGGTCTATACACACTGGCATATTTCTGAACACGACGTGAATGGGTTTCAAGTCGCTGGAAGTGGTTGAGCCTTGCTGGGAACTATTTGTCGGCTTAAACCTATATCTAATGTTCAACTGTTCGGGGTCATCCTTTAATATCTCCACGATCTCGGCTAAAAATATATACTCATGTATGAGACAATCGAGGTCTGAACACAGGCGGGATTGGCTGGCCCTGGTCACACTAGATGCTCTTGGAGTGACATTTAGCTTGATATGATTGCTTGCAGAAATTGGCTGTACCATATGTCCGACTCTGAGATCGTGTTGTTTCAATACTACATAGAGTGGGCAATTGGAGGCCCTAGAACAGGGTTAGTCAGTTCACAGACAGCTATGAAACATGTCAGGCACTGAGTCGCAGATACATCTTGACATGTAACCCTTGCATACCACAGCCTAGAGAATGTTATCATATTCTGTTAAAGTGTTAAAAAAAAGTCTTGCAGGCGGTTACTTACTGTACCTGCTGCTGTGTGGGGATATATATCTACTCAGGAACAGGATTCTGGGGGATCTTCAACCCCCACCGCCATCTCATAAACAAACAGACTACAGGGTTCATATCGAAATCATTGGATATTTCCATCTATACCAGATTGCACTGGACCGTTTGAATTCAAATTGCCAGGCCTGACCTTGGGACCGGACCAGTCGACATTACATAATCAACATGCATCACGTGTCAGATAGTTTTCTATCATGGCCTCCTGCTGGTAACTAATCCTCAGTATCATTGAATATCCAAGCGGCGGGAATTCTGATGCATCATCTGTGTTAATCAAAACATGGGCAACCAAGAGAACAAAGATGGTGACTTCTTCTCCAACGCCCTTGTATCCGCCGCCAAAGTGGGAGCCCTGAGCGGTTAGTATTGGCTTGTCCCCCAAGATAGCTAGCGGAACTTGAATGGCTAACATCCTTTTAGGAGGTGCTGGTCTGCTCTATGGCGGAGCTGCAGGAGTTATCAGATCACGCAACCCCATGGTTCACTCGTTATCATGCGGCATCCATTGGTTTGCATGCGGCTCAACCTTCTGGTGTATGTAGACCCGAGCCATCTTGATAACGCTGTCTCACATTTGACGCAGGGCTTCGAAGCAATATCATCAAGCTTCACTACCAAGATAAAGCCTCGCCCAAGCAGCGCACCTATGTCAGCGCTCTATGCGGTGGCATCGCAGGCGGAGGTGTAACGAAGCTTATGGGTATGTCCTCCCAAACGGCACACATCCTTTGTGACAAGATCTCTAACCATACTATATAGGAGGCCGGCTGGTTCCGGGCACTATTATCTTCTCGCTACTTGGGTTCTGTGGCCAGAGTGTTTTCAACCGAGTTGACGCCTGGCAGATGGCCAATGCAAACGTGCCATCCAAACCCCTTATGCAGCGAATGGCGGAGTCTAAGTGGATTCCCCTCCGGAGTCTCTCCGACGACGAGTACCGGGGTATGCTGGGTGAGAAGTTGTTGAGTATCGAGGCGGAGATTGCCTTACTCGATGACAAGATCGCGGAGCTGGAGCAGTCTCGCCCTGTTCCTGCTTCTCCCACGAACTGATAGGACATTCATCCAAGCTCAGTCTCTTCAGTTTCCTCAATCTACCCAGTCCACTCAGTCCACCGACTATTCGGGCATTGGGTCAACTGCAGTGCACGGACAATCTCTCAAGGTTGTGACCCTGAAGCATTGTACGTGTCAGTTTGAACATTCTGGCTTCGTCATTCTGGGAAAAAAAAAAGAAACACTAGATATCAGAGAAAGTGTATAATTTTGTACAATATCATGAGTGCCAAGCACAATATAGAAAAAAAAAAAAACAAGCCCAGATGATCTCCCTGAGTGAAATCCTGGGTCGCGTGTCGATCTTGAACCACTAAAAAGGAGGTAACTGTTAACTCCATTGTTTTGCATGGAATCATGCTGCAACCATACAGTATACCTTCAGCGAGAGGCAATAACAAGGATCTCAAGAGCCACAGCTAGTAGACAGGAGTAGAAGACCCAGCCCTGATAAGCCGGTTGGAGGGGATTAACTCGTGTTCCGCTTTTTTGGCCAGTTCCAGCCGGCCTGTCCGCCCACCTGTCACCTCCGTATCCCCCGGCATGATTCTTCATTCTCCCTCTATTTCTGGTGTGCAGTTCCTACTGAGACTTTGATGAAGTCGCTGTGGAATCTGGAATCTGTGGTTCCCGCCCAGTAGAGCTCCGACATCCGACAACCTCAACCCCGATACAATTGAACTCGACCGACCCTCAACCTCAATGTGCGACTTGAACCTTATTGTTTGAGATCAGCCCCCTGCTGGTCGCGACCCGCGATGACGCTCTTCAATCCAACCTCGATTCTCGTGGGGTTCCTTCTCCTTTACCTCTCGTCCTTTTTCATCTTCGCTATTGTTCGGATCGCGACGGGTATCTCTATCCAGCGGATTGGATACTTCTCCCTACGTCGAATCGCATACGCACCGAAGGAAGGTCTACACATTGAAATCCGTGGCCTCGGATTATCGCTACACCCCCCGTCATTCGCCCAGCCAACATGGATCAGCATCCGATTGACGGAATTGAAGGTCACGGTGGACTCTTCCACCCTGGGGAAAGGGAAAAGCGAGGCCTCACGAGGAATTTTGGAGTCCCCCGGTCCTACCAGCCCGTCCGAAGACAAACCTACACCTGCACCGAGCGAGAGAAGCGGAAGGAGCAAAACATGGAGGACCCTGACGCGCATTAAAGAACGCCTGAAGCGGCTGCACCGTCAAATCAATTGGTTGGCCCTGGTGGACTTGACTGCCATCAATACAACTGTGCATTTTGTCGAAGCTGGCATGATTCAGGTGGGATCGCTTTCACTATCGGTCGATACTCGGAGTAAGATGGTGGAACGGGGCAAGCTATTTCGTCGCAAGAAGGATATGTCGCAAGAACAACGCCCGGCCGAATGGATAATGAACGTGCAGAATGTGTTGCTCAATGTCGACGGCCGAGAGCCAATTGAAGTGTTGGATACTGTGGGCGTGAACCTCCATGGTCTTCTACACAAGGACTTGGACGGACTCAGGGATGCATCGGTGGCCTTGAAGATTGGAAGGATGCATGTGCCATACGACGATCTTCGCACCATGTTGCAACGCATCAAACCGACCCAGGCACCTGAGAAAGGACCTGCAAGCGTGGAAACCGATGACGAGATGTCATTTGCCGACTTTGTGGAGGAGCTTGACAAGCCTGGAAGCCGGGATGATTCCATTGTTCAGACCGTGGCAGATTCCAAGGAATTTGCAAGCTCTCTGCTTCGTGGTATTCAGGAGATCCAGATCGCTCTGAGTTTCGTCCGTGTCTCACAAAGCATCCAGTCTCTGTCTGCAGGTCAAACCCCGGTTTATCTGAATGTCGTGTCACATGAGCTTGGAATTGATCTTCATCGGATGGATCACAAGAGTCCAGAGCATCGCATGTATTTCCAGCGAAACGATGTTGCCCATCAAGCTCTTCTTGCTGCAATCTCCCTTTCAGTCAGTTTAGACAACGAGTCGGGCGAGACGGATAATATTCTATACATTCCTATGGCTACGACAACTATCAAAACTACACTGCCATCGAAGACCGTGAGCGCCCTCGATGATGAGAACGCCGAAGAGCGGAACACGAATGTTCTTTTCGCCAATTTGGTCGTCACGTCACCCTCCGTCGACCTCCAGCCAAAGCACGTTTCCAGACTTCTTAAGATGGCACAGGGCCGAGCCTCCTCTCCCCGAGGGAAGAAGCGAGATAATCATCGTTTGATTTCTCGGCTGCTCCCCAAGGCAAGCATCAAACTTTCCGTTCACGAACCCGTGATTCGTTTCGTTCTGCCGATTGAAAAAGAGTCCGGCATTCCCGATGACTACAATCTCCTCATTTCCTCCATCTCCTCCATCTCACTCGATATCGAGTCCTCTCATTCCTCCGAAGGTGGTGCCCACTACTCCCTTTCTTCCGTTTACCGAGTTGCCTCCCATAAGTTTTATTACCAAACTCCGACGGGCAACAAACACAACTTGCTCACAAACGAGAACATGGAGCTCAAGGCACACTTGAACGCTACCCCCGAGGTCTGTGTCATTGCTTCAGGAAGTTTGAACGAATGCTCAGTACACATGATCGACGCAGAAGTGAATCGTGGCATTCGTGAAGTTTTGCAGCAGTTTATCACCCAGATGCAATCTTCCAAGAGAGTCCCAATGCCTGCAAACGAACGAAAAGTTAGTCCATTGAGACGTGTGCCTCCTTGGCTGCTCCAATTTCAATTTGAAGCCACAGGGTTTAGTGTGGAGATCGCTGGTGTGGACAGCACCGTTTCTGATATATCTCGCGGTGTGTCTTTGCAATTGCAAACATGGACAGCCGACTACAAGGCTCAGAAAATCGAGTCAAACATCGGAAGCATCTCCAGACGACGTACGCCAAGTCATTCCACCATCGGTGATGAGTCGCCCTTTCGTTTCCCGCCTACCTCGCCCCCGAAGAGCACTCAACGCGGTGCTACGGATGGTCGACGATTGGCTATCCACGCTCGCGGGTTTGACGGATTTGTCATTGAATCAGAAGATTATTTAGAACCTGAGCCGTTCTTCTCCTTGCCACGATTTGAGATTGCCATGAGCACCCACAGTGACCGCCTCGGACCGGTCCTGCACCTCACATCAGTCTTTAAGGGCATATACCTGCAATACTCATTGTACCGGTTCTACTGCCTTGGTGTTGCAGTTTCGGTCATCCAAAACGTGCTCACGCCTCTGCCAGACAAACATACAGACTCAACCCAAGGCAAATCCAAGGAATATGCCAGCATATCTATGCCACCTCCTCCAGTTCACAAATGGTCTCCAAGAAAAGAGCTTGTCACCTATGATGTCAAGGCTACGGTTGTTCAGCTCAAGGCAAACCTACCAAATGACCCGCAGATGATGATCCAGATCTATGGGCTTGCGGGTGCTTCTCAACGTCTTTCAACTCCTTATATCAAGGCCAATCTTGTTCGCTTGCATGCAGAGGCCCCTAAGCTCAAGGGCATCTGGACACGAATTGGCATTATGAATAACGTCAGATTAGACTTCCGCACGAAGAAAATGAAGCATGGCAATACCCTGATTGAAGAAAAGTCTATCGATCTATGGACGGACTTCATCCGAGTGGGCGTGCCTCATCACATGGTCATGCATCGCATATTTGATAACTTGATCAACACCTCTAAGGCTTTCAAACAATTGCATCATCGCTTCAAGAACCGCTGCAAAGACTTTGTCTCTGTGAGAGAACCAGAAGAACCGAAAAAAGTTCCAAGAATCTCCGTACGAAGCAAAGCACTGTTGTTTGAGCTGGAAGATGACGGGTTTGAATGGAAACTAGGCTGCATCTATCGAGTCGGTCTAATTGAACAGGCTCAACGGGTAGCCCGGGAGGATGCATTCAACTTGAAAGCCCAGAAGGTCAGGGAAACTGATCAGCGGCGCAACACATCCCGGTTGCGAGCCAAATCGAGCAGTCGGACGCTTCGCAGCGAGCGAACTAGCCAAGACACCAGGAGAAGCAGAAGCGCCGAGCCCCGACCCAGATCCAGCGCACAGGAGCGTGGAAGGGGTCGGAAATATCGCTATGACACTGAGGGTGCAACTTGTCTTTCATCAGAACAAAAAGTTTCCACGGATGCTGCCTGGGGCCGACTGCAGCAATATAATGCTCAGGTCTGGAAAGAAAAGATTGACGCAGCGCTCAAGTTCCAGGGGACTTCCATCAAAGAAGTCAGGAATCTTTTCTGTGGTGCAGATGAGCCTCCTGCCGATATTAAAGAGACTGAGACTATTCTCGCACTTCCCAACAGACCTGGGTTGATGTCAGCTCTAATTAGTGATATCAATCTTGTCATTGACAAGCCTTCCTTCGCTATTGATGAATTCCCGGCATTTATCAACCGAATCGGAAAGGGGATGCCTATGTCCATGCAATACGGCCTGCTCATCCCGATGAGCTTTAACCTTGAGATGGGTGAGGCTCGTGTCAATTTACGAGACTATCCCCTGGACCTATTGCACGTTCCAGCTTTACGCCCTGGACAGTCGCCGCGACTCCCCAGTTGGTCTCTGCGGACCAACTTTGTCATTGCCGAAGAATGGCGTGACCATGAATCCGCCAGACAGGTTGAGGTTGAACTTGTGCCTGCATCCGAAGGAGCGGATGGAGTTCTCCGGGATTCGTACAATATCCCTGTCTGGCGTTCCGTCACCCCGGTCAAGACTTACTCTGATCCTGTCATTGAGATCAACACAAGCTTGCCGACAAGCATTTCATGGGGTGTTTCATACCAGCCTGTCATTCAAGACATGATGAAGATTATCGAGGGCTTCACCAAGCCTGAAATTGATCCTTCTGAACGTGTTGGCTTCTGGGATAAGATCCGACTTAGCTTCCACTCTCGGATCAGGGTTGTCTGGAAGGAAGACGGCGATGTTCACCTACGCCTCAAGGGTTCCCGTGATCCGTATGTCGTGACAGGCTTTGGCAGCGGTTTCGTCATGTGCTGGCGAAGGGATGTCCAATTGGAGATCAATGCCAGCGACAATCCCATGGAGTTCATGAGCGTCACCAGTGGAGAATATGTGCTCGCTATCCCCGACTACAGCACTGAAGCACGTTGGGCACAAGAAGCGACCACGGAAGAATTACTGGAAAATAGTTCTGCTTCCAGTGAGCAGAAGAACGCCGCTCACTTCAAGAAGGTTGTCATGAAGTTATCTGGCGACGTCAAATGGGCAACTGGCTTGGTCTTCGAACGGGATGTTGAGAACGATTCACGGTCCTTCTCCTTCAAGCCACATTACGAGGTCGTTCTCAAGAATCCTAAATACGTCGATCCCGAACGTCGTGCAAATTATGATGCCTACCGTGGCTTCCGCAGTGACCATATTCATTTGTCTGTCTCGGTCATTGCGCCACATGGCAGAAACTGGTCTGTCGATACTGTCCAGCCTTCTTCGAGCTATAATACCGTCCATCTTACCCCAAGGTTCTTTACACACTTCTTCAATTGGTGGTCTCTGTTCTCAGGTGTGATGTCGCTTCCTGTTCGCCAGGGACCGCTTTGGCCAGGTATCACAAAGACAAGCAAGAAGTTCAACCGTCACTTGGCAACTGTCAAATATAAACTTCTCCTTGCGCCCCTGTTTGTGGCTCACATCTACAAGCACAAGGACCGCGAAGACTATGCAGAGGATGCTGTAAAGGCCACAGGTCTCAAGGTTCGCCTTGATTGTCTGAAGCTCGATATTCACCAGCGCCGCGAACAAATCAAGACTCAAGCCCGGGGTCGCTCAAAGCAGACTCGCACAAGTGCGATGCGCATCAATCAAGCTCAAATTGATCTCCAGTCTGCGGACTTCCGCGCTGTTTCTGCCACTATCGAAGGAACATCAGCGGAAGACATTGAGCGCAGCAAGAATGATATCATATCTTCCTTCCAACGGCCTGTCCCATCTGTTGACCTGTCTCGATTTACTATACCCGACCACAACCTCGACTGGGTTGACATGGACGACTTCGTGGAACCAGACTGGATTCTCCCACAAGAGTCAAACCCTCGTACCCACATCTTGCCTCTCGCATTTACCCCACGCTTCACCTACTTCCGTAACACAGACCACGGTGATGTAGGACCCGAAGAAACGGGCTACAGTACCTTTGGAGATGAACCAACCCACGAATGTGTCATGTCCGAAACCAACGATCCTCGCCGCGTCCAGATTGAGTTGGTCAAAGATCGTCTCGCCACAGTCGAGGCACAAATCCGCAACTTTGAACGTACCATCGGAGAGCTAGAACTTAAGCTCATGAAGGATGTCGATCATGATTCCAGTCTCAGGGAGGAGCATGAAATGTTCCTTCGCCAAGCCCAATCTCTGGCCAGACGGCGCAAGTTCTTGACTTCAACTCTTAATCGTCTCGAGAGACACATTACACGAGATGAGCGGTCAGCTAACAGCAATGGCAATATGCTTGGCAGCAACGTGGCGCCGAGCAGCGCGTCTTTCCAGACTGGGCGCACAGGACATGATGCCGATTCCACTACTGGTGGCCGTTCTTCAGGCTTAGACGGACTCTATTCCTCCGGCAACGATGAGTTTTCCAGTGATTTCAACAATCGTTTCATGATTCACAATGTTCAGCTCAAGTGGAACAACTCGCTGCGGAATATCATTTTGCGGTATAGCCATCAAGTGAGCCAGCGACGTGGATTCGTGTACTACATGTCTCGACGTGCTGTCAAGTTTATTCTTGATATTGTGGAAGAACAGAACAAAAATAAGCGCAAACAGCCAAAGATGTCTAAGACGCAAACCCGGAGCGAGTGCGATGACGACGAAGAGGAAGATGTAGATGATCGCATCGAACAGTTGCTGAATGACGCCAAGCGCTATGTCAATGTCGAAGAGACTGAACCACCTGACTCGAACGCTCCATCGCCTGCCAACTCGGACAATTCAAGTGAGAATATTGCGGCCGAATTTACTCCCCAGAATAGTTATCACTTGCGTCTCATTGCGCCTCAAATTCAGCTTCTCAGTGAAAAGAACAAGAAGTCAGTGTTGCTCGTGGCTGCCAAAGGAATGGAACTCAAAGTCGTGTCTATCATGGACAAAGAACGTGTTTCAGATGATGTGAGTGGCTTGGTGCAGCGCCGTTTCTCTTTGGAAATGGATGGCGCCCAGTTCTTCGTTGCCACACAGAAAAACTTGATGACCAACTTGCAATTCTACGCTGGCAACAAGTATGGCAACGCACCAGGTTCAGCGTGGCCCCCGTGGTTGACGCTGGAGGCCATGTTCGATTTCGAGCTGAATCCATTCGGGTTCTCTCGCATCGTGCAGAAGACTTCTGCTACTCTGCGCTACGACAAGTACAACAATCTGCGTCTGAAGTATAACGAAGAGGTTGCCAAGGGCCAAGGGCCCCACACCGATGATCAAGAAGATCGGATCGACACGATCAGCGTGGACTTCCCTCACTTCCGTGCGATTTGCGATTCTGCAGAGTATTATTCTATGTACATCATTGTGCTGGATCTCATGCTCTACAGCGAACCGCTTGAGAAGGTCCGAAACGAGCGCCTCGAGAGGATCATGCTCACTTCCGACTTCAGTGATCTTCGTGGTGCCCCCGAGATGGTCTTCAAGCTTCAAGCACGCATTCGCCAGTTGGAGGAGATCAAGGAATACTTCCAGATCAATGCTAAGTTCCTGGACAGACAGGGCTGGGAAGATCGGTTGACCCTCGAACGTGACCTATCTGAATGCGAGGACGAGCTGTTCTTCATGATGAAGGCAATTACCACTTCTCAACGGCGGATGGAACCGAACAACTCCAGGAATGGCGTTAATGGCGTCCTGCGTTGGAGCATCTCTGCCAGTGAAGTCGTGTGGCACTTGATGAAGGAGGCGGCCGAGCCCTTGATTGAGTTCCAGCTCAGAAATGCTACATATGAACGAACCGACAACACCGACGGCTCGAACCACAATTTGGTTGCTATTGAGCGCCTGTTCGGATTAAATCTGCTTCCCGATGCTATCTATCCTCAGATTATTGCACCTTACCTCGACGGGGCTCGCACGTTAGATGACTTCATGCTGCGCATCAAATGGCACATGCTTGAGGCCGTGGCTGGTATTCCAGTGGTTGACAATTTCGAAGTTGCATTGTTCCCGCTTAAGATCCAGCTTGAACGTGAGCTTGGTCAGAAGGTTTTTGAATACATCTTCCCCAATGTTGGCTCCACTGCCTTCGAGAATGGTGGCTTCTCGCCTTTCATGATCAAGAATATGAAGCCAGTTGATGGGTCTGATGAGGAAGATGACGACGAGATTTCCAGTGGAACGCCTCTGACTCGCTCAACCAGTATTGATGGAGCAGATACCTCCTCAATGGACAGCCTTGCTATTTCTAAGGGGCCTGGCGCCATTGAGCTGAGACTCCAGCCTACGCTCTCGCTTTCGGATGAAACCAAGTCGCGCAGTACTCGGTCGGGTCATCTGAAGGGTCTTGCGATGACACCGATTGACAAGGACAAAGACAACAACCGACTTGGTGTATCTGAAACCGCGCGCCAAAATGGTCGCCCTTCGACTACTGGTGGTCTGAGCAAGAAGAAATCTACCGATAGTCTTGGAATGTTGACCAAGCGAGCTACCGAAAGATCTCTGTCTACTCACAGTGGCGGCGAAGAAAATCGCAAGAAATTCGGCATAGGCAAGGGATACAATAAGGGTAACAAGTCCAAGGAACCTACCGATGACCTGTCCCAGATGATATCTCGCGCCTCGAACTACATGACTCTCGCCCACGTCAAGGTCAACGACGTGGTTCTCTGCATGAGCTACAAGGGCAAAGGCGAGCACAACCTCGAGGATCTGCACGATTTCGTCTTCCGCCTTCCAGTACTCGAGTACGGCAACAAAACATGGTCGAACCTGGACCTCGCCCTGCGCCTAAAGAAGGATGTCATCAAGGCTCTCATTTCGCATGCCCCTGCTATTCTTGGAAACAAATTCTCTCACCACCGTCCCTCCAAACAGCAACAAAAGCGTTTCCGAGAACAAGCGTCCTCTTCTCAGCTCTTGCCGTATGCGTCTAGCGGCATGAATCCGTCCAGTAGCAAAGCCCAAAGCTTGGCTAGCTATGATTCTACCAGTGATTATTCTGAATCACGGTCGCGGAAGTCTATGCAATCCAATACTTCGCCATTGGCTAGATCTACATCTTTGAGCTCAGACGCTCGTGATACGCAAGATACGGAATCAACTATTCATGATTCGCATTCGGCCAATGAAGTGGATGTGGATTCTCGCTGGGAGGTTCGTATTCGTATTAATTTTGCCTTGACTGGCACTAATGCAAAAGTGTATACTAACTCATGCTTCTTTAGGCATCGCGTCGCTTTGTCAATCCTCCCCCTCCAGAAAGGCCAATGACTTCTGGCCACTTATCTGTCGCTGGGTCGAGCAAGCATGATCAGGATGATAGGTAAAGCCCCGAAATTCCTCTATTTTTTGTTAATTACAAACTGACTGTCCAAATAGCAATATCAAAACACTCCGCAGCATCGGCCGAAAACTGACATTCCGGAAGTGAATGCCCCAGCCATGTTGAACAACAACTGCAACCCTTCTTTTCTCTCTTCCTACCTTATCTAATCCTCTACACCCTTTTAAAATCCTGTCACCAACCCTTCTTTGTACACCACCAACCATCACCTTTGTTTCTCCAGGCCTCCCGTGTCTCACTTAGATACCCCTCTACCTGCAGCAGGCCGTACATAGGCGTTGATTCATGTCTCTATATGCTTTTCATTTCGGTGTGTCTATGGCGGAGAGAATTTCGTGGTCTTTTTTTTTGGTCTTTTTGATTACCCGGGAATACTTGCATAGAAGCGATAGGGTTCTTTTCTTTCTTTTTCAGAATTACTTTTTGTCTTATATCAGTTCAACACTTTTATTTTGCTCAGCTAAATAGGCTGTTCTTGTTCATTCGTACGATATAGTATTTTTTGGCGTTGGGATTTCATCTGAAAGCGATATCATCGTCCATCTCTTGCAAAACATGCCATTTATGGCTTCTTTACAATGGAATAAAAATGTATCTGTCTTGGCTCGTTACTCGTGGTATTAACCCTAAGATTGACAAACTCACAACCCGAAAATGTATCTTGATATAGATGTATAGCACTCATCACAATTGTAACCATCGCTTGCTCCTGGGAATGAAACGTATATATGTTAAAAAAAAAAAAAAAAAAAATAGATCCATCCATCCGTAACTCCACAATAATGCCCAATCAACAAATTATACAAAGGAAATTCGTACACAGAAAGATAATCATCTTCAGACATTCTCCGCAGCAGCACCAAGCCGGCTCATCTGCTCATTCTTCTCAGCAAGACTCGCCCTTAACATTTTAATATAATCGGCCGCAATCTCCATGACATCTGCCTTGGTCTGCTCGGCAGACGGCGCCTTTTCTTTTTCTTTCTTAGCGGGAGCAGCAGGAGTAGCCGGAGCAGCCGAGTTCGAAACAGCAGCCAAGGCCAGCCCTAATGCTTTGTTTCTCTCCTCGACAAACTCCGCCGGAATGAGAGCTTCCATTTCCTTAATTGCGGCATTGAACCTGTCGCGCCGGTTTCGCTCGGCGAGACGGTGGTAAGTGCGTCTCTGGTTTAGATTGTCCCGCGTGACTTTGCTGGGATACGTGACGCCTGGGGGTAGCGTGCCATCTTGGATGTGTTGGTAGTTTGATTTTGTGGCGAGGACAAGGTTGTGAGTGTGTGCCGAGAGGTCTGGCGGTGTCACTGGGGATTATTAGTCTTGGGAGGGAATTTAATGCGTAGACCTGATATATATCTGGCTCACGTACCATTCTGCTGGTTCAGAGCCGGAATCACCGGACTCATCTTCGGCCTCAATTCCGGGGTGGCTAGTGGGTGCCAATTGCGTCGTTTCCACGCCGTTGTGGAATTCTTGCGAGCAATTGCTCCTTTGGGCACCGGTGGTGCTGGACTTGGGGATGCGCGGGTGGATTGGCGGGGACTGGGCGCCAAGTCGAACTGCGGGTTTCCGGTGGAGATGGATGTGCTTGGTGTTGGTGCCAATGCTGGTCCCAAGTCTGTCGCTGTCGCCAGGGAGCTGTGAGCGTAGGGCGCTGTGGGATGGGGAGAGACCGCTATTCTCTGGGTGTTGCTGTGGCAGATGTGGTCTACAGAGTCATGGCTAACAGGTGAAGATGCAGTACTGGGCGTCTGAGCAGAGTGGAAAGTGTGCACGGGCGCCATGGGAGAAGGTTGAGAGTCTTTAAAATTCTCGTTTGGTAGATACCAGCTGTCTCGACGAGTTTGCATGTCTGCTGGCTTAAATGAAAAGTCCTAATGCGAGTGTCAGTGGGAGAATCGCCAAAGAGGGTGGTGAGAAATACAGTGCCTATCGAATTCCATAGTTCAGGACACCCGTCGGTTTCATTCCATTGGAAATCCATGAGCTCAGGTTCCATGCCATTCAGCGAGGGCTTCGACAGTGGGTTCTGCGATGGATCATTGCCCCAGAATACAGGGGTGGAGGGCAGCCCCGTTGGAGTGGAGGAGGCCGAGTCCACATCAAGTTGACCCTGGAAGATATCTGCGATGGACAGATTGCAGTCGGGCATTTGCGTATAGAATTGCAGCATGTCGGCGAACTCATTGTCGACCGAAGCCGACACGGCATGCCGATCGTATTCCGACATATTTGCACAGTTTATGCGGGACAGAAACCAGTGGGAATGGGTCTTGTGAGAGACAAACCACCGATGCAGGGAGAAATGGGAAAGAGACGTGGAGGGAGAAGGTTACAGAGATAAGACAAAATGAAACGGAACTCTCCAGCGTAGTCACGCGAGCTTTTACTGCTTATATATAGCGCGGAGAGAGTCACGAAATAGACCTTTGCCAGACGGAGCGCTGATAGGTTCTCCGCAAGCGAAGCCGTAGAATGGCCGACACCTGCACGTAGCACATGTATTGGAAACACAGTTGCCCCACAGAATACTGGATTGGCATGTCTGTCCAGGGCCCCAGATAATCCCGAATTAACTGTGGAACACTGTGATTGTCTGGAACTGTCGCGTAGGAGAGCTCTGGAGCCTAAACCGGCATTCTAGTGAGCACCCAAATGTCTCAACCCCATGCATATACACATATGCCGCTATGAAACCAATATAGCCCGGACTGGATGGAGAAAGGACCGGCATTCTAAATGGAGACAAAAGCCGGCGCTCCAGGATGTGTATAGAGCGACTAAGGGAGAACTCAGGCTAAACCCCGGCGCTGCTGTCGCGACCCATAGCTCATTTTGTTTTGTCCCGCCCGCGTCTGCCCGAGGAATGTCACTGGTCTGACATGATTGGTCCCTCTGATTGACTAGATTTAGACTACTTCAGGGGTGGAGCAGTGCTTGTATATGCACGGTCCCTGAGGTGCATACGAAGACATGTGCCGCAGAGGGAATTTGGCCAATGAAGCACTAGATTAATTCGTGCAGGCAAATCCTTTCACGATTCTAGCCCGGATAAAGAAGGTGATCGTGTGTGTGAATACGACTCGCTTTGGCCCGAGTAGATGGCACCGTGGCGCATCAAACGCAGCCCCCCCCGGTAAGAACGTAAATCTCGTCACTCGGTACCGTATTACCGACAGCCCAAGGGCGTATGGTCGGTCTATTGAACCCCCTAAAATGCAACGCTCAGGCCCTTGAATCGAATATCAGATTGAGTTGCATGGATCTTCTTGTGAAGGCGTGTGTGCGGGTGTGTGTGCGCTCGGGGTATCTTGGACCAGAAGTAAATTAGCCCTAACTCTCCCACGCTTTCTCTCGTTTCCAACCCCCGTTCTCTCAGGCCAGAACCGTTACCCTCTCCCTGTGGATGACAAAGCCGAGTCGATATAGTTAAAAGGCCCCCACCTCGCCTCCGTTCTTCTAGTGCTTATGCAACTGCCAATGATCTTCGTTATATGACACCCGTGCTGAGGTGGAGTGTGGGCAGGCTGACCTCGAGCCGAGCCGATCCTCCTTACAAATGGACACCGCGGAAAGATGCCTCCGTACCAAATATCGGGAGATGTCTGTTCTGGCAAGTAAAATGGATTTCGGATTTGAAGAGGGGGGCTTTGGCTTCGTGTTGAACATCTGAAACGTATTCCGATTGGCACACCGGCTTAGTTCAAGTGGCCGGGGCCATTGGAGCCATGTGAATATGAGGCGTAAATAGTCTTTGATTGGATTTTCAAGCCTCGCTTCTAGAATCGTAGATGGCGTGCTGTTTTTCCTTCTTTTTTTTATTTTCCCATTTTAATATGCGATGCCTGCGGTCGACCAACTCTAAGTAGCTAGTGGCGAAGGACACCGAAAACGGTACGAATCATGAGAAATGTGGATATGATGAACATTGTAATCCCACGCGTATGCATCTGATTTGGGTCTGCGCTTAGTTTCTAGAATCCCGCGGAGAGAGCCGGCAAGTGCCAATCGTTTTACTTTTTTCTTTCATTTCTTTTTTTTTGGCTTGTGGCGTTGCACAATAACAGTGTCGACTAGTCTCAGTCTCAATTCCAATCTGACAGCGACTTCTCTTCTCAGATGCCGCAACATCCCCACGGCAAATGGCAGATCCAAACTTATGGCTGAACTTGAGCATTTCATGTGCTTTGGTGTTGATCGGAGGAGCCTTTTCGGGCTTGGCGATCGCCTTGATGACCCAAGATGAAGTCCATCTCCAAGTTCTGGCCGAGTCCGGTGAAGTATCCGATCAGAAAAATGCCAGCAAAGTTCTCGGTCTGTTAAACCAAGGAAAACATTGGATTCTGGTGGCTCTCCTTCTCGGCAATACAATGACCAACGAGGCTCTACCGGTTGTGTTAGATCAAGTCCTCGGGGGTGGCTTAGGAGCAGTAGTGGGTAGTACTGTGCTGATCGTGATCTTTGGCGAAATCATACCACAATCCATTTGTGCACGCCATGCTCTCCGAGTCGGTGCTTGGACAGTATCCTGTGTGGAATTCTTCATGTATATTATCTCTCCCATCGCGTGGCCGATTGCAAAGTTACTCGATCTGCTGGTCGGACACAACCACGGCACCATCTATACGAGATCCGAACTGATGGCGCTCTTTTCGTTCCACAGAACACTGGGCCAAGTCGACGAGCGATTGAACGCCGACGAAGTTTTGATCGTTCAAGGTGCGCTGGGTATGCGAGATAGATCTGCGGCGTGCATCATGACGCCCATCGCCGATGTGTTCTCTCTGTCTGCCGACGCTGTGTTGGACGAGTACACCATGGATCGCATTCATTTCAAGGGCTACTCCCGAATCCCGGTGCATGCTCCTGACAACCGGAGACGAATCGTCGGCTTGCTTCTGGTGAGGACCTTGGTCCGGTACAACCCGAGATCTTGCAAACGAGTGCGTGATTTTACCCTGGAGCCGGCTCGGGTAGTACACTCAAGTACGAATTGCTTGAGTATTCTGAAAATGTTTCGACAAGGCGTTTACAATATGGTTCTGGTCTCTGAAAGTCGCAAAAATGTACACCAGGCCATTGGCATTCTCACGCGAGAGGATGCCGTTGAGGAATTGATCGGAGAAGAAATCATGGACGAGTTCGACGATCTGAAGAAGAATAGGCAGAAAGCGACTCGCCAAAGGAACCGGTTCCCTCTGTCCAAGGCCTCTTCGCGGAAGATCCTCGAAATGCCTCCTTCATATCCAATCTCCGCTCCAGAGGGAGAACTCATCAATCTCGAGCCGGTGGAATCGGTCACCTTTCGCAAATTTGAACCTGTTGATTTGTTCAGCGCTGCGAGCCAGTGGAGTTCTGTTCAGCATGTCATCTCTATATCTGAGGTACCAGCGGAGAGTTGAGCCCTGCGCCCAGTCAAGAAGATCAATATTTCACCATTGAGGATCACACAACCCATAAAGAGGCGTTCGTGACTCGCTAACTACTCGACGAGAGAATGCACTCATCCTCCTCCAATCCAAACGAGTTTCACCCCGCCTGTGCAGCGACGTTACGTGCCGAGCCAGCCATAAGCTTGCAAGTCGCAACTCGCCACATGGATCCTGTTGATCCCGGGCACCCACCCAATGGCAAGCTTCACAGTAGCACAAAGTCAAAGTGACGGGAATCGAACGCCATCGTTAGCACCAGCGCAAGCGCTAAAGACGAAACAGGTGGTCAAAGCGGAGCAGTATAAGCCGGAAACAGGTTTGCGCCATGGAGTCCAGGATTGACTAGCGGGTGGATCAGGACAATATGCTTAATCTTAGCCGCATGCAACGATGTAACGGTGGCAGGATAAACAATCATATCACGTTAAATCAAGTTTGCAAATAAATACAAACATCAAATTGTCAATCTCAATGCTTCCTAGAAATACGAAAGAGGGTATCTATACATGCGTGACATGAACTATCGCAAACCAAATGAATGCCAAAATCTATAATAAGAGAACCCTCCAAATCCAATGCATGTTCATATGCGGCCAAATTAAGACAAATTGCAAGGTCAGATTCATCAGTCATACAAATTAAACGGGCGAAACCTCTTTGGCCGGATCAGTATCTGGGATGCCGCCGAATGTTTGCTCGTGGGAGGAGGTTTGCTCAATAGAGGTCTGCCCATGCGAGGCTCCAGTTGCATTGCGAGGAGTGTCGGCACCAGCGCCGGATGCCTCAGTGGGAGTCCCATGGCTAACTCCGTCGAGTCCTTTCTCAGGGGCCTCAGAGGGAGTAGAAGGGGGGTATGCTTAGTGACCCAGGGGTTGAAGGAGGCGTGAATAGACGCAAAGCGGGTGCGCGCCGTGGGCGCGCTGATATCGTCGACCCAAGGGATACCACCTTGGCCGCGGTTTTCTGCCCATGCTTTTTTCTCGCGACGAAGGTCGCTTTGCACCCAAGGAATCGTAATGATGGTCCAAACGATAGCCCAGGCAAATGGAAGGGACCAGCCCAACTGATCGGGTTAGTTCAGGTTAAATTGGGGTGGTCGGACTTTTTCTTACTGTGAATGCCACGGATTCCTCGACTGTGAACACGACCGCAGTGATAGCTGCAGCGAACACAATTGACCCTCCACTCCAGAAGCAGTTCATCTCGAATAGCATCCGTCGGAAATAGGGACTCGATAGGTATCGTGTTCGAAGAGCGTATCGGTAAATCTGTCCACCACCACCATCCACTGCAACGACATCCTCGATAAGAGCGTACAGAGCTGTCGGCATGACGGAACCCTTGGGTGTAGACGAAATTCGGAATGGTGCTTTGTAGCCCATCATACGGAAAACATCGAGGGAGAGGTAGACGATGCCGAAATAGAACATGACGGTCGGAAGAACCATGGCGATGAGACGCACTGTTGAACATGTCAGTATGAGAGTATCGATCAGTGATAATGACGTGGGATTGATCTAACCATATGGTTCCTCAGGTACCGATCCACTGCGATCTTGTTAGCTTGTTACACAGGGTTCCATGGCGCATTCCAAACTTACACGATAAGCTCAACGGCCAAGATCAACCACACAATCGTGAAGTTGATCTGAAAGAAGTCCAACTGTGACGTCCATCAGCTTCTATACCATATCCAATTTTGAGGACAAAGCCTACCCATGACACGCGGGCATTCAGGGGGCGAGCGCGCGAATGTTTGCGGAACAAATTGTAAAGGCGGTAGAAGTATTCGAAGACCGAGACACCTCCCAAAGACGCTGTGACGATCGAGAAAACTGCACGAGAGGGATATTAGCCATGTGACCGAGTCTCATCGATGTTGTTTTTCCCACATACCGACATTATGAGACAAATCTGTCAGATACCAAAGACACCAATAGAAGATGAGCGGCTGGCCCAACGTATCGATCACGAAGATGGTCCAGAAGATGGCAATGGCCTTCTTCCTTGTATGTAATGAGTAGGGGAGCGGTGGTGGTTCGGTATGGGTTGGGGCTTCGATATTCGCGAGTTCGGTTTGCGCTGCTTCGGCAAGCGCTGGGTCGACTTGCGCGGTCTCTTGCACTGGGACGGTTTCTCCTTCCATCAGGGCGGGACCACTTGATATTGTATCCAGGGTAATATGAGTGGATTCAGGGCAGATTAGGACATGGCGTGCAAGTTCAAGTGAAAGAGTGAGAAGAGGCGTCAGACAGAGAAAATTGGCCGGAAACGACGGGGGGACCGGGTACATCCGTTGCCATACAAGTTTGGCTGTGTTCACAGGTACCTGACGTAAGGTGGCGTGATGTCATCGAAAACAACCTTGGAAAGGGAAGTAAGTTACCTACACAGCCCCCATGAGGGTTTTTATACATGGCAACAGGACCATTAGACAGTCTCTTTTGTCTCATGTGAATTGTAATGGTCCCTGTTATTTCTTCAATCTATTTGAATCAATCCCGGATCAAAGACAAGAGGGCCGCGAACAAAACCGGTTTGCCAACAGCACACCCCCTAGAATGGTTCGATGTCAGGATGCAGTACATATGTCGACATGTACAGTAGCAGGTCAAAACCTTGGAAAACCGGCCACCGAGTTGAGACCTGCAAATTGCCTACAGTACATCGGTGTATCCGGACGCTGATCCCGATTGTTTATGCCTTTTTTGCATCCGTATGACCCGCGCTATCTCCGGAATATCCTACGCGGAATCATCCAAACCCGTCATATTGACCTCCAATTGAGTGCTAATGAAGTTGTCAATACTTTTTTTGTTTGTTTGTTATTACATGGCAAGTTATGTAGTATAAAAGTAGGAAAGAAATCGAGAAAATGGAAGTTGATGACGAGGAAGACGAATAAGGCATGCGGTGACACATGGCAGATGGAGCCCCCACACAAGGCGGTAGAACCGGGCAGAAAAGACAAATCGGAGCGACCGGAGTTCGAGTCGACATCTGAACTTTTCACCCCTCGCTTTTCTTGCCTTTTTTATCTTCACTCTCATTACCCCTCGCATCACTTCTGAACTATATCAAATCACCGACAGAGTTATGTAGCCATGGCACCAAGCTTACAACTGCTCATTGATTACGTGCTGAACGAAGTCGCATTGTGCGGAAACCAAGGTGTGTATAGCTCTTCACTCAGACCCACATATTTCATCACCCCGGGGATGCATATCGCTTGGCACCGAAGTATAACCGCTTCATGCTCGTTTCCGTGTATGCTTCGCTCTGGGATTTCGGATCCATACCACGCCTCTGATACAGAACTGCACCTCTATTAAGCTCCACTGGCATTTTTGCTAATCGACCTGCAGGCGCGACTTTGTCATTTGTTCTCCAAGCCATCACAGCCTTCTATGAGGACCAATCGCAGGATGGAACCAGCCATCAGAACGTCGATGGTCGGTTTCTCATAAAGGCTTGGGGATGGCTCACGAAGAATCCAGAGGTGTCTGTTGGTAAAAATACGGAATACAATCATCTCACGCTGGACGAGGCCAAGCAGCTTGACTCGCAGAGCTCGGAGGTCGACCAAGATGCAGACCAAGAGCCTGAATCGCCTGTTCGAATATTTGTTTCCAAGGAAAGAACATGGATTGCTATAACTGGCCATGAACCTGACGAAACCAAGGTAATGCCACTTGAACTGGTACTGCTATCGATTATCGCTTCCCACAAGTCGGAAGGTATTGTTCAGCCAGATCTGTGCAAGATTAGTGGCCAAGACAAACGCTCCGTTCCAACGCGCACAGATAAATTACATGCCAAAGGATATATCGATAAGCGTCCGGTCCAGATCAAAGGAGCTCGAACAAGTCTTTGCACACTGAAGCGATTCTTGCGCCCAACAGCCAACGATGGAGATGGACAACCACAGGAACAATCACAGCCAATGATTGATTTCGATTCTTTCAATACAAAGCTTTTCGACATTCTTCGAGAATTCCGACTTGTCACTCGCAACGATCTGAAACGGCTCCTAGGGTTCGACGACCGTTGGCGATGGCGGATTCTGTCTCGGGCAATTCGCAAATATGAGCGGATAGGTGTTTTGAAGCGTGTTAGAGCGATGTCGCAGTATGAGAAGCTGCACCCTTGCATCAAGCTTCTACGGGAGCCCACAGAAAAAGACTTCAAACTGTTCCACGATTTCGATCTTGATGTCTTGGACGATAAAAAGGGGCAGGATCTTGGTGATATGGATCAAGAGGAGCTTGATATTGCAGAGAAGCCGGAGTTTGATGCAGACGAAGGTGCTATCAATCTGATACAAGAGCACGTCGAAGACGTCGGACGAGTGGTGCCCGTTTGGAATCCACAGCGCAACATCCATAACCAGATGTTTGACATCATTCAGCGTACAGGTACTTCAGGAATGGCAAACCAGGTAAGGTAGACCTATCCTCCTAGCGGAGCTTCGGCTAACTGAATACATAGCAAGTCGCACGAACTCTCTTCGGAGACTTCTACAGAAGAGCTTCAGAGAATATCTTGCATCGTCTCGTTGATCTTTGGCAGATGTCTCAACCACTACATCTTCGCCATTTTGTCATCGTTCGAGACATGGCAATGCAAAAGACGACCATGTTCTACATTCATTACACTGGACAAAATTTCGCAAAGCTCGTGGAAGCTGGCCGAACGTCCTGGGAGGCAGTCGAATTCCCAGAAAAGAAAGCCAAATCACTGAAAATTGACATTCCACGATTCAATGTTGTTGCTCAACTCGATGAACATGGATTCCCGCAAAAGGAACCCCCTATCGGCCTTATGAAGAATCCCAGCGCTACTCTTCTTGATGGAATTAAGGATGCCAACCCTTCGAATTATTTGCTGTCTACTAGCGATCCATTCGTGGTCCAACTCCCTGACGGAAGCGTCGGTATGTACTTTCTTGAAAGGCTTGATACGCTAGAATATTTGGTGGACATAACTCACAAATCTTGCAGTCGTTCGTACACGTCTCGATAAGCTTCCCCCTGGGGCCAAGCAACATGTCGATGTCCCCACGCGAACATACGGGCGCCCGAAAGGGACTCTGAACAAAAAGACGGTAGCAAGAAATGCCAAGATAAGGGAGGCCAAAGCCAGGAGGTCCGAAGTCAGAGAATCCACAGCAGGAGAGCCTTCACCGCAAGAATCCGCAGTCATGGAATCCTCCGTGGTTGAGTCTGCGGCTCCAGAGCCAAACCTCCAACTCACATCCGACAAAACTCCTGCCCTGGATGATATGGACCATGTCACCCCACAGAAGAAAAGAAAGTCAGGCGCCAGACCCTTTGCATTTCGGGGAATGTCGAGGATTGAGAAGCTCAAAGCGCTCGGCATGGATGAGGGCTGGACTGAGTATGATGCTCTACTCATGGATATGCCTGTGCCTGGAGTGTACATTACCCCTTTTGGCAAAAGAAGACCCGCTGGCAAGGCCCGAGGTCGACCTAGAAAGAGTCGAATCGCAGTTTTCAAATCGTCAAAGCTGACCCAATTTCCTTGGTTTATCAAGGACGAAATTTCAGATGACGAAGTTGAGAAGGACGATGCGTCAGCTGTTGCATCAGAACCCATTGCCAACGAAAACACACCTTTAAGCAGTGGCTGGCGCAGTGCAAATTCACCTAGACTGTTGCCACAACCAAACACGAATGGGTCGGAACGTGAAAGTCCACCAAAGCGTCCTCGTCTTCAAAATACCCAAGGCCCAGCCAATCCGGTATTCTTGGAACCCCCGAAGACAACCTGCCAGAAAATGCAGCTGCTACGAGGTCAGAGAACCCAACTGCAGCTACCACACCACGTCATCGAGATAAGAGTGCTAGTGTACATCCACTTGATGACGAACAAAGCCAGACTCCTTCAAAACGACGTCGTGTTGGAGCTTCCAACCAAATTCTAAACAGAAATAGCGCGTTAGCGTCCTCACCACTTAAGCCATTTGAACAATTTGGATCTCAAAATTCGAATACAGCACCAAGAGCTTCGCGGCACAGAAACCGGATAAGTACGGGTCAAGTTGCAACGAAGCCACCCATCGCACCTCTGAAGCCACTAATTGAGAGAGGCGGGTCAATTAGTTTCCTCCGCAGAAAGATGATCATGGAGCTCATCGAAAAAGCCGGAGGCGTGTTCCCAACGGGTTCTGCGCTTTGGTATGCTTTTGTTTCGGAATGGATGAAGAACAAGCCGAACGAGAGGCCAGATACGCGCACCATCCAGTCTGCAACCAAGGTAATGGTTGATGCCGGTCAGATTCGGCAATTGACATTCAGTGGCAGAGACAGAAAGGGTGTTATGGTCACCAGAACGATGTTGATGAAGCCTGAGATTTCCCCTGGTGATCCCAAAGTCAAGGATCTGCAGGCTAAAATTCTGAACACTCACATTCATGAGTCACGGCCAAGTTTTTCAGAGAACGTGGTGTTGGATCCCGTATTGACACGAAGCGGACGTCGAGCGATGCACGACGTAAAACAACGGAGGTTGAATTTCCCAGTGGAAACCAAAGCTATGGTTACTTTACAACAAAAGCCTGCATTTGCCAAGGCGGCAGAAGAACGAAAAGGAAGAACGATTCAGAAGCGTCTCATGCGGGGCTTGCAAGCCGAGGCAAACGCTTTGATGGAAGAAGAGGAGATGGAAAGACTTTATGGAGTCAAGCGGCTGATGACACTTGCACGACCTCCCACCCTCGACACGGAGTCCAATCCACTCACTTCAGTTATTCGCCCTGACCGAAAATCGACTAGGAAGAGAGCCACCAGGCGTTTGGACACTCTGATCGACCCCAAAAAACGCATGAGGCCTATTTCCAATATCAGTCAATATGCCTTGTTGATGGCGCCGGTGCAGGAGTTCTATGCAAACAACGGCACATTCTCTACAGCCTCCTGGCCCGTGAAAGCTAGGAAATCGAAGCGCGGTGTCAGTGTCAAGCAATTCATCAGTACATTGACTGAAATCGCGACTCAATCACAGACCTCAGAGCAGCCCATCGCCGGTTCGCAGAGTATCTTCCACTCTACAGCCGACAAGATCTTGAAATGGGAGATGGAAAACGAGGAAATCTTCAATTCTGATATTGAGGGCATGCCTTTCGTCAATCAAACAATCCAAGGTGAATTTGAGGAAGAAGAAATAAACGGAGAGATCCGGTTTCAAATCGACATGCCTGTACCACCACCACGTCCAATCCCAATACCCCGGGACACACGGTCAACCACTGCCGGTCGCTTACAGACTGATGATGACTTCCAGCTCAAACGAAAGAAGCGACAAAAGCCGCGTGTCAACCGCCGGCTGGCTGCTCTTGATGAAGCCACAACTCTCGAGAAAGACAAACCCACGAGTCGTCATATCGTTCGTCGACAGACACGCAGCAACATACCCGAACAAATGGTCAGGAAGATCATGATCGCCATCACAGCCGTTCGTGTGCTTACTGGTGGATTGGATGGAAGAATTGTAGAGTGGGATCTCGTAGTACGAGCTTTCCCAGACCACGACCCAGCAGCGATGGAAGAAAAGGCACGGCGCATCTTGAACAGGAACCGTCTGCAAGTTGTGAAGATGCATCGAGACTTCCAAGAACGGTATCTGGATGCCTATGAGAAAGGACAGGTCCCTAGTATTGACTACAACGATTTGGAAAACTACGACTGGCCCGGTGTTGTTGAATGGGCAGCCACTCACCTGGATGTTCCTCTCTCCCAGAGCATCCCAGATCTCCCCGCAACGCGAGAACAATTTGACGCTCTGTTCGAGATGCGCGAGGACACTACCACAGCCAGTGACGAGGTCTATCAATCCATTCATGGCTCTAGCATCAATCAGAAGCGCGCTCTAATGGCTCGCACTCCTTTCGCTGTTCCCTTTATTGAGAAAAAGAAGGCGGAACTCACCGCAGGTCAAAAGCGTGTGGCATGTCTCGAAGATGCCAAGTCCTGGGTCCGCGCGAACATTATCACCTCAGAGGATAGCTACAGGTCCGGCGCGGCAGCTGAAATCCTGAGTAAAATTGGCGAGCGGATGATCACAGATGCCACCCAGGCACTGGTGAATGATCGCGTTATCACGATGACCAACAGTGGCCGCATCGTCCCCGGCCGCAACTACGATATCTCAGACAATTTCCTGCAGACACTCAGCCGCAAGCGCGCCGTCGACAGCACCCAACTCATGCGTGCAGCCCAATTCAAAACCATGATCCTTGACCCTCAGCTGCAGAATTTGGGTGTCTTTGACGTCAAATACAATGCAGAAGACGGCGATATCCTCGCCCTCATGAACCTTTCTACATCTGGTCGTATTGAGCTGCGACCATATGGTGCACCCCGCGACAAATTCGGTCTCACTGATGGTGGATACCTCACTCGGCAAATGGACAAGTCTCGTCTCCGTTTCCCGGTAAAGGTCATTCCAACCCGGTACTATGTCTACGGAAATCCCCTTTCCGAAACAGCGGCATCTATTCCACCCCCCGCCGCCTGTGTCGACACTCACTGGTATCGGGCGAGTGTGTCCACTGTGGTTCGATATCTTTGGTGTTTTTGTCCCTCGTCTCTGGACAATGGCTCTGGGTGCTGTTCTCGGCTGCCTAGTGCTTCGACCTGGTACCAATGCCCGCAGTATTTCCAATATGATTAAGCCGACTCTGGCACCGTGGGAGACTGTCCTGATGCTACAATGGTTGGCTAAAGTTGGTGCGGTCAAGGGAGATGGCGATGACGAGGGCACTGCGTGGACCTTGCAAGAATGGTGGTGGCTGGTTGCAACATAAGCCGCTAGCTCTCAAGTTCCAATCTCCAAGGTCTGAATTCAGTCATGGAAATTCCATACGCTTTGAGATAGCAGAGCCATATCAATATTCCACAAAATCTCGTGTCCGATTTCAATAAACATCTAGAGGTATCTTTGTAATGTGCAATAAACTCCGTACATGTAATGTAGCCCACGCCCAAACGCAAAACGCAAAATCCGAACAGTCATCTTCATGTTCATAGATCGTCGACATTAGCCACTCGTCGTAAAATCAATATGATGAGAGCAATCACAACACCGACAATGGCTCTGTCTAGCCAGACGCCCTCAGAGGACTCTTGATCCAAGGGTATTTGCTGAACGGGGATCGTGTGGATAGGTGCAGGCACAGCCCCAGTGCCAGCCCTAGCTGCAACCCCAGCTGCAGGTCTCGGTGACGAGTATGCGGGTGCGGACGCCTGCGCTGGCAACGTGGCCGGGACAGCTGCAGCAAGGGTGGGAGCAGATGGGGCAATCAAAGTATCCTCTGCTTGGCCCGGGGTATGAGCCGGCGCCTGCGCCGAAGCATCACCCTGATCCTGATCCCGAACCCCAACCTCACCTTCGTCCTGCTGCCCCTGCACCTTTGGCTCATCATTCCCGACCTTAGCCCCCTCGGTCTCGACGTCAACGTCCACCCCCGCTCCCGACAAACCCCCCACCACCCTTGCATCGCCTCCAAATTCCCGACCCCGCATTCACGACAGACCCAGTCCGTAGAAAGCTTTGCAAATTCCCTCCTCACAGCGGGACTTCCTCTCCATGCCTCCAACCTGTCCTTGACTCTCAGAACCCATGATCTCACTTCGGATTGCGAGAAGAGCAGTGCGCACCCCCCAAGCTGGCTGCCATGTTTCTTCGTGGTGGCCTGAGATACTGAGACAGATTTCGCGATTGACTTCGAAGCGGCCAGATGGGGTGAGGAAGCGGAAGGATGGTGGACGGAGCGGATATGTTGGTGGGAAGGTTATGCGGCCGTGGTAGAGGCCTTGGCTGTATGGCGATGGACTTGGTGGGCCTACGAGTGTGAAGTGCCAGTCGTGTAGGTTGTCGTCTGTTATTGGTTTTGCGTTGAAGTAGGGACTTGGGTTTTTGTGTAGGTCGGTGCTTTCTTTAAGGAGGCGGCGCGTTGAGGGAGAAGCCATTTTGGTTTCTTGAATTCTTTTGATATTGATGGGAGGGCTGAAAGGTATGTATGGATGGCTGAATGTTGGTTGTTGTCTGTTGTCTGTTGTCTGTTGACTGTTGTATCTTTGGGTGGATGTGAGGTTGGAGAGATCAAGAAGTGGAGATCGATAAGATGCCAAGTGGCCCGTCATTATTAAGGTTGTGTCTGGCTTATGTAAACATATGTGTATAATTATGTTGATACTTGAATACTGTCTGTTTTGGGCATTTGAACCTTCGATGCTTGATTTTATATCTTTACAACATGCTATAGTACGCTTAATCCCAGTCTCGCCATTCATCTGTATCGGAGCGTGAAGCCTGGGAACGCTCAACCCCGGGATCCAACAATCCATTGCCTTCAATCTCATCCTCGAAATCGCTATCACCAGGTCGTGGCCTGGGAGATCTAGGCGCAAGAGTCTGCATGGAGACACTGGTAGGAGGCCGTTCAGGCGTGGTGCCCCTATTCGATGTGCGCAAGGGTTGCGCAGCAGAAGAGTCTCTCCAACTGCGACTGTTATCCATATTACGCTGGTACAGCTCGCGGTAGTACTGCTGCTGCTCAGAGGATTCCTGCTCCCGCTGAGATCGTAGGCGATCTCGCGCTTCTAGGAATTTCTCACTGGGCTCCCAGCCCCAACCATCGCCGGTCGTGGTGCAGATTGGGACGGGCCACAGGAGTGGCCGTTCGCCGAAGAGGTGGAGGAGGTTTCGGCGCCAGCCGTGGTCGAACGCGCTAGGCATTTTTTCGTTGTCTTCGTCGTTTTGATATTCTTGGTAGCGGTCATGCTCGCGCTGTCGTTCCATTTCGGCGTATGAACGCGTTAAAGCCTGTTGGGCTGGTGTGAGGCGGTTGTCTGGTCTTGTGGCACTGGACGAATGGCCTGTTGAGTGTGGTGCAGGTGATAGACGCTCTTCGCCTTCTTCCTCACGCGTAACCCCTGGAATGGCATTGGCGTGCGCGTCGATGATCTGGTTTCCATAGCCTTGCAGGCGATCACTTAAGCTGGGCTCCGGCTCACCCCAGTAGTTATCACTAGGTGGCTGCTCATTGCGCTTCCGATCCAATGCCTTACGCAAAGGCGAGACGTACCGCGTTCTCTCTAGACACTCGATGGTTGTCGTCCCGCGCACAGCGAGACTAATATGCCAAGCTGTGAATCCGGACAAAACCAAACCAATAATACCACCAAGTATTGCCAAAAGGACAACATTCACTGGTAGAATGGTATCCATATACTGGGTATCATTGAGGATCTCAGTCCAGACCCAAATAGAAGCAACGCCAAAAACGACCCAACAAAATAGGGAGGTGTAGATTAAAAATAGAAGGAACGCTTTGTAGTTGTACAGTCCAACGCAAGTTGCCAGCCACGGGCAGTGGTGATCCATCTTCAAGACGCATCGCTTGCAGGTTGAACAATGGTGCGCGCGGTCTGGTTTCGGGCACTGACATTTCTTGCAGTACCGCGACTCGCCAGTCGAGCTGACAGTGTATGAGGTGAACTCCGGATGCTCGGAGACAGGGACAGCGCTGTATTCATGGCGGTCAGCGCCGCGGCGAGTCGGCGATCCCGGATCTGTGAATACGGCGACGGAATAAGAGAAATTCAAGAGGGCGTAGAGTGTAAATGCGAGAGCTGTACTCGGGATACCTGCCACAATATGACTGTTAGTGCACTTGAATAAATTGCGTGCAGACAAGCAAGCCCGTTTAGGCAGCAGGTCGAATGCGGCGTACCGATCCAGTTGCTCTTCGACGGCTTGACGCCGATGCTAATTGCGACATATACAGCCCATGTTGTAAGACCGTAGACAAAGACTAGTGGGAAGCAACTTGCTGCAGCACAGCAGTAGCGTTCGCAGCGGAGGGCCCATGCTCGAGGGCGCCGCTTCGGCCAGGAGGGCGAGGTCGGGGGTGATGAGGCCAGGGTGGCCATTTCGAGAGATTCACAACGCAGATGTGGGGATGGGGTGCATCGGGGGACGTCAAGTAGAGATCTCCATTATAGAGCAAAGTAGATCAAAGAGGAGGAGTCAGACATCGGATTTGGAATATGAATATCAGGTGAGATCGGGTACCTGTATGGTAAGCGTAATTTACTCCGCCCCAGCCACACGTCAGGCTGTGGCGTCATAGAAATATCGAGTCTATTTTAGGATCTACGAACATTATATCTCAAAATGAAATGAGGGTTGCATATTTGAAAAGAAAAGTGATGGTATATCAACTGGGTATTTATAGCAATGCTAATAGATCCATCAATCTGTGATATGATGCAATAAGATATTCAAAACATAGCAGAATTAGCACTTTCAAGTGCTGTTGGTGTCAGTGAAAGTCAGAGTATTCTGCTTGCACCAGCCATTGACAGGCAGACAGCTCAAGCGGTAGCACCACGAGCAATTCGAGGTAGGGTATTTGTAAAAGTCGACAAGCAACAGAATGAAACCAACGAGGACGCCAACCAGAGCACCAGCACGGACAACCCACCAGAGCCACCAAAGAGGCTTGCGGCCCTTGAAGAAGTTGATGGGGTTCTTGGAGTTCTCGGTATCCTGATTTGAGTTGGTCATGCCGCCCTTGCTCCTAAACATATCCATGAAAGCGCTTGTCTTTCTCTTGTCCGCAGTAGCCTGACCGGCGCCACCGCTCATGGCGACGTATGGCTGGCGGGCCAGACCGATGCGCTCGCGAAGAGCGTTGGGGGACCGCATGATGGTCAATCCGATAGCAAGGCCCATGATGAAGCCACCGATATGAGAGAAATTGTCTAGTCCGGGAAGAAGGCCTAAAACAAAGGAAACGCCCACACCTAGGATCATGATAATAAGCTCGACCCATGGGGACTCACGCTGGGGCCAGTCGTAAAGAAGGTCGAGCAAGTATAGTGCAAGGATGCCGAAGAGGGCACCCGAGCAGCCGTCACTCGGATCCAGCTGGGAGGCATAGTTTCCACCCAGAACAAAGCCGAAGATACCACTGGCAAAGTAGGTCAAGGTATACCGCCAAATCCCAATCATGCGCTCCATGTCCGCACCCATAGTCATTTGAACCAGCAAATTGAAGCCAATGTGGACGAAACCTCCGTGCAAGAAAATGGGAATGATGAAGCGGTACCACTGGTTGGGAGCGGGATTGTCGTCTGTTGATCCTCCGACACGGGGGTTAGGAACATTACCACCAAAGCCGCACGACTCAGACAATGAGCAAGACTGATCAGTGCTGGAAGTAGTATTCGGGCAGGGCCAGAGGATCGTTGTGTTGGCATTCTGAATTCCCTCCACGTTCTTCATGCACGGGTCGTAGCGTGCTCCCATATAAATTTGGACATATGGCGAAGGGCCAATCATCGGATTGAAGGTGGGTTTCGTTTCAATAACCGATCCTGTCAACTGGGCTGGTAAAGGAAATCTTTGGTTAGTTTCTACCCCGAGATGGTTAAGCGGGGAAAACAAAACTCACCATTCTTGACCAATTCGACTATGAACACAATAATTTGTGCTAAAGTCAAGAGGTATGTCACCCAGGCGATCTTTTTTTGGAAGAAACCCTTCTTCTTCTTCCTGCGGTCATCACGTTGTCGACTATCTTCTAGTGCCCCTGGCGAAGGGGGGTATTGTGTTGGTTGGCGCATCCACTCCTGATTGTTGCCATAGTTTGTCTGAGCCTTCAAAGGGATGTTTTCTGAGTAATGATCACCTTCTGTGACACGTCCTGCAGTCTGGTACTGTCCATTGTCCGAGGCAAACGATTGTTGACTTTCTCTGTTGTGATAAGGGGCGGATGGGTCATCATGGTTTGCGGGGTGGCTAGCGTAGCCGATTCCAGGAGCTGTAGTCGAGGTTTGATGTGCTGAACCAGGGACAGCTTGGTCGTATGTTGGAGGTTCTGGAATGTTCTGGTGGTAGTAGTCGTTGGCGGCCATGATGGGAGGCCAGAGCTAGAGGAGCGAGATCGGTACAACAAGATCCTTGAAGTTGCTAAAAGAGAGTGAAGGTTGAAAGAAGGTTCCTGAACTATCAAGAAGCTCTTTAAAAAGCGAAGGTGTTGAAGTGAAGAAGAAGCAGGCAGTCACATTACTCAAAAGTTATTTTTGGGGTCGATCGACGCAAACTCAGCCGCGCGGTCTGCGTGTTCCACTCCGCCCTACTCTCCTGCCTCGGCATCCCTCCGCCCTTCTTTTTCTCTTGGCTTGGGCTTACGAGGGGAAGTGTGTACACACCTCAGGAGTATTGAACGACTCATATGTCAGAGTGATGGAGTGAGTATGTTGCAGAAATTGTTAACACTCTACTTTGACCGCTCATTGACGCCGTCCCTCAGTACTTTACCGGGATCAATTAGATCATTGGAAAATCACCTGTAGGTGGGGTGAAAAGATTGACCCTTGTACAGTATGTTGGGCCAACGCACACGCAATGTCGGCCTCATGCCAAGCATCGACTACGCAGCCCTATACTCCGCCCGGTATCAGCCACAAGGCTAGCGTAAATATGGCCATGGTCATAACTAACTTTATGTATTAGACTGACAAACAACCGAAGCAACCAGTATACCCATAGGAAATATGCATATACGGAAATTGGGTTTTAACGTCGAGCATTGCTTAGTGTACTTGTGCTCGTTCATAAACGCGGCGAAGAGAAGGGGGGAATAACAGGTGCAGGCCATCCATACCACCATATGCGACGGTGAGGGTATAAATGCAAAATAAGAATGAGGGTTACCCTTCCGTAGAAAGAAAACTCGGTCAAAAGAATGGCAATGCAAAGCAAAGGTGAGATGCGGACCTGGATATACAGTAGACCAAGTCTTTAGACCTCACACCGGAGACCTGGCAGCTGGGGTATGAAACAGGGATATGGTTGGGATGACAAACCGCAGACCCGTGGCAACAGGTATGATATCTATATCGGGAATAGGGCACCGAATAGAACGTGTTTGCCAGATCAAATCCCGGATGGTAGCTTACGCGGTAGGAAATAGATTCCTATGTTCAGCCAGGATGCCCACAGATGCCGCCACTTGTTCGCCGCTGTGGCCGGTGAGGAGCCACTGAAGAGTAGAAAATCTTGTGAAGAGTAGGGCCGGTAAGTAAAAAAGCGCCCAAGCTAGCAGAGAGAGCACAACAAGAACACAGGTGTTTGCCACGAGTTTCTCGCCCGGCGTCATAACGTAGAGCCCAAATGTGACTTCGTATCGGTAGTATTCGAGCCCCACGCGATCTACAACTTGCTGAAAGAAGTTGCGGTATTTGCGTGGACAGCCTCCCGTGAAAGTGGCACTGCTTCTCGCCGAAGAATATCTATTCATGAGCTCGTTCATCGCCGTCGGGGCTGGTGGGGATATCCGGTCAGATGTGGACGGAGTATAAAACGATTGCATCTCGGTCATTGTCACACTCATTGTTGCACTTATGTTGCGTTTCGAGAAAGATATATCAATGGGTGCGAAGGAGTCGCCGATGAAGGTGGTGAGGCTATGAAGGGCAATTCCTTTAGAGAAAGACATAGAGCAAAGACCCAATGTAAGGATATGGACCAAAGGAAGAACGTGCAAGCGTGCAGGCGGAGGCAGCCAGACTGCTATGAGCTGTAGACATGGAAATAAGAGAAATAAAAGATCGAAACATAGCACCCCCAAGAGTTTATAGTTATTCAAGCCCTACCTGTTAAGTAAGGAACGAGCGCCGGCTAGGAACTTTGGAAGGGACCGGAAATACCGGCAACTACAAGCAGGAATTGCGCCGGGTACCAGGATTATAGGTCCAATTTGAGGCATTATAGCTCCGGTCTATAGCATTAGCTCTCATATAGTAGGGTTGCTATTACTCATGAAATGCCAATGTTGGCTTCTTTCGCTTCTTGGCTTTGCAGGTACCAGGGAATAGACCCGAGAGCTCCGATAGCTCCGAAGAATACCGTAGAAAGATCATGCTAGCCCATCGTCTCGCTGAAAAAACCCCTCCTACAGAATCGGGTCGATCTCTGAGAACGGGGCTAGCCTGCCTCGATGTACTGTACAAGCATTAAGTTAGCCCATGATGAGACATACAGGGTGCTGTTGATAGTCGACAGTCCACTACAACCATAGCAGTCTGATCAGATGAGTATGCAACCAAAAATGGGAGGAATAGAGAAACAAGAAACAACAACAAGATGAAGATATAGATGCGAAGGGGTGAAGGGCGGAAGATCACGGCCCGTCTTTGGATTTGGATTCTGCCGCTGATGTCATCGTGGGCGCGTCGGGGTTTCATCTTCCCCCGCCATCGACAGCTAAACACAACAACCATCATGGATGACCCTCTCGTTCAAGCGCTGCCTCCAGCGACAGACTATTTGACTTACTTGACTCTGTTAGAGTATCAATTGACCCCAGAGCGGTTGCCACTTCTGCACACGCTTCTACAAGATGAGAAGCTTACGACGAACATCGGTTGGGACTTGGTGAAGCTGTTACTTCCCATGCTACCCGCATCCACCGACTGTCTTCAGGATGTGGCACGATTGGGAAATCCCCGTGAAGTCATTTTGCGTGTCTCGGAGTCTTTGATGCAACTCCAGCCTGAAGACGATGACGATGACGACGACGACGACGAGGACGAGGCGACTGATACGGGGCTGGCCCTACACATCGTACAGTTCAATTGTCTTCTCGGCATGCTGTCGACACTCCATACACGCATTCAAACCAAGGCGCCTAGTCGATTTATCGCGACGTCCCTTCACGCAGCCCTAGAGGCATACACATCGATGCCGACCAACGAGACCACTTTGGCCTTCCTCCAGTTCCTTCATGCAGTTTCTCCGTCCAAACGACCGGCCCCTCCTCCGCGTGCTGCCAGCGAATCGAGTGTTCTTAGGGTTGCTGCAGCATCAGCACCGGATCCCGAGGCGGAAGTAACGTCGCCCTCTCCATCTGCTGATAATGAAACTCTTCTTGTGCGGAAATTTACACAGTTTGGTTTGCTTGAGCTGCTGAAGTCATATCTATTGAGTATGTCCGGTCCCGCGGACCCGGGTATGTCGTGGACTATTCGCATGCAGGAGCGTCTGCATCCTAATCTGCGGTTACCCACCCAGTCCCAGACTGATGCATATGGATCTACTAAGGAGCTCAAGGAGCGTGACATGATCATGGGAAAGCTGGTGGTACGTTGAAGTCCCAATGTGAATTCTCTACAAGACTAATCGTCTGACTGGTTATACAGGCTCTATCACGAGATGTTGGAATTAATAACAATGACTTGTTATCAATTATTTCCCAATCACCCACAGACCAACCCGCACAGCTCGACTTTGAGGATCCCCCGAGAAACCCCGATGAGATTCCCCTCGAGCGTCATGGCTCACTTCTTCTGCTGGCAGCTCGGGCCGCGGGGTCTACACTATTCTCCTCTGGACAGCCGATGCCTGACTTGCCCGTGTTTCCCAGCCTGGCAGAAATTTTCAACCACTTTGTTGGAGGTCACACAAGCCTCGATGATATCGCATTTGGGCAGCCGCATGCACTCCTCGACTCTCTCATGGCCATCACGGTCTACGCTTTGCAACAACCCATCAAAGCGACGCCCAGCGAAACCCAGTTTAAGGATTTCATTGTGACCCTGACTGCATGCACAGCACGTCAAAGTCATGGCATCGTTCGCCAGATTCCGGCCACTGTTTTCCAAAGCCACCCATCAGCCGAAACTAGATTCAAGCTTGTCTACAAGATCTTGAATGATGATCGCCTAGTCTCCGCCCGGGATAGTGCGATCGCATGGTTGAAGGATGAGCTGCTGCGAAGCTCTGATCAGTCATTGGACAATGTATTCCAAGACCCGCTCTACTTCTGGGCTCTCTTCCCGCATCTTTTCTCTTCTGTTACTGCTTCCGGCTCAGCACCTAGCATTGTTGCAACATGGACGCGTCTCACTCAAACCGAAGGTCCGCCACTTCACTCCGCTTTGAGTCTGTATTATCTCCTGCTTTCCTCACCTGTTCTACGAGAGAAACTTCAGCTCGAAAAGACCGTCAAGTTTTTCCGTAGCCAGGCTTTGGAACCCCTTCGGCAGGTGTTCCACAGCTTCGAATCTGATCTTGCTTCCAAGGGAGGTGAGGGTGTCATTGAAGCTGCAGTCGGCGAGGAGATGTGCGAAGTCGGCAACGCACGCTCAGTCGGAATCATTGGTCTTACTCTGGATCAAATTGAGGAGACGATTAGTGATGCCTTTGGTTCAGACGACGCAGATCTCAGCGACTATTCCGAGGTCGATCAGGCTAAGGTTTCGGACATTCAGAAGCGGATGGATGTTTGGAATTAAAGATGAATGTTGAATTGTACAGGCTCTAGATATGAGAATTTCAATGAGTTTACGGTTTCATTTTGAATGTGCATGATCTACAATAGCGGTGACAAAATCTACAAAGTGACATGATATATGATACACTTTGACAGACTCGATCTTGGCAGCCTCTGATAAAGAGAGGAGGAAAGGGGTGTCTGAGCACAGGTTCTCTATGAGATGAAGGCCAATCAAACAGGTTCTAGCAGGACGCCAGCAAACAAATAACCTGAACAAATGCCTGAAAGCCTAGAAATGCCTGTCTAGTAGCTTCTGCTTCTGAGTTTGCCGTGGACTTCTCGCCTCTGTGACATGCCCCATGCCCTCATCCAAGCCGAGAATTAGTCTCATGCTTGTGACTCTCAGACTACTCAGTCAGAATCAAGCGTTGCACCGATATAAAACAACTTGTATTAGTTCCAAGCAATTTCCATACAACCCCCCCCCCCCCCCCCCCCATGCCAACCCGCGCTGTATAACGAGAAATACTTAAACCACCAAAATCACCGCCTCGAAAAGATTCTTCGAGCCAACCAAGATTTCACATTCTTTAAATGAACAGTCGCGGAAACTTCCGGCTCCGTCGGGGACTCAGCCAAATGGACCAACCTCGGCATGCGCAGATGATAAAATGTCCTCCGACAAAGCGGACAACTAGCATCCTGCTGCTGAATCCACTGATCAATACACGGAAGATGGAAGATATGTCCACAGGGTAATCGACGATAAGTAGATTCTGCCACTAGGAAATCCCAACATAAGACACAACTCGTCGGAAGGTTCTCTTGATATATACGTGATCACGTTAACGCTCCGTCTCAGCACTCCAACTGTGATAGATGACTGGGACAGTTTACACTCACGAGATATGCACTCTAGTTGTCCCGAGTAACATGGCATCCGTGCGTATAGCAGCTCTTTCGCGGTGAGGCCGCCTCGTTCGGTCGGATAGGGCATGTATGTGTAATAGGGCGGCATATTAGTCGATAGTTCGGGTTTCAAGGGAGGGAGCTGTAGGTTCTCACTGCATTCTGCTTGAAAGATATGGGGTAAAACCTATTTATCTGTTGGTTTGTTCCGCCGATCCGACATGTGTTACTCCGAGAGAGCAAAACCCTTGGTGTCACCGGTTGAAGTATATCATGCTACACCGCCACGTTGATCTCACTCCATCTGGATCTATATTTGCATTGATGCTGGTCGTGTGAGGGCGCATTCTCGTAGCTATCAGCCGCTTGTTCACGGGTATGGGAATTTGTTTGTCGTGGGGATATTCGGATGATATTCTACACAGCTTGTACAAAGTATTCTTCTCATGTCATCCTGAGGAGTCGGTCTGTGTATGTGTCATCTGATGAGAAAGTGCGTCTAGAATGTGAAAATCCGTGGGATTGACGCCGTGGAGGCGAGACATAGCTGCCTTTCCGTGAGTTTGGTTGTCCAGCAATTTTGATTATCCACCGGTTCTGATGTTGATGCCCAACATACGCACTTATCCCCTCCTTTCCGCAAATGAATAATGAGCAAGGATTATATAGACCATCTTCTGTGTAGTTTAGAAGGCTAGGTTCAACATATGTATCTGTAGCTCGAGTTTTCAGTTGCTATGTTATCATCTGAACACCTCATTTCATAGACTTGGCGTAAGATTCATAACTAGCAAACCCTATTTAATTGATAGAATATCTCCTGGCTACTTCCAAGTTCCTCTAGAGTCTATTATCACGAAACTTTACCCGATACTCATAGCGAAGAGACTAATGGAGCTTTGGCTTCAGATAACAGAATGTACTTGCTTCTTCGACTTACCTTTCAGTGCAGCGGAAAGATGAAACATATTAGTTGGGTATTCAATATGCTTTGATGAACAAACTTGAAAGCACAAGAACGGAACAAAATAAGCATCCAAATACAAGACAAGGAATATTTAGAATGACAATATCCAGAGTCATGCAGGACAACACGATGGTCCAAGATTCTTCGCATACTCACAGTCGGACCAGGGAGCAACGAGACCAATCTCAAGATGTCAAAATCTACAAGGAACAACAGAATTTTGTCGGCAATGCTCAATTCCTATCAACTACCATGACCAATAGAAGCAAATAGTAACTCAATCCACTCAACCCATCCACCAAACAAGACAACCGAAAAGAAACAATCATCACATCGAACACGAGAATATAAGAAACAATCAACCGAAGAAGAGTTTATGAGATCCCCCAGAAAGTAGCTGAAAAGGAACAATTGAAACAGAAACCATTCTATCACCAGATTCGTCCACGAAGAAGTCGAACACAAGAACAAAGTTGACAAGTTGACAGCGGGGAGATCTGCCGAGGACCAGGCCGATAGCATTCCTCTTGGGATTCGCATTTTCGAGTGCAAACATTGAGTCTTGTGCTGCGGAAAGAGTGAAATGGACTGTACAGATTGACTTATTCCATGAGAATGATCGTTGATACGGAGATCTATCAGACGATAGGGATTTCGTATCGTGGAGCCACAAACATGTAGGACTCACTGCAGGATGAAACAAAAACAAAGAGGCATTGGTCATGATTCCGAGGGAAGTGGTTTTTTTTGGTGGTTGAGAGTGTCATTCTCGAAGAGTCTGTGATGAAAGTTGCGAAATGTTGATGCGTTAACTTGTCGGCTATGGTCTAACCAGCGGCATTCAGGTCAGGTCACGGTGGGAGATGGGCTGTTGGAGTTGAGGGTCATCATGTAAAGGAATTTACATGACAACGCAGCCACCACCGGGAGAGGCTGATGAGATGATATGTTAGTCTGTTATTGTGATCTGTGGGTGGAATGATGGCAGTTTACTCACCCTTGACAACGGCACCGTTCTGGATCTGGGAGGGAGACATCTTGAAGATTGAGGGTTGTTTAAAAAGCGGAAGTTTGAAAGATTGGATAGAGTGTTGGAATGATTGAGTTGTGAGGGATGGAGAAGAGAAATTTTTACTGGGAAAAGAGAAGGTATTTATGTTCGAGTAGGGCTGCTTTGCCCTTCGCAATCGATGTGCGTGAGATGGTATTGCCACTGTTCTAGGTATCCTCGAATTTCACATCCAACGGAAAACTCAATGCGTTGAACATCTTCCAAATCCTTCGAATCTGCCCAGAATGCTAGGGTTCGCTTTGAGGAAGACGCCCATCACGAGGCTGTTCCATATTGTTCTTGAATCTAGAAAGACGGATGAAATCTCCTGCTGCTTTCTATCTTTGTCTTCAGCCTCATCAATCTACAGAGTAAGCGAGGCCTTGATATTGTTCCTCTCCACATTCTCGCCGGAGGAGCAGGGGCTTCATCCCCCTGCCTTTCATGGAGTTACGCCACGATAGTAAATGTGGACCTGTCTCTGGTAATTTACCCATGATGGCTACATTGTGAAGCGTCTTCAGTGTGTACAAACAATATCAAGCCCGACAGTAAAGAAATATAAAGTTGAGGTTGCGACTCGGTTAGGGCTAGGAGGCGAACAAAGGAACTTTGCCACCAATCACCTCCACCATAGTGCGCCTACGATTGTTCTCGAGAACAATATGATACGGGCTTGGCATCTAAAAGCCTTTGACATGCTATTTTGATTGCCGCGGACTGACAATCGGTGTATCTTTTACTCCGGTATCAAGACTTGCTAGAAAAAAAGAAGTTCGCTTGGCTGCAACAATTTGGGATACAAAAATCACACGTGGTTACAATGAACCGCATATCGACCACCCTGCCTCGGCAAAAGAATTGTTCATATCCCTCCTTAGGTATAGAGCGGCTCGGTCAAGTCATTGAGAGCCAATCCTTCCTTCGCGATATCCTCCTCAATCAAGAACATCAAAGGCATCTCAACTAGAGTACCCTTGACCTGGCTGAGAAGTTCTTTGACCTGCTTCGCTCCCTCCGCACCAGGCGCGAAGTCGTCGCGAACCACGTGGCCCCACTGGAATCGTGCCGGCCGGCCAAATCCTTCCCGACCCTCGGCCTCCTTGTCAGCTTTGTGGAAGTAGTACTCATAGAACTCCTTGTACGTAGCCCAGTTCCGCACCGTATCATCTGGCACGGCGTGGAAAACCTTGCGGAAAACTTCACTGTTGGTGTGTGCGCGTGTGTTCCACAGACTCTGAACGGTATCGGCCAAGGGATCGGCGACCACCTTGCTCTCGGGACATTCGAAGTCGAATTGGTTGGGAACTCCCACCGGCTCGAAGTTTGCATCTGGGCGCTGGTAGTCTTGAGGAGGCAAGAGACCCAGATGCTTGCGGAACAGCTCGCGACGAAGGGATGCAGCGAAACGACTGGCAGTCCATGGCTTGCCATTCATACTGGAAGCCACAGGCGTGAAATCCTCGATGATGACAGCGATCTCAGAGTCGTGGTCACCGAGCTGGGAACGGTCGTTCAGGTTTGCGGATCCGCAGACGACAACCCGGTCGTCGGCGATCATCACCTGTTCCTGTTAAAACCTATTATTCCTCGTGGATTGTTAAGAGAAGCTTACCTTTGAGTGAACATAAAGCTCTTCACTGACGAATGCATCAATTTCAGCATCCGGGTGACCATCCCAAGGCACTTTACGAATATCCTCTCCATTGAGCATGTAGCACTCGCTGACGCTATCCCAGCGGTTGGAAGAGGAACTTCCTTGAACTTGATGGGCTGCTTGCTGATACTGCTGGAACGGCGCGCTGGTGTCGAACGCACTCCGAGTGGTGCTCGGGGCATATCCACCAGGACCAGCAGTATTGACGTCGTACTGTCTCTGGGCATGCTCATAGTTGACACCGCTTTGCTGCTCAGCCGCAGCCACGACATTACCGTTGTTGATACGATCATAGTTGCGAAGGTTATAGAAGCGGATGTATTCCATCGGGTTGAACCCTTCCTTGGCAATCAGTTCCATGATACTGTGGCCGCCACGATTGATGGAATTATACTGGAACTCCATGATCGCGCGTGTGCCAAGAGTCTCATCATCACGCAAGTCGCCGGCAAAGCACGGGACGGAAGGAATGACCACAACGATCTTGTATTTCTGTCCAGCCCTGGCAGCACGCAGAATGCGCTCAACAATGGCAGCTCCAATCTTGTTCTTCACTGGATGCTGAGATTCACCAGTTGAAGTGATGAAGAACTGGTTCTCAATGTAGACAAAGTGCTCACTGTTACGGATGATGGCACAGTATGCGTCCGCAATGGAATGCTCAAGCGGGCTACCGTTACTCCACTTCGCACAGCTGCGCACAATCTGACAGGACATATTTCCACGGTTTTGTGTGGGACGTCCATATGTGGTCAGTTTGTCTTGATATTGGTGGATTTGCCCGGCAAGCTGACCACGAAGGGAGTTGCCATATTGAGTGAATTTCTCTTCGAAGCGGCGGGGAGCCAAGGACCCTCGTTCGCGATCGCCTGAATGCTGGTAATCATCGATTCCGCGCGTGTTGGAGTGAGATAAATCCTGACCCGGGGGAGGGGGATAATATGGCGTTTGGCTTTGGCTTTGACCTTGTTGGGTGCTAGTGGAAGCCTGGGTTGGGGGAGGTGGGTAGTATTGGGTTTGTTCTTGGTGCTGACCCTGGCCCTGATAGCTCTGATAGCTGGGCTTAGTGCTCTGTGGTGGGGGAGGACCAGGAGGGGGAGGTGGGAATGAATTTCCAGAGTAGGAGTATTGCGATGCTCCTTGACTCGGGGAATGACTAGATTGCGCTGGTGTCGATTGATAGGGGGGGAGGATTCGGGCTCGCTGGAGGATGATACGGAGTGTTCTCGGAGTACTGATTCGTGCCCTGGACCGGCGATGGTGAGTAACTCGAGGTGTTCCCGGGCTGGTATGGCTGGTATGGAGCATGAGGTTGTTGTTGTTCATGCTGGGGCTGACTCTGTTGGTAAGGACTCGAAGTCCCCTCGGCCGGTGGCGGTGGGTATGTAGAGGTAGTTCCACTGGGCTTTGAAGTAGATTGCTGCTGCCAGGATGGTGTCTGTGACTGCTGAAATTGTGGGCTTGACTGACCCGAGGGATACGGATTTTGGCTCTGTTGCTGTTGGCCAGGCTGTTGCTGGCCAGTAGACGAGGTAGGACGCCCATGCAACGACAGTCTTGCGTACCTTGCGTCACTTCGAACCTTGTATTTCGCATCGTAAATGAAGTTCCATCGCTCTACGAAGTGACGACGTAGATCTTCAACAGCCGCACCGTGAAGACTGACGGAAATATCAGACCATCCCATTCGGGACATGGACTTTCTATCCAGCTGGTTCTTCTCCCAGTGAACAACATCTTCGAAATCAAGGACACGGGAGTTGTTGTAGTCCTGGCCAGGGAAGACAGTCTGGTTGACATCTGAGGGATGTAGATCGGAGATGGAATGTTGATGGGTATCCCAACGGCCGAAGCACATGTCCAATCCACCCATAAAGGCAGTTTGGCCATCGATCAGGCAAAGCTTCTCGTGGTGAGCCCAGTATAAGATCACGTCGTCGTTCATGCCGTAAAGACCTTTGATGGTGTCCTTGGACATCTTACTAAGGCTGGCTGAGTCCAGAGACATATTCTGGAAAGAAGATGCGATCGAAGCCGCGAGCTCCTGACGATCCGGAAGATGATCAGGATGACGGAAGACCGCAATATTGGGGTGCAAGTCCTCCAGAGCATGCTTGGTGTGAGAAGAAGATACTGTGAACGACTGGTTAATCGGAAAGTTTCAATATGCAGAGGGGATAGAAAAGACATACGGGTGAGCGCCTGGGTGACTTCCTTGTAAACAATCACATTAACGCGAACACCGCGCTGAGCTGCAGCCTGCAGCATTCGGTCCAGCCGGTATTGCTCATTTTTCGCTGGGGGTCTGCGGAGATATAGTTCGGGGGATAGCCACCCTGAAGTCACATTAGCGCCGCATTCCACGGTACCTCGGAACATTCAACTCACAGTCCAGAATCCAGATTGACTCGCGCGCATTCTCCAGCGCGCGCGACACAGCCCAAAAATAGGAGCAACCATCGACGTACCATTTGGCATCGTTATGCTGTCGGGGAGGCGCGAAACTACCGAAGCGATTCTCGGTGGTTTTGGTGGGGCCGTACTCGGCGTAGGCTTTGGGGTCGATCGTGTTGCCCAACTTCTGCGCGAACTCGTTTCCATACTCGGCCACGGTGCCTTGGATCTTGCCGAGGAATCCACTTAGCTTGTCTTCCTTGGGAGGATTTCCATAGCTGTGTTGTTGTTGCTGCTGCTGCTGCTGTCCACTGTGTCCCTGGCTATATCCGTATTGTGAGGATTCACTCTGAGTCGGGTAACCTTGCTGTCAGCCGAGATGAGTGTCAGCGCAATATTCCAGCTGGGTTGGCCGGATTCACACAACGTACTCCCTGGTAGCCACTTGGGTTGTATGTCTGGCTCTGACCGGACTGCGAAGAGCTCTGGTGTGTTTTGTATGTATCGCGGAGCTTCTTGAAGGTGTCGCCGAAGCCGCGAGATCCGTCGCCGGACCCACGTTCGGACTGATAGTAGCCACCGTAGGCCAAATCGTCTTGGTGAGACATGATGTGCAGAAAAGAGAGAGTAAAAGATCCCACGATCCGAAGAAAAGAACAAAATAAGAGCTGCGGAATAAGGAAGCCTGCAGAGCGGGGGGACTGGAGCTGCGCCCCGCTGCCCAGCCACGATGGAAACGTGGCGGTGTATCAGCTGTTTTGGCTGAGTTGAGTGGCCTGATTCAGATGGCGTAAGCTTATTTCTGACTCCTTGGCTGAATCTCACAGGTGAAGTCTCGTATCCGGTGTCATCTATGAATAGAACCTTGAAGATCCATGGTGCTCCTGGCTGCTCAAAGACTCGACCGATGGAGCCGACTTCAATTTCCCGAAATTGAACTTGTGTGTCAACAGTTGCTTCTTGCCTAGCAGCGAATGAAGATGCAGTCGATACAATCGACTTGACTGACAGTAGTTGCAGTAGTAGAACATCTTGGGCGCTATCGGCCTCGAAGCTCAACTGTTTCTCGAGGCGGAGACTTGTTTCTATCGCATCTGTAAGGGAATCTGGGCACGAATCACCGGTCTTCTGAGCCTCACATCGGGTGGACAATTTTTGAGACAAAAGTAGCTGCAAAATTCCAGTGGGAATGAGAATAGCAAGAAGAAGGAGACGCTGGAATGAAATACTTCTGTAATCTGTCAAAGTTGAACCTGAGAGGAAACGAGTCTCGCAGACAGACTACACTTCACGAGGAAACAACGACCAACAACTTTGTCTTCAGCAGAATGAAGGGTCATTCAAGTTCCATTAGCCTATTCATACATTGTTCATTTCAGACAAGTGCCCTGATCCTTCTCCTCTCTTTTCTTTCCTTCCTCTTCCACCAGTTGAATGAATTGATTCGGCAGGGTATATCGAGATTCCACTTCTGGCCCACAAATCCTCATACACGCTTCACTGATCTGAATGTAGCGCTCTCGAAACGCATCCCAAATCACCGGGTCTTTTCCTGGTCGTGGGTAGTAAGGGTCATTCCCCCAGAATGAAGCAACAGCTTGTTTCACTCCATTGAGATCCATTGTCATCTTCCTACATAAATCAAAATCTAAAACCCATAATGAATGCTGTTCAAGAACAGTAGCCCATGTTGCAGATAATCCTCATGTGTTCGAAGGATCAGGAGGCGCGAGAACAAATTCGATGTCGTTGCCATCGATTTCACCGATCCAATGCATTATTGCGAGAATTTCGGCCATTCCCCGTGCGCATTGTTGAATGACATGTGATGTTATACCGATTGACTCCATTTGATCGATATGAAGGGGGTAATTCCGAAGAGAAAATGCAGCGAATTGAGACTTCGTATGTGACCGTCCAAATCGCCTTCGACCCAAATAGGGCCTGATCAGGCAATCTTTGTTTGGTTGGCTCGTGCGTATTTGTTGAGCAATCTTAGAGGGACAGTATTTGGTGATGAGGAGTTCCCTTGTTTTCTCAGAGAAAGGAGGAATGCGCTGGGACTGGATCATATTGCATGGCGTATATCCGGAGGGGAACTGTTGCTGATTTGAGGCCCACCAGCTCATATCTGTTGCCTCGATGAACCTGTAGCAGGCAGGGATTTGTAGGTGAATTCTGATGTGTTGTGTTTCACTCAGAGTAGTGTCATTGGTAGTGTGGTGGAGGGTGAATTTCTGAACGGCTTGTAGTACTCGATGATGCATTTGAAAGTCATTTTTGAGAGACCGATCAGGCCCACCATCCTCTCTTTTGAATGCATAACCTTTCTCGGAGGCTGCCCAAACCGTACCGCAAAACCCTTTCCCAACTATACGTAGATGTGCACTCGCCTCCATATCGTCATGCTTTTCCGAGACAGGAGATGATAGGGTCGAGGAGGTATGTGCTGCAGGGCCGAGGAGAAGAGGTGACTTATCCATGACAAGGTTGGGTGTTCTCGGGATTCGTATTTATGGTGTTCGTGAATTCTTGTTAGAGAAATTTAGTGCAGCTCTACGGAGATGCAGGGAGTTTTCAATGCAATTTTAGATTAAAATTTGTTGAAGATAGAAAAAAGGTGCTGGCAAAAGAAGGTGCTTATCATCGTAGTCACTCTTTCAACCATGGATCAACATAATAGCACATATACTTCGTACCAAATGCTTTGGGGCACTTTATACTTTCACAGCAATAGCACCCGACAGAACCCGCAAGACTCATAATAGACTTTGTTTACAAAGCTTGGTTCTAAAATGAACTAGAGATGGGTCAACCCAAATTTATCCTTGCAGTATCTTGTCCCTATAATAACTTTTCCAGCTTATTGGGAGCTAGTAGGCAGGATTTCCACGGGTAGGCTAAGTGAGTTATATAACGATTACATTTTTGAAAGCATTTATTAGCCTTCCATTAGAGACCACACTCTTCTGGGGCCCAATCAAGTACCTATATACTAATTATTTCTCCCAATTTCTTGAACTATACATAAATAATTTCATGTTACATTTTCCAGGCTTTACGCTATTGGATAGTTACAAACATAATAGAAGAAATGGCAAATGAATTGTAACAGAGAATACCTATTCAGGTGTTGAAGTCTTGAATTTCCATAATATATGAGAATCCTTCATACACACAAATAATTCTGTTTAATATAAACCCTCAGGAATGTCTGGCTAGTTTTTACCCAGATTAATAAAGCCAATTATGAAATGAAGCCTTTATTGTCAACACACACCGTAAGCACAGCAAGCGAAAAGGCTATGCAGCCGGTGAGAATTGTAGTAACATAGTAACATCAGATCTGATCTTTTTTTGGGTGCCCAATATAACGCCATGTAGCGTTGTGATGTCGTACGTAGTCGACTTCAATTCTTGCAGTTCCGTTGAAATATATTAATAGTACGGAAGGATGTCAGGCCGTGGATACCTGTATGAAGATCAATACTTATCGTGCGTATTCAAACAAAATAAATTCTTCAAATTAAGTGACATATCAAGAGGTGTCCGAATATACTGTCATGTCTCATAAATTAGGACAATTCCCAAAGCCCTAAGGTTTAGGCCAGCCGTCAACGTTCCCAAACCATCGCGACCTATATATTTCATCGCCGATATTGATCTTGCGTCTCTTCCCGTCAACCACCAAACTCGTATGGAACCCACGGAACTTGGTCCATAAGGACTGTACGTAGATGAAGCTTCCATCAGGGGCAATATTGAAGCTCTTCAGGTCCGACTGCGGTAGCTCCTCCCATTCGCCATCTGTATACCCATGGCGACCTTTGGTAGTGACCTCAAACCCTTGCAAGTATTTCTCAGTGACGTTCTCATAATGCTCCGTGTACTGCTCCGTCTCGATATCGAATGCGTGAAGTCCTCGATCTTCCGACACGAGGAATTTGCGCTGGCCAGGGATGGGTACTAGATCATGCAGCCCAGCCCACCATGAGTATCCCTTGCCCCATTCGGCCTCGATCCGTTTGGCCTCGGGCAGTTTGTAGATATATCGGTCATCCTTGTATAGTAAGCCTGATGTCCTATTCCACGGATATCCAATAATAGTCCCGTATGCAGGGACGGGGTCACTGCCGTCTGCGGCCGCGTCTGTTCCAGCAGCCCACAGCATCTGACCTTGCTCGTCCCAGATCAACCCGTGTATAGCTCGTAATCCGGTGATGTTTTGGATAATCGGAGGGTTTGCCATGAGGGGATTGGCGGCACTGGCATTATAAACGAGGATACCATCCCATGCTCGCTGGCCGGTGGTACCGACGGCGAGTAGATCATTCGGCAGGGGTTCGAGGGTATGCGCATTCCAGAGGACGTCGTTCCTTCTACAGAGAGTAAAGGTAAAAAGCTTATCGGTTGCTGGGTTTTCAGGAGTATGATTCATAACGACAGCAAGGTCACTGTAGACACCACCAACACTGGTGCCGTTATTCATATATTTGACCTCGGTGGCATCGTTCGCGTGGGCATAGAGACACTTGTGAACATCCGGAGGGAGCTTTTGTGTGACATCGTCACGATGGAACCGCCAGCTCACTTCTCCATGGCGGTCATGGATCTTCCAAAGGGGTGGGCGACCATAACATCCGGTTATAATCTGGTTCCAAGGTCGATGTTCGGGCCGGAGGCGCTCTTGTGGCTGAATGGGGGGTATATTGACATCTGCAAGAGGTTCGAAGAGGAGCGAAATCCAACCGAAGATTCCAGCCAGCATGGTGAATACTGTGGTTGTAGTAGCTAAGCTAGGGACTCAGCTTGAAAAACACGATTTCCATCTTGTCCCCTACGAAATGTCTCCTCGGATGTTCCATTGCATACGTATGTCCAGTGGAGTAGATAGGAATCCGGACGTTGTAACTGGTTCCTCTAATTGTTTTATCTCCACGCACCCATCCATGCTTCGTACTCGTTCGCTCCACCCGTGAACTCAACGTAATAGGACGGAACAAGGCTTGGCGCTGGGAGCGGAGTGGGCCCTCGTTCAGCCCTTCTTAGCCCTACAGGATATGCACCTTGGGCCGTGTCAAGTGGCAGTATAAGTTCATTTCGCAAAGAAAAGAAACCCTGTTCGTCATTGAATAATTTGCTTCACGATCGTCAAATATACCACTCCCCCATACCTTGCATCCCTCATCCTTACATGATACACCCAGCCCCCAACAGCTTATCCCAGCTCAAGAACGAACAATCCTGTGACGGAATTAGAGCCCACGGCACGTAGATACACGCTATCAGTTCATTTTCAGGAAGCAAGTGGACAGGACTAACAAGTTGTCTTCTATTTGAATATGAGACAAATTAAGAAACTAACCTAGCACTCCTTCGCGAATCGGTAGCAGGTCTACATACACTATAACTTTATATTGATATTTAACGCACACACACGTTCCTCACTAGTGCTCATGGATATATGGGATCAATTTTCCAGCGCCATAGCCTAGTCAGGGCTCTGATGCATTCCACCAGAGAACCTTCAGAGATCCTTCCTTTCTTACTCTAGTACCTCTAGTGCCACTCTATTCAGCGTCAAGTGCATGTGAATTGTGTAAACTATCTGGCCTATTCCGCATCGCAAATAAGCCTTTTACGGTTCTTGTTCGGCCTCGGGCCGTGGCACCGCTCACTAGTAGCGATCTACCACCCGGGCCCATATAATGTCTTGCAATGTCTCAGGGAGAGTTCCCAACCTGAGGCCCCGAAGATAAAAGTTATATCCCCAGGGTTCAGTCTCACTGATTCCATTACTGCATCATAGACTGGTGTTTTGGGCTATGATATCATTTTAGAATGTCTATTTCATGAGCATTCCTGTGCCTGCCGATCGTAGCTGATTATCAGCCCCTGCTCAAAACCTCGACAATATGTAGCCAAAAAGTAGCCTTCAATATACTGAGGATAAATTCTTCAAGAAGTTTTATTTCAATCATATATAAATCATAAAATAACATAGCTAGTCACTCAAGGCCCGGGGCTGCGTGCCCATTTAGACCTGTGGTCGGCTCTTACACTTCAAAGCCAAGCCATTTTGAAATTAATTCAGTCCTCCAAGAATGAGGACATTTTATGACGCACTTCATATTTACGAAAGCGGCCTCAATTCTCGTGCGTGGTATTACGGTCGACACCCACGTTTGTTTCTGGACGTAAATTTTGTCCCCCGTGCAACGTCGCTGACGAAGGGTGTCCACTACTAGTATTATCCTTTCCCGCTATCGACTGATATGGAATCGTGAGTTTTGTTATTGCTTCTCTAAATCCAAAGTATGATTTCTCCGGATTGTCTGCTCTTTTAGCCAATGGCGCTGGTGATAATATTCTTTAAAGAACACCGTTTCAACCCTATTCAGTAAATGGACCGGCATCTGTCACGCCTGTGAGATGTTGTGTTTTTGAACTCGAATTTTTCAAGACTCATACTGCACGGAGATGAAATTTCCATTCCATGCTAATTCAGACTTCGTTGGGACTACCGAGTTTGTTATAATTTAGCATCAACATAGCATCCCTAATCTACTTATTCTTCTACTCGGGAAAGTGGAATATAGACGAGCTATTTACCAACTAGATGAACGAAAAGGCTGTGCTGTCCAGGATTTCAACGAGGGATATTCCATGTCCCCACAAGGGATCCATCATCCCGACATCCCGGCCCTCCGATTGGTCGGATTATTGATCACTTCAAACATTGCCCCGACTGCCTACACATCTAGCAATGATAGAGCGATCACAGTTCAATATTTGCCCGGAAAATATCCTATTCCTGACATTTGAATTTACGATCTATCCACAATGCTGAGCGGTGGATAATGTCAGAGGGGGACGAGCGTGGAGCCGAAAATTATATAACAACCAGGGTATCCTGCATATTCGCCGTTACTATCGAGGTTCGGTGCATCATATCCTATTGACCCGCGCTTGAAAATGGAATCAAAGCCATTCAAGGTCATTATTGCTGGTGGCAGCATTGCCGGACTTGCTCTTGCGTTGATGCTGGAGAAGAATGGCATTGACTTTGTCGTCTTAGAAGGTTATGGCAGCATTGCGCCGCAGGTTGGAGCCAGTATCGGCCTACTGCCAAATGGCCTTCGGACTCTTGATCAACTGGGATGCTACGAAGCTGTTCTGAGAAAAGCAGAATATCCGGTCGACAAAGTCTTTTTCCGGAATTCCCAGGGAGAGCAGTTCTGGTCGCTTGAGGACTTTGACCAGGAGACAGTTGATCGGTTTGTGGATTATGTGTTGCGATACTAGGAAGTTTACTAACATTTTATCTTCTCCAGTCACGGATATCCCGTCATCTTTCTCGATCGTCGCATGTTAATTGAAGTGCTCTACGACAAGATCCAGGACAAATCACGAATTCTGACGGACCAAAGAGTTCAAAGTATCAGCAATGACGCATCCAATGTCACCGTCACTACGAGTACCGGCCGAGCCTTTACGGGGAATATTGTCGTTGGAGCAGACGGCATTCATTCCACCGTTCGCCAGGAAATGTGGAAAGAAGCAAAGAGGATAGACCCCTCGTGGATTGATCCTTCAGAGGCATCCGGTATGTGCACCACGATAGACAGATGCGAACTTTTAATTAATGACCACCAAAAGCACTTCCTGCAACGTACTCCTGCATCTTCGGCATATCGGAGGGAGTTAAAGGAATTGAAAAAGGCACACTGCATTCGGTCTTCAACGAACATTTCTCATACTTGGTTCCAAGCGGCCCAGGTGACCGAACCTACTGGTTCCTCGTCATGAACATGGGAAAAACGTTGTATGGCGATGATATCCCTCGATTTACAAAGGCAGATGAAGAAGCCGCGGCGAAGAAGCATTGGAACGACCGAATTACTCCCACGCTTCAATTCTCCGATTTGTACAAGAGCAAGATTGCCTCAGTGCACACAACGCTGCCGGAATATGTGTATAAGAAGTGGTATTTCCAGCGAATGATGACAATTGGGGACGCCAGTCACAAGGTATGTCTGCCCACAGATCGAAGATGTGTAGAACCTGACGTGAATTGATTCCTTTGATAGTTCGAGCCATTGACCGGTCAAGGCGGCAACAATGCAATCGAGACGGCAGCTTCTTTGACAAATTATCTTGCTGCGGCTCTTGAGCGTTGCACTTCTGGCACCTTGTCGACTGTCGAGATATCCAAAGTGTTTGAAAACGTCCAGGAACAGCGCCAAGACCGCGTATGGGAACTGGTCAGGGCATCGCACGCTCGACAGCGTCTGGAATGCATGGAGACACCACTGTTGAAGCTGATTGGGAAATATTTGATTCCGATCCTGCCCCGATACAAAGTCGTCGACAGATGGACACAGTTTTATTCCCCAAGTGTATCCTTGAACATGCTCCCACAGCCGGACAAAGAGTGGGAGATCGCATATTTCGATGAACGTTTCAGGGCTCCATATTCCCGTGGGATTGGAGGAATATTTCTCTATGCCGCGTACTTCTTCCTGGCCTGGTTGGGCCATCGACAATTGAGGATAGCTGGCAATGAGAATGGGACATGGGCATTACTTCGTCAGGCCATGCAGAACGGGTCAATCCCACTCATGGGAGATACAGAAGTCGCTCTTCGTCGGGTGTATACCGGCTCTGCATCTATTGATCTCATTCTCCAAGTCCTAGTGACCTTCTTCTCGCCAGCAGTCGGTAACTTCTCTAGACCAGAGCAGCCACTGCAGGTAGTTTACTTCCTTGCTTCGATAGTCCCATTGATGGCTATCTTCACTGTGGAAGGGTACCGGCCACGAAATAGATGGACACTTCTTGCGATTCCCTCGGTGTGGGGTGTTCTCTATCAGCTGCGTGGCATCGGATTCATTGCTCCAATCTACTTCGCAGTGAGCACGTACATATCGTCTCCGGTGACCTATTTCTCTCCAAGCTCGCGCAACTTGGCTCCCTCCACGGCTCGTGCGATCCTCTTCGCTGTTGTGCTGGGTTATGTGCTGCCGTCGATGATGTTGTTCTTCCCCCTGGAGCATGCCCCAGTTACCCGACAGGCCTTGATTGCCCTGTGGCAGCCTGTTCCAGTTTACGTGGTTATATTGACAGAGATATTCTCTCGCATAATTAAGCATCTCGAATTGCGCAAATCAGTCACGCCAACGATGTACAGCAAGCTCAATCTTGATCTACCTTCGTTGAAAATGCTTTATGCTGTCACTGGCTGTATTGCTGCTTGCTTTCATCTGGCGTTGTTAACCAGTTGGTATGTCTCTGGTGGCAATTTCCTGGTCAGGGCGCTCATACCAATCAATTCGTTCGCCTCAGTATCCAATCTCGCGGATGGCATTTTCATATTCTTTCAGAATGATTTCTTGCTTGTTGCCGCTGCTAGCATCCTGTGGTGCTGGTCCAGTATTTGGGATCTTTATCGCATGGGAATTTCAAATGTTTCCATCTGGGTATCTTTGGCGGGTCTAGCCTTTGGGTCGGTGATGTTTGGACCTGGCGCGACTGTGGCAGCTGTGTGGTACTGGAAAGAGGATGTTATGAGCCAGAGGAAATTCCGTTCGATATCTCGATAGGCTCATCTCGCTTTAGTCGCGTTTGGCGTGAGCTCGACCACCCGGAAAGCAGTTCCATGGTCATTTGTACATTAACGGCAGAGGATAGAAGGTAGTTGTGACTTGGCGTGATATTAAGTGCAACTATTTTGAATTATACAAGGATTATTAATCATGAAGTTCTGAATAACAGTTTCATCCTGGAGTCATGGTAGTATTGACCCATTCTGCGTTCCGGGATACTATTCCCTCAACGTCCGATCGGCGGAAGCCAGCCACGCAGCCTAACCCAACTGGAAGTCGGCTCAGCACTAGAAAGGTAAGTAAAGTCAGTTAGTTTCATCGGATGAAGAAATGAAAGGGTAAGTAGGAAGCGTACAGCTGAGCAGCTTGTGCTGACCAATAACTCTCGTCATTGTGTGCGTTGATGTAGTCAAAGCTGAAAATCCGGTCTCCTCAATCTGCGGTATCGATGAAAGCATCGAGGGAGATTCGGAGGGATATTCGCTCAATTCAATACCCTCGCTGAACAGATACCCCTCGATGTCATGAACATCAAACCAGTCTTCATCAGAATGAACATGTGAAACGCCGTTCGATTCCCGAAACAGATCCAGTCTATTTGGCAAAGCTCCAGGTGCTGGTGATTGAAAATGAGTCCCCGCACCACCAAGGCTGATAAAGGGAAACCGAGGATCGGCGATAGGATTGCAGATTTGCAAATCCACAACACGCCCAAAATACGCCCGGATTTGGGCTCTTGGTAATGTTTGCAAGGATAGCCCGAACTCGGGCCACAGTTCTTCGTCTCTGTATACGAGGTTTGAGAGGAAGCGATGGCCACTTTCTGCTACGGCTCGGAAGAGTCGCTGCGTGAAAGGAGTGTTGGCGTATTGGATGATGACTGTGTCAGCAAAGGGAAAAGATGGGGGTATTTGAATTGAATCATCTGGATGATCAACTTGTAATCGAGCGTTTGCAGGTGGAATCATTGCCGACGATGAGTTTAAGAAGCAGTTCCAAAAAGTGGTCTGTGTTGGGGGTTGAGGGTTGGCCGGTATCTCTAATACGAATTGTTCCTGGTGGAACTCATTGGCTCGAGACAATTCAACACCGGAGCTGCGTACTGTGTCTTGAAAATGCACACCGGCGGATTTGAATTGTGATACTATATCGTTCCGGAGTAGTCTGACTGCCTGGAAGAGTCGAGGCTGAGGCCACTGCGAGCCATTTTGTAAGACCTGGTCATCGAATGCATTTATTGTCTGGCCAATATGATCAAACGCATTTTCCAACTGCTCAACGCGGGCTTTTAATGTCGAGAGTTGTGATTGTTGGCGCGATCGATAGGCCCTTTGTGCCTCGCGGACCTGAGCCCGACGCGTCTGCAAATAGTCAGACTGGGTTGTCGATCTGACACCTGGAGCTCACTAGTATTACATCAGATTGTTTTCGTGGTCGACCTGGCTTTGCTCGCGTAGACATTTTGGGTTGATGATTGGAAGTGGGCGCAGAATGACACGGGGACGGGATAAGCGCCAAGACTCAATTACTATTCGATCGACAACCTCGGTTTGTCCAATCTGTGGGAATATAAGTGTACCTGAAACCTGAAACATATGGCGGGACTTTGGCTGGCTACATATATAGCATTTTTCTGCAAATGAACCTTTTGAAGCAAAGTGTCACTTTGCTAACGTATACATTGTTGTCTGTCAAACGCTCGGTGACCAAAATTCAACTGAAACTATTATGTAGAACCCTATAGAATAGACATAGCAACAGTACTATTATAATCGACATTTGCCTGCACACTTTCAATTCGAGAACCGCAAGTGCCAAAAATCCGATCCCAAACTCGAGTCTGCTTACCATAGTTATGGCTCTTCTTCCACCCCTGACGATGATGCAGATCATGATCCTCGATCACCAATTCTGCATCGAAGATTCTCATGAGCCATGTCAGGGGATTAGGCGGTGCAGCATGAAGACGGAGACCACTATGTCCAGCAAGTTCCGCAAACATAACATAAAGTTGACAAACATGCCATTCATAGAAACCCATCGGCATGCCCATCAGCCTCATAGTGAAGTAAGTCATCAAAGGGATCCCCGCAATATCGAAAAACTCCTGCTCAGAGTCCGCATAGATGGTAAGAAGTGGGTTAGGATGTTTCGTCAAATGATGCGTTCGGTGGAATTTCCATAGGCCATTCACATCGTGCATGATGCGGTGGTACCAGTAGAACCAGAAGTCGAGGATAATGCCATAGAGACTGACCTCCGCAGCAATCCATTTCCAATTCAACGAAATTGGTGCCTCTTTAGGATTGTATGTCATGTATATTGTCATCAAGGGACGCACAAAGCCCGCCAGCAGGACAGATATTAGAGCCTTTTGGACCCCTACGTCGGGCACGCCATCTCGTTCATGTTTATCTCCATCCAGAAAACCATATTGATGGCCAAGCTCACGCAGGTTCCGTAATTCTCGAGTCGTGAATAGCCTCGATGCGTAATAATAGTAAAAGAATGCGACGATTGGATGGAAATGACCTCCGGTAATCGAGTTATAGAGCTGGTGAATAAGAAGTGGAACGCTGGCATGGACGATGACCCAGCGGTTTAATGCCCAGTCTGAGACATAGGGTATTTTCTCTTCTTTCAAATGCACGGGCACTTCCCGTTCGAGGTCAACGTGGTGTACATTGGCGTGCTCGAGAATCTTGTGTGGTATCTTCCATTGGTCTTTGTCCCAGGTGCGCCAGGTAGACTTCATGGAGTCTTTCGGATTTCGCGTGGTCGTCATTTTTGTAGAAATCATACAAGTTGTGTGCCGTACTATAACTTATTAAAAGGGAATGAATGATCCGGCCAGGGACCATCTTTATCGTTCACGCTATGTCGATCCCCATGCTTCATTTTTGAATCGTAAGACAAAGACCGAGGTTTCTGCGCATGTGTTCGCCAGGACAAACAAATCCCGGTCTTATTTCATTTTTTGCTTCAGAAGATTGCCCCACGTGTAAATTCGTCGGTTTACGGCATCATACATCCCGCTGAAAGAGCCAGCTCGCACTGGTTTCCTAAGAGGGCTTAGTGTGGTGGGTCTACCTTGGTCCAAAGTTAATGATCTTATGGAAGACTTTATACGGAGTATAAAACATAGATCTCGGTCGCGTGGTGGATATGGGGTATACAAAGTTTGTTCCCTTGTGAGCCATCTGCCATTTCTTGCTGACTGTTGCTAGCATATGCCGGGTGGGTAGTATTATTCAGGGATTCTATCTTGCCATTGCTCTTCTCTGTAATGTAAAACTAGCAATGTCTAAACATATCGCAAAGGCGACCCAAGTTGTGCTAGAATGTTCCTTTTTTTAGCATTCCAGCATTCTAATAGTCTAGATAGCGGCATTTTTATTACCGACGCAGTCTCGAGAGACTTTACAATTGATTTTTGAAACACCAATTTTCAAGGAATTAACATTGGATTGATAATTCTTGACTTGCGCACATCAAATCTGACCTGGGCTTCGAATTTGACTTCTATTCTTCTGTGAGGTGGATGAGATATTCTTTTCCGATGGGTGTGGATTGTGTGGGAGCGTTTTGTTCCATTCTGAGCTTACCAACCCAAACCAAAAGATAGAGTTCTCAGGGTTTCAATTTCAAATAACGTTATTGAATAATCATCTGCAATCAAGCTCAGCTTCTACTGTAGCCCGCCAAACGTATCACTCCACAATTTGTTCTCATCCCGATCATCATATCTTCTCATGACCTGCCGCTCCATTCTCTTCCATTCTGCGTCCTTGTCTTCCCAATCTTGTATGGCCCGGAACATTTCGGGGTCATTCAAACGCACCCATTGCTTTTCTCTGTGTTTTGCGAGAACCTGTTCCCGTCTGAGAATATAAGGATACAAAGATCGTCGTTTTTTGGTAAATTCGCTGCATCTCTCATTTGAAAAGCCCTTATTGTGCACCTGGTCGCGGCAAGAGATAATCAAATCGATGTGCCAGTCTTTGATTTAGCCAAAAAAGCGGTTGATTTGTTCTTCGTCGCCTTTATCTTGAAGTAAACCAGCAACAAATCTCCACACCTGCTCTTTGTAGCGAAAAGAGACTCGTTCTTCTCGGATTGACAAACTCAACCGTTTCTCGTCCCGAACGAGCCAGTGGGCAGTGAAGAATTCTTGAAAGGTAGGATGAATAAAACTATAGCTAGCTTGTTGACCAGAGCCGTGCATCTTGAGTAAAGAGAGTTTGCTTAGGTCGAACAAAGTGGGCGATTCTTTGTCCTGGTTCCTCTTCATCTGGCCCATAATTTTATTAATCGTTGAATTACTGTAGCTGGTTTGCTTTTGCTGGGTCAGATCAATGGCAAGCCTGCCGAGAAATTCATCTTCTGGGTGGAAAGAGATATTTGAATGTCGATCCTTCCTGCTTTCTTTTTCTGCTGACTTCGTTTCTCTCCCTTGATTTCTCATTCATAAGTGGCAGGATAATGAGCACTATAACACAGCTAGCGACTCAATAGCAAAAACCCCGCCGATATCTTGTCGCTATTGCTTTTAGTCGGAGGGGATATCGTGCGAAGTGCTATTGCCCAGCTTTTTGGTATCTACATCCAGCCTTTTCGAAAGGGGCCGAAACTTTACCTCACCCCTGTAGCATTTTACTTTGGCTGGGTAGGCTATGCCTTCTTCTCGTTCGCATCGTGGTTGGCGATAAGCAACTGATGCCATCTGATCCTGATTGCCCTTCTAAGGTCATTAACTGCTCGACTGGATATGCCCGGGAAAATCGCTTCTGGTTGCTCGGACGTATTCTCCGCGATCATGACATAAGGGTTGAAAAAACACCAGGGGATGAGTTTGAAGATTTAGTTGATACTAAGCCTTACTTGTCTTTACGTATCGATATCTTTGAGATCCAGCAGGGGCCCAGAAACCGCCAAATTGATCACGTCTAGGTCATAGGGTGGTTGGTTATAATGACCCAGCTTATACTATCTATTGTGCCATGGATATGTTTCGGAAATTGGGGTATTTTTCTGCTTACAGCCTGCGGTACTATTTTTGCCCTACTCACGGGTAGTCTACGGCAATGGGACCTCGAGAAATGGGCGGGCCCGCTGCTGAAGTGGACTGATAGATTTAAAGGCAAAAGTAAAACCAAGACTGTGTGCCTACTACGTGGTAACGGTCATCGACACGCTATGGTACTCACCGGCAAAGATGGCGCAGTTGACTTGGAGAAAATGGCGACAGCGACATCAGAATTATTTAAGGAGACACCCTGGGTTTTCAGTATAGAACTACCTTCCTGGAGGGACTTTTAGCCCACGAGAATTACTACACTTATATAATACGCTGTGTGCAATCAAATTGTAGGTTTAAGCGGCTGAGTGAGGCAGCGAGACACTAATGACTAGCACTTGTTGTAGAACCTATTCTGAGCGGATATGGATAGGAGTTACTAGCACGCTGAACCAAATGCTCGTCTCCGAATCTAGTGGTTTCGCAAATGTTCGGACCCATTGGGAATTAATCTATGATGATGTTGACCCACAGAACTGCGCCCAATGGAGAGTTTCTGTAAAAGCAACTAAGTCCATAATGCCGCTTGAACCACTCGTTCGTGAGGCTGCTCAGTAAGAGCAAAATGTATTGCACTCATCTCCTGAGTATGCAAAGAGAGGCTTTCTCGAAATTTGCGAAACTGACTGAAAGTACGTTGAACAAATTGGTTGCTTTTTATACTCGGACGAGGAAATTTCAACAGCGTTCACTGTGGAAAAGTAGGATTGAATTGGATTGGCTAAATGAAAACTCTTCCTCCACCTGGACCATAGATTAGGAGTAGCTCATAACGCATTACACAGAATCCTTCTGTTCTCGTAGTATCAATCCTCCATTTCCATCATCAGATGCCTGAAGTCGAACAACCAATTCTTCAGCTTTCCTCTCCATAACACTGACAGCCATACAACCTTCTTTGTCAACATCATGTAATCCGTGATATAAAAATGCTAGTACAGACGACTTCCATAAACTCGTGCCATTCTTTTTGTTGTCAATAATGACCATGACAACGAATATGATCCCTGTGACCACTAGTACAATTGGAAGAATTAACCAGAGCCACTGCACTTCCACATAGACTTCAGTGACATGTGTAATGCCGTGCACATCCGAGCCATTCAGGCGTAGAGCTTCCTTGTTCATTTGTTTGGCAACGTTGGACATGATAGTGTCAAGACCGACAGAGCCAATACGAATGGTGTTGGGATCGCCATCTGGTTTCGCGTCTTGGTTTCCGTCTCCCTTAGGATATCGAAAATGGAGCCGAATCATAGATCCCACAAAAACGCTCTCATGTAGTTTTATATCATAAGAAATACCACAAAAGGCATACTCAACTGAGCCGAGCTGGGCATATGTGGAATTGTCATTGCGGATATAATCCCCAAATGTTATATCCTGCGGGCCAGATGTTGGCTGCCAACACAGCGTTTCGCCCGTGGGGGTCGAGTGGGCAGGACTATTTCTCCACAATAATTGGCCGTAGTCGAGAACTGAAGTATTTATCTCCGGCGTACCATCTTCGACGGACACATCGTGTTCGAGAACACAGAGCTCAAGACTACACTGTGTCACCTTGTCAACTTTCATCCCGCCAATAAGATCCGAGTCCGGGCCGAGGTAGTCTTCATCATACTCTATCTCGGCATAAGCGACAACCATCAGCGGATCACCTGGCCAATTAAACGAGTAGTTCCCATTATGAGAATAGTCCACATAAACATTAGCGCCATAAGCCGAAAAGACATGCCAAGAGACACTACTCGTTTGGTACACCGACGACGAGGATTCCGAGGATTCCAACAAAAAAGGAATCCCTGATAGAATTGAGCCGAATTTCCTTGAGGGGGGGTAAGGTGACATGTAAAATTCATCGCTCTTCTATCGGGCTGATCGGAGATCTTGTTAGGATAAACCTCGAATTCTTCGCATTTTAGATCAACGGATTTCGTGATATCAAAGCACCGATTACACATTCCAGCGGATCGGAATCTCGACCAGGTGCAATTTCCCGATGAGCAACTGGGTCTCAGCATGGTGTCCTCAGACCAAAGGCCCGAAGAGTAAATGAAGTTATAGTCTATTGCAGGGACGAAGTAGTCCAACCTTTTCGTTGTTGCAACACTTCCGCCGCCGTGCATATCAGTCAACCGAGTAGGGTAGCTAATGATCTGCTGAATGAACGGATCGAAAGCAAGCAGAAGTATGATAACAACTGCCCCAATAGAGGCTAATGATCGTCTTGTCCTCTGAAACAGGGTGGCGATCGAACCAAGGGGTCCTCGACTGGCACTATCAAGTGTCTGTATATCGACAAGCGTTTTAGGTTTTGCAGAGAACCAGGCCCTTTTAAGTTGACCCATAGCCTCTCCAACCACAAAAATCAACGATGATTTGCAGCCTGTTGCTAAGACTGAGATAATAGCGTTTAGGGACAGGCCAGGGTAGATCATCGGTCGGCTCTCTTGATTATAGGCAATGAGGATACTGCATATTGCAATGAAGCACGCGATACTGAAGAGTGTCGCAGTTATTTCAGGAATCCATGTGTCCAGACAAAGGGATCTCCAGCTCCAATTCTTCGGTTTGATGCCTTTTCTTAGGCTAGTATACCGGGAAGCCATTCATAAAATGAGATTTTCTGCTTCGTCAGTTGCCGATAAGGTTTGTTAAGGTTACAGTTCGTAGAGGGTTGAAGGAGATTCGAGGAGATTCGAGAAAATAAAGAGAGTCAATCCAACACTTGAGGAGGCTGAGCTTGCCTAGGTGCTAACCAGGCATTATGCAGGCGCTGCCCTGCATAGCAAACACAAACTAGTTTGCTCAGGGTAATAATCAGCATCCCAGATGGGCGCAAGGTACATAGGAAGCAGCATTTACAACGAATGATCCATTATCATGGCATCACAGGGGCCATTCGGGCGACCTATCATGGATGCGGTGATCGTGTCGCCTTGTAGTCTCCTCAACCGGTTTTCACCTACATATAAATATGCTCACCCCGTCTACGAATACTATAGCCCACACACCCTTTCGCCCCAATCGCGCGACCACTAAAGCAGCCCCCACCCTGAGATCACCCGGGCAAGATCTGACGAACCCTTGTCTGTCTTAGAGAAATATCTGGTCGAATATGGGAAACGTGAAGTCTCGAGGTCTCTATTGAAACAAGTTTCTATTCAACGCTCATCCAAGGACATACGACCGTAGGGTATGAACAGGGCTTCTCGTCCGTTTAGCCGTACTGAAGCCCTGGATCCACCAATCTATAATCGCGGGAGGGATAGTAGGATGGGGAAAAAGCAATGCTTGCTTCTGCGTCGCACGAAAGGGGTTAGTAGAGCGAGTTTGTTCTAGATAGGCCGGTTGAGAATTCCGCTGACGCGCGGTTCGCGCCACCACTCGTGATCAGCCTTGGAAGGATTATGGGATGATTGGACCATCACACTACCCACTACTAATACTTGCTGATCTGCTTTTCACTTGTACCTAGGTGCTATGGTTAAGGGTATCATTTGCATTCCCGAGGTCTTAATATAATCTTTGTAAGAACTCAAGATGATAGGATATCACGTAGTATTGGAGAAAGTAATAAAGCTGAAGAGAGAGAGAAAGAGGGAAAAGATTGCGATGTAGTCGCAATATGATATCGTACATGGGATGGCAGCCTAAGCACGTGACAGAAGGTCAACGGGGTCAGGGCCAGGTTCATCATATTACCCCTTCCTCTTTTAAAAGCCTTTAATCGATTTCCGAGGTCTTTTTGAAACCAGTCTCTCCTTCCTATTCGGGTTAGTTTTATCTTGTAGAGGCTTATTATCGTCTTTATGGTCTTCTACAAATTCGTTATCCTCTGCGGCTTTTGACTAAATTGCTAGTCTTTTCGGAGGTCCTGGTTTGTCGGGGTATTCATTATGGAATATGTGAAGTTTTTTAGGTGTATTATTGTAGTCTCTGGCCGAATACTATTTCGTGTCTTTAATATTAATCTATGAGGCTCTGCATTAAAGTTTACTATAGTGTAACTGGGTGTCTTTGATTCGATTTACTTTGTATTCTTCTTTGTCATTAACGAATATTCGAAGCAGATCTTCCAGCGACAGTCTAGAAGACGGGAAAACCGTGGTAGGTATTTGAATTCATACGTCCTCCACTCATGAAGATAAGTCTCGATAGACTCCATCGACTTTGAAGGGCCACATTTTGATATTCTGGAGGATCATGTATAATCAAGGATGTTCGAAGACATGAGCCAGGATGTAGCATAAGATACTGAAGTGATTGAGATAGATGAATGTGGGGAACGGCGGGTGTGGGAGGAACCATTAGGGAATACAGCAATGTTTTCTCTCATCCAGGGTCCAAGTGCGTGGCTCTCGGACACTCAGCCGCAGCCAAGCCCTTAGTTAGGAGGGACCCACTGCCTGGAAGATCATCCGACCCCTAAATCAACCCGGCTATGTACTCAAGTATAAGGTGGGGCCTGCATGACTGCCAAGCAAGACCTACTCTAGGTCGAATTGTGCGAGTGCCCTGCATATCTCACATTTCTCTCCAAGCAAACCTCGAGACAACTTAAAGGGAGCATATCACCTAGGCACCTATATAAAAAGATCTCAAAGCCAGTTCAATTCAGATTCTGGACGAGTCGATAAAAGCAGAAATATAGAAATGAGCAGCTGATATCACATGGTATGAAACAGAATTCGATAGAGCTATGAAGCATGTCGTAGAATCAAGACCAGGTATCTGAAAATAATTAATAGTTACTGAGAGGCTGGTGGTCACCGTCCGTATCATGCAAGTCTTCTGACTAGTCACAGCCTATGCACCATATGTACTGTTTGCCCGGGCAAAAGTACAGTATGTACAGTAGCAATACCCAGCCAATTAAAACCGCGATTTCTCACGCTACCAAAGCCGACTGAACCAAGCCAAGATGGCACTAGAATGCATGTCGCCCAATTGGGATCTCTTGTTTGATTGTTCGATATTGCTTCTTCTGTCTCTTTCGTCCTTGAGTAGTCGTCCTCTGTCAACATACCATAGATGGAAAGTGATGACAGCATGCATGAGTATATGATATCGGGTTTAGCAGATCGTTTATTGGGTGATCCTTTGGCACAGAACGGTACAAGAAGTCCACGTATGAACCCTAACCAAGGACGAGGATAGCGATAGATCAGAATTTCTCTATAGTAAGCTAGCGAAACGACTCGGTTTCTACTGTATAGCTACGTGATTCAAAGAGGCGTAAGAGATCAATTACGAAACGCACTATGCATCCTATGATTTAAGGAATTCTAAGTAGGATTCATTAGTCAGGGTTTTCCCACTGGGTTTCCTATCCCCTGTAGAGTTTCTGGGGGGGCATCCACCTGCGGAGTAGCCGAGACGGAGAACTAACCCGGGACGGGGAGTCAGCCCGATTGGCAGCTCTTCACTGCCCAGAACCGGCAGGGATTCTCTCTCAGTAGCGCGAGGCTGTACAGTACGCTCTCTGGAACCTGAACACCAGTTGAACCACCCACTTGGGGCTCCTCTGTTTCGATGGCCCACAGCGTATTTGACCAAGCCCCGATCAATCACAGCCCTTGGAGTAGGCGGGACGTCACAGTATTGCCATCGTTACGAAACCGCTAGGAAGTAGATAGTTCAATCTGTCGTATATCCCAGCCTCGCGCAACGAAACTTTTCTTGTCTGCGTATTAACCTGTAAACACTAAGTGCTGTGAGTGTCACGCCCATAGCATTAGTCATTTATGCATGGTCGGCCCCAGGCTCGGCGTGATCCCAGCCAGTTTTTCCCCTGCCTTGCCAGCACATCGAGTCTTACCTTACTCGAGTCCCCATAGCCCCCAGGGCTGATCCTGGAAGTCTTCGCCATTTTCGTTGGGCCCATCAGGTTGACAATGGACATCCTGCTCTATATATTCGCTCTTCTTCCACTGGTCCAATCGTGGACATTTCAATACACCAACTCAGCCAACGAGACGACCACCATCCACGGGACCAAGAATTTGGACTGTACCGATATCGATCTTCCCAATGGAAATGCGGCCTCGTACGATCCTGAAGGATCTTTGCCTTGTCTTTTGATATATCAACGTGCAAAATGCCCGGACAGCGAGCAAAGCGACGTCAACGCCACCTCCTGCGAATCCTGGAAGTGGGAGAGCCCCGCTAATGGACGCTTTCGCGGTATCAAAGTACTCGTCTCGGGAGCACCAACCGCCACGGCCTCTATCTCTACTGCAACCCAAGCTACAGCGACTATAGCAACTTCAACAAGTCTATCTACGTCCTCCTCTACGCCCCCCTCTACATCCTCCGATGCATCCTCTGGGTTGACCTTGTCCGGCGGTGCGATAGCCGGGATCGTTGTTGGTCTCGTTTGTGCCTTGCTCATCGTGGCTGTGATATTCTTCTTCCTTGGCCACCAAAAACGAAAAGCCATGCTCGCAAATCAGCAGAATGCACCCCAGGGTCCGTATGAACCAAGCGCGACCGGGTACGCAGAGGCAGATGTGCTCATTTCCACGAAGGGTATGTTGAAGAAACCTGCCGACTCGTACCTCGCTGGCGTCGGACAGGCTCCTGGCTCTCAGCTTGCCGAATTGGCTGCATCTGGGCAAAATCGGCCCGCGGAGCTTGCGACCAATCCAGTTCATGAATTATACACTCACAACTAGAGATGTAATGGCTTTCGCAGACAGACACAGACTTAATAATTACGGACCGCTTTTTGGATAACTGAGAATTTGAATATTTTTTACCATTATTACTTTTTCGGAAAATCAAAAGAGCTAGTAAGTAGAAAATCTTCAGCAAAGAGCCGGGATGCTCGAGGCGAGGCGAAGCGAGATCTCCGATTCCATCTTTGGTGTAAGGCGTTACGCAGTCACTCGCAAAAGATGTCCCTGAAAGCAAAGAGACTATACCTCCCCTGCCTGAGCACTTGGCTCTCTCTTTAGGAATAGACTACATGAGTGAAATGAATTAGCTATCTTCACTGCCTTGTGACAGTCATTCACTGGCGAATACCAGGAGAAGTGATACGTCACGGAATATCTATAGGTGAAGACTTTTCTTGACAATCACGTTCTCTGATTGAATTGCCATTTTCGAGCATGTACTACATAACATTACCGAACGTGCCAAAATTTATGCCTAAGGCACAGAATCACTTTGAAAAAGTTGAGGGTGCCCACCGTCATCTGTGGTCTGAGTGTAGATGTCTAGAGTGGTCTCTAACAAGATCCAGGGGTAGATGCAAGGGGCAGTCTACCAAGTCTACCACGGTTCCAAGGTCACGGGGTCGCGTCCAAAGCCTAAATTTATGCTTATTTTAGGCGGACAACGGGCGAGTATATATCAGTTTCACATATTCAGCTGCTTGCCCACCGAAATCATATATGCTAGGGGTCTCCATTTCAAGTAAAATGAGGACATTCAATAAAGGACCCAGGCAAAGTGCTAGCACATTAGAGGAACACTCCGTTGTGTGAAAACCTTTGATGACTTCCAAAGTTCAAATCATAAATCACCTGAGCAGCCCTGGAGATAATGTAACTAAGTCACATTTCTGACAAATCCGACCTAAATATAGGTCCACGGGTCAGACCCTAACCCTCTTTCCCCGCAGTTGTTATCAGATCACAACAAAGACCATTCAACTATCATCCAACCTGGCCAATTCCAAACCCAACTCTACACCATTGAAAAGCAAGATCAAACATGTCTCTCGCAACCTTGGATGTGAGTATTATGTTGATATCTTCAGTTGACCCCTCTTCCCCGCTTCCCCGCTGACATCATGGGCCGTGAATCAGACCACGCAACATCCCTACCTCCCCGCGGCCTCTGCAACGCTCTTCAAAGCGAAGGCAGCTCGCAAGCTCACATTCGAGAAGATTGGTGAGCATCTCGGCCGCAGTGAAGTAGCTGCTGCTGCGATCTTCTATGGCCAGGCTCGAGCATCGCAAGAGGACATTGAGAAATTGGCAAGCCTTCTCGGAATTCCCCAGCAGCCGCTGGAAGACCAGCTCAGTGGATTCCCTGATCGGGGTCGCTCAGTTGAGATGCCACCCAAGGAGCCTCTTATCTACCGTCTTTATGAGATTGTGCAGAACTACGGATATGCTTACAAGGCCGTGCTGAATGAGAAGTTTGGAGATGGTATTATGAGTGCTATTTCCTTCTCCACTAAGGTTGAGAAGGAGACTGATGAGGATGGAAATAATTGGGCTGTTATCACTCTTCGGGGTAAATGGTAAGTCATGTCAGTCTCCGGGCTTTGTTCAGGAATATCTAACATAATTAGGTTGCCCTTCTCTCGCTTTTAAATCCATCTCAACTGGAGGACCATGCAACATGTTAAATCTGAATCGAATACTAGCATGAGCGCGCCGATAAGCAAATAAATTAAGTTCACATCATTGATATGACTGTAGTTCACAATCATCGCGTGATGGATCACACAAAGTACAATGCTGGTACATTGTAACGTTCCAAAAACTCAGGACCAGTTCGCTTTTTAAATGGAAACAATATGTGAGGTTGACTTTCAATCCTATGACCTGTCACGCCCCCAGTAATTCAAACCTCTTTAGCCAGGGCTCATCAGCATGTCGTGATGAGGCCTCCTCCGTTAAAAAGTGTTTCCAGTCTCAATGTTTTTTTCACTCTGCACTCATTCATTGCCAAGCGTCTTTCGGTTGCTGCCTTGGATAAAGAGGGCCAGTTGTTTGCACCCGTTCAGACTATCTGCAGCAGATATCTGGGACACCTCATTGTCTACAAAAATAACCACAGACAACATTTCTATCTCCTTCCAGGCAGTCTTGACTTCTCCTCTCCACATCTCTCTTTCTACACAACATGACCAACGAAAGCTACATTCCCTGTGCTCACTGTGGCCTTGATTTTCGCAGCCAAGGTGGGCTGGAAACTCATGTCCAAAATGTAAGTCTCAGCCGTCAAGAGTCGGAAGCTCTCCCAATCCTGATTCATGTGTCTCTCTTGCTTCCTTTCACATCCTCTCCCTCATATCTCTTTCTTAAGTTGCCTGCCTGTAGTCTAATTCTGCTCTGCCAATACTGAAACATCAACACAGAACCACAACATGGCCAAGAGGGTCTCCTGTTCCCACTGCGACTTCTCTTGCAGCTCAGCATCCGGCATTATCGTGCACCTCGAAAGCGGCAACTGCCCCGTTGTGAATAAGGATGGTCAGCACGGTGATGAGGTCAAGGCCGAAGGTCCTGCAGAGCAGAACTTCTTAGACGCAGGACGCTTCCCTTCCTCTTCCGAGTCAGACACTCTCCAGTCTGCTCCCTCCGAAGACGATGAGCAGGAAGGCGGAGTCAGACTGGATCTGGCCTCAGCCTCATTTCAGCTCGAGTCTAACACCGGTGGCTCCCAGCGCGGGAGGACGCTGGCTTCTAAGCCTTCAATTGACTTTGAGTCTGGTGGCGTGTCTATCTACCAGTCTATTTCTGTCTATGCCCCGGAGAACATTTTCGATAGACGTGTCGCACCCATTGACCCTCCACTGGGATCTCTGGCCAAGGATGACGAACCAACTCCTGACTCCAGCTACGATCTCAGCACGTCTCCTGGCCAACCAATTCCCGTCTTTTCTAGGGGGTCTCTCGCTCACGAACATTACCAGCTCACAGACACCTTTGACGAAAGCGGTTCCCTGCCATCGATATCTTCCCTCGAGACTTGCACCGACTCAAGACCTGCTAGCAACTTCCCTCTTTACCATCCAGCTACTTCCCTTTTCCGCTCTAAACTCCGTTCGCCTCCCGCTCATGTCCCTGAGCAAAGCTTGGAAGGCTACTCTGCCGAGCAGCCCGAGTCCGCAGTCTCTGGCGCCGGCACTCCCAGCGCAAGTACAACATCTCATCAAAGTCCTTTGAACGTCGATCCTCAGGAGTTCTGGAATGCCGACAAGGGCTGCTTCGTCTGCAACTGCGGTAGTTCATTCGAGACTGCCCGTGAGTTTCGCATTCACATTGCTCTTGGTGATGATAGTGCTATCAAAGAGTAAGAAAGTCTCTGTATATCCTAACCCCCTTCTCTGACGCTAATCCTCGCCAGCTGCCCCCGCTGTTTCAGGCGCTTCCAGAATCTCGCCGCTCTCGTGGCCCACGTCGAAGCCCCACTGTCCAAGTGCGCCGCCTTCGCAGATGACCTCGTTGAGAATGAGATCAACGAAATCACCCGCGGCTTTGCTACTTTCCGAAGCCATCGTAGCGACGTCGAAATGGCGGATGATCTCATCGACTTGGATACTACCAGCGAGACCAAGGAGCAAGCTAGTTCTGACGACCTCGATGATGATATGAAGCTCGCGGAGGAGTTGCATCGCTTGAAATTTGAGGAAAGATAGACATCTTCTCTTGCGGTACTCAGCCTCGAAACTGGACTTTTCATGAATGCTCGGGGAGAATGCGGTTGAAGTATGAGCGATGGCCCGATAGTTAATCAATTTGCCATTATTTTTTTTCAGAGACTACGATGGGGAACAGGAGATGGAAGTTAATTTTGCCCGTTGCATACAGCCATGAAGGGACATGCTGGGGCTATGTGGTGCGGCTTTGTTTTGAACAAATCGGAACTGGAGATCTCTTTCTTTGTGACTTTGTTCTTTTGCCATTCATTTACGTTTGAACTATCAATGGAAACCAATAAAAAGTCTGAAGGATTTGCATTAACTCAAATAAAGCAAAGGGTATTGCGAAGAACAGAAAAACAGCAAATCCGACGCCATCGTCGCGCAGATCTGCGCAAAAGTAGCAAAAATCATAAGAACACATCTGAAGCATATGGGCCATCCATCTCCATCATCTCCACATCCCCGTTCCCAGCTTTGACTGGATATTCCATACCGGTCACCACAAACCCATAACTGGAAAGTATTATTGTTCCGGTGACGCAGGTATCAAGCAGTATTCATGGTAGATAGGGGACGTTGAGAAGAGGGTAGAGAGTCGCGCATTTAGCAGCAGTCCTCACAGCACTCGAAGCAAAGGAGACCGGCACACCTGGAGATATGTCAGTAGGCATTCCACGAACTGTTGATTCCGATTCAAAGAAAAAACTTACACGCCGCAGCAGATATCGCCGACACCACCACCGCGCAGCTTCATGTTCTCCTGGGAGTTCTGGGGGCAGATGTTAGCTTTGGTCTGATCATTGCATGTATGGATCGCTTATGTATCGACGTACGGGCTGCTCAGTGACAACACGGTCGGTGGAGGGAGCCTCGGGGCTGGTGGGTTGTTGGTTGTGGACGGTAGCGGTGGTAGCGTCCCAGGTAGCCTCGGGGGCAGAGGACTCCTTGGAGGAGAACCACGAGAAAAGACTGTTGGCGAACATTGTGATGTGTTGGAAGGTGTTTTGAAGGTGTGAGATGTGAGATGTGAGGATGTGAGGAAATGAGATGAACGTGAGATGGAGAGATTGAAAGGAAATAAAAAAAAGAGTTGAAAGGAAATAAGCAAGGTTTATAACTAGAGCTGCTGTATTACTGTCAAGGTCAATTTTCTGCGTCTACTCTGAGGCCGCGAATCATATCCAGGAACCATCAATGGTCCACTTCGGGTATGTCGGAGGGCGTCGTAATGAGGCGTGGAGGTGGAACAGGGGCTGCGTTGCTTTCATTGGATGTTTCCACTGCCGTTGAGACTCTAGATTCTGTATTATTCTCATGAAAATAGCTATTATCTGCAGAAACCCCCACTATCGACCCAGGAATGACCTTAAGCGCCCTACTGCATTATTGGCAACTATCGAAGACCATCGAAGTATGCAAGATTTGACTCCACCGGCTAAGCTTCGGGGAAGCTTTTTATTTATAGCTGGGTGGCTGTGGTGACTACGCCACACATCGAAGGCACTTGATACTATTCTGGAATCCTAGTCATATCTCTTATATGCAATGTTAATGAAATATCATGCATTCATCAACTGTTGTGCAAAGGCAAACATGATACAACTCGAGATGCCACTGAACAAAAAATCGAGACCATGCCTATATCACATGACCTGCACATGCGGCACAACCCGGTCCCCGTGAAATTTGCATCTCCTCCGGCCTCAACCCAAGGCTGATCATCAACCCCACAAAACCACAATGTCATCACCAGACCCCACGGACATCGCAGCAAAGCGCGAAGCAGACTACAAGCGCTTCAAAAACTACGCAGCCTACACCTTCCTCATCGGCGCCCCAATCCTAGTCGCCCTCCCACCGCGCAAAATAGACCCCCTCACGGTCCTAGTGCTATGCTCCTTCGGCGCATCAGCCAACCACATCGTGGGCGACCGTACAGGCCGGAGTATCGTCGACCGTATCGATTCCCGCATCGCCGGGTTCTCGGGCGGAGTCTCCAGCATGCCCAGTGAGCGCGCGCAAGAAATCCAAGAGCGATTACGCGCCTCGCGCGATGCTCAAATCCGAGAGGCGGAGGCGGAACTGCTCAAGGCGCAGGCCGATGCGAATGCGTCGGTGACGGTTAGTGAGGAGCTGGAGAAGCTGAGGGCTCGGCAGTTGCAAGAGAAGGGCGTGGTGCAGCGCGTTTGGATGGGTGGGGAGGCTGAGGGGTGGAAGGAGAAGAGGTTGCGGAAGGAGCAGGAGGCTCTCAATGAGGGCAAGGGGTATGGCGATTTGATTCAGGAGCATATCTGGGATGTTTGGACTTGGGGTGGGAAGGATGGTGAGGGTGGAAAGGATGTTAAGGATGCGAAGGAGGGATTGGAGGTTGAGAAGAAGGAATGAAACTCACGGGGCTGAGTTTGCGCGTTCGTCTTGTATAGCAGCACCCCTCTCATTTTGTATTATATGTGTGCCTTGCATTGGGATTTGGCGTTTCTTGCATTGGATTCTATTTCCCCTCGTTCTTCGTGCTGGGCTAATACTACTGTTAACGCAAAGTTGATTCTTAGTGCGTCGGCAGGCCAACCATTCAGTCGTCGCAATTTCTGTAGGCGCTGCTCGTGTTCCATCTGTTATGCAGTCACTGGATTGTCTTGACTATCATCTGTGTTGGTCTCTCCAGTCAATGGAACCATCTGGTGCACTCCAGATATTTCAAAGTATGCAGTCACAGATGGAACACGAGCAGTGTCTACAGCAGTTGTGAAATCTTGATCAAGACTCACGGGCTGCGCAACTATTCGCGGCTTATTCGGTTGTTATACTTACGGTGTGTGGGGCTTAGAAACTATAGTACACAGGTAAGGTATAGCTCATGTCGTACGGAAATAATCGAAATTTATGGTATGAAATGATGTAGGTTGTCTTGTTACAAGCATAAAGAATAAAGCACAAAACATTTGAAATCTGAACTCAAAAGTGCACAAGACGGAATTGGAAGCTGATTAGGAAAGGTGTCCCAAAGGCTACAGTATGGAGGCTCTGCTTCAGTTGTTCTTGTAGCTCCAGGTTAAGATATCCAGTTGGAAGGCCATGACTGAGATCAATACTCTGCTGGTAATCCGCTTGAGATCAAGTGTAAAACAATGCCTTGCTTCAGAGTTGCCAGCATAATAGAAACAGCATCTTTTCTTACCTCGGCTCCAAGAAAGAGAAGGCAATCAGCTACACCAACTTACAAGTTACAATCTGCAATCTAAAATCTACGAAGAGACACATCTTGCAAATGCGTGACACATATTTATTTCACAAAAGCCTATAGAAAAACCCCATATATCCTCCAATTCATGCCAATCAACCAGCCAGCCAGGAGCCACCCACGAGCATGGCCTCGTGATGAACCCCCAGCCAGTTCTTGACCGACATTCCAAATGTACCCCTTGTCCTCCGAGTTGTTTCCTTTTTTGAAATTCTTTCCTCCGCGATAACTTGTATCAAGTTCACAGGTATGTGTCACAGCAAGATCAAAGGTTGAAAAATAACCTGTACAGGAGTTGCGATCAACATGAAAATATAATTAGAACTCTTTCAAGAGATTCAAAATATAACACACAGGTAGAGACTCGGGCCCAAGAATCGGGTACTCATGCGGTGCAGTATTCGTTTTGTAGGATGGATGTGTCAATTTGAGCAGCAACATTGACCATGCTGTGCACCTATATTCAATGAGATTAGCTGATATCCATGCAGTCACCGCAATCGCAGTGAAAGATGTACTGGGGATTGTCACGTACGATGTGTTGGAGGGCATGAACACCCTGAGTAAATGCTTTGATTCTCTTTTGGGCGCGGAGCTCGTTAGTTACTGTGCTTAGGGAATGGTGGTGCGGGTTTAGGGTGCTGAGTGCGTGGATTTCACTTACTGGGTCGTTGTCGGGGATGAGGGGTGGTGCGTCGACCATTTCAATGTCATTCTGTACGTGGTCAGGAAAATATAAACATGGAGTGCCGTAGAAGGGCGTGATTCTGGGATTGTGGCAGAAGAAAGGGTTGAGTCTTACTTGTTCATCAGATGGTGCATCTTGCATGTCGATGTCAGGGTCGACATCGTGGAATGTGCTTTGGAACTTGTTGGGCTGTTTGGAATTGTTAGTCTTTGGTTTCTGTTTGGATTGGGAGGCATAGTGAGGAGCGTCAGGCATTTCCTCATCTTCACTGGAAGACGACGAGCAGTCGGACACATCTGCATCCTCGTTCTCGCGGCGAGAATATATACGTACAATATTATTGTAATTTTGACGGTTGCCCCATACAGAATTGCCTCGATTGTATTTTTGATTCTGGCGATTGTAGTTTTGATTTTGCTGGGGGAAGTTTCGCTGATCATAGTTTCTTGGGCTCCGATTGGAGTTGCGTTGACCTTGATGGTTGTTCAGAGGGCGATCCATATCGACATCTTGATCCTGAGTAGCCGGCTGGTGACGGCGTTGATTGGACCGATGTTTATTTTGACTTTGATAGCCTCGATGAGAACCATCGTTGTGGTTCTGGTTGATATCAGCCCCGGGAATTTTCATGTTAGGACTATATGCAGATTTATATACCTGATTATGTTGGTAGCCCCGATCCCCGTTTCTTGCATCCGCCTTGTCCGCATTAGACTTTGGTACTTGAAGGAATGGATTCAGTTGATCTCTGCGGGAACTTACAGTATATTCAGAATGGACACAGTTGTTGGGCCCGCTATTGCGGTTGTGATTGTAGCCCGTGTTGTGATTCCGGTGGTGAGGAACTTGGTTCCTTTGATTGCCCGACCAGTTCTTGCGTTTTTTATTGTAGTCGGGGTCGGTGCCAGTAGCACCGAAGCCGCCAGGAGCGGAGTTCGACTCGTTAGTACGTTTTTTATTGTGGTCGAAGTGGGTGCCAGGAGCACGAGTGGACATATGGGTTCTGCCAGGAGCAGGGGAGGATCCGACAAACGCGGAGAAGGCGCCAGGAGCAGCCGAGGAGCTCGACCAGTTATTGCGTTTTTTATTGTAGTCGAGGTTGATGCCCGGGGCATCGATGCTTCTGCCAGGAGCAGGAAGAGGATTCGACCTGTTCATCCGTTTTTTATTGTGGTCGAAACCATTGCCAGGAGCAATGGGCGCATCTTTCCGACGGAAGACGCTGGTGCCTCTGTTTTTGGGAGACTGTGAGGACATCTTGTCGATACCGGCCTCAAAACTTGTGTAGTTCTGAGCGTGCCACTTCCTCTCCCCAGAAAGAGACCTGAACAAGTCGGACCACTCAATCAAACTTCCAAGGACCGGATTTCCAACTTCAGAGATTCCCAACACCAATGTTTTTGGATCGTACCGAGTGCTGAGGTCGCTAGTTTGCAGTGTCTGATGTGTTTTCTGCTTATAACGGGGTCCCAGTTCACCAAATATTTCACCTCAAAAGAATGCCGACTCCCTACAAGTCCAGCCACTTAAAGCCAATCTCCTGGTCACGCAAACTTGCTCAGAATCTCCACAGGTCAAGGGTGGAAAACAAAACGTCCCTTTGAGAATCAGGAGGTTTGTCTATACTCTAAATGCAATAAAAAAGCAAAGCGGCGTGGAAGAGGAGGCCAGGAGGGGTAATGCCGGAGAGGAGTTGCCTGTGAAGCCGTATATCACAAGGCGTCGATAAATTGGTTGGCGATGTCTTGATGAAATGGTCGATGAGATATAACAAGCAGGGCTTGTAGATAGCTCAGATGATGATACAGGATATGCTCAAGACAAAAATGAAGATGCTATCAGATGCTGCTTGATGGATGCAAGAAACGGGAATGGCAGGGGAGATGAAGAAGGAAGAAGAGGAAAGGTGAGTCAAGTCTCTGATATATTGGTCTAAGGTTTCTATGATACTGGTGGTGTATTTTGAAACTCGAGACGGCAGCATTGATACTTGGGTTCGAGTGAAATAGTGTTTGAATTAGCCCTAACTGCAGATGCGTCCACGGGTAGGCAGGGAATCAACCCGTTTTATACCGATATCTATATATGGCAATGGCAGTTGAAAAGCCGACAAAGGCTATTGTTGGCAACAAAAAGGTCAGCAGAACAAAGAAGTCCTTGGTCAGTCTGCTTTCAAGTTTGGTTGAGCCAAGAATGGTCTTTTGTTCCTGGGCATATGGCCCTCATTTTACATTATACAGAGACTCCAATCCGTGGTATGCAGTAGTGGAGAACCTGAGGTATCGATCTATGCGAAATGCAAAACATCAGAGCATCTGACTGCAACGCTTGCCCAGATGACCCTTCCGAGGGCCATTTCCCGAATCTTCCCGGTATTCAGAACGGTTGCTTCCTGTAAAGAACGGAAAGAATTGTAAAGGCATAGACGTCACTATTCGCACATCGAAGCTATGGCAGTTGGAGCGTACCGGGGTGTAATGAGTAAGACCTTGAGGAAGGACATGCCTCTGTCTGCTGTCCGAGTTGGAAAAAAAAAAGAAAACTGATGTGTATTAATAGGCTGCTTCTCAATATAAGATTCTGCTGCTCTACTATTTGTACTAAGTGGAATCAACAAAGAGTATTTTTGGCCTGTTTCGTGTCAGAAGGAGTCACCCTTCCCGATCAGGAATATAATGTCATTGTGACGAAGGCTTGGAGTAGCTGCTACAGATAGGCAAGAGGGGCAAACATTCGTAGTCAGTCAGGAGTAGTAGAGTGAATTATGTCTTATATCTATGCTGTAGCTGCCAGGTAATCTTATATTTAGTGCTAGAGAAGTAATATCAAGTTGAGTTGGTGGAGTGGCTAGGCCAACAAGACAGCCCCAACTAACAATAGGGAATGAACGTATTCAACGAGAGGAGATATCATTCGTATCTCAATATGATTTGCAAAGCAACATAGTTGCCATGACTTTTGCGCTAATGGTGCAGGATAAAATACAACAGACAGAAAGCAGTAGACTAGTAGTCCACCCACCATCCCCAGCAGCCCATCCAAACCAGGATAGAACCGTGATTTTCAAATGAAAACACAAAAGCGCCCATAGCACTAGTTATGCAATCCCCTACCATCCCTGTCTCTTCTTCTTCGAACCAGCCTCATCCTCCGCCTCACCAACCCTCTTTCGCTCATTCTCCACGCGCGCCCGCTTCTTCTTTGGTCGAGGCATAACAGGTGAAGTAGCTTCATTGGATGCAAGGCTCTCTCTCTTCCTCTTATCAGCCTTAGGATTATCCTTCTTCCGCCGTTGCTCTTCCTTGATCTTCAGTCTGCGCTGGACTTCAGCCGAGATATCTTCTGTCCCAAGTGATGTGGACGTGACGTCGTCCTCATTCCATTCGGACGGCTGTGAAACATCACGGTATCGTTTGGAAGCGCGCTCTTCACCTGTAGAGGGGTCTTGGAGCGGGATATCGGTGTCCGGGATCGTTGTTTCTTTGTCTCGGGAGCTTCGACGACGCTTCTTACGCGTGTTTGCTTCTGTGTCTGGATCTTGTGTTTGTGGGGTTGCTCTTGAGGCGGAGCTGGAGGAGGTATTTTCTAGGTCTGTATCAGTATTTGTCGGTTTTGGGATGGTGGATATATGATGCGGGGTCAAATGTCGGGTTTGGAGCGGATGGAACTCACTGTGCATCTGCATGCAGAGTTGTTAGTCAAGAGCTTGAGATGAAATCAAACCATCCGGATTCACTAACCATGTTCTTTCTGGCCAACTTCGTTTGGTTCATCGCCTGGACAGTCTTGTTCACCATCGACGTCACTGCTTGGAATGCCTCGCTGTCTGTTGCGGTATGCGCTTTTACCTGAGCCAAGACGTCGAGGTGGGAGGAAAGGACAGCTTCATGACTAGAGAACAGCTAAATTTTCATCAGGCGCCGGGTCAGCTGAAGTTCTGGCTCGCTCAGAAAAGCCGTTGCTGCTCTGTCAAGCCTCGGGGAGATTGCTCACGCCGCGACAGCTAGCTCAGAGCACAACAAACGAGACGTACCTCATTCCAAGGGATCGTGCGATTCGAACCACGCGCCTGTGGATTGGCGCCCTGCTTGCGGTCCTTTTGGTCGGGATTCATGGTGTTGGAATTGGAATTGGAGAAAGTGCAGGGATCGGCGGATGGACCTTCTCCGCGCCAAGAGTTCTGCTTAGATCGCGCCTTCTGAGCTTTAAGTGTACGACATGTGACTTGATCGCTAGGCATTGAACAGCTGTCTATAGATACAAGAATGGTTGGACCACGGATTAGGACTTGAAATGCTATTCATCCAATCGCTTATGCGTTATTATTCAATCTCATGGTACACTGCAAGACTCCAACGCCATTCATGTCCATGACCGCCCATTTCTCTGAAAAGATTAGATATTCAACTAATAAATCATACAACAATAAAACAGTTACCAGGCCCCGGCGTCGAGGTCAAATCGTGACAGGTCAGTCTGTGCATCTTCGACATCTTTCTTCGCTTTCATGCGCATGTAGAAAATCGGACAGTCACGAGATGAGCAAATAACTTCACAGTGAAGACTGCCTTGACAGCGCTGGCATTGAGTCCACAGGCGGCCGAATCGAACTTCAAGGTCAGACACCTTGGTCAAGCTCTTTGTGTAGAGTTCTCCGAGACGAGGACGACAGTTGACACAGACAGCACCGTCCATCTCCTCCTTGCTGGAGAGTGGTTTCTTGCATCCCATGCAAGTCTGGGTCTTCTTAGTGAACTTCATTAATCCACCCAGACTTGATGCAGCCTTGGAAATAGACCGCGTGTGCTCGCCAGTGAGCAGCTGTCCGGCCTTCTTTTCTCCTAGGATGGGCTCGAAGATACGACCCAAAGGATTTGCGAGCTGGTTGTCGAGATAATATTTAGTATCGATGGGGATGTTGTTCTCTAGGACAAAGATGGGATCTTCTGCTCGTTCGTAGCCCTTTGAGTCGCTAGCACCCTTGATCATGACGTAGGCAACACGGTCACCAAGTGTTGGCGCAGAACCCGCATCACGCTTATGCATGCGCTCAGCAAGTTCCACGTGAGCCTGTTTGCCAGCATAGTCTTCTTTACGCTTAGAAAGCGCTTTGGTAATGACCAGTTTGGACATATCAATCTTATTTTGTAGAAGATCTGAGATAGTAGCTTTGACGTAACTGTGTACTGTTAGCCTGCTGATTGGACACGAATGATTCGGGTGATGCGAGCACTTACTCTTGGGCGCCATCGATATCTCTGTCGATCAAGATCTTGTTCAGCACGGTTTCGATGACATTCTGAACCATTAAGCAATTGTCACGCCGCACAGTCTCGATACCCTTGGTATCCATCTTATCATGCTTGTCGGCTCTCGTCCAGTACAGTCCAGCATACCGCTTCTTGTTGATCAAAAGATAGGGGAAATACACCTTCTCGAACTCGAGCTTGATGGGGTTGATGAATTTGGACGAGACGTAATCGGCAGCTTCCTGGCCGAGCTTCATCGCGTCTTCGAGTTCGGTAACACCGAATTTGACCATGACCGAATCAGTATCACCATAGATGACTTGAGCATCGTGGGAGTATCCGTTGGCAATAGTGTAGCGTGTCTCTACCTCTTGCTTTGTCTTCTCAATCATCTGACGACCGTAAGCTGTAGTGCTACTGGCAATGGGCAAACAAGGCAGTTTGCCAACGGTGGCACCAGTAAGACCGTAAACACTGTTGGCACTGATTTTCAAAGCTAGCTGACGACCGTTCAGAACGGCTTTCTTGAAGGAGTCTGTCTCGGTGGCCAGTTCCTTCTTCGCGCGCTTTCTTGCAGACAACAGTTCCTCGAGAATCTGGGACAAAAGACCCTTGCGAACCTTTTTTGTGCAGAACATATCTCCGTTAGGGGTGACAATGTAATCCTCATCTTTCACGAAGTTCATCTTTTCAACGCTATTCTTGTTGAGCAAAGTCGTGTAGCAGAGGTTGTGTGCTTGAATGATGGAGGGATACAGAGATGCGAAATCGAGTGTGGCAATTGGAACACCATAATATCCTCGCTCAGGCTCAATGACGGTGGCACCTTCGTAGTCCTGTTCGTCTTGTGGCTTCGAATTGGGGATAACAAGTTGTTGCTCACGCGCTTTTCGGAAAAGCTGGCTGATAAACTTCACTTGCTGTCCTCGGGACAAAAGGAAATTGAAGGGAACACCCGTTACCCTTGCCATTTCCGTATAGTTCACCAAACACATCAACTTGTCCATTAGACGTTGTGGTAGGTATGCATCCTTCAAACAGTACACTGCGAGACGCCGCCTTGAATCAGGCGTTCCGTTGAACAGTTCGGTAATCATCGTATGGTGAACGTCCTCCTTTTGCTCTTTCAGAAACTCGTATGATACGGAATTAAGGGTGTAACTTCTCAGCTGGTGATCTCTCTGAACCAATTGAAGTAAATCGAGTTGAATCCTGCCATTCGTATTCGTTGCCTTCGTATCACGGTTGCCCATCTGTTTACTGGAAAAGTTGGCGTCCTTAGCCTCCGTCTTCATTCCCTTCAGTCGGGTCCAGTATGGGAAACCGGTGCATTTCAGGTGTTTGGCACGATCCAGTAGATAAGGAAAATCGAAGTTGGCAATGTTGTATCCGATGATAACATCGGGGTCCACCTTTTGTACAAATTCCTGCCACGCGTCGAGCATCTTTTCCTCCTTTTGGAACTCTAAGATCTGCGTGTTGACAATCAAACTGCACGTATCAAGGACAAACACATTTCTAATGAAAGGCTTCGACTCTCCGTATCGGGTCACAACATTGGCGATTTGGATAACCGGGTCCATGTGAGGTTCCGGGAAGATGCCCTTTCGGCCGGCACACTCGATATCGAAGGAAAGAATGCGCAGAGGTGCCATTTTTGCCCATTCTCCATTGGGTGCATGAGCAATCATATCATGATAGTCGACTGCTGCTTCAATTTGGCAGGTCGACAAGCTTTCAGCCTTGGAGAGGACGCGGTACTTTCCAGCCATTGCTTCGACCCACGCCATTCCAGCCAACCCAGTGTCAATCATGAATCGGAGGAGATATTGAATATTGTCGAAGGTGAGGATTCCGTCCGCGCTGCTCCACATTCCCTTGTAATTCATGCTTCCACTGCCGCTCTCTAGTGCACTTCGCAATCTCGCGGCATTTCTCGGTTCAGTGACTGTGATTTTGATGTACCAGCTTTTCTGATTCCCTTGGAATCCATAGATATTCTCGCGCATTGTGAGCTCAACATTTGCGATGACAGGCATTTGCTGTCCCAGTTTATTTTCCAAGAATCCTTTGTACGGAATGCAGTCATCTTTAGTGAAACCGACGGGAGCAGCGATGTATAGGTAATGTTGAAAGCCGGTGACGTGGAGGCAAACGGATTGTCCGACCTATACTTATGTCAGTTGCAAGGCGCATCCAGAAGAATTGGACGACGGTACCTCAGTAACACCGAAAAGCCGAATCGCAGGCTTGCCTGCCAGTGTGGATTCCTCTGCATCAATTTGTTGAAAGCAGATGTTCTGGGTCTTTGCATCGAGATCACCTAGCGGGGGACGCTCCCATTGTTGATCCTTCTCGGAGTTATTGTTTTTGAGATTACCGATGTCTTGTGTCAGTTTTTCCAAGACCTCCTCCTCGAACTGACTCTTCTGGGGTTGGGTGGAGCCGATCTTTCTCCGAGCAGCTTGTGAAGAAGGGAGTTGCACAGTACCCTCATTGTCGAGCTTCCGCTTCTTGAGCACGCTGGCAGACTTCGAGAGACCAACATTGTTGGTGGCGTCGACCAGTACTCGCTTGGATGGTGGCATGATTGCTTCTGGCATGGTTGCAGCTCACTTCAACTGCAATGAATGACCAAAGTAGGATGGGGCAAAAGTGACATGCACTTGAGAAAGTCGCGCTGTCGCGCCTTCGACGTGACGTTGACGCGTAGGGTCACGTGTGATACGAGATAAGCTAAATGGGAAAATAGCGAAATTCGGACGGACGTGATTGGCTGGGGGGAAAAGCGTCAGGTTAGTTTTGTACTCTGGGGTCTATTGTTTTCTGAATTGTATCTGGGATGATATTGAGTAAAATGCTAGTTGATTGTAAATTGACACCATATCTCACGGCTTGTGGTGGCCGCAGACTTCAACTTGTATAGTTCTGTTCCGCCGGCAGAAACGGATGACTCTTGTCGCCTCCTTCGGCTTGGCACGTCTTGACATCTTCTACCCTTCGTGTCTTCTTTGGCAACAGGTGAACTTCTATCAAGAAAAGCCCAGTTCGTTCGGGTTCCAAGCGGTGGGCCAAGCACAAGACCCACGCCCTGCGCAAGACAGTTTGGAATCTCATGGAAGCCCGAGTCAACACCACTGCGATCTGTGATATGTTTACATTTGATCCAAAGCCCAACGTGGCACTTTGAATTTACTTTCAAACATACCTCCGTATATCAGTTGCTTTTGTTGCCTTATGTACCGCGTCATCTGAGACTGCTTTGTATACACAAAAGAGGCTCCAATCTGACTGCGGGGCACATGCCCAACCTTCAAAAGCAACGGCAACCGCATTCTTCAAAGCAGATCGATCATTTTTCTTTGTTCCAAGATATATATTTGAGGATTTCTCCTCTATGGCGCTTGCGCAGCACTGAATTGAGCAATTTCCTCCCTTCCGCCATTGCGTTCAACGATCAACATGTCGATGTTCCGCTCAGCGGCGGAATCGTCTTCATCGGACTCTGATTCTGGCGTTGAAGAAAATCAACTCCAGGTGTCCGAGTCCTCGACTCCTCGTCATTCCCCGAGAGTTCGGATCAAAAGTCCCCAAAAGGGCAAGTCAACGAAGCACTCCCCAGAAGAATCAGAATCTACAGAAGACGTCGGTTCTTTGCTTTCATCTGATGATCTCTCCTCATTACCTCCAGATGCATTTGATCACGACATTGACCGTCATGCAAATGTCATGACTGCTGCCCTATTAGAATTTTACTGTCAAAGTCGAGCGGCAGACATCTTGAATGCCCAGCGTGGCTCAGGACAAGTCTACAGTCGACATAGTCCTGAAGCACACCAACTTGGCAAGCAACTGTACAAATACAAATCTCAGTTTCTGTCCTCACATGGTGTCCTGGCGGACGGAATTGACAAAGAAGAGCTGGGGCCAACTCGGCAGAGCTATCGTGATAATCTTGATTTGCTCGGTATCTCTGCTCTGGATCAGATGAAACTCAATGACCCGCGTATACGGTCTCCTACTATCGGTGCAGGGGAAAATCTCTCCTTGATTACAAAGTCATCACTAACTAGACCCGGACTTGAGGATGCAGAGAGTCCTTCCACTTTCTGGAGGGATACCGGTGCGAACGCAGATCTTGGAGGGCAATTTCCTTCTACCAGCAAAGTTGATTACCTACCTGCCGTTCCAAATGGAGCACCAAATCCTCTTCATTCTTCCATGCCTCTCTTTGGCAGCTCGCCTGTTGGAGTTCCGCTGTTCAATTCTCCGAATGTCCCTCCGTACAACCATTTATCCAGATACTCTATGGAATTCAGTGAACTGAAAGTTTTGGGACGCGGATCCTTCGGCGAAGTGTATCATGTCACAAATCACATTGATGGACAAGACTACGCAGTCAAGAAAATCCCACTCAGTCAAAGACGGCTAGATCAATTGCAGTATGGAGGCCAAAATCAGTTGGAGGTCATCATGAAAGAGATCAGAACTCTTGCCCGGCTCGAGCATACAAATATTGTCCGATATTACGGCGCATGGGTTGAGCAGGCCCATCATTCACACCCACCTTCCGCCGAACCCCATCCACTGAATACAGCATATGAGCACACGCAAAGCAATTTACCCTCTCCGGATACTCCAAATGAACCTAGTATGGGGATTGTATTTGGTAACTCCGAAAGCTCAACCAGTGACTCTCATTCAAGTTCGCCACCCGAAGATCATAGCTTCTCCGAGAGCATTCGACGATGGGATAGTCACGCCACTGGCTCTTCCCGTCAGTCAAAGAAAAGCTCGCGAAGAGACTTGGATGAGGACGATGACGAGATTGAGTCGATACCTCGCACATTTGATAATACGTCAAGCTTTGGAGAGACGGATGATATCTTCACCGATGGGGGTCTCAGTCAAGATCAGTCTAAGCTCCAAGTTCAACCGCGTTACCGACATGGCCACCAACCACCAGCGGTCATTCTTCATATTCAAATGTCGCACCATCCTATCTCACTTGGCTCGTATCTGAATTCGCAAGCCCCTGTGAGATATGATGGAGGCTCACCGCCTCGCCGCCACTGTTTCCATCTGCTACCTTCCTTGAAATTGATGCTGGACATCGTTTCGGGCGTTGAGTACCTCCACTCGAAAGACATTGTCCATCGCGACTTGAAGCCTGCCAACATATTCCTATGTGCGCCTGAAAATAGCACTGTAGATACATGCAGCTCATGTAGTTCCGGACAAGCTTCTCCGATCCAATTTTGTCGACCTCGAATTGGTGACTTCGGTCTGGTGGCAGATATCTCTCACCTGAACGAAGCCTCCCACGGCACTATTACACCCTTCCGAGAAGGTCCCAATCTTCAAAAGGTCGTCGGAACCGAATTTTATCGTCCGCCAGCGAATGCAACAGGGATAGAAAGTGATTCAAGCTCGCCGACGGACTACTTTGAGGAATACAAAATTGACGAGAAACTCGACGTCTACGCTCTCGGTGTTATCCTCTTCGAGACCATATATCGCCTGAACACCAAGATGGAACGACAATTTGTTCTTAACGATCTCACTCGTGGATCAGGTCAAGATCCATCCGAGCGCACAATCTTCCCGGCGGATTTCCCCGACAAAGTCGATCATGGCTTGATGATCTTGGGCGATGGAATCTCGGTCGCAGATTCTCTAATGACTTGTATGAAAGGCATGCTGGATCCCAGGTCTCGACAGCGCTGGACTTGTCAACAGGTGAAGGAACACCTACGGAAACTGAAGAAGGCAATACGTCGACTGGAGGCGAATGAATGATGACAGTGAAGCAATATAATTTCAACGATATACCTAAATAGAAATACATAACTCCTCTCTGCGCAAATTACTTTCAAGACAATTCTCAAGAAGAAGAATCAGGCGACGAAACGCTTTCCCAGTTAGGATAGTGATCCAGTCGACTTCCACTCCAAACTTGCTCTCCGCCATCCCCACAAATCCTCGGACATATCGAGTGAAGTCCCAGATTTGACAGCCATGTCTCGGTCGAACTCGATACATGGGCCTCTCTCACTGAAACATCCCCAATCTTGCGCCCCAACCCACTTTCTCGGGCAATGTCTCACCATCCCCACCCCCAAAGCAATCAGCTTACAGTACACTCGCCACGCAACGAAGCTGAAGATATGACAATGCCGTAGAGCCGGGATATGAACAATCTTGGACCGCAAGACCCTGTCTGAGACAGGATAAGAAGATGCCGAAGGTCACTCTCTCGTGTCAGCTTAAGTGCTTCAGATACGAAGAATGGGCCGATCTGCGGGGGGCCTGAACATGGAGGTTTGGATAGACACCTCGCTATTTTTACATCTTTGGTGGCTTTGTGCTTGATCTTTCTTTTTCAGAACAAGGCGCCCACCTCATTCATCGGATGGTTACATAGGGAGGTAACCTTATGGACTGCGCGCTTTGTGTCTCTCTTTGGAGCTATCAGACTCCGCCCCACTAATACTGGGCACACGTATGTGGGAGCCCTGCAGCGAAAATTATGTTCGAGCTTTGATTGTTCTAGAATGGAGTGATCGACAGTCAGGCTGGAGTGATGTGGTATAAAGCCCAAGCTTGGTCCTGGTCTCGAGGATGCTAGGACCACAGCTCTCTTCTAATCTTCCAATCCAGCTTCTTCCGCTCCATACCGGTGAGCTCAAACATCGCCAACATGAATCGCTTCCAATTCATCGCTCTCTCTTCTCTGTTCTTCACCGTTGCTGTGGCATTCCCCCAGCAGACGGCTGCGGCTACAACAACTGCTCCTGCAACGACCATTACCAAGGCTGCATCACTTAGCTGTGCCCCTGGGCAGACTGCAATCTACACGACAGAATGCACACTAGGAACACCCACATCATACTGCGCTGTACCAGAGCCCCCAATTTCGTGCTCCTCGGGGTACTTCCCTTCGGTTTACCACCCAGGCCATTGCATCGAGGCGTCAACCTGTTTCCCCGTTGATGCAGACTGGATCACTACCGAGTGCTCGCACGGTCAGATTCCTTGGACAACTACAACTTTGTATGAGGGCACATTGGCCGGTGGAGAATCGACTACTATCAGTGGTGAGTCCTTGGTCTCCGCAAACTTATGATACCCACGTAGATAAAGATGAAAATGAAGCTAACATTCCGAATGTAGCTGTTTCCTGTTCCTGTGCTAGAGACCAATGGTATAGTGCCACTATACTCCCTGGTGCGTCTACCGTCGACACTTTCTGCATGCCTTCAAGCTCTTGTCCTGTCGGTATGACCACCTCTATTGAGACTAACACGTACTGTGCCACTGCGCCGGCCAGTGCGTGCTCGGGTGTTCCTCTTGAGACCAACTTCTGCAAGTGCTCGGATGCGGCGCAGACACCTGTGTATCCTGACGCTGTTGGAGCCGCTCCTACTGGATGTGCAGCCTAAGTAAAGAAAAAGTAACATGGTTTCTTACCTCCAGTGTCACGGGTCTTGACCAGTTGGCTGCTCGGGTCCTGACTTCCAGATAAGGAAACAAAATGGGTTGTGACTGACATCGGGTTGCAGCCGGATCTGGATGTTACTTCTATTCCTTAATTAATAGACAGTTTTATAGCAATACAATATAGTCGAACATTGATATTGACATTCTGAACGAGGAACAAGTAGCATTGATTGTGAAAATGACCACCACCCCGACAATTAAGCGAATTGAACTAACCATCTGTTTCTATCTTTACCGCCATGCTTCTTCGGTTTTTGCCTCACTTCCCAAAACTTCCCTTATCGTCTAAGGAGTTTTTCCAAGAAGGTTAGTGCCTTGGTATTGAGGACCCTGAGGCTGCACGGCTTGGCACTCCGCCGCGCCAGGACAAGTTCCCGCTCTCGCTATTTCTCATCAGTAATATCGGTTGCTTGATGCTTTACATATTTGACGCGCATCAGTAGATCCCAGCCAGGTTGAACCGAGTGAAACCTTGTTATGAAAAGGCCGCAATACACCAAATATTACAGCTGATCGATCTACCGTCCGTATCATAGTGAGAAAACTGATCCTTTAACTTGACTATCAAGTGATATTACAAATCCGAATTCAGCCAGTGTAGCTGAAGATGTCGTTTTCTTCAACAGATTACTTCGCCCCATACCGCAAGTCTTCCCAGATTTGAACATACCCAACTGAAGCCAAGCATCCGGTTGCCTGAGCTATTCAATCCCTGTCATATTGCCATCCTTTCTACGATGCAATATCACATACGCCAAGATCATATGAGAACCTTTGGGGCACCAAGACTTCCTCCTATCTTGGCGTCGGCAAGCAGGGTCTACGAGATTAGCCCTGATGGTATGGCTATAAAGGGTAGTGCTGACCCTATATCCGCTGTTCTTGTGTCGATTCAAGCCCAGATATTTCCTGAGTTCTATCTATATCACTGTCCTGTATAATGACCTCTTTCCGCAAACTCCTTGCCATCATGGCTCTACTGTCATCTACCGTCTTGGCCCAATCCCAAGACCCTGGTCCATCTCCCACCGCTTCAACCGGCTGTGAGCCACACGGGGACCACTGGTAAGCCTTTGACTCAATATCTCAAGAACCAGAATGATTGTTCTGACACTGGGGCCAGGCACTGTGATGGTCCGGTCTCAATGACTACCTCTGCCTCTTTGGGCTCTTCAACCGCAAGCGATTTTGATGTCCTTACCACCTCAGACGGTACATCGACTATATCTTCTAAAACTAGTGTCACTCCTACTATGCCCAGTCCCACTGAGTCTGTAGGCTGCGAACCACATAATGATCACTGGCACTGCGATGGACCTCGCGAGACTTCTAGCTCGAGTTTAAGGGCTTCTGCAACTGCTTCTGCGAGCGCTTCTGCTGTTACTGATGACGCGGAGAATGGTGTCAGTGGGATGGGGGTAGAGATGTTGCTGCTTGCTGGGCTTTCCATCGTAGCTGCTGGACTGAATGTTTGATCTTTCTTTGGTTTGAGCGCCTGCTGTCTCCTGCGCTATTGAAATAGTTTTACTTACCGCTATTCTGTCAGATTCACCTAGTACAAAGTAGTTGAGAATTTTGTACCTGAAAATTACAGAATTCTATATTTCCAAGATCTTCTTCTGAAAACAAGGATTCTCCACCGTTTAGATCGTACTCGTAGCGCAGCGTACCCCGTAAGATGGTAAATTGTTTTCTCGTTTTTATCTCAAGCAATCAGAAAAAGCCAAAGCTGAAGAGGTGGCCCTAGTTTCCCGTGCAATAAGCAATCTTGGTTTATTGGAAGTTGACATCCTTAAGACCTAGGGAAGAACTCGTTTCTGCATATTTTCTTCGATCTTGATAATAGAATATGCAAAAGGGGCCCATCTCTTTTCCGAGCTGTTCAAATAGTAGTAAGCTGTTCATCTCAAGATTCCAATATAAAGCCAATAAATACCGGGAACATACAGCACAACGTGAAGATCGACACTCGGGCCTCGGCCTGAAGCTTTCCCCATGTTTTCACAGGCGCCGAGCTCTTCCCCGCAAACAGTCAACGTAGATTCAGCTTCATACAAAAGAGCAAAGACTGAAAACATCTCTCACAATCACAATCTGCAGTTTTACAGTCCACACATATCCAAATATACAATGGCAAACCTGCGCCCACCAACAGCACCGTATAGCGAACCTCTCCTCCCCCAACTAACAATCCCAAACCCATACTACAAACCCCATCACTACGCTCTACGAGCCCACGTCCGCGAATACGTCGACACATACATAGCACCATACGCGCACGAATGGGAAGAAGCAGGCCAAGTCCCCGAAGCCGTCCGCCTGCGCCACTGCAAACTTGGTTATGGCATCGTGCACCCGTTGACAAGCGAGGAGGACTCGGCTGGTCTGGCATTGCCTGGTGGTGTACCGCGTGGCCAGTGGGATACGTGGTGCTCGCTGATTGTCTCCGATGAGCTTACCCGGGTTGGGTATGTTGGTGTGATCTGGGGGCTTGGGGGTGGGAATGGAATTGGGTGTCCGCCGGTTGCTAGGTTTGGGAGTGTGGAGCAGAGGAGACGGTGGTTGCCTGCTGTTGCGAGGGGGGAGGTGAGGTTTTGTTTGGGAATTACGGAGCCTGATGGTGTGTGGCTCATTCTTGTGGTTGGATGGAAATATGCTAACGTGGATTGATGCTGCTAATGTAGCTGGTTCTGATGTTGCGAGTATTCGAACTACCGCTGTGCGTGACGGGGATCATTATGTTGTTAATGGTGCGAAGAAGTGGATTACCAACGGTATTTGGGCGGATTATTGTACTGCTGCTGTGCGGACTGGTGGCGCTGGTAGGTCTGGGATCTCTTTGCTCGTCATTCCTTTGACTGCGACGGGTGTGACTCGGCGACGCATGCATAACTCTGGTGTCAATGCGAGTGGTGAGTTATCTTTAAATCGATTTCTTCAGGCTCATGTGTTAACGCAACTACAGGTTCAACGTACATCGAGCTAGACGATGTCCGTGTTCCTGTCGGGAATCTGCTCGGTGAAGAGAACAAGGGCTTCCCATTAATCATGTCAAGTAAGTTTCCAAAATGGAGCAGAGAAATGGTAGGTTGCTTATTGAACATTTAGACTTCAACCCGGAACGGCTGGCTTTGGCATGTGCATCCTTGCGATTAGCTCGTGTCTGCGCTGAGGACGCCTTCAAGTATGCCATGCAGCGCGAGACATTCGGCTCGCCTTTGATCGAAAAACAAGCAATTCAATCTAAGATCTTCAAGTTTGGGTTGATGATCGAGCCCGCCTATGCATTCATGGAACAGCTTGTTAACATTCTCGAACTGACCAAGGAGCATCCCACTGATGATGTGAACATTGGAGGGATGACTGCCTTGCTTAAAGTGATGTCCACGAGAGCGTTGGAGAAAAGTGTTCGTGAAGCACAACAGATCCTTGGTGGTGCCGGGTATAATAAGGCTGGAAAGGGGGCTCGTATTGAGCAAATTAGTCGTGATGCTCGAGTTCATGTTGTTGGTGGTGGAAGTGAGGAAATTATGGCTGGATTGGCCTTGAGAGAGGAGACTAAGGCGTTGAAGACCCGACGGATGGCTCTTGAAAAGAGACAGTCAAAAGTATGAGGTTTGAAATCTTGTTAGCTCAATAGATATGAAATAATCGTCCAAATGAAAGGGGATGAAGATGTATCAAAGCTGCTCCAAGGGTAGAGTCGAGCTGAGTCGAGCTTAGTCGAGCCACAGCACAGACGTCATGTGGGGAACTGGAACCTCACCACAACAAACTCCCAGCATGGAGAGCTTCGACGATGTGTCCCTGATCGGACCAGTCTTCGAAGAGCACTCTTTTCATAATGGCCTCCCAGTCGCCTCTGATGCTCCAGAACAGACCTCCAAGTCAGAGAACGCATCGGCATCTTCCCAACTGACATCGCGACTGGAGCGCTCCGACGATGTAGGAATGATCGACGATACCTCCGAGATATCCGAATTTGCTCCTTTATATGACGCGCCCGGGACTCGAGTGGAGGAAGACGAGGGAGAGGATGAGGAGCCAAGGGTGGCAACCTCCTTTGAGCGACGTGAATCGTCACCGACCTCTGCGCTAAAACACCGGTCAGCTGCAGATTACTCTGACTATGAGGGCATCAACCGCATGCACAAATTCACGTTGTATGAAACCGCCACTCGGTTTTACATGGTGGGGATAAACCTTGCAGAGACGCGGTTTCGAATTTTGAAGATCGATCGGACCTCGGAATCGGGGGAGCTCAGTATCACCGAAGATGATATGGTGTACACAAAGCGAGAGATGGTGCAGTTGCTGGATGCGATTGATGATGGCAATAAGAGTACTGGTGGGTTAAATCAGAAGTGCAGCGCATGGGCACTGCTTGGTTTTATCCGATTCACCGGGGCCTACTATATGCTGCTCGTCACCAAGAGAAGTCAAGTCGCCATGCTTGGCGGGCATAATGTCTACCAAATCGACGAAACAGAGCTGATCCCGTTGACAACCTCGGAATCCTCACATCTCAAGGCTGAGAAGCATTCAGAAGAGGCGCGATACATTGCGATCTTGAACAATCTCGACTTGTCGCGTTCTTTCTACTTTAGCTACTCTTACGACATCACTCGCACCCTGCAACATAATATTTGCCGTGAGCGCAAGAATTATCTGGATGGGATTCCTCAGCCTTTCTCACAGGACTATCATTCCATGTTCATCTGGAATCACCATCTTCTTGCGCCCGCTGCTGAAGCTCTCAAGAATCCTTATGAATGGTGCCTTCCCATTATTCATGGTTATGTGGATCAGTCTAAGATGAGCGTCTATGGCCGATTAGTCTATATCACCCTCATCGCCCGTCGGTCTCGGTTCTTTGCCGGAGCACGTTTCCTCAAGCGAGGAGCCAACGACGTAGGAAATGTTGCCAATGATGTGGAGACCGAACAGATCGTCTGTGAGCAGACAACAACGTCGTTCCATTCAGCCGGCCCAACTCTCCACGCAAACCCGCATTATACTTCATTTGTTCAGCACCGCGGAAGTATTCCTCTGCATTGGTCTCAAGAAAACACAGGCGTTTCGCCTAAGCCGGACATTGAACTCAATCTTGTAGATCCATTCTACTCAGCTGCAGCTTTGCATTTTGATGATCTTTTTGAGAGATATGGGGCTCCGGTGTACATTCTGAACTTGGTAAAATCTCGAGAGCGAACACCAAGAGAGTCGAAACTTCTCAAAGAGTTCACCAACGCTGTGACATACTTGAATCAGTTTCTTCCGGAAGGCAAAAAAATGATATACAAAGCTTGGGATATGAGTCGGGCTGCCAAAAGCCGAGATCAAGATGTCATTGCGACATTGGAAAGCATTGCAGGCGACATAATTCCAAAAATTAACTTTTTCAAGAATGGAAATGACGTTGAGTCCGGTCTCCAGCTTCAAAACGGCGTTGCAAGGACCAACTGCATTGACTGTCTTGACCGAACGAATGCTGCACAATTTGTCATTGGTAAGAGAGCACTAGGGCATCAGCTCCATGCACTGGGTGTCATCAATGAAACAACGGTGGAGTACGATACCGATGCAGTCAATCTTTTCACCAACATGTGGCATGACCATGGAGACACTATTGCCATCCAATATGGTGGATCTCATCTGGTGAATACCATGGCAACATACCGCAAAATCAATCAGTGGAGCAGCCATTCTCGTGACATGGTGGAAAGCTTCAAGCGTTACTACAACAACTCTTTTCTTGATGCCCAACGTCAAGAGGCATACAACCTCTTTCTCGGCAACTACATCTTTTCACAAGGCACCCCAATGCTGTGGGATTTGGCAACCGATTACTACCTGCATCATACCAACCCTAAATCACACCTGGAGAAAAAGAAGCCTAACTACATTTCCTGGTACACACCAGAAAACCTAGAAGCGAAAGAAATGCCACCCATTCCTTCTCATCCCAAGGAGCCACTCTCACGGTTCGATGACTACTGGCTAGAATACTACCGACCCCTCGCACTCACCTCGCTCTCCAAAGTTTTCTCTTGGAAAATGAATTCCACCTTACGCTACCTTCCCCCCGTCCGTCCCGGCCACGCAGTCCCCGATCTCAGCCCTTTCGTTCCCCGGATCCCTCCAGAGCAAATCCAGCGCGAACGCATACCACAGCGCAGCGTCAAAATCCAAGAACCAACCGAAAGTCGTACCCGTCTCGCATCAAACACAATGCCTATCCCGGAAGAAACAACCTGGGCTCACCAACCCCCGTCATCCTCAAAGCAACCCCCTCCAACGGGTATAATCAAAGAACCGACTTTTGAAGTCCACCAGTCATCCCGCATCCCACCAATCCACCCACCAAATACTCCCTCAACCCCAAGCAAAGCCCAAATTGCTCAATGGACGCTGGGTCAACTAGTCAGCGACTCCCTCAGCCCATCAGTAACAAGTGCCGAAGCAGAAGAATACGAGCGCTACATCAACCATCCTCTCACAGTTCCGCTCGTCGTCACATCCGAAGATGAAATGACAGCAGCCTCGCTCCGAGACCACGGTTATAATCTCGATCTGCTGGAATATGTCAATAAATGCAATGTTGAGGAGTTGACACTCCAGCAGAATGCTGAGGACAGCCTGGCTGATTATGCTGAGTTCCTGAATGTCTCTGAAGAGGGCCTTACTGTTGTTAGTGAGGACCATGAGAAGAAGAGATATAAACGGTATCGGCAGTGGTTACGTGGCAAGAGCCTTTTCAAGCAGCGGGTTGATGCATGATTTTATGAATGCTACGAATTTTGACGATTTGAGTACTGTGCTTCTTTTGGCATTAAATTATTTATTGTAAATTGATACCCTTGTTTAATGTTCATATTTACTGATGCCATTTAATCGAACGTCTTCTCTTCGCTTTCTTTCCAAGCACTATGCAAAGCAACATCATATACTGTACTCTATTTGTACATGTAGTTTCTTGACAAGCAAAAAAAGGGTTTATTCGATATCGCAATATCTGTTTAGAAAAAAAGACCCTTGAGAACCGGATCGGCCCCAACAAGCTTCTGCACATCCGCAGCCATCTCAGCCTTAGCCTGCATCTGTGCCTTCTGGGTATCATCACCAGGAATAGTAACCGGGTTCTGCAAAACATGGAACAAAATCTGAACAGCAACCTTCAGCTCATTCTCCAGCATTGTTTTCTCCTCGCTTGAACGCGAAGAATCTTCAGCACAATGAATCCAAGCCGTGGAAATTCCACTGAATAGCTCAGTCCGCCAACGCCAGATACGCGGGTGTCCGTTCTTAATCACGCTTTGGAGGACTAACGCCGCACTGAGCGTAAGACCAAAGTGGGAAAGTTCCATTCCGAAGGGATTCGAGAGAGTGGTGTAGAAAACAGGAATGATATCCTGGAGGTATTTCACGGTGTTGATACCCAATTCCTCGACGAAGAGGCCCGTCATTGTTAAGAATTGGGCTGAGAGACGTGGGTAGGGGAAGGAGGTCTGGGTGGAGGCTGCGGCAGGGGTGCTGGAGCTGATGTGGTGTATCGAGGAGATGACGTTTGAGCGGAGGACTTTTGCTAGGCTGCTGTAGTACTTTTGGGTGTCTTTGGCTTTGGTCTTTGAGTTGGGGTTTTGGTAGGCTGTTTGGAAGAGAGCTATGAGGGCTGGGTATGCTTCTGATAGGCAGACGATCGAGCTTTCCTCTGCTGTGATGGATGGTAGGGAAAGAAGGACTGGAGTTATGGCGTCTTGGAAGACGGATGTTAGGTTTGTTCGTTGCAGGATGTCTGATTTGCTGTCTTTGACTTTGCGGAGGAGGTCTTTGATAAGCTCGCATCCCATTGTTTTGAAGGCAATATTGCTGTCATCAATCATGGCGAGGATTGCTGGGACATAGAAAGGGAAATTTTCTTCGAGGTGCTTCTTGTTCTCGGGCTAGTATCGATGTTAGCAGTGAAACCGCGGTGGAAGCCGAGCGTAGCATACAGTGTACTGCTTTATCATCCATGACAGAGCTGAGCCAACGTAGACATCGGTTGTCTTCCAAGGCTTGTTTGACTCATCCATACTGTCAAATCTTGGGACAGACAGAGGATGGAAGTTCTTGCGGCCGGCTGCAGTGATAGCAGGGTTCGGAGTTTTTGCGAACAATGGCTTGATACGTTCTTTGAGGATGATCTCAAGAGCAGACCATAACTTGTCGCCCCGGTCTTCCAGGGCTGTGAGCCAAATAGACTGCAATAGCGTTGCGCCTGTGTGAATACTGTCTGATGTCCATGGCTCCTTGGGACTAACGGTGCACGCTATAGCGAGAGTGAAATCGGCGATGGCGATCTCGTCGGGCAGGCGACCTGGCATGCCGGAAAGAAGCTTTGTCATAACCGTCAGAAGCTGCAGGGCCAGGTCCAATTCCCACTTGCTCTCGTCCTGAGCGCGTTTGATATCTGCTTGAGTGTCAGACTATATCCGCAACTTCGAAACTAACGGCCACGCTCAACGTACCCGCAGTAGGCTCGTCAAACTCGGTCTGTACAAACTCAACCGAAAACGCCGCGCTCGGCAGGACGACCGCGCTTACCCACTTGAAAATCCCGTTCAACGCCTCATTTTGTTCCTGAGTGAAGGATATCGGGCTTCCATCCTCTGGCGACCATGGCTGGAAGTACTCAACATAACTGATCATGGAAGCGATGCTCTCGCATCTCTGTTGATCTTTAGCGTCTGCTTTTTCTTTTTTCAGGTTAATCTCACATTCAAATGGCTTGAGTGGTCGTAAGACTCAACATTCTGCCAGACTTGAGGCAAATCACACTTCGATACAGCATCACGGCCAGGTTTAAAGTTGCGCGGAAACTTCCCAGGTTGCTCTATGAGAATCCTACGGACTTGGGTGCGCAGTTCATCCATGACGAAAGTTGAAGATTGTGGATGATGATAAGTTCAATAGGTGAGGAATCTCCACTAATGTATGTTTTTGGGTCATCTGACTTCACAACCCCAATTCCGCTCGTCGACCCGCGATCTCTGCCAACACTTGTTCCTTGTCGGCATCACGATGCAGCAACTGCCATTCAAGTGCCATATTAACTGCTTTGCTCATCCACGGTCCTTTTTTGGTTCGCAAGCTATTCATAATTTCATCGCCATTTACAATCGGTCGGAGGTCGCACACATCCTCCAGATCGTTTTCTACGATGTATAAAAGGAACTGGTCGTACTCGGCAACCACTACAAAGCGTTAGAAAAATGCCATAAATGCTGGGAATGGCTCTTACCGTCTGCAAAGTCACGTTTCCTCATGACTTCTTGCATAATAGCCAGGATAATGCAGAGTTTCCAGTCCTTGTTCCACGAGCGAATTTGCAATCCAATGCGCTGTCGGATTTCTGCAGGGGTCCCACTCAATTCATTGGCAAGAAGTGCGGTTTTGGTCGTAATGATTTCGTCGAAATGCAAAGACGCAGCGCGAAGTACATTGAGCGTCTTGTTATCGGTGCGAAGACTGTCTCTTCCAACCTCAACTGCTCGCGGGGTGATTGGCTTCGGTTTGGGACCACTGGCCGTGCGGCCTGGAATTGAGGTCCAAGGGGCAAAAGTAGCGACCATCCATGCGTAGTAGCTAGTTTCGTGGCTGATGATGATATCACGAACACGCTTCGCAGCGGCCTGGAGCTTTTCGCCGTCCTCGGGCTTTGGACGCAACAACCGTGCCAGCGTGTTGTATGCGAGAGACCATGTCGATGTATCAGCCTTGACTTCATCCTGGTGATTAGCCAAGATTGTTGGATATAGCTTGAGGCGGTCGATAAACTCCAATGCGCCGCGGGGGTCAGGTCCTTTATAATAGTTAGAAAGGCACAAGTTCGGTGATTGCAAATAACTCACCACGCAACATCTTTTCAAGCTCAGTGCCTACACGCTCTTTGCTAATTTTCAGTTTTAGTGCCTCGCCAATATCTTCGATTTGCATAGCGGCTTCTGTTTCGGGGTCGATTTGGTATCCCAGTCTGCTTGCAAACCGAATCAATCGAAGCACGCGTAATGGGTCGTCTTTAAAGGTTTGATATGGCTCCATGGGGCATCGAATGGTGCCTTTCTTCATGTCGTCCAAACCCCGTTCAGTAAAATCCTCAAGCTGCGACTCATTTAGGTTGTAGAAAAGCGCATTGATAGTGGCATCCCGCCTCAAAGCATCCTCAACTGCAGTACCGAACTCCATCTGGGGGTTGCGACTGTCGTCTGAGTATGTCTCTTTCCGTAGATTCACTAAATCAATATCGAGACCGAAAATTCTCGTGGTGACGGTCTCCAGGTGCTTCGACTTTTCCGGGTTGGCCTCGATCTTGTGAAGGCTCACAATCGCATCATGCATTTCTCCATCTGGGAGGCTCTTTTTGTACTTTTCCAGCCGTTCCGGAACATCCAGGTACTCCTTCAGAGCCATGCCAAACTGGAACCCAGTCATACTGCTAATTCCCACATCGATGTCATGACTCCCGACTCCGAGCAGCTTGTCCCTAACCCAGCCTCCTGTGAAACGCAAGACAATCTCGGGGTTATCCTCAACTCCCTCAGACGATCTCTTTTCCCTTATATAGGTTGCGACATCTAGGAGGAGAGTTCGTAGGGTACTCTCAATCGGAGTGAGCTCGAGAGTGGGCACTGCGGGGTTCATGTTTGCAGATAAAGCTTCCCTTTGGGGAGAAGATATGCGCCGTCTCTTATTGACTCGCTCTGAAAAGTGAGAGTCCGGTTCGGGGTTGCGCATGGACAGGCGACGAGGTACAGAGGAAGTTCGGGGAGGAAGAGCTTGAATTGGGCGTGGGCGTGAACGAGGGCGTGCAGATTTTCCTGCTACAAGTCGGGAAAGTGGAGTAAAAGAAAGACCAAATGACTCAAAGAAGAGCCCTAAAGAGCGCAGCCTCATTGAACATCCCTGGTGGGCAATTTGAGCTGGTGACTCCAAACTGAGTCAGGTCCGATTGTCGATAAGGCCTCACGTGGGAGATCATGTAACCCGCTTGTCGTCAATGCTCTACACTGTAGTCTCTACTTGTACATCCCACTTCAACCTTCGAGATACTTCGCAAACACCCTGTTCCAGCCTAGTGCTTGCTTGATTGCTTCGCTTCGTCTCTGCCAGCGCTTATCGGCCCGAATTTCTTAAATTGGCTTTCTCCTCCCCCAACAACGCCTCCGTGAAGCCGTGACAACAACTCTACTACACCCCAACAACTACACCCCGACCTCAGATCCCAGTCCATGGGGCCTGCCAATCAACTTCAATAGTACCATTATTTCACAGAACAGCGGTTGTCCATGACATCGCCCGGAGATGCTACTCCGGTCAAACCTCCGCCGTCCTTCTCCCCCGGCGTTGCTCGAGTCGCATCCCCATCACGATACCCGGAGGAGCATGAATCAACTCAGTCTATAGATGTCCAACTGGCTGAGACCCAGTCAACCTCATCATCAACCCCTCCTCTCTCAGCCACGATTTCCGACTTACCAATCCGCTCCGGTTCGCCGCACTCGCGTTCTGGGAGATCCTCCACCCCGCAATTAGCCAGGTCATCCATCGGTTCGCCTTTCGATGGACGGGCAGATGGTTCGGAAGATATAAGATCGTTGATCATTCGGTCCTTTTCACCTACGATCGCTGTACATGCATCCGAGGACACTGATGACTTGGTCAAGAACAAAGGGTTTCAGGGGGGATTTTGGGAGTTGATACGGCCGTTTGGAGAGACTGTTTCCGGCAAGGTGGTAATAAGGGATAGCATAGGCTCAAGCCGTGCTTGGGAAGACTATGGGGTGCGCTTTGTTAATTTCAAGGGGATCGGCAAGACCACGCCAAGCCGAGATTCCGGGCCGCTGGCGCAGATAGAGGAGGTACTCACGAAGCAGCTGGATTCTACAGAGGGGCTCATGGGTGCATCAATACGCACAAAGGATGTATTGGGATTCCCTAGCGCAACCCCCTTGTTCAAGTCGTACCTGCAACAACTTCTGTGCGCCTCACCCGCTGCGCCTCATGAGACATTCGGCCATCCCGTAGCCAATGTCATAGCCATCAGCTCTCGCAATCCAGCTCCACTGGAAACACTACGGCAGCTATATGCGGATAGTACGACTGGTGATAGGCACCTGCCCGGCTGGGTCCACCAAGAGTATCTTCGGTATTACGTGCTGGTCCACGATGAGGAACGAGATGATATCACAGAGTCTATCAAGCTTTACGACCAGATGAAGCGACACTTTGGGTTACATTGTCATCTTCTAAGGCTTCGGAGCAGTCAATGTGTCGTGACAGATGACGATAGTGTACAAGTTCCCCGATGCGAATGGCTCTCGCCTTCAGAGCATTTGTCGGGGGCTGGTGAAGCAGGCAAGTCTTTTCCAGGATACAGTCAGAACTCCGCTAACTTTCATTCAGAAACGTTGGTTGACCTCGGCACCGATGGCACGCCATACCTCTTTGATTCCGATGCAACTGCGATTAGGACTTTCATTCGGGAGCTAGTTGTGCAGTCTGTGATCCCATTCATGGAAAACAAGGTTGCTGTTTGGAATGACCAAGTTGCATCGCGGAGGCGTGGTATCAGTGGGAGGTTCATCTCAATGTCAAAGCGATGGGCTTTCGGGTCAAGTTCGCGTTCAAGCATGGGCTCGTCAAGTGGCGGAAACTATGATTCAACGCAGCATTTCTACACTCCGGATTCCCCGGAGGCTGTTTTGCGCAAAATGGCGGACTTTGCATTCATGCTTCGCGACTGGAAACTTTCAACGTCTACATATGAAATGATTCGATCAGACTTTGGAAACGACAAAGCGTGGAAATACCATGCTGGTGCCCACGAAATGTGCGCTGTCAGCATGCTTCTCAATCCACTGGCCACTTCTGCTAAGATCAAGCTTGATAGCGTGGATCAGTTATTCGAGACTGCCTGTTACTCGTATCTTACACGTTGTTCCGACGCGCCACATGCACTGCGTTGTCTTTCCCTAGCTGTCGAGCTTCTCAAATCTCGCGGCGGTTCAGCTACCGAGAGTGCAGCCAAATGGGCCATGCGGGTCATGGACTTTGGGCTGGTTGGCTCTGTGGGTCAGATCCTGTACACCGAAAGAGTAGCAGCTTGCTACGCATCAAAGACACCAATTGGTGCTGCGAAATGGGGTGGGCGTCGTCGCAAAGCCGGAATGTGGAGTACGCTGGCTGCAGATCAATGGCTCAAGGCGGGCAAGCCAACACTTGCTTCAGCCTGCCTCGAAGAAGCTGAACGTCTCTACGCTGACGTATTGGAGGCAGACGGTGTATTCCCAATGCCTGAGATGCAAAACTTCGTTGACAATCTGCGCCATGCTGTCAAAGTTGAATATCTTGAGGCTAGAGGATATGACTCTAGAGATAAATCTCCCACTGAAGACCCCCTTGATACTGAAGAGACCAGCGAAAAGCTTGACAAACGCAACCATCGCCGTTCTCTGATTGGACTCCCTGTGCAGCTGGATGCCGGAGCCCTCAATCCGCAGGAGCCTCGGATCCCTGAGAACCCGAATGATGACTTTGAACGAGCTTAAACTCATGACGGCCCTAATACATCCCCATAGCATATAACCATAGAATATCAGTCTGTTCAAACAGGAATTGTATCTCTGTATTTTCTAGCTAAGCCGTATACATCAAGAGCCTCACACCCTACGTCACGTGGGGCCGTTATCGATAAACCTTGTTGACAGAGCGACGGACGATCCCCCATGACCAAACCAAACATAGATTCCAAGGTTGACCGCTTATCTTGAGTGAGCTGCTCTCTTTTTCTTCTATATATTCAGCCACCATGAGTGATCTTCTCAAGTACATCCTCGACAACGAGGAAGCATTCCGCAGGTAAAGACCACAAACCTCCGAGCCCAAGTCCGGGCCTGTAACTCCAATCCAAAAGCGAAGCAGCCCACCAAATACACCAATACACGACAGAGAAGAAGATACTAACCCTTTCATTCCTCAGAAACCGCCTCCCATCCCTCTACTCCGATTTCACTCCTCAAAAGAAAACAAACCCAGACGGGTACGCCGTCAATGTCGCCGCATGGGAACAAGCCCTCAACAGAGCTGCAAAGCGCGGCTACACCTCGTCCCGCGGAGTCCGCGTACGTTCCGGATCAAACACCTCGTCAAAGAACAATGGTTCACAAGTGCAACGCAAGAAGACGGATCACCTCATTTTGCGGACAGATGAGTCCTTGCTAAGAGATCTGGAAAGTGCGGAGTGGGGGAGGCCCGTTGCACTGGGTACTGTCTTCGACGAGGCTATGCGCAAGCGCTCTATGATTCCTTTGGCTGTTTACAAGACTACTGCTGGGCTTTTTCAAAAAAACCAATGGAGGGTTATTGATCCTGGAGTTTTAAGTCCGTGGAATGTCATGAGTTGGGGCGTTAAACAGCTGAAAGGGTTTGTTATTGGGTCTGAGAGTGATTCGGCGCCGAAGTTGCAGGTTCAGGAGTTGGTTCTGGTGGAGAATTTGCAGGTATGATTCTTTGGGATTTAGCGGACTCTGCTTGGACTTGCTGGTTACTGATACCGGCGTTTTTCTCGACAGGAAGTAGCAGACTTGGCTGTGAAAAAGGCTACTGGTGGCAACCCCTCGAAGCTGGATCTGATATGCTCTAAAGAAAGTTTTGTTGAGGTGTTTTCTGGCATATTGAATGATGCTACAGAGTTATCAGATGCTGATTTTGATGTTCTATTGCTCTATTTGTCCCGCGACAGCGGTGATATTGCATATGATGGGAATGTAAGTTGGCCAGGTTGTATTTTGGCCATGATTTCCAGATACTGACATGTGAGTAGACAATCAAGTTCAAATCCGCAGGCGAGACGCCAGAGATCACACAACAAGATACGACAATCGCGTCTATCAAGAGCTTAGTTGCGACGATATCAAAACAAGCCGCAACTTTGGAGGCCAAGATCGTTGAGCTCAATACATCTGCAAAGACAGCGCTGGCGAACAAGAACCGCGTCTCGGCGCTAGCCGCTGTACGCTCAAAGAAGATGGCCGAGCAGAACCTCAAGCAGAGACTTGACACACTTATGCAGCTTGAGGAGGTTTATACCAAGATCGAACAAGCCGCCGGTCAGATTGAGATCGTACAGGTCATGCAGGCAAGTACCGGTGTTCTCCGCGGTCTTCACACAGAGATTGGTGGCACCGAGAGGGTTGAGGATATTATTGATGAGTTGCGTGAGGAGATGAGCAAGGTGGACGAAGTCGGCAGCATTATGAATGAAGCCGGCCCGGTCATCGATGAGGGAGAGATTGATGAGGAGCTCGAAGCCTTGGAGAAGGCTGACAGGGAGGTGCAGGAGAGGGAAGAAGCAGCGGCCACAGAGAAGAGACTGGCCGAGCTGGACAATGTCAAGCAAGCCTCCGACGAAGCTGCCCGTAAAGCAACGGCGGCCAAGAAGGTGGATGCTGAGCTTGCGGGCAGCATTGAGAGACTTTCCAATATGTCTGTTGAAGATCGCCCGATGCCCGCCAATTAAGGTACACCCTGTTCAAAAACAAGATCTGTCGTTCAAAGGCATAGCTCACTATTCAAGTGATTCGAATTCGGACTCCATTTCTCCATTTATAATCACCCGGAAAGGTCAATGGTATTATTCGCATCAGAGCCTTGGCTGTTTTGGATGCGAGCACCATTCGGTGGCAGTGCCTCGCTATGCTGTTGCGATGGAGCTTGTGCAGGCTCAGATAACCCGTCCAAAGCTGCACCAGGGATTGTGGATCTAACTTGTTGCTCACTCTTCTTCCGAGCATTCGCAATGAGTCGTTTGAAATCTTCGTCATGATTTGAAGACCACTCATTGGCGTTGAAGTCTTTGCGCATAACGTTGTTCGTCGAAACAAATGGTGATTGTGTGGCAGCATGTCCTCCCTGCGTCCGTTCCCAGATATCTAACTCGGAGAGCAATACCCGTTTCGACTTGGGATTTTTGGAATCGCAGTTCGCGTTCCACAGGTTCATCCACTCCGTATGGCGTCGCTGTAGAAGCTGTCTGGGACCCCACTCGGGGATACCGAGGTCCCGGAGCTTCTTGCGCAACGAGATGTCCTTCAAGATGGAATAATTTATGGCAGGGAGTCGATCGGGAGGTTTTCCTATGGTGAGGCCTTTCTGCGACGGGGCCATCAGTGACCTGCAATGTCAATTAGCATTCGTCTTATTAGACTTCAGTAATATGATCAACATACCCAAAAGTAGCTGGCTTTGCAGGCCGAGATTCCTCTTCTGTATGGACGTTTAGATGTCCGAAGACAGCTTCTTCCTTCATCTTTTGGGAACAGATTGGACATGCGACCATGCCATCTTCTATGAAATAATTAGACCGACTGTGACATACAAGACCACCGTGCCATACCAGGAATATATTCATCATCATCATCTTGGCTATCCTCAATAACCTCGGGAGTGATCTCAGAAGCAATCGGCTTTTCTACCGAGCTTCTTGTTCTTGAAGAACGTGTCTGTCGGCCTCGCGAGCTTGCCTCTTCAGCTTGTGCTTCCTCCTCTGCGACGCGGCTGACTTTTCGTTTCTTTTGCGCCGGCTGCTTATTATCGTCCTCGCGCTTTTGAAGGCGCTCCTTCTCTGCTCGCGCAAGACCCAGAACACTAGGCCTCGCCGTTATGAACGCGTCGACTAGCTCTTGCACGGCCCAGTTGCGGCGCAACTTCAGCTCTTGATCAGAGCTCCGACATGCGGGGCATTTCCCTTCGGTGCTGAGACAGCGACGAATACACAGCGAACAGAATGTATGGCTGCACGACGTGATCACTGGGTTATCGAAGAAGTCTTTGCAGACCTGACACCGGAGCGAAGATTCGAGAGGCGCAAGTAGCGACAAAGGTGTTCCCACCCAGTCGGTGGAATCAGGTAGGTCGAAAGATTGGTCCATTTTCGACAAGACCTCTCTACCTCAAGGTCGTTGCATCTCTGTAGAATCTCAGATGTCGACAAGGAGTGGAGTGCGCCAAGACCCGCTGACTGATACGCGTTAAGTGGTTTGGGCACGCGTCGGAGCAACTTGCAATTCACAACGATGGACTCCAAGCTGTTTCTGGCGGAGAATGTGCTCAATGAGCGACAGGCCGTATGTTATTCTCACATTCGATTTGACGTTCATATTCTGACGGGGAACAGGTGACTTATCGCTCATTGAGCCGTGCGCTCAAGGTTCACGCCAATCGAGCCAAACAGTATGTCTACACACTCGATGAAGGGCCCGCAGATACTGACAGCTTGATCATTTAGAATTCTCTACGATTTTCACCGCAGTGAGAATGCGAAGAAGCCACAGACCGTTCATGCGACCTACGTCATCTCCGGCATCCAAAAAGCGCCAGAGCCAGCTTCAAGAAACGGCCATGCCAACGACGAGGATGAGATGATGCAGAGTAGCCCTTACTTGCCCAGCTCCATGCCGAATCAGGATGCATCTTCAGACACCGCCCACATTGCATCAATCATCTTAGCGCGTGAAGAAGATTTAGAAGGTACGCTGGTCCGACAATTTGAACGATAGACTGAATACTGAATGAATGGTGCAGATGCAAAGTCAACATTCCAGTCAATCTCTATGATTCATATCTACAGCCTAGAACCTACACCGCTTCCTGATCTAAACGTACTGGTCGATGTCAATCGGGAGATTGCGATCAAGTATGCGCAGGAAGATCCTATGGAGTGTGGAAAGCAATGGGGCATGATTCAGAACAGGAATGTCAAGGTATGGCTCCATAACTCTCACGGCTGCTCTACATGATCTAATGAGTATTCTTTTTAGCGGAGAACTGGTGCGCGCCCGCCTCCACCTGCAGCTGCGAAAGCTCCGGCTCCGGCTGCCAAGGTATCAAAGCCTTCTACCGAGTCAACAGTACCGGCCAAACGGCCTTTGCAAAATGAGACTGCTTCCGTTAAAGTCGAACCCAAGACCGAAGAATCCAAGTCTCAGCCATCTTCAGGCGCAAACTCCCAGTCATCTTCAAAGCCCGCCGCAAAAGCTGCGCCTTCCAAGAAAGGCAACTTGTTCAGTTCATTTGCTAAGGCGAAGCCCAAACCAAAGACAGCCGCCCCCGCAGAAACTCCTGCGCAAGATGGTCAGTCAACCCTGTGCAGCATTGAAACATTGGCTAACACAACACAGTCGTGCTTGACGATGCTTCTGAAGAAGAACCCGAAGAACTATTCCCCGATAGCGGTGACAAAGCTGCTGCTGCGAACCGTGAAAGCAGAAAAGAACGCGAAGAAAAGCTAAAGAAAATGATGGACGATGACGAGGCCGACGGTATGTGTCGAATTGCTACTGAAATCGTAAACCTTCTAACATGTACAAGACGAAGAAATGCCCGATGCCGAGGAGGAACCCTCTCGCGAACCTACACCTGTCGAACAACCCCCGCCATCCAAGCCAGCAGAACTTAAGGAAGAAGTCACCGTGCAAGGTGGGCGGCGACGAGGCAAGCGACAAGTCATGAAGAAGAAGACGGTCAAGGATGAGGAAGGTTATCTAGGTCCGTGGCACCCGCTGAGGCCCATGAATGTATTTTTTACTAACCTCTCTCAGTCACTCGGGAAGAAGCGTCGTGGGAGTCCTTCTCCGAAGATGAGCCGGCGCCCAAGAAGAAGCCAGCAGTCAATGTGCCCAAGGCTAAGGCCGGTAAAGCGGGCCAGGGTCAAGGTAATATCATGTCTTTCTTTGGAAAGAAATGACCTTAATACTAACTCCGTACACCTACTCAATATCATATTTTCCATCTTGTCGTGTCATCTTGGCTACCCTAAGGTACGGCAGTATACAAGTAGAATTGCCCAAATAGGAAATTCAACCATGTTGATCTTCTCCGCAGTGGAGAAGGAGACATCCGTGCCTTGACCGATGTCACCTCAATTCGCAGTTGTAAACACTGAAAATATAGTCCGGGCTACATTGCATATCATTTGCCTATGTTGTGGAATGTGACCCTGCCCCCAGTTGCAAGATGTCCCCTCTTATTTAACGTTACCCCAGCTTCCCCCCACAACTTCCTCCTTGCTTCGACTATCACCAAACAAAGACCATGACTCGCTCAGTCATTCTCACAGCGTCACTGCTGGGCCTTGCCAATGCTCTGCCGGGTCGCGATGACCCAGCTATTTTAAAACGAGCTTGCCCGGACTACGTTTCATATGCGTCAACGCCGCAGTAAGTACCTCCCCACCAGGAAGCACACGAACAATTGCTCACTATATATGACAGCGCACCTTATAGTGAAGGGCCCTTGAAGCTTCCCTTCCAGCGTCCTGCAGAGGCATGTCGAACATTTTCATCACCCGCTGTGGAGAAGGTGATTGACGATATCACCGCGCGCCTAACGGACAAAGACCTGGCCCAGCTGTTCCGCAATGCCTACCCCAACACTCTGGACACAACTATTAAATGGCACACCAACGGATCCAGCACCTCCACCAAGCGTGTCAGGGCACAATCCGGCGCGCAGTGGACAGGCACGCAGACCTTTGTCGTGACAGGCGATATCAACGCCGAGTGGCTGCGCGACTCGACCAACCAGCTCACAAATTACCAAGCCCTAGCGTCAAAAGACCCAAGCCTATACTCCCTCATCCTTGGAGCTATCAACACCCAGTCCGAGTTCGTCATCCAGAACCCATACTGTAATGCCTTCCAGCCGCCCTCACTCAGCGGCATTAAGCCAGAAAATAGTACTCAGCAAGACCAAGTTCACCCGGCCTACGAAAAGTCCTTTGTCTTCGAATGCAAATACGAGCTTGACTCACTGGCTCATTTCCTCCTCCTCGGCACAGAGTTCCACGAGAACACCGGCTCAACCGATTTTCTGACAGACCGCTGGTACAAAGCTTTACAAACTGTACTGAGCACCATAGACGAGCAGTCCCAACCAACCTTTGACTCAAAGAACCAATTCGTCACAAACGCATACACATTCCAGCGCCAGACGAACATCGGCACTGAAACCCTTAACCTGGGAGGCGTAGGCAACCCCCTAAACAGCGGAACAGGTCTCATCCGCAGCGCTTTCCGTCCCAGCGACGATGCTACAATTTTCGGCTTTTTTATCCCACCCAACGCAATGATGTCCGTCCAGCTCCAGAAAACAGCAAAGGTCATCAAAGCAGCCGGCGGGCCAGATGATCTAGTCAAAGACCTACAACAGCGCGGCGAGAACCTAGCCAAGGCAGTCCACGACCACGGTATCGTCCAGCACCCCACCTACGGCGACGTCTACGCCTTCGAGGTAGACGGCTACGGCTCGCGCGTCCTGATGGATGACGCTAATATCCCATCGCTGCTCGCTCTTCCATACCTCGGGTTCCTGGATAAATCAGACCCGGTCTACCAGAACACCCGCAAGATGATCACCTCCAAATCCGGGAATCCTTATTACCTGGAGGGTCCGGCGTTCTATGGTATTGGCGGTCCGCATGCTGGTCTTGAGAATGCTTGGCCTATGTCTTTGCTCGTTGCGGCTATGACTTCTGATGACGATGATGAGATTTTGGCGAATATCAACCTTGTCCGAGATTCGAGCTTGCTCGGTCTTGTTCATGAGTCTATTAATGTTACTAATATCAAGGATTATACTCGTCCTTGGTTTTCGTGGGCTAATTCTGTCTTTGCCCAAACTATTCTTAAGGTTGCTGCTGAGAAGCCGCATCTGATCTTTGGGGAGGGGGCTCAGGCTTATACTGTGTCATAGGCTTCGGGGCTTGTTTTGGGCTTTGGTTTGACTAAGGAGATGTGAAGCGTAATGCCTTGTTTGGCAATTCATTGTTATTGAAATCAAACTAATTTCATATGTGAGTAGTGGGACAACAACTTTACCTCCTAGTCTACAGCCAGAAGCATGTCTATGGTACAAATCATTGGATTGAGACCTAATGTTTTCTACTTCATGCCTCTCGTATTTTCAGTTAACTTGGGTAGATTCATCGTCATATATAGTCCTCACTGATCGTGTGTTTTGTACAATTCTCACGAGTATATAATAACAAATGGGATATAAAGTAACAATTAAATCAACACTCTCCGCAAGCCCTCCGTACCTCCAAGCACTCTTCGGCCAGTGACAGGGCATCTTCCCCTGCCACTCTCCCATTTACCAGAGCGCTTCCGAGGACCCTTGGGCTCGGAGTCATCTCCAGAATCCTTCTTAGAGTCTTCATCGTCACCCGTAATTTCCTCTTCCCATGGCGCACCAGCACCCTCGCCAGCCATAAAGTCCAGCTGGCGTTGATGCTCACCATTCAGCCAGTGGAAAATGCACACGTAGCAGAAAACATATCCTGTCTGGCATGCAGTCGGGTTAACGAGCTGGCCCATACAGACAGGACAAGTATTTGCACTCGAGGGATCAGCCGGAGGCAAAGATACAGTATATATGGGAAGATAAGAGGTAGCAGAGATAGGAGGCTTATGACGACGGGGAGACTTAAGCGCTGGTTTTAAATCAGCAGCGCTCTTCTTCTCCTGCTCCGCCTGCTTCTTGGCCTTCTCTTTCTCATCTGACAATTTCCGTCGTTCAGCTGGGGATGTGAGGCCCGCAACGACGGGAGCGGGCAGGTCCAAGACCTCGGTTGCCTTGCGGGCAAGCTGTCGCGAGAAATCACTTGCATGCCACCATTCCAAGAATTTGAGGGCGAAGATAGATGCGGGAAGGAAATACCGCAACGAGGTCAGCGCTTGTGTATGGAGGTTCTGGGGGCTTAGAAGACCCAGCAAACCACCGCCAGGTCGCTGAGAACGGCTAGCGCCAGGGCCCGGCTTAGGATTTAGCACTGCGGCAATGGCGCGGTGGTCTGCGGCGCCAAGGCGGCGAATGCGCGTACCGATCAGCCATAGGAATGGCGATGAGTACTTTGTGTTATCGAATAGGTAGGCGAGATTGAACGCCAGAACGGAGAAGTAGTACGCAGCGTTGATGGACGGGTAGACTTTGCGTAGGAACCACTTGTAGAAGTGGAAGATGCGCTGGCGCAGCGACGGGTTGGCCGGCAGGTCGTCGCTGGGGTTGTATCGGGGGCCACCGCCCATGACCAGGGATGCCTGTGGCGCAGCGTGGATATCATATCCTTCGTCAAGTTTGCGCTTTAGATAGGGAATTCCGACCATGACGAAGAGGTTCTTCCATATGTCTGTGGAGTGTAATTTGAGAGCCTCACGCACAGGGCCAGCAGCGCCGACCTGGGCGCGCGGGATCTCGCCATTCTTGGTGCGAAGGACACGTTCACGTTTAAGAGAGTAAAAGTTCTCTGTGAAGGAGCCACCGAACGTACGGAGGTAGTATCTTTCGACTATTAATGAGAGAAGGGCGTAGACTTCGTCATAGGAATTAAGGATCCGGAGGAGGTATCGCGGGTGACGGTGTGTTGCGACTGCGAGGAGATAGCGTAGAGATGGAGGGAGGAGATCGGATAGCTGCTGTTCAGCGAGGAGTTCTGTCGCGTGCGAGTTCGGTGTTAGCGATTCCACTGTATGGGGGGTTCCCCGTGTCTGGGGTCCATCTCCGCGGGGAAGTGGCATTCGTCACTTACCGAAGAGCGACGGCTTGTGCTCATCGAACTCCTGTTGTAGACTAGGAAGATACTCCATCGTCAGGGGCAGTCATCATCGGGAGAGTCAGAGGTTGGAGGTTGAAGATGGAGGAGAGATGGAGGTCACGCCGGAATGATCGTCTGCCGAGGCTCAACTTATCCGAGCTGACTACAGGCCTCAAGTAGCCTCTTCACTGCTTAAGGCTATCCTACGTACATCATGAACCTTTAGTGTTCAAGTGTTATAGCATGTTAAATGTGATCAAACCGCATATCAACTTCATTGATTCTAACAAAAAAGAACCTAGGGACATAAGATACAAGCGCTAAATTACTGTATGACTGATATATGGCGTTTTAGCACTTGGGGTTTGCTTTTGAGTAATTAACTTTATATAACGCCAATAGTATGATGAAGCATACAGAACCCCCTGGATCTTACGAGAATTGCAAGACTTGGTCAAGGATTGCCGAATGGGCGTCACAGTGAAAGTGCCTCAAAGCGAGTGCTGCACTGAAGATGACCGAGAAAAAGAGCTGGAATTTACGAAAATCAAAAACAACCAGGGGATGTGACTGATAATATTATACATGCAGAATTTATGCTAGATTATGGTACAGATCCTCTTCGTCATTCAGGCTTCGAGGGCAAGGGCCTCTTGACAATTAGTCCATAGGGGCATATAGAAACTCTGAGGCCCATCTTCATGCTCACGCTCGTGAATCACTGGGTCGGCGACCAAGATGCAATGCATGATGGCGGGAACAATTAGGCCTTGAAGTTCGATGGCAGGAGATTCCTCGGTCAGCAGCGGGATGGCAAGAGAGAGGCACATGCGGGCTCGTCGTTCATCGCCCAGGTCGGCGTGCAGCTGGAACAGCTGAACGTAATCGTCTTGTGTACGACTGAGGTTTTTCAGGGGAAACTGGTTCCACAATCGCCAGAAACCATCGTGGTCTCCGCATTTGAAAAGCGTGACCATGAGCTTGCGAGCTTCGCTTGCATCGAATGGAACATTGGCGGCCGCGACAATCTTGGTCAACCGAGACAGAATTCGTTCCTGGGACTCAGTCCGCTGAGTAGTAGACGATGGCTGTGAAGCTCCTTCCTCAGGCAATACACTTGGTGTGACGACCGTCTGGTAGAGGATGTTGAACATTCTCATGTTAAGGATCGGAACGCCGCGTAGGCTGAGACGATCCAGTACATTCAAGGCAAGCTCCATATCACTCTCGGGAAGATCAGATGCAAGTTCCCCGGGGCTCGTACCGAGTGGTTTCGGGGCCAGTAAGGCAGAGACCACATCAAATCCAATGTCGTCCGGCAGATCATGGCCATTCTGAAGAAAATCAGAAAAGGCACTGAACAGGGAATCTTTACTGTAAGCCGGGTGCTGTCGAGACACTGCAATTGACAGCAACTTTAATCGAAGGATAGCCTTCTCCTGGGCGGAGCTTTTGGAAGCGTGATTGTTATAAAACAGCCTTAGAAAAAGGGTGGAAGTGTGATCGCCTGGGCCACTTCCAAGCTCGCTTCGAGCATTTTCAGCTGGGAGCTCGCTGAGGGTCTGGAGCAAAGACGCCGGTGTCATTTGGGATGCAACAGCTTCTGCATTGCGGGCGGTTGGTGAAGCTCCCATGATTGGAAAAGCAGCTCCTAGGTCAGACTCAATAGAGCTCATTTCGGGAAATCTCAGTCGTCGCATGGTATGAAAGCTTCTTTTTTGGTTGGGAGAGGATCCGAAACCATCGGACATGGACCGGGGAAGTGCAGAGCTAGGCTTGGAAGAATTGTTCACTTGAACGTTCTTTCGAACTTCGCGGGCCAAAGTAGCTTCCCAGAGACCATCTAGATCAACATCGGCACGCTTCTCCTCCGTGAAGATCTGGACAACTACGTTGGTCCCAAGCTCGATACTGCCAAATCCTTCAAAGCCAGCATCGCTAAGCTGTGTCTTAGAGATAGAATCTTTGTCTACCACTCCGGCGTTAACACAGATCCAACCGGTGGTGATCCCATCGTCCTTTTCGTCGATCATTGCGCCTGCGGCGGCGGCAGCGCGCGCTCGTTTGGCTTTGCGGCGGAGTTTGATCTTCAGCTCGTTGCGTCCAAGCAATCCATCAGCGTATGGGGACAGTTTGTATTGGCTTCGTAGCCAGCGGCAGAGGCGATCAGCAGAAACATTCAAGTGCTTCACACTACGAGCAGTTCCAACTATCATGATCACATTGGCACCGAGGGCCGCGGGAATTTCGAGGCCGCGTAGGTCATATAGCTTGAGACCATCGAGACCAAGGTCTTTGTAGGTATATTCCAAAAGAGTGGACAGCATCTCTGGGGAGTCTTCTGGGATATCGGGAAGATGGGCTTCGGCCAACGGACGGTCCTCGACCGGCGTCTCCTCCTGCAGATACCAAGGAACATGCTGTGATGAGGCCGGCGCACTGCTTTCGGTCGGGGCCGGTGTTTCTTCTGATTCAGCTAGATGGGCATCAAGCTGATGCGCAGTTGGAGGACGATCGGATCGCAGTGAGCTTAGCGCGGAGAAAGCTTTAGGGTTAGGGATCGAACGAAGAGGAAGAGAGTATCGCGGCAGTCTAACGCCGGAGACGGAGACAAAAGACCGTAGCACCTCGTGGCGGCATGATTGGCATACAGCCCCTCGTAAAAGAGCTCTACTCATAGTGAAGATGTTGAAACGAGAAAGTGAGGAAATCCGGAAGTCCTGTTTGCTGATGATATCAACGATAGCAGTGCCAAACAGTGCAAACAGCTGAGTCATCCAAAAAAAGATTCTCGGAGGGGCAAAAGTTACAAATCCACGATAACCAGACTCGAGTCGCAGACTCTATACAACGCTCACTTTTTCTTCTTTTCGGTTTCGGACATTCTTCTCAAGATGTCGATGGATCTGGATGCCCCCGTCTATATGACGGGACAACAGGAGCAGATTGCAGCAACGTACGTTGTGTTCCCCCACTAATGTCTGATTAGATGCTAATAATTTGCAGTATTCTTTGCTGCAACTGTGCTGCTCCTATTGATGGAACCACCTCAGCCGGTGCCCTCTGTTCCGACTGTATTCGACTCACCGTCGATGTTTCTCAGGGTATTCAACGTGAAGCCACCCTCCACACTTGCAAGGACTGCGAGCGATGGCTGCAACCCCCCACCAGCTGGGTTGTCGCTGCCCCCGAATCAAAGGAACTCCTGGCTCTGTGTCTGCGCAAGCTGCGTGGTCTCTCTAAAGTCCGCATTATCGACGCCAGTTTCATTTGGACCGAACCCCACTCCCGCCGCATCAAGATGAAGATCACGATCCAGCAAGAAGCCTTCCAGGGTACCATTATCCAGCAGACCTTTGAGGTGGAATACGTCGTCGCTTCGCAGCAGTGCCCCGACTGTCAAAAGTCTTATACCCACAACTCCTGGCGCGCCGCTGTTCAGATTCGTCAGAAGGTCCCCCATAAGCGAACCTTCCTCTACCTCGAGCAGGTCATTCTTAAGCACGGTGCCCACAAGGATACTGTCAACATTAAGGAAGCCAAGGACGGTCTTGACTTCTACTTTGCTCAGAGAAACCATGCCGACAAGATGGTTGAGTTCTTGCAATCAGTGACTCCTTGCAAGTCGAAGAAGTCTCAGGAACTTATTTCGATGGATATTCATACCTCTACCAAGTCATACAAGTTCACATACTCCGTCGAACTGATTCCCATTTGCAAGGATGACTTGATTGCTTTACCACTCAAGCTGGCCCGCTCTCTGGGCAATATCGCTCCTCTGACCATTTGTCACCGCGTCGGTACTGCCGTCAACCTTATGGACCCCTGCACTCTCCAGACAACCGATGTTCCCACCGGTGTATACTGGCGTCAGCCTTTCAGGACTCTTGCCGATGTCACTGAGCTCAAGGAGTTCATTGTCATGGACATCGAGCCCACCGGTTTGACCAACGGTCGCTACCTCATGTCTGAGTGTACCGTTGCCCGCGCCTCTGATCTCGGATCTAATGATATCACCTACTTCACCCGGACCCACCTCGGTGGTATCCTGCACGTCGGAGACTCAGTCCTCGGTTACCACCTGACAGGAACCAACTTCAACAGCGACGAATTTGAGGAAATTGAGCGTAGCCACCAATACGGCTCAACAATCCCCGATGTCGTCCTCGTGAAGAAGCACTACGTTCGCAGCAAGAAGTCCAAGAACCGCAGCTGGCGTCTCAAGCGTATGGCTAAGGAATATGAGGACGAGGCCGTCATGGGCGGCAACGTCCCCACCAGCAAGCGCCAGGAGCAAGAGCAGAACCGCATGGAGCAGGACTACGAGCTGTTCTTGCGTGATGTCGAGGAGGACCAGGAGCTGCGTCACACTCTTGACCTGTACAAGGTCCGTCAACAACAAGCCCGACCCGAACACATGGAGGTGGAGATGGCCGAGAATGATGATGTTGATGAGGAAGATGAGACCGTTCCTAAGATTGACATGGACGAGCTGCTTGATGACTTTGACGACATGAACATGGAAGACAATGAATAAGCTGTTGCAGCTTACTGCGTGTGATATCCTTGACGATCATGGCACTGGCCGGCGTTTTGTTATGTTTCTGGGTCTTTCAATCCAACAAAAAAAAGTTCCTTATTTCCAAATAGATACATGCAATGTATAGCATGCGGATGCAATTTACATACTTAAAAAAAAACACATGGATATCTAACATTCCAAGAGTAAAGCAGCCTAGAAAATCTTTCCAAGCACCCTCTTAGTGTCATCAGCAACAGCCCCCTCCTTACTCCCACGAACAACCTCACTCTGCTGGAAGCGTCGTCGAACAGGCTGAGCAATCTTCTTCTGCGAAACCTCCTTCTGTCCATCTTTCTTCTCAGCCTCCTCCAACTTCCTCCGCGCCTTCTCCTCGTTCTTCCTCGCCATGCCATCAGCAACACGTCCACTCTCAACACCAGCAACGAACATCTTCTCCTCCTTCTTTGCGCGCGAATCCTCAATTCGCTGCCTAGCCTCCCTCTCACTTCGCTCACGCTGAACCTGCTCCATCAGATCCGCCCACTTAAATCCGCGCAGATACTTCATATTCCACACATCATCGTGGTACCAACCACCCTTCTTTCCGCCGACAATATGCGCATTCAGCGTCTCAGCGCAGATCTTCGCAGTCTTCTTCGACGCGAACTCAACCCAGCCATCGGTGTAGGTCTTGCGCTTGTTGCTTTTGCGCCGGTTGCCAGCTGCTGAAGGGAGGAGAGGTGCGAGGAAGATCTTAGTGATGGGTTCAAAGCCACGCTGTTCGAGCATTGCTTTCAGGGCGAATGGTTTCAGGTATGGTGGCAGGGAGGAGAGGTAGATCACGCCCGTTTTGTTCTTCTTGGGCGCTTTGCCGTTGGCGAGTTTGGATTTCTTTTCGGTTGGTAGGAAGGCTTTCGTGCGCGCGATTTTTGCGGCTGCTTCTAGGAATGCGCTGTCTTGGTCTGCTTCGTCGTCGTTGTCTTCTTCTTCATCTTCATTTTCGGCATCTGCGTTGGCGGTGGCTTGCTTGCGGCTCTTGCTTTTGCTCTTGCCTTTGCCGTGGGTGTCTTCTTCTTCTTCGGAATCCTCGTTCTCGTCGTCTTCGTCTGACTCTACTCCGAAGAAGTCTTGCGTCTCGGCTGTTCGTCGCCGCTTCACGGCTCGTCCTTTGCTCTCTGTTACATTGGCTTCGGAGTCGTAGCCACGATCGCTGGTCTCATCGTTGCTGGCTGCGGTGTCCAGGAACTCGTTGTGTGTGCGGGTCGTCATTTTGGAGGTTTGAGGGAGTGTAGAGACGGTCGTAAGAGGCGGAAGTCTCCAACTTTTTTTTTAATGCGGGTGGCCCGTGCACCCGCGGGACTATACAGTCAAGTTCGAGATCTTAGTAGAGGGAAATTTTGTTGAAGAGTCCTGACAGAGTGAATTGTATATACGACTTCTAATGTATCTTCGAAGCAAGCTTCTAATGCAATGAAAAGAAAAAACCCCCAAGGTATCCACCAAACGCCAACAGGAATTGGTAGTGGTCGAGAACAAGATATCCCCGAATCTCACAATGTATGTCAAAGAAAGCAAAGCGGGCGAGCAAAGTGTGGGAGGCTTTTAAATTCCAAGCGACCACTTCAACCGCTCATAAACAAAGAAACTGGTAGCAACCATCGGAATGACCTTCATATATCCGATAGTCAACCCAACCCAAAAGCCACGGAATCCCCTCTCGAGCCAGATAGTCCGAGCAGTCTCGGCCATTCCAAGACGACGTCCGTCACCGACTGCACCGCCGACCTGCATGCGTCGGCGAAGGACCTCAAGCGGGTAGGAAGATGTTTGCGAGACCATACCAGCCAGTGCGCCGGAGGATAACTCAGCAGCAGCCGTGAGCTGGGGGCCCCTGTCAGACCTCTTGGATGTTGAGCCGGGAATAGTGGTATATTTCGCAACAGCAGGGAGACGGAGCCAGTCCCCGACAGTATCGTGCGTCAAGAAGGACATGCCAGCGTAAGGAAGCATTCCAAGAATCGTAGGAGAAAAGCCACGGTAAAAATTAGCCAGTCCAGAGCGCGGCATGACCTTGTTCATAGCCGAGGAAGCACTTTCAGCAGCAGCGACGGTCGAAGATTCCGCCGCGGCCACAGAGCCTGTGGGCGGGGCCCGCGCGCGCTCATTGTAAATTTGGCGGCAGACGTCTGTCAAGGAAGAGCGGGAGGTTTGTTTTGTTTCAAAGGCCATTCGCACGCGGAGAAGTTCTAGGGGGTATGTGAAAAAGACGGACGTGATTCCAGCCATGCTGCCTGATGCCAGTCGGCGGAATACAGTCTCTTTATCTCGTGAGGGGATTACAACTGCGCGGATCTGTTCGTATGCGAGGAATTTGATGGCGGCATAGGGGAAGATTCGAATGAGGGTGGCGGAGTGGCCTTTGTATAGGCCCATTGCGCCTTCTGAGCGCTTGATGTCTCGAATGGCCGCAGAAAGGCCATACCAGCTGCCGGTATATTTTGCGAATTGCGGATTTGAGGCTTGAAATAGGATCTTGACGCGGTCGAGGGGAGCCACGACGGTTTTGGCCTTGATTTCGCACATCTCTTAGTATATTGAAATCGCAGTTGGGGCTTCATCGTCTGCGCGCACTTACCGCACACCCCGCAAGTCCTCCTGCTAACCCAGTTCTTGAGATGTAATCCAGACTCTGCTTCTTTGGAGGTTTTACCTCGCCATTCTTCTGGTCTGCTGCGGTGGGTTTTAAGCCCACGGAGGCTGTTGTGCTGCTTTCCATCGCGCTCGGCGATCTCGAATGTGAGATTTCGCTCATCGGAGCAGACTGCGGCGTGGACTCTGGGGTGTGAGTAGGATATCGTGATTGTATGTTGCCGTGGTCGCGATTGACATGGTCTGAATAACCAGTCGACATGAGAAGAGAGGGTGCTGAACAGCCGAGGCCGGGGGGAAATATCTGGGGCAATAACGGTATCCCCTCGTGATCAGTTCGGCGATATCAGGAAAAAAGTCTCGGGTTACCGGATGATCTTCGGGACCCTTCAATGGGGCAGGCAAAGGGGTTCTTGGTCTCTCGAAGTGTACATACGATGAGAAACAATATGTCGACTGTGCAAATGAAACGAGTAATAAAGAAGAGACAACTGTGTGTTCTCGTTCACTGACGTATTTTGGCTGGCGAAGTTCGGGGTGTAAGGACTGACATGCCGATACCAGCCGCTCCCCGCCAATAACCGGTAGATGACCATACAGATACCACCTGATACCGAATAATACCGAGTGGCGGATCAGCGAGTCCCGAAAAGCCGAATTGTCATCCGCTCTCCACTCGACACAGGTATAACCCGCCATGCTAGACGTGGTCCTGACTACTCAACTTGACGGCAAGTTGCTACGTCGATATATGGAATGTTCACTCTATTGCATTTCTCTAAAGTTCACTCCAACTCCCCCTTGCCCACCCAATGCTCAAAATGTTGAGGCAAATCAAGAGAATGGAAAATAATACAAAGAATATCGTGGTCGCGTGACAAGGGAAGAATCAACGATTGCGCCGGGAGCTCTGTCGAGTCAAGGTCTTTTTGGTGTCCTTGGTCTCCCTGGTGTCGTCGGAAACTCGCTTGTTGCGCTTGGCAGGCCGGTCAGGGTCAACATGGAGATGGCCATGTTCAGAGAGCGCGGTGTTGTTCTTCCAATGTAGACAACGAAGGCCATGTTCGTTCACATCCATATAGGTCTTGGTGCGAGTAGTCACACGCTTCACTGGAATATCCTCTGACTCAGCACTCTCTGCCGTCTCACTCAGGTATGCTTGACGGTTCTTCATATATTTGGCGATATAGTCCTGCTGCTGCAGGAGCTCCTTCAGGAGTTTAGACTCTCGGTTGCCTCGTGGGTCCAGCCATTCCGTAAGCTGGTCGATGGCATCTGGCTCCTCATAGTAGCCCCATTCACGGGCATTCGATAAATGAGTAGGGCCCTCCTCATGTTTCTTGCGCTCCGCTGGGGTAGTTCCAAAGTGCCTTTGATATTGCTTGCGTTGCTCCTCAGTCACGTCGATGAAGCCGGCGTGCTCCATTTCATCTGGACCTTGTACCCATAGGCGGCCATTGGCGTATAGTGCCTCGGCAGTCGAACTCTCTGGCATACCTTCGTAAGGCATGGCATTTCGCTCAAACCACCAGTAGCGATTGCAGAAACGATCCTGTCCAAGGCATCGGGTCCGGGGGCAATCGGCCTCGCGGAGGCTGTTTTCCACTGTCTCGATCTGATCGTGAAGCTTGTCGACCTTGGCTTTCTGCTCGTCAATCTTCTTCAGGACTCGTTGGTATTGTTTTGATCCCTTCGGTTGCTTTGCAAGTTGCTCCTTTCGCTCCTTCTCTAGCTCTTGCTTGCGCTTACGCTCAAGGGCACGGTCGGGTCCTCCTCTGAGGGAGCGCGGCCGAGGGATATCTTCGTCTTCAGTATCAACGGGCATTTCGGAATCACCTTCCAGACCAGTCATCCTAGAATCATCCAACCCATCCAGTTCGGGAACAGGCGTTGGTGACTTTCCGTTCTTTTCAGGCTCGGGCTGAACGGCCTTGCGTTCCTGATGAAGTTGGCGTAACTCGATAAGTCTAAAATCTTTGTCAGTGGTTGATAGTGTCGGGATAGGAAATTTCAACGTACGCTGCTTTGCGCGATTTCTGGTACTCGATTTTCTCCTTGCGCAATTCCGTCATCTGGTTGCTGCACTCCTCGAGGTAGTTACGAATCGCCTTGGTTTCCAAGCTGAGCATACAAATGATCTGCAGGGCTTTGGTGCGCATGTTGATATCGAGAGTGCGGTATTGCTCCAGGGCAGTGAACTGGGTAGGCTCAGCATCAAGAGGAGCCAGGTGTTTGAGAATATCGTTGCAAGTCTGCTCTGAACGAGGCCGAGCTGACATCTGGTGTAACAAACCGATCATCACCATCTGCCAGCCACCACTGCGGAAGTCACGTTTGCGAAGACGCTCAATCCACCCATATTTCTCGAACATCTCGGCAGCACGGTGTATTTTCGTCTCGTCTTCTTCGGCGTCTTCGTCGGCTTGCGATTTGACAGTGTGTGCCTCCTCCATGGCCAAACTTCTTCTGGTAGTCATTCTACCAGGCTTGACTGCCGGCTCGGGGGGTTCGTCCTCATCTTCCTCCTCGTCCTCCTCTTCGGACTCATCTGAATCCTCAACTGGGAAGTCGGGAAGAGAGACTTGGACAGCACCACCCTCATGACCTGTCGCATTGACCAATTTTTTGAGAACGGCGCAATGGATCTCTACAAACATCTCGCAGTCCATCTCCTCTGAGGAAAATCGCATGGCTTGGACGAAGTCGTCAAAGGTGAAAGAGTCCAGTTCGAATACTTCACAGTAAACATTAAGCGTATTCCAGCTCTCCAGAAGCATTCCTACCGTTTCAGGTTCGAGGTCATCCGGCAAGAGGTCTTCGGTTCCGTCATCTTCGGACTCGCCGACCATCAGGAACTTAAGAGTAGGACGATGTTGTTTCTCCTGGTTAGGAGCGAGATCCAAATCTTCGATAGGATATTTGATTGGTGGTGGGGTGGGTGGTCTTGATTCATTCTTGACGAGAACGTAAGGGCTTCCACCTGCAGAAAACTTCCGATCGCCAACCAGTGGCGGCTTTGTGGGACGCAAGGGATTAGAGGGGAGCAGAAATGATGGATTCCCATTCAGTGATCGCTGATATTCCTGGTACTGTGCTTCCCTTGACTTCGCCATGTCGTGCGGAGTCAGCTTTGACTTCTGTCCCTTTGTGGCTGGTTTCAATTCAGGGAGTTGTTGAGAAGAGAAGAAACCGAAGAAACCGTCCTGGTCTGCCTTTTTCATTGCTTTCTTCTCTGCCACCTTGGCACCGTACTGTAGATGCTTGGGTACCTCGATTGGGATTTTGTACTCCTCGGCGACAGAAGGCTTGACCAACCAAGGAGCACCAGTCCATGACTCCCTGGTAACATTATTTTTAATAAAACCGCGCAGCATCAGCTTGGTGAATGCCTTTCGGTCGCGTGTAATGTGGTCCTGGTCCAGCAGGGCCTCCTCATTTTGCCGGTCTAGGATCTTGACTAGATAACGGGCGAAAGCAGGCGTTTTAATGGTTCCGTCGGCAAATAGCTGTTCAGCAAAGTTGGCCTTGTCTCGAATAGTACCGTGAAGTCGGGTGCTATCCTCCAACAAGATAAGAACAGCTTCGCCGGGGTAGAAGTCTGATTTGAATTCCTGTATTTGTTAGAATATATGGTAGTGAAGGTACTGAATCTCTTACTTCGTAAATCTCGTCCACTGGGAATTGAGGTTAGTTTAGATTCATCAACAAATCAGAACTGACATACCTAGACTGTCCACCCTTGAGACTGTGGAGAATTGAATTCGGCGGAGAATAGGCTCTCTCAGCGCATCCGGAAAACTGTTGTTTACTTCACGCGATTCCTCGGTCTACCACGATATCAGCACTTGTCCGTCACTCCGAGTCCAGATCATCATGTACCTCACTCCGCAGTGCCTCGAAAAATGTCAACCCCGAGTGGCCGGTGATCTCGCAAATGAATCGACGCTGCTTATAAAAATCCATTCGCTGGAGGTAGGGCTCGTAGGCAGTAAAGACCTCGTTGGTCTCCGGAATGACCCAAACCTAACGGAATAACCAGGTAAGTGGGTGGTGATCCACAGGTGTCCGAATTGCATACCTCGGAGCTGTCATCTTCAATGACGGTTGATGGAAGGTATTGAACTGGTTTGCGTTTGAAGAGCACCTAGTCGAAGGATTGTATAAGCCTCTGTGTCCGCAACATCCATCACATTGTTCGTGGCATCTCCGCCGCCATTCCATCCGATAAGGTGTCGCATACCATGATCTTCTAAAGATTGCGTGCGGACGCGCCAGTCGACCAAGAACTATCGTCAATGGGATCAATCATGAACGGACTAGACAAAACGCGACCCAGGTCAGCGGATGCAGCTCATTGAAGAATTGCGGAGGTGCAGGTGAACACCGCGTCAACACCGAGGCAGGCGCGGAGGAGACGGGGGTCGCGAGGGGGACAGCAGAGACTCTCGCAGGTCTGGTCTGAGTCGATGGTTCACGGGGAGGGGGCGGTCGTGATCAGGCCTGGTCGCAGCCACAGACTACGCGAATGGACCATGTATCGGGGAAATCAACGGACTTACCGGAGTCGAACGCGTCCAGTGTAGTATTTAACGGACGACAATGAGGTGGGTGGTTCGTGGTGATCCAGGGGGGGAAAGAGGATTGAAGGAGAGGAGAAGCCAGAAAGAAGAAAGGCATAAAAGAAGCGGTAGATCGTTGCAGGACCGCGCCCGGGATGCTGATTGGTCGAAACGAGGAGCCCGCGGGAGCAAAGACAAAACTCTCGGGACCTTCGACCTTCTCTGCTGCTCTGCCCTCTTGTCGTTGTTGGCCCCTAGCGATGTATCCCCCACCAAAGGGGTCTTTATTTACACTCATTCGACTCGTCGGATTCAGCCCAATTCCCTCATTCTATTGGACTTTTACGCCAACCATATAGCTCTATGTTTACTACGGGATTATCAATTTCTACTCTCGGCCACCTCCCGGTCCAGATCGGAGCATGGGCAGTTTATAACAGGACCACCAAAACATGAACCATGCATCACCCTGGGGGAGCCAAACTGGGGCTTTAGTGTCTTGAGAGTGTAGTTAGAAATGTGTTACTTTGTCTAAACATTACTAGATCTATTCTGAGCTCTTTTGTTTGAAAGCACCTAGCACCTTTAACCTTGGCTTTGTTTCCAAGTAAATCTCAACCCCGTTGAACTTTATTGACATGTCAGTCTTCCTTCCTAAATATGATATCTCTACTCAGTATTCATCAGCCATGATCTGAGCAATATCTAAAGTTAAGTCGTCATTTCCTACAGTTCCGCGCGTCGAAAGCCTCACATTACCAGTGGCCGTAGTACTTGGTCTTCGCCCGCCGACTCATAGATCAGTTGTCCTGGTGTGAAGGACTACCTAGCATTTCACTGTGACATTGTCTTTATTTGAGCAATGACTAGGCAACAGTTAACAAACGTGCGTCTACCAAAGGACTCTTTACATAACCCTGACAAGCGGCATCTCCGTCCATTTCGACATACTTCATATTTTATTCCTTTTTCAATATGATTATAGCTTATCCCTGATGCATAGACTCAGTTATGAGAACTCAAACATACCTAATAGAAAAATATGAAATGTCGCCACCGAGGCAGAGATGCAACAGCAACTCCAATGTCAGCCCATATAGGCCAGAGAGTAGCAGTTCACCCTGATCTCAGTCAATGTAAATAGCAATTACATGTCTACTATTCTTATATTATTAGTTATCAAGTTTCTTTCTTTGTTGTAAAGCTGGTATTCCATCTGTCGGGAAGGCTGATGTCATCGCCCGGCCTTCAAGATTTTGATATATATTGCGGACATTTATTGTTGAGACTATAGTATCGGATACCTGCCTGTGTATATATCAAGCTTATTCTATACCAGGGCTTAATTATGCATATCGTCAATGCATGGATCCGCCGTGCGATATTCAATAAGCTATTTATGATTGACAGGCCAACCTTTGTTACAGAGTTAAGCAAAGTATGCGCTCTTGACTCATGTATCTCATAGCAAACCATTTGGAGCCATATTTTGCCCGATGTATCGCTAAAAACATGAGGGAATCTGTTCAATGTTTATCAATTTCGGTATATTGTGCTTCCGCCACACGAACGAATGTTGCTAACATATATGTAATGGGTATCTCCTTCTACAAATGAAGCATATCAGTATCATGACCAACTAAAGTGTAAGGAACTCCACTGTACAAATAAATACAACCCCAAATCAAAGCGAAACGGAAATGGCCCCGTGTTTCCATTCCGGCTGCATTTGCAGGCCAACCATGGATGAAGCGAGGCTAACCCAATCAGGCTAGTGTCGGAATAGACTCCTGTGATCTGTGGATCGGATCCACGTGGACTCAAACAGTGCAAACTCCCATTACATCATTTCCCTCGCCTAACACCTAGTCACTCCAGGGCTGTCGCTTGTAACATACAGTCCTTGTTATCTGTGAGGGAAGAAATATCGGTTTGAATTTTAGATACCAATAACACTATGCGGTGAAATACACCACCATGAATCCCACCCAGCTTCCAACAACCCCAAGTGCGGAATAGCTGCTCATAAACATTAATGGCAGGAACTCGAGTCTGTCCCAGCCGAAGATTAATTGGTGACCCAGGGAGCAGTATACAATCAGAGGGATGGAGATGGTTAGGTAGAGCAGTGCCAGTCGATCAAAGACGAAGATACGAGGCCGTTCTGGGACGGGCGCAACCTGATCAAAGACGAAGAGGAATAGCACCAACCATAATACCGTGTACACAGTCTTCAGGGGGAACTCGGCTGCTGTGAACAGCAGTGGGAAGAGCGAGACATGTCCTGCCACCGCCAGAGGACGAAAAGCGCTGAAGTATCGACGGTCCTTCAGTGCGATGAGACTGAAGGGGATGATGATGAGGAGAATGGCTTTCTCGTGTACATGCCAGCCGAAGAGGAAGGAGGCATAGCCACAGAGCGTGATTGCTCCGACAAAAGTGTCCCAGTCTGGACGGAACCAGAGCTTGACTAAAGGAATCTAGAAGCATGTCAGCATGAGTGTAAAACACAAGAGTCAAAATGCGTACCAATTGGAACAAGAAGGTTAGCAAGAAGGTATGCTCCTTGGTGACCTCGGGAAGAATTGCAAAGGCAGTATCTCCCACAAGTCCTCGTGTAACACTGTTCAAAGCATCGGTGTTGACATGGAGTCCCAATTTGGGAGCAACTGGCGAAGAAGGTCAGAGAATTTTACCCTCCATAGAATCGAATGGGAACAGATGACTCACGAGGAATTAAAGCTCGATCTGTGAACGAGTACATAGCCCAAATGTTCGGAGCCCAATAGGCATGACACAGTCCCCGCGAGAATGGGAAGAGCCTATCCTTGAGTTGCAACAATTGGCCCCATTGCGCAAAGGGACCAAAAGCAATGGCAAACACACCAACAACGCATACTCCAAGCTTGATGGTGTTTCCAAACTGAGGGCGGAATACTGATCTAGGATCCAGACAGTAGGCGCGAAGGAGGTAGACGAAGTATGCAAGGGCAAGATAGAGATAGATGTGCTTCATGCACAGCAGGACTGCGAACATGATCCCGCTGTACAGAAGGGTCGACTGCTTGCGGGCCAAGACGATTGACAGGATCAAGATGCCGTACATGAATCCATTATATTGGAAGTGGATGTGGTCGATTATGAAGAGGCCCGGGGATAGCAGAATGGAAAGACTAGCTACATGTGCAGCTTGCTTGTTCGGCAGAGGGACAGACTTGACGAATCTAGAATACACCATGATTAGTATCTTCTATGCATAAAAAACCAGAGAATGCCTTCTTACCGACTCAGCGCGTATACAAGAACAAATTCTGTCAGAATGACAGTCGCTCTTTGGAAGTACACGGTCTGCCACGAGTCATAGCCCAGATTCTTCACAACCAGCATTGCAGGGTCCACATATGCGGCCGCTTGCGACATTAACCATTCAAACGCCGCAAAGAACGGCGGGTAATCGAGAGTCCATTCTGAGGATTTCTGAGCCAGCCCCAGTCAGCGCCCACACTCGGCCTGTATGTGCTCGACAGAACCCACCTCATAGTACCATTCTTGAATCGGAAGGGAGTGGGTGATGGCGAGCCAGTTCCTATGAACTTCAAAATCGGTAGACTTGCTATAGTCAACAGAAAACGATCAATTAGCTCAAGATGAACACTCAACTGCGGCGCGACGGCGGGACTCACTATGCGGGGAAAAGCAGAACCTTGAACGCAGCAGCGACAATGGCGCATTGCGCTAACGAAGGGTATAGTTCAGCCATTGGAGCTATTGCGCATGATAATGCGACAAAGCTGGGAGCGGACCGAAAATGCAGGACGCGAAATGGGCAAAGTTTGAAGCTCCCTCCGCATCGGGTCACGTGCGACATGCGGAGGTCTAAATCAGACGGGAAACAGAAGGACAGATATCAACAGTCTGCGACACCGAGAACACTTTCCGCATGGACTTCACGGACGTTGGAATCCGCCACACCCTTCTCAACAGTGTACAGCTTCATCATTTCTTTGATTTCTCGCCGTCCGCTGCTGCCATTGCTAAGGAGGCCCGTTTCTGCGTTATTGCCGTTGTTGTTGGCTGGATCACCACAAGTGTCATCTCCAGTATTTGCGATCGAGGGCGAAAGTGTGACTGTGATAAACATCATTGAGATCATTTAAGCGCCGAGTATTTGCTATTGAAAGCTTCTAGAAGCTATCGAACCGACATAGGTCTCCGTGTCGATCTACACATCATGATGCGAACTTTAGCTTCACTGGCACTGTTTGCCGCAGGAGCCACGGCTCAGGTCATTGAGAGCTCTAGCTTCGGTACTGGTAAAACGTCAGTGCCTAAGTGTTGCAGGGTCTTCGCGCATACTGACCTCGAGCAGGATATCACCTAACCGAGACTCCATTCCAGGATGGGCAATTGGAGGCGAAGGACATGATCCTGCCCTTGTGAGTGACACCGCTACATACTTATTTGACTGATCTAATACTCAGCCAGTTGTCAGACAAGCTTATCCTAACACCACCTTATCCGGGTAATACGCGAGGATCGGCTTGGGCACAAAGCCCGTAAGTCAACCTCTGGAATCCATGACTGGGTTGCATACTAATACATCGATAGAGTCTCTCAGTCGGAATGGTCTGCAGAGTTCCAATTCCGCGCGAGTGGTCCAGAGCGCGCAGGTGGTATCCTTCAACTGTGGTATACCAAGGATGGGCAGGCCCGCATTGGTACCTCTAGTATCTACACTATCGGTCAATTCGATGGATTTGCGCTTGTTATTGATAACCACGGTGGAAGAGTAGGTTGTTCCTGGTGTCTGCATATTGAACAGGAGTTAATATCCTCATAGGGTGGAAGCATTCGTGGTTTCTTGAACGACGGAACAACCGATTACAAGAGCCAGAGCAGCCCCGATAGCTTGGCCTTTGGTCACTGTGACTATGCTTACCGTAACCTGGGCCGTCCCTCGATTGTCAAGCTGAAGTCCACCAGCTCAATCTTCGAGGTCACTATCGATGACAAGCTCTGCTTCTCGACCAACAAGGTACACTATATTCAACATCACCCCATTCGGCAAGTTCAATATATACTAACGGCCCAATCAGGTCGCACTGCCAGCTGGAAACACCTTCGGTATCACAGCCGCGACCCCCGAGAACCCAGACTCATTCGAGGTTTTCAAGTTCGTCGTTGAGTCCGCCTCCGGAGGCCAAACAATCCCCTCCAACCAAGGAAGCGTGCCTCAGCAGGCCCAGCAGCCCATCGTGAACCAGAACCCACCCGTGGTTCAGGCTGGAGGCAACCCTGCCACCGACTCCGGCTTGGCCGCGCAGTTCGTGGATCTCAGCGGCCGCCTCCAACTCACAAACAAAGCCACCAACACCATCCTCCAAGAACTCAAGAACCAAGTCTCAAAGGGCGACGCTCACCACACAGAGCTGCTCCAGAAATTGGCATCCCAGGACCAGATTGCCGCCCTCCTTGACGCGAGACTCGCGCGTATGGAGCAGTTGGTCCAGAACATCCAGCGTGATGTCGAGGGCAAGGATTACAGCAGTCGCTTCAACCAGCTGCACGAGACTCTTCGCTCTTCGCACCTGAGCCTGAGTGAGAACCTGCAAGGTCACTTGTTGAGTGGTAAGTCGGTTCCAATTTCCACCAGCACCATCGGTGTTTTGCTTTCTTTCGTGAATGGCAAATACCATTCCACCATATTTTTTCTTCCCCGTTCCATTGGCTAACACCATTTCTTCCCTTCGCTAGTGATCACCGCTTCATCCCCTCGCATGGGCTTCTTCCTGTTCATGTTGATCGCGTTCCAGGTCCTCCTTGCAGTATCCTACGTCATCTACAAGCGTCGCCGAGCCAACATGCCCAAGAAGTTCCTTTAATCGCCCTTCCCGCCCTTCCCTCCCCTCCCACCATGCACACCCCAATGCACATGGATCCGATGTTTCCTCGCTTGATGCTAGGTCTTACTCGGTGGGAGATATCTATAACTTTCTCGAGTGTGTTTTTTTATGCGAGCGCTGGTCTGCTGTTTCTTCATTCTTGTAGAGTACGAAATGCCATTACGTTTACGCGAATTTATACCTGTCGCAAATATGACTACTACCTTTACCAGTACCGATGCAACTACTGCCACAGCAGGAAAACCGAAAAATTCAGGAAATGGCGAATATCCATTTGGCCTTGGGCCCATGCTATCGTACACTTCTTCGAGCTGCCCGGCCCGTAAACAATCTCAAGACAACAATCAGGGTAGGGGGGGGAAAGGAAAGTAAAACGACAGTGAGAGAAGAAACAAAGACGAATAATCAAACACAGAAAAGAAAAAAAGCAAAGCAAAACGAGCTCGGGCAGCTTGAAGAATTAAATTCGAGTAATTTGTGGAGCCATCGCAAGGATGAAGCCGATCATGAAGTAAATGTCCAAACGCCGGATGTCCTTGATGCGAGCGTTGAAACAGATGTGAGTGAGAGAGAACCAGAACACATGAGGGATAAAAAAGCAGATGACGCCGAGATGGTAGGGGGTGAAAAAAAAGAAAATGAAAAAAAAAAAACTTTTTTTTACTCGGTGTCCGAGGTGTGCAGGCGCTTCTGCGCCGGCTCCTCGACGGAATCCTGGTCTTTTTCGTCGTCGTCGTCGGGACGCGATCGCTTGTGGCGATTGAACGCGGCCGAGGTGAAGAAGACTGGGATCCGGGGCAGGATGTCGGAGTCTGCGTACTCTGACTGCTGAGAAGTATGCGAGGGGGCGGTGGGACTCTTAGGGGCATTCATTTGGGTAGGGGAGGTGACATGAGAAGATTCGACGGCGATGCCTTCGTCGACGCGAGAGCCGGCCTTGGAGGAGGCGGGATCGGTCATGTGGCTTTCGCCTGAGGCTGGGGGCTCGGCCTGGGAGAGGCCAAGCAAAGCAGAGGCAGCGTCGAAGTCAACGGTAGATACTGGAGCCCCGGATATCATTCCACGGACAGAAGATGAGATTTGTTGCTCCAGTTCGGCGGGCATAGAGGCCATGGGCTGGGTGTCGGATGCCCCGGTCAACCCATGACGGGAGAGGTAGTTCTCGGTAAGTTTCTTAGTCAAGTCCAGACACTTCTGCTCAACGTTGTGGGCATATTGCTTTTGGCGTTCAAAGTTGTCATCTTTGACAGTACTGATGAAGTTGAGAACGACGTCGCCGGCATAAAATCGGGCACGGCGTTCTTTCCAGTCGTCATCGAAAATACTCTGATTTGGATCGTCGGGGAGGTGAATGTCACAATCAATGAACTTCATGTTCTTGGTACGGCGCACACGACGGACGCGTGAGAGTCCATCAACCTCTTTGGTGGCAATCATATCGTCAGGAGTAACATGGTTGGGACACATCCACCCGACTTTGGGGTTAGGGGGATGTGCGCGGGGTGGATCCAGACAATCCAAATGAAAGCGACAAGTGCAATAATCACAGGTGATAATGGGACGACCAGCAGAGGTAAAACTACACCTGGAGCAGCGGATGAGATCTCCTTTCGCGTCGGTTTCACGCAGGAGTTGAGGGTTCGCGTAGAGGGTAGGGCCATCTTGCTTGGGAGCTTTAGTCAGCCGCGGCAGGTGGGGCCCAGGCTTGTAGTAGCGCAGGTGCTTGGGATTGCGGGCATAGTCGCGATCGAACACGATTCCTTCATTGACGCCCTCGAAAGTGTCTTTGATGGGCTGTGGCACTTGGAACTCAGTCTTCTTGAAGTGCTTGGAGTGGGCGATCAAGGTGGAAAAGCTGTTGCGGATCGAACACTTGGGGCAGTGCCATTCACCCTGGGGAGGATTCTTCGGATCCAAGGGAGGATCCAGACAGTGGAAGTGAAATGCATTATCGCATGTGTCACAGCAGAGCAACTCGCCGCCCTTTCCACAGTGGTGGCAGTTGTCGCTGTTCTCGGGAGGCTCACTAAATTTCAGATTAGCAGGTAGAACAAGACAAAGGACCAGCAACGCGTAGTAGAAACCACATCAAATGATCAAATGAATCAAATACGTACATAGAGTTCGGCATGCAGCGCGGTTCGTGGTCGGCAGTCCAGTCGTTGAATCGCATGGAGTAGACGGAGTTGGAAAGTGAGGAAAGACTGGAGACGGTCGTGTCAACAGAGAGCGACCGTGCGCGCTGCGTATCATCGGGGAGGATTTTCTTAAGGCTCTGTCGTCGCGACTTCGTCCTGCGAATAAGCATGGAGTTGCCTGATGACACGACTGAGGGTGCCTTGATCTTCTCTCCGAGAAGAGGCAGGTCAAGAATCGAGCCTCCACCTGCTCGAACAGGAAGAGAACGAGAACGAAGGATTTCGGTAGTGTCGTCAACAGTGTAGGGATGCTCAATGGCATCTGGCGGTCCCAGTCGATCGCGGCATGCGCTGTATTGGACAATGGGAGCATTATCATGAATGTTGTTCTCTTCGTATTGACGGCGCTTGGTCCGCAGGTTTTCTTCTAAGCTGGGATCTGCTTCCCATGCACGCTTGCGTCTGAAAGCTTTCTCATTGACAGGGCATGCTTTTTTGGGCCGCTTCAGCGGCGCCGTATTGGTCTTGCCGCTCGCGAACAATTCCTCGGGTCGAGCACCGCTGGTATCACGATACATGTCGGAGATTTTGAAAGAAGGTCCTTGCTCCACTGACTTGGCAGAGGACAAGCTTGACGACTCGTCCTCCCCGGAGGGCATGTCGGGAAGACGTGACACACCAGTGTCGACATAGGTCTGGTACCACTTGCGCGCGTCGTCGTAGGAACCCTTGAGCAGGCTGGAAAAAGCTAGACGCAAAGTATCATTGGGAATCGCATCCCCGCCCAAGTTGGCAATCAGAGAGAGGCGGAACTCGTCCTCGATGGCGTTGAACCAGAAGTAGAGAAGTCCCATAGCGCACCTGGCGTTTCCGGCCTCATATGCAAAGCCCAGGGCAGCTTTCACGACTTTTTTGAGTTGGGGCGTATCGAATTTGTCCGACGTAGGGAGAGGGAGAGAGTCCAGAACGGTGATGTAGTCGGAGATGTTCGTGCTGTGATCGGGAGGAGCAAATGCGGGATCGAAATCGTTGGCCGGAGGTGCGACATCTGCGCTGATTGCGATATCTGCTTCTTCGATAATGTCTTCAGCAGGGCTCTTGTCGACTGTCGGAGTCTCAACCCCGCTGAGCTCGCGCTCAGTTTCGCGGGCATCTGGAACAGTCGCGACGCGCTTGGTTGATGGCGGCGTCACGCCAGCACCGCGGTACTCGGCGACCGATGGGTATTCCCCGATCGGCTTCATTGTTGACACCTTCGGCTTGGGCTTCGAAGTGCCCGGGGGCTTCTTCTGAAGCTTCCGATGTTTCGGTTGCGAAGAGGCCTGTCGACCGGACGGAGTGGGCCCCGCAGGGGCAGGCGGAAGGGGCCTGTACTAGGGTTAGTGCCGCGCACCTCATGCCCTAACTGTCCTTGGTTCAACGTACTGTGATGTGGTCTCAGTCGGAGCTGGAGTGGCAGAAGCTGTAGATGTTTAAATTTTAGTATTCAGCAGTTGAAAGTGAACTGAAATGAAATGAAGAAAAAAAGTGACGAAAACAAAAGTGCTCAGAGTCATGTCGAACCTGGAGAGGACATGAATGGGTCCGCATCAGAAGCGACCAAAGCAGGATTCATCAGAAATGAGATCAAATGCCCTGGATCTCCATCAAGCAACAGACTGAAGATGTGTAGACGAGGGTAGTGGGAAAGGGAAGAAAGATTGCTCGATCAGATATGAGGACAGGCTGAGGATGTGGGCAAAGACATGAAGTGCAGGTAAAGAAGGAGAAGAAGAACAAGACGAGGGTCATGTGGATCTCGGTTGGTACCAGTACCAAATATAAGGGCAAGATGTGGTCGACTCCGAAAGGTTACAAAGTTTGGTCTGGAGGCCAGTGAAGGGACTGAACCAAGAAGCATCTCTTACCTCGTGCGAGAATACGCTTCGAAAAGCGACGGACGGTGTTCATGTTGGCGGATATGAAGAACAGAGAAAGTAGCAAAGGAGTAGTATCAAAGGAACAGTAGCAAGGGAAAGCAAAGAGAACAGAGGACACAGAGAAGAACAGATGAAGAAAGGAAGAAGGAATGAGAGGAAGAGGGAAAGTGGTGGAGAGAAGAAGAGAAGAAGAGAAAGAGAGAGGAAGAGAGGAAGAGAAGAAGGGAAGAAGAGAAGAAGGAAAACAACAGAGAAGAACCTTGGAGAAAGCTGTGTTTACCTCTTTGGGAACAAAAAGCTCTGCGCGTTGGGGGTTTTGTTTACCTTCAAGTGCCTGTGACTTCAGGCCTGTGCCCTCAAGGAATACAATGGCTTTTGACTAATGAGCAGACTCGATTGCTACTATGGTTTCGAGAGCCATGAGTATTTCTACCTATCAAGAGCACAGCTATTCTATGCTATTGACATATGCCATTGATTCAGGAGCTTAGCATACAAGACCCAGACAAGACATCTCGGCACACTCAGTGCACAGAGAGACAGCGAAAGCAGCAGTAAGCAGAATCGTCACAGCTGAAGGCTAGTAGGCTTTGCAGATAGGCAGTAGGCTCGCCAGTGCATAAAACTTGGTAAATAGCTTCCATTTTGTATCTGCCAGGACAACCACAAATACATTATGACAAAGAAGGCCTGTGTGGTGGTGGTTTTCCAGCAAGATATGGACACAAGAGATTCAAGCACCCCAAATCTTGCCTTGAACCAGAACAAGAAGCTCGGGTCAAACGGTGTATCCCGATGAAAACTGGTACGAAATGGGGTCGGGGGATTCTTCTACGGACTACAGCACAAAAGTACAGACTGGCAATGTCTTGATTTGGCCCAAGGGGTCTGCTCCAAATGCTACATACAAGACAGAAAGGCCTCCAAAGAGACACGGAGGAAGATCTCCCGGTGCCCAGTTCGTCGATAGAGTATATACCGAGCTTTTTCTTTTCTCAAAAATCGGGGTTGGCATTGCCAGCCCATTCGCATGCCATTGGAAAAATCAATTGTTTTTCTGTGTTTTTGGATCGATTTCGTATGACCTGCAGCGAAGCTCGTCATTGGATATCTGATTCTGCTTCTGCTTCTGGTTCAGATTGAACAAAACAGCTTCCACAACTCGATCAGTGTGTGTATTTCAAACAAAGTGAGCCCAAATTCGTGCGGCTAGTTGATTTACTCATCACCGCCGGTGGTCTTGGTCTTCTTCTTGCTCTTGTTCTTCTTGTTGCCGGTCGAGCGGGCAAGGGGCTGCTCGAGGATCTTGAGGATCTCCTCATCCTCGATCTTCTTGTCGGACTTGTACTGCTCGGGGTCGACGGGGTTGGCAGCGGCGAGCTTGGTCAAACCGTTCTTCGTGATGGCTGTGGGGAATGTTAGCTTCTAGATTCATATTTATTGCATAGATTCGGATGAAACTTACCAACGGTGGTCAACAGACGAGAGACAGCGGAGCCGTCAGTCTCGCCGGCGGGCTCGTACTGGCGCACGACACCGCTGCGGACACACTCAACGATACCGACCTTGGCGGACTTCTCGTCATCGAGCTGGCGCAAGCTGAAGGGGAAAGTACCGAACTTCTTGACGATCTCGGACAGGGTCTGGCGAGAACTGGGGCGCTTAAGGCCGTAGGTGGTGGTGGTACGGCGGTGGAGAGTGGCACGGTGGTCGAGGGTCTTGACCTTACCGGATCCCAGGGAGAGACCAATCTCAACACCCCAGACCTCACCAACCTCGGGAACACCGTCACCACGGGTACCGTTGCCGGGGGAGAGAATGATCTTCTTCTCGCCCTCGATCTCGTTGCGGCCGAACAGCCAGCTGGTGGTGTTCTCAACAACGTTAACCTCGTAGGCCTTGGCGATCTTCTCGACGAGAGAAGTCATGTAAGCCTGGGTAGGAGCCTTCTGGGCGGCGGCCTTCTTCTTCTCCTCGTCGGTACCCTGGGCCAAAAGACCGGGGGGAACCATGAGTCTCAGCAGAAGCTCATTGGCGTAGTGGGTAGCGAGAATGAGGTCAGCCTCGCGGCCGGTAACAACCTCCTTGGCGGCACCCTTCTTGGGGACGACAACCATGTCGCAGACAATGGTTCCAAATCCATCAATCTGAGCTCCAAGCTGGATCTTGACGATCTCGCCAGCCTTCAGGACGATTTCGGACTCTGAGGCCTCGGAGACAAGAGGGGTGTAGGGAGTGACATAGGAGCTAGGGGAGACAGTGGTGGGGTGACCGACACCTTCAGTCATATCGTATGGTCAGTATGCATCATCTTCAGGCGACCGGGAGGTGGACAAACCCTTGAGGATCTTCTTTCCCTTGTAGACCTTGGTGATCTCCTCGTCGAGGAGCTTGTCACCCTTCTGACAGATCTCGACGATCTTCTCACCCTCAACGCAAAGAGCTAGATTTACCGGTCAGATCGCAAAGCTTGGAGACTCGGATTGAGGTGTGCAACATACCGCTCACAGCCTCGAGGACTTTGTGGGAAATCTGGGCAGCGGTCTTGTACTTGGTCAGGGTGTCAGGGTTGTTGAGGGTGTAGTCTAAAAGCGATCACAATGTTAACTTGGACGACCTGGAGAGGATTTCCGTTTGACTGGGAGCGAGCCAACAGAGCTAGTCACGTTGGGTGCCCACAAACATCAGAGCTTGAGGTTTACATACCAACCTCGGGTTCTTTCTGGTCCGCCATTGTGGAGTAAATTGAGCTCGTAGAGCAAAAAGAGCTAAATGCAGGTGGGTTCGGGAAGAGAGTAAACTCGGAAGAAGAGGAACAGACAGTGTGCAGCGAACGAGCAAGCGGGCTTCGCAGCGTTAGTGGGTAGTGGGGGGGGTTATTTGCCTTGGTGCCTTGGTGCCTAATTAACAAGGTGTCTATTTAGGGCTTCGGCAAAGACGTCATGGAATCGCAGTTTCATTGACCTCATGCATGGTCCCCCCGCACACGGCACAAGTGTGACATGATTTCATTACTATAGTGAGTGGTATGGTATGTATTGTGTGAGCTCTTCGGGTTACATTAGGTGAATCAAGATGCATATTACCCCAGATTTGAACGAGAAAGGGACCCTGAGTTAGGATTAGACAATTTAGACAGGATCAGACCTCCATCAACTTCTTCTCATTGAAACTTCCCCTCTTTTGAGTCCCAAGGTCTCCTGATCTCCTTCTCTTTACATCATGAGGACCCTAGCCATCCCCATACGAGTTCTAACACATAACATTCGACATGGCGGTTCGGATCTGTTCAGAGGCGAACTATCCTGGGATGATCGCAAAGAATTACTTTTAAACGAGTTTAAACATGAAACTCGATATTGTGACGAGTCATTCATTTGCTTGCAGGAGGTTCTCCATGAGCAACTTGGTGATGTGGTGACCGGCTTGAACCAGGATATATATCCCGCGGCATCGGAATGGGCATGTATTGGAGTTGGCAGAGACGACGGTCAACAAGCTGGAGAATATTCACCTATTTTCTATCGACCACTAGCTTGGCAGTTAGTGCATTGGGAGACAGTATGGCTATCCGAAACGCCGAATATACCATCGAAAAGCTGGGATGCAGCCTCGATTCGCATCGTCACCATTGGTATTTTCCAGCATCGTAAGAATGGCCATACTGTTCTTGCCATGAACACCCACCTTGATGATCAGGGATCTCGCTCCCGTTGGGAAGCTGCACGTATAATTCTAGGAAAGATTCACGAGTACAGCCAGAATCAGTTTTCCAATCTCATCTCCGGCACCTTCTTAGCCGGTGATTTGAATAGCGAAGAGAACCAGGAAGCTTACCAAGTATTGACAACAAGCTTGCTAGATGCATACAAGCAAGTCCCCAGCTCATATCGCTTTGGTGACTATATCACTTGGACTGGATTTGGATACGAGGACGAACCCCGCTCACGCATTGATTATGTCTGGGTACCTAAGGAGAGCCCGACGCAAAGATTGAAAGTTGCTGGGTATGCTGTACTGCCAAACCAGTTTGATAATGATGTTTTGAGCTCTGATCATCGTGCTGTTGTGGTGGATCTCATACTGTGAGGCGACTCCATGGTCATTATCGACGAGTTTTTAGTATATTTAGTATATTTGAGTAAAGCTTAAATTGAAATTATACCACTTCTCAGAGAATTATCAGACTAATGAAAACAATAGATATTAAGATGGATATTAAGATGAAGAAGACTTTTTTTAAAGTAAAAAAAAGAAACTCCGATAGGGGGAATCGAACCCCCGGCTGTCGTGTGAGAGACGACGATGTTAGCCACTACACCATATCGGATGTTGGATGAAAATCGAAGCGGAATCTGCCATCATAAGGAAGAGATCTTGTGAGTGTATGCGTGGTTGTATAATCCACGACCTCTTCTCTCCCGTCAAACTTCTTCAACATTTTCCTTTTTCGCCCCCTCTATCTTCCAAGGGCTCCACCTATTCCTTGATTACATACTTCCCGATGGGCTCCTGCCTATGCACACCCGACACGTGATTTCTCAACATTCACTTGGCTGTAACCAGTCCGAGACTTGACTTGTATTTCTTGATACTTTCAGTATTCTCATACTATGTTAGCACGAGATGGTCTGACCATTGCAATCTCTTGCACCCACCAATTCCATGTCGAATCTGCTGGCAATAACGCCAGAGTTGCAAATCTCAATACGCGCGCAACCCTTAACCCCACTACGCTAGATATAAGCTGTATTATTGGGATTGATTAGCAAGTACAGGGTGTTTAAGCTGCATCACAGCATCCACTGTCTATTTCGGGACTTATATTTCCGCCTCAATCATTTAAACGGTAGAACAAGTAGAAACTAGCATTGCTCAATACGTATTACTCTCACTCAGTTATCTCACAAGTTTAATCAAGCAAACAAGAACAGACAGAGACTGGTGATGCCTTTTTCTGAGCATATTGGCCCAGGCTGAGCCTGAGAAAAATTGGAAGAGGTGTCTTAATCGGCGGTAAAGGCGTATTCCATCTCAAACTAGGACCTTGCCTATGTCAGCCTTGCAAGCCTGCAGAAACGAGTGTCAATCACCACTTTCCGAGCTATATCAAGCCTGATAGAGTAGGTAGTCTTTAAGCCATAGAAAAGGAGACTAACTGGATTCGTATCTCCATATTAAATTCCCAGATTATGTAGTCTTGACAATATCTCTCTACAGGCTTGTATAAGTATCTTAAGCTAGCGTATTGTGTATTGGTGGGAGTTCTATTAAGAATCTAATCACCTGTCTATTTCCAGTTGAGTATCAAGTAAACAAAGGCCGTTTAGTTTGGCCAAATACTTATAGACATACTATGGTCTTATTCCCGATATATTGTATCCCTGACTCCCAAGGGAAACGTGTGAAGTTCACGCCAACAAAATCAACAAACAATGTGCAATGGAGGAATCAGCCATATGACAAATCCCCATGTGATAGGCGTATTTAAAAAGCTTCAAATCCATGACAAAACGTCACGTCACCCCTGGAAAGGTTTTAAATAAGAACCTTGGAAGGGAAAAATTTCGTTTTCCATATAGCAGTTTTGCACATAGTATGAGGGTTGGCTACCAGGTCCGATCCATAATAGTGATGCCGCTCTCTAATTTGTACCGCTCCTTGCATGAATAGACTGCAAGAATATCCTCTCTCTGATCACTTCATCTCTTATTCTCAAAAGGTGAATTTTATATCAACGATTACATCCTTCTACCTTCTACAGCTCGCCAGAAATCTCTTCAAGCTGAGAATCTTGTACACATTCAATTTTAACTGTGTCAAAATGGATGCCTGGCAGATTCTGGAGCCAGTGACCTTCATTCTACTATCTATTCTTGTCATATACCATGCAATTGAGGTATGTTGTACTCAGGTGATTTCGGGAATTCTCATGTCACTATGACTGGTCTTAGCTTACACTAGCCTACAACAGCTTCACATGCTATCAAAACGGATCGATAAGCTGGAAAGCAAGGTGGAATCCTCTGGGGAAGTTTAACTGGGCCTGAGAAAATCGTCTTTGAAGGCTGTTTGTGTTGGTAGAACTTGTTTAGCTATGGAAAGATAATTTGTTGCTTGCGAGCATTGACCTAGAAGAATACATGGCGGCTTCGATGTCTAGGGATTCAATTGACCTCAGGACAGTACGCTCTTCTAGCTTGAAAGACTGGGGCCTTGCAAGACATGGACCCTGGGGATGTGGATGGAAGGCTTCAATGTGAAGCTCTAATTTTTATTTTGGATGGTCACTGGTGATCGTTGTTTCTTTTGACTTCAGCTCTTAAAATAGAGGTCTCTTCTTTCCGTATGTTTAATATTATCAAACTGCTAAAATAATGCTTTCAAATAATAGCTCTTTTTGCCGTTTGATGAAGAGTCCTCCCATACAATTTTGAGCTCTCATTCGCATCATCTGTGGATCTGTTCTGAACTACAAGAAGCCTACCTCAAATCCCGAACATGGCATATACACTGAGTGATACTAAGTTATGCCTTTATTGACATCGTATTTAAATCGCTTCGGCTATTAAGGATTTCGGGATCTGAGACCTCGATTCCGCAAAAGGCAATATCGTAGATGTTCCGATTATGCATTTTTCAATATGACAGTACACGAGACCGATGTCATTTGGGAGTCTATGCGTGTACGCCTGAGAGCGCCACACGGGCGCTGAAACTGTGCTGAGTAAGACCCTTTTACGCCCTGGTACAATCCAATTAAGGCGGCGAGGAACTGAACGACACATTATTTTCCAGTTTATTTCGGAAATCCGTAATGTTCCCAAAGTCCGAACGACGGAGTTTCCGAATTCGCGAAAACAAAGCTGTTATCCTAAAATGGAATATGGTTGAACTGGCGAACGCGATTCGGACGATTTTCTTCGTCGGAAGCGAAACACCAGAACGAACCCATTATGAGCAAATCAAGCTTAAACCTTCAGTATAACTAATTGTTCCACTCACGAATTCTTAGACTACCACACCAAAGCGGCTTCTGGTCCAGAAGAATTCTGAAGCGACATCGAAATAAAATGATTGAATAGCATTTAGTCGCATTAGCATGAAATTATACTTTAGATCAAATAAGCCTGGAAAGTGAACCCATGAAAATGATTTAAATGAGAGTATCCTTTAGACAGCACCCCCTGACATCGACTTCTTCCTTTCAGCAGCCTCTTTCCAGATAACAATAACTATGAAGATCACTGAAAATGAGCAAAGGATTGCTAGGATTGTCATCCACCACCCAAAGCCAATGATTGTTACAGCAATCGGTGACAGAACGGTGCCTATGGCCGCCAGAACATTGCGAACCAAATTTAGATTTGCCACAACCGAAGCACCCATCCCCGGCTTGATATCCACAAGGAAGGGCATGACCGTCGAGGTAACCAGCATGAGTCCTAGTCCAAACAAGAACGCGCCGACGAGAGGAGCAATCCAGAACACTTTATTCTCAACCAACCAGCCGTATATCAGCAAACCAGCCGGTACAAAACCAACACCATACCACACGGTCTTGATTCTTTCGGTCGGATTAATGTCACCGTTGTGAGTGGCCTGGTACTGACGTAGCTTAGCATCACTCAACTTGCCACCTACAACGCTCCCAATCGCATATCCGAGGCAATTGCTAATGTAACAAAGGCCAATTTCGATCGCGGAGAAATTGTAGGGTGGCGCCGAGTATGCATAAGGAAGGGTAGTGTTGAAGCAGTACAGACTGGCGAAACAGATGCTGATATAGGCGATCGTCAAGGAAATTGATGCCACCAAGAGGAATTTCAATTTCGGAAGGGGAGCTAGCACATCTCGCTGGACGTGATGGTACCAGGGCAGCTTTTCATGTTTCGGAGTAGAAACTTTAGCCAATGTCTCAGGAAGACACAGCATCGTCAGGATTGAAGTGGTAAAAGTGAAGATAGCCATGAAGTAAAGGTTTGCTCGCCAGCCAAGCCATACTTGAAGGGCACCTCCGATAACAGGGGCAACCAAAGGTCCAATCAACGTGCCAAGATAGAACCACCCCAGAGCTGATCCACGCTCAGTTGAATTGTAGATATCACTGATCACACCTGCTCCTACGCTTTGTGCGGATGAACAGCCCAGCGCCTCAATCAGACGAAACACAATGATAAGAGGGAGTGAGTTGGTAGCAGCACAGACAATAACGGCGACTGTCGAGATAAGAAAGCTGAAGACAAGCACCGGCCGGCGACCATATTGTTGACTTAGGGTACTCCACCACAATGGCGCAGCTGCCAGACCCAGAAGGAACACAGTCGTGGTGAGAGCGACTTTAGTTTGGGTAGTATGGAAATGTTCCACGAGAATCCCGAAAGATGGGAAGAGAATGCAGGATGCGAAGGGTGCAGTGAAAGCAGAGAGAGTAACAATCCCAACTATAGCATTCTTTTGCCATGCCGGGTGAGTTTTCGGATCGTCTCGTCTTGCCACAAAACAAAAGCGGTCGAACCATGAGATTGGGGAGGTCCGTGTTTCGATGGATTTTGTTTCGGACATTGTATCTTGGGTCTTTTATTGTTGAGATATGCTTCGAAAGGCGTACTTGGTTCTGTTAATGTTGTATACCTCAAGAAAATAGTGAGTCGTGCGGAAAGCCTTCATTGATATAGTAGTTGAATTGCTTCGGTCATTAGGGATTTCGGGATTTCGGGATTTTGGGGGCTTTCAAGGAAGGGCGCTCGGTTCTGCAACAGGCAACATTCTAGACATAATGGAATATACGCTTTGAGATAGCAACCCACAGTTTCGGTTCAATTCGGAAACTCATGCGTGTACGCCTCAAAGCGCCACTCGGGCGCGAAAAGAGTGCCGAGTAAGACCGTTGTACGCCCTGGTATGGTTTAATTGGGACGGTGAGGAATTGAACGCCACGAGATTCGCAGATGCCACAAATTTACCCCGAAATCCAGAAAGACGGAATTTAAACGAAATGACAAGGCAATTGCCCTGTTTGGAAAATGGTTGAAGTGACAATTACTCATATTCTTCTAATTCAATTACATATGTCTTGAAACATCAACATGTCATTGTCACTGAATAGAGCAATTACTTTCACCTTTGACCTCGCCATGTTGCTCTCACTGCGGGTTCTGCTTTTGTCTAAAATGGCGAAGCAATTATTCAAGTTCTCGTTCAAGGCGCAGGTCCCACCGTTGTGATTTTGTCCTCACATGCTCATACGGCCGAGATGGCGGCGGTGATTTCAACTACTTTACCAACGCTTTGGTTAGCGCAGGGTACCTTGTGCTGCGTCCTCAATCCAGAGGTACCTTCGAGTCGATGGGGCAAATGATCAACATTACTTTAAACGATCTGGCGGCGGTTATCGCAGCCGTCATAGATGCGCTGGGTGGCGGCCGAGCCATAGTGATCGATCACGCCTTCGGTACTTTCCTCGCCAAAGTAACAACTGTCCATTATCCAGGGAAGATACCAGCAGTGGTTGTGGCAGCTCCGCGAGGTATCAACTTGCCCACCGATATCGCAGGAATGCCTTTTGTTGCTGGCAATATTTCCTTGCCTCGCTCAGAAAGGCTCAAAGCTCTTCAAACTGCGTTCTTTACCCTAACCAGGATGATCCATTTCAGCCAAAGACTCAGTGGATTGTAACAATGAATCTGTACCCGGATCGTGCTACCTCCCAATTCATTGCTGATGCATCACATGCCTTATTTCCTGAACAAGAAAAGACTGTGATTGAAGCTATAGTCCCTTAATTGAAGCAGAAGAGCTCTGCTCTTTGAGCCGGAAGCGACAGCCATGAAGAAAAGTGATACAGGCGATTAGAAACCCGAAAAGGGGGTTGAACAATTCTTCTCTCACATTATTCTTTCTATTCCGCTGCAATGAGCCATTTGTTCCAATTCCTATAAACTCAAGCAACTGTAGGCTGAAACAAAACCAGTGGTCTTGTTCTTGCAACCGAATAAACTGGGCTAGAGAAATTATCAGATGAGCCGTAGATAGATTAAATTCAAGACTTATTCCAAAAGAAGGAATGTTTTGTAAATATCGACATTGTATCATAGATGTTACTTATAATAGCAAGGACGCTGCAAATTCTTCTTTCTGCATTACATCCAACATTTCCCGCACACATCGCGACATTACATCCTGATACACCTCTTCTCTAACAATCAAAGGATTCCCAGAGATTCTGGATCTCTCCAAATAAGCTCTCTCATCTAGCACTGGACGCCCATTTTTTAAAAAGTGGACGGCTAGGTAGTATAGATAGAGACTATTTGTGATAAGGAAGTATCCTGCAGTAAGCTCGTGATGATGATGCGGTTGCCCTCGAAATTGTTCCCATGAGCATTGCCATGTCTCTAATGCTTTCTCTAATGCGGAAAGATCAACAGGCAGTATTGATGTCTGGGCTTCCAGGAGTAGTGAATGCATAGCCAAAACCAGCAGGTTCATACCAAATCTGGTTGTATTTGACTCTGACAGACCTTTGCCGACCATCAATTCCTTTACAGAGGAAAGGAAACAGCTAGATGGATCTTGTGCCGGGAGCCCGGCCCATAGTGAGGCAGAACAAGCGTACCAGCTGGAGTCATCACAGGGAAAAGAGGCTCGCGTGTCTGTCGGCGAGAGATGAGGTTTACTGCCACAAAGAAGTGATTGATAACAGTCTACTGCGTAGACACCCCATAAAAGTCTCTTCCTTGACTCCTTTTGAATCCATGCTTGCCATGAATGTGCATCTCGTGTAGCCCTGGTACACTCTCCATGGATTTTAAGGAGCCCTGCCTGCCGCACTGCCGCGATCAGGAGTGGGTGCAATAGCCGCGACGCAGCCCGTTCAGTGCTTTTCCCATTTGCCATACTGGCAAGTTGGAACAGAACCAGAGCCTGCAATTCTTCAAAGTTGGATGCTAGTCTTTCAGGATGAAGACAGCACTTGGCAAACTGAGACGGAAGAGACTCGTAAAATAGCCGCGCATCCGAAATCGATGCGAGATCACTGTCAAACCCAGTGCCGATAAAGCAGATTGCTCGAACGAGCATAGGCGGTGATGAGGCCAAGCAAAATGTGGGAACATGCAAGATAGGAAAGTACGGATAAAAATGAGTAAAGAAGAGCCTTGCAAGTATCTCAAGTCGCTGCACTGGGAATTTTGTTAGACCTTCAAGCTCTAGCACATAGTCAGCTGGCAATCGAAAATTGTCCGGACAGACAAATTCCCCAGCTCCCAACTCATATGTCGGAGCGCCGTTTGGATTTCGCAAGGGAATGGCAATGGCATCACCAAAGTTCGAAGGAATGGCCTGTGATGTCCATAACCAGGAGCTTATATCAACAGAATTCTCGATGTCAGCCAACTGGGACAAGAAGTCCAGTTCATCGGCCAAGGGTGTCTCCAGAAGTGACAGGCCTATGGGAGGCTCATTTGGTGCTTCCGAGTCTGCGCTCGGATAAGACGTATTTTCACTAGCCACATGTAGTGATGAGGTTGACCTTGTCCCCTTGGCTTTTTTTAAACGCTTCTTGCGCTCTGCCTTGACGCATGGCGAGCCCCTATGCAGACATCGTGAACAGGGAGCATCCTTGTCAAGATCGCATTTCAGTTTGGATCCCGCACAGGCGATACAGCTTTTGTTCATTCTCGGGAATTCAAGATTTTCTTGCAGGATAATGTCGGAAATAATGATCTCGGGATTATTTTTGGTAGGTTCTGAGAAGGGCGGAATGTGAGACTACTTCTAAGCCACATCGGAACACCACTTTCCCTAGCGCTATGTACCGTAAAAACGGCTCGTTCAATTCAAACCGGCGTCGAAACGCCCCGAAAGCAATCCCTGGCTATTAAATTTTGAACCCGTTTGTCCGGTGAAACTATTATATCCAGGTAGCCACTCTGAATGTTAAGCATCAACATATGTTAAAGTGTGGTCTGTGGGGGGCGGGAGGGGATGAACATTCATTGGATTCTACGGAACGCCGTTAGCCCGTCAACCGAGTCAGCTTAGAAACAATATTGGGCTACGGACCTCACCTGAAAAAGTCAGTCTTTTGGCAACCGCACACCGGCATCCTAGTTTGAGCCCCGAAGTGACAGGGGAAATTAGCCAATGAAAGCTCATTGTTATCGCTGAGGTGCCCAAGGAGTGACGGCGGCGCTCCCTTTAGCTTACCAATGTTGGCCGATGGGCTATGCTAATGGCTGTTATCATAATTTTCAAGAGGAAGTGTTATGATCATACCAAATGTTGATTAATAGGGTGTAGGTAACCACAAGTATGTGTACCTAGGTAGTGATGGCGGCGGAAACTTCAGGTATATTGAGTTCTATCCCACTCGCTGATCCAGGGCTGCTTCCAGTATCCTTTAATCACGAAATCAATGTAAAGTCTACCCTTTGGCCGAGACATAAAGAAACGCTTTCCTTAGTGGATCAGAAATTGAGGATTCAACGTTGAATTCCCACACCATAAGTTATGTGGTGGCTTCTGGATCGCGGCATCGTCTTATTTAGATTCTGACCATGGCGGCTAGACAGCAGTGCTCTATTTGAAATGATATTTTCGGTTGCTGTCTGGTCTTGTTCTTTCTGATCACTCGAATCTTATTCCTTGGGGTCTGCCAATGTTACGACCCACTAGGAGAGCTTAGCAGGTTGCACACTGAACCAAAAGGTTACTATGACTGCCGTGAGGCAGTCAGCTCTCCCACCAAGTTAAGTAATGCACTCCGTCAGGTAATATCCACGTATCGTTCGGCGCAGTCTCCCTGAAAGAACCATGCTGGTTCTGACATTTACGAGCCCCTCGTCAAGGCTTTCGATAGAAAGTCGCTAGGTAGTAAGGGCCTCCTAGATCTTTAAAAGCTCACCGTCGTAGCATGTATCAAGGAATACCCCGACAAAGGAAGTATCTTATATTTCTATAGTGTAGGTAAAATAGAATCGCGTGTAAAGATGGGGCTAAAGGTATTGATAACACGACTGGACATAAAAAATGAGGGGGAGAGCTTAGTATCTTGACGAAACGGAGATAGCAATAAAGGAAGCTGTAAAATCCGACAGCACGAGAGAGAGAGAGTGTGTGTGTGTGAGAGGGAACCTTAGAAGAGAGGAGGTGAGCATCTAAGCATCGGATATCGTTCTAAGTTGTCACCTAACCAATGAGAGGGAATGTTCGCTTAGAAAGGCGGATCTCCATCTCCATCGAAACACTTATAAGATACGAAATTCAAAGACTCCCTTAGACCCATGTAGTATTGAGACCTTTAAGGGAACATATCAGTAATCATTTATTTCAATTTCATAAATTGGGGCCAGGCTGCTTAAACCTGGTCCGAACCCTTTCAGGTCCCTGAGCTTAGCTCAAGTACTGTAATGTCTAAGTCGCCACGGGATTAAATTAATACCGTGCGTACAGAGAGCTTTGCTTCTGTAGTTATTGACCATCGATATTTCGTGAATCTAGAATATCAGGACATTGTTACTGGTCAGTAGTTGGTTGGGCTAACTACACATTTATCGAGTGGGGCAAACGGGCAAACCTTGGGCCTTGATCCTACTGGACTTGCCATGGAAAATATCCGATACAGATAGTGGTATTTCCCGGACTTGTGTCTTTCCATAACCCCAATAGATTGCTTCTAAGGATCGTGCCGTTGCCTAGGACTAAACAGAGGCATGGGGTTCATGTATTCTGTTTAGCTCCGGGGATTTTTTCAAATAGAGATTGCTCGTTCGCTATTTTACATTCCAGAAACTCGAGTATCAACTAGATATAAACTATTATTCGGACCACTCACATTCGGCCTGCCTTTGTAAGTTTGACTGCTTTTAGACTACGGTCCTCGATTCGCTATTCGACTATGCGGTGCTGAATTAGAATAAAACCCTTCGGCTATAACTAATATGAGCAGGAATTGAGGCTGAAGTGAGGATAAAACGGGGCCCATTGGTGTAATATAGGATTCGAGGGGGAGAGAGAGATAACATAGTGGAATAGCAGATAGTGCATCTACGAGCGCTCTTTATACCTAGATGCCTAAGGTACTAGGCTTTCCTTCTGCTTTTAGGTTATAGGATCTATATTTATGTCGAACTGGTACCTAGTCTCTCTTAGTGAGAACCATCTCTCTTAGTGAGAACCATCTCTCTTTTTCTCTATTAGCATTTTCAGGCGTACAAATAAGTTCTTGCTTCAACTAGATGAAGCGCCTACATAGCCATTACGATCCTAGTTAGGCTGCAACAGGTTAATTGAACTTTGATTGATTGATTGACTGATTGATTAATCAAGATAGGAAAACCAGGTACTAGCAAGTTTCCTGATTCGTGGGCCGCTAAGCATCCCGAAAACGTTCAATAAATGAGAATAAGATATTTCTATTGTCAAAGCAAGCTACCTCATGGACCCCAGCTTTCTCTGTTATGTACCTGGATATGACCAATTCGTAACACACAATGCGCCTTATTTTCAATTCATAAGTTGACCAATCAGAAAATCACGAGATAACAAGTCGAGCTCTTCAGCATTGAGAGAAATTTGCACCTCCCACGCAGGATCCTCAATCCCAGTACGTTCAGGATGAATAATGACCAATCCATCCACTGGGCCCAAGAAAGCATTGACATTTGTCATTTTACCAAACTGTGGACCGAAATCCAAGTTATAAAAGGGCATTTCCCGCAGATTAGTATGGACAATGTTCAATACTCCCAAAGTTGTGTCCTTATCCTTTTTATCAGACAGTAAACTATCAAGCCACCCTTCATCCATAGAAGTGATACCCTGTCGTAGCAAAGAAGCCACATGTGCCACTTGGGAAATGTCATCTGTTTGCTTTTCTAGCTCAGTGTTGAGGCAGCTCTGCGAGTTTGGGACTGACATATTGCCAAGATAGTCTTTGGAAATGGGAGAAGAAAGTCGGTTGCGCAGATCAACAGCCATGGATATATCGACTGAGCAAGAACCTCGTCCCAACTTGGTCCGAGTCCTTGCTATGGCGATTGAAACGGCAGAGGTAAGGATATCGCCCCTTGAAACGAATGATGTATGTATAGTTTGGCTGCATCGATTGTGAAGGGATTTAACAGCAGCAGCAGAGAACAGGAACCGACGAGTGTGGGGGCTCGGTGGCAACTGTGAACTCTGCTGCGGATTCGCCAATGGTGTAGGTTCCGGTGCAATGACTTGAGTTGGAAAATCTCGTAGGCTTTCTGGCTCTGGCTGATGAAGAAAGATGGCCTTTCTCAACCCATTCTGCTGCTCGGTTGAGAATGGGGCCAAGCTAGTTTGCGGCTCACAACAGCATTGTGCCAAGAGTTGAATAATCCTGTAAGTAGCTTTGCCATCAAGAACACGATGACATAAATTCAAGCCAAGCGCAATACCGCCATCCAAAAAGATATTTGCTTGCATTCGGAATGTCGGGGTCTTCTCTGAGGGGTGGAGGAATATAGGAAGTGGATACAAATCATCATTGGCATCAGCTGAAGAGCTACTGGAATGCTCCCCCAAACGTAGAGCGGAAGGCATTCTCGTATTGTGATGCTTGACTGTCAGAAAGGTATGCGCGGGGTCTTGACAAGAGGGCAAGACGACATGCGAAACGTTGTTTATCCCCTCCACCCCGGAGGATTGTAGTCCTGGGCGAGGGATAACTTCCCCAGCGAGGAACGGCAGCGCAGGGAGTAGAGATTTGACAGCATTTTGCAGAGCCGAAATACAATCTTCGGGCTTTTCTGGTGTGAAGGAGAATAAGAAACCAGGGTATGACATATGGACCAATTCATCCAGCGGACTTAAGGGGAATTTTTCCATAGTGAAGATGAGAGATTGCCAGTACTTGGAGTGTCAACATTTCGCTGAGCCAGCGAAGACTTATTTATATCCAACTACTTAGTATTGAAACTGTGCATACGAAGTAATTCAGCAATTGGGTATTTTATGCACTTCTCTCAAACAGGCAGGAATAACCCTTGTATACTATAGAAGTCTGACCGGCGGTTTTTACAAGCTTAGGTACAGATTGGCAAAACCATATTGTGCAGCTCAGAAGGTCATCTGCAGAATACGTGGATATACCTCAATGCAGCGTCGAAGAGTGGAAGACACGTAGATAGGCAGGGATTTTAGATTTAGGCTAGACTTGTGGTCATAAATCCCTCATCAGTGTCGCCACATCGGAGTCTGGCTTTCGCCGATCTGTTGGGCCATGTAAATTGATAGTTCTGCTGTAAAAATTATTTTCTCAATCTTGCTATTAATCTTGAAAAAGATTGTCTTAATGGAGCCCTTCAGCATAAGGAACCTTTTTTAGTCGAGATAGCATGGTAGAGACAGATATTGTTGAGTACGGGGTAGTCAAATTTTAAAAATTAAAGAGATATAAGTACTATTAAACTGGCTTCCAGCATTCATTCCAAAAAAAAAAATCTATCAACTCGACACCAATTAGCACTTGTGCCTCTCCATGGCAGACAGTTAGCCGGTGTGACAAGCGATTAAACCTATGAAGTGATGTTTAAATACTATGTTGAATAGTATCTAACAAGGGGCCTTTTCTGTCATATGAACCGTCATAAAAAATAACAAACATACACGGACTCAGCTCTTGCTAAATGCATTCGTCTTGATATCTGCAAGCATTTGGTTGACATCCTTATCCGCCGTATCCCATTCTTTTTCGATTACCTGCTGGTGTCCGGGGCTTCGCACGCACAACAAGGCCTCAAAGGGCCCTGGAGAGTATAAAACACCCGAGCTACCGGTGTAATCTGCTGCCCTCACCTTGTCGAGCGTATTGTCTGGGGAAGTTATATCATATGCCCACAATAAGCGGGAGATGGTAGTGAACAGACTGTTCATTGCCACTGTTTGCCCTGGGCACACTCTTCTTCCAAATCCAAAGACAGAGAGCGGGAGATTTGGATTCTTGATCCATCTTTCGGGCTGAAAAGACTCAGGGTTATCAAAAGTTTTGGGATCGTGGTCAAGCTCCCACTGGTTTGCAATTATTGTGCATTTTGCCGGAATAAAATATCCCATGTATTCATCATCCCTGTCAGGTGCACGCGGGCCACCAATAGGTACCAGTGGCCGCCAACGCATGACTTCAGAAATGAATCCATTGACATAAGGAAGCCTGTTTCTGTCCTCGAATGATGGTAATCTTTCTCGACCGACCACTGAGTCCAGCTCTTTTTGTGCTTCATGCACAGTATCTGGATGAAGTAAACATATCATGACAAATATCTTGAGAGTCGTCTCAATTGTGTCCAAGGCACCCATGAATATATCTCCGATGACAAAGGAAAGCTGTTCAGTGGAGAGGTCTCGGGTCTCCTTTTTCTCAAACAGCTCGCGGCTAAAAGACCATACGTCCCGTTCGAGGGCAGCCTTCATAGAGTTGGTATATGCACGTTTTCCGTTAGAGTGAATCAGTTCAGCCCTATCTTTCCATCTCGAAAGACATCTTGGAAGCCTATCCAAGATAGGAAAGACATCAGCAAGAGCTGAGGCGAGACCGGTTTGTGCCTGTTTCAAGGCCTTTATCAACTCGATCGTGTGCGCAATATCTTCGGAGAATTCTCCAACCCCGCTGGTACTTTCACCATAAATCAGGGCGACCGTAACGCTGACTGTGAAAGTATGGAATGCAGCAGGGAAGTCATTGGTCGAAAGAAGATTGTATACGAGATGTTTGCTTTGCAAGTCTTGGATCTGTCGATATTCTTGAGACCTCTGTTGATTTAGAAGGTGGGTATAGCCCCGCCGGATATCCTTCATCATGGGGGTGTAATCCATTGTACCAGGCTGGAGGCCCTTGGTGAGGTACTTGTCGGATAGGATGGAACGGGGCCGGGAGCTGTAGTTGTTTCCGCGTTTTGTCAAGAGATCATGGATCATTTGACGATCACCCACCACGATGGCTGTCCGGCTCCCTAACTTCAGACTGAATATGGGACCATACTTCTTGTGCATATCATGTAATGTATGCCAGACAGCCCTTTTGGGCAGATTCATTGGATTGAGGAGTGACGGTCCTGGCGGCAGTGATAGTTTGGAGGGGCGAGGCGACAGGAACCACCAGCATAGGACAGATAAGAGCAGAAGAAAAGCCACCGGGCCAGAATACGTGGTGGACATGATTGCAGCTCTGGAGGAGGCGATTTCACAAATTCCAGTTACTGCCACAGAAGAGAAAATATATTTTGGAGGAGATATCAAGGTGAATCACGAAAAGATATTTGGCATTATACCGTGAATCATTGAGAGGGACTCATCCATTTCCCTGTGCAGTGACCGATAGCCCCTCATTTTCGACCCCCCGCTAGGGATTTCCTTCATCTATACGACCAGCTGCGCAAGTCGACGATCATAAAATACATCACGCAGCCTTGAAAATACATTTCCAATTCAGAATTGAGCCAAGATTGGCAGGTCGTCACAGATCGACCTATGAGAAAGGTTGTAATGAAAACGTCTTATCATTCACGTCACTACCCTTCTATAATTTCCATGCTTTGACCCTGAAACGACGCGCTCTTCTGCATGTCTCGGCTTCCTTCGTTTGCAAAATTCATGGCACAGTCCTCATGACTATTGAGTGGCGCAATCTATCGGGTCTAGATGGGAGGGCGCCTCGATCTTGGCCAAGCGACATCCACAGCAGAGATGCAATGCTGGTGGATGATATTGCGTCTTGGTATAAACGACACGGTAAATACGAGTTGAAACCTGCAGTATCTTAGATCGAATCTTCATCGTACAAATGATAGGCATCTTGCTATGCATGAAGATCCACCTGCATTATTGTGGAGTTTGAGGTAGCCAACCAGACCACGCCGAAATACAGGATCGAGTGCATACTGCACGTTAATTACACCGTGTCATTTCATCCACGTTAGTAGTCCGAGAGCCAACTCTGCAAGAGGGCGCATTTTCCTTGTTACTAACCTGTACAGGTATTTGTCTGGTATTTAATATTTAATTTCCGCGTACAGATATCCTTGCAACGGGTATAAAATACATAGTTTCAAGTCCATAGCACACTCTCATATTTCAACTTCCTGCAGGATAACCTTCTGTGTAATATTACCAAGAAATTTTCAAAACGTCGTTTCGTGACTTAGGACCAGATGTAGGTAAGCTATGTGCCTAACCTTGATCACGAGTCTTGCATTGTGCACTTTGCATCACACACCGCATTTCCTGGCAATCTTATGACACTGACTTGTTGTCATTGCAGACATGAATGATAGTAAACGTATATACAGATCCAATCAATTTACTGTGGATATGTCTATCGGGAAAGTATCCTGAGATGAAGTGCGGAGAATTTGACATCATCCATGGGTTACCTGTAGCATCATGAGCACTGCGAAGGTATTGATAATGCACTGCCTACAGTGGTACAAATACGAATTGTGCTCGATGCTCATTTGAAATACGTAATCAAGTCACTCTCCTTATATGCTAGATGCAGATTATTTCATCACAATATCCTAGCTGATTTTGATATTGGAATCTACCAAGCTGAAACACCTGCTATCAAAAGATCTTTTCATCATGACTCAAGTTGTCAAATACGTTCTGCTATGTCTATCTCTGTTTGGAATTTGGGCCATGTGGATAGTACCTCTACTTTGTGGCTCTCTTTGGTTGCTGATCTATGAGTCCCAGCGCAAGGAGTTCGTAGGAGCCAACTATTCCGGCATCTCACTTCTGGACAAGGCGTTGTCACCTTTCTTGCTAGCATATACTTTGACCAGTGATACTGGAGTTGCTGTTGAGAACTTGCACATGGCTGGGTTTCTTGGAAGCATGGCAGGAATCTGGATGATGAGCGCAATCGAGAACAATCGAACAAAGTCGCGGGACGAAGTTGCAAAGGGGTACTTAGAATGTTCCTTGATAAAATTACTCTTCCATTCAAGCCATGCTAACTATTGCAGGATATTCCTTCTAGGTTGCCCTACCATGATTGCAGGTTCACTCGTATGCATGCCTGCGTACCTTGCCCTCAACTATTTTCCAGTCAGACCACTTCAACAGAGCAGAGACAGCCCTAAGCATAGCCCACAGGTTTTGTACGAGATGCAAGTCTGGATGATACCATTGTTCTACGCGCCAATGCTTTCATTGGTGCTCCCGGCATCCATGGCGCTTTCTCCGAGTCTCAAACAGCATGCAATCATGTTGATGAGCACCTCCCCGTTCTGGATAGCAGCAGCAATCATATTCCCAAAGAGAATATGCATAGGAAAGAGATATACAGCACCTTCTGTCAAAGGAAGCTTGGATTACCTGTATACATCCACTTTCATCTCCGTCTCACTCTTTCATATGCTGCCCATAGTTGCGACTATAGTCATCAATCAAGAGGGTGGACCAATCCTTGCCACAAGCTTATCAGCCTTGAAGAGGATGTTTATCCCATGTCTGTCATGGAATAATCCAGTCACTTCCTCGACAACAGAGCTCGTTTTTTTCATGTGGCAGTGGGACTATATCATCGGAGTTCTCGCGTCGATTCTCTGGAGTGTGTCTCTATACATCCATGAATGTCATCAGGCAAAAGTGCAAGTTGGCTACACAAAGCTTGTTCTGACAATGATCTTGCAGACAATTTTTGTTGGGCCATTTGCTGCCTCAGTGGGGGTTCTTGCCAAGAAGAACAAGATTTCGGAGCAGTCTTTATGGATGCAGAAAGATGATTGATTGGGTTGTGTGGCTGGAACCCCGAGGTTGACGCACGAAGAAGCTTGACTTTGCAAGGGACAGACATTTGCAGATGAAACCTCTTTGAATTGAAGCCTGCTGTGATTCCCAGGGAAATTTGCCCAAGAAAGAAGCTTTGATATACGAAATCATCAAAAGAATTCAATCTGGCGGTAGAGCTGAATCTCTAATACAAATTGATAGAAATTGTTGATTATAACCCTGTATATAAATTTAAACCAGATATTAGGTATGTGACTTGATTTTATGATATTTTATGACATTAAAGCTCTATATAACAGTAGACAATGCTCGGATAACACAAGCCGTTTATGATTTTCAAGTCGAAATTCCTCATACCCATGGGACTTGCTTTGTTTAGAATCTCCCAATGACATCATGGTTGATACTAGTTAGGCCGCATCAGGTTAATTGAACTTTGATTGATTGATTGATTGATTGATATCACGGTTGATTCAGAAGGATCTTCATTGGTTGTTGATCGGGAGTTTCAAGAAGCAGTTCCCGAGAACCAGAGTTGTAAAAAAAGAGAAAATAATATCAGAAACTAAAACTTGGCAGTGTTGACGCTTGAAATATTGAGAAATGAGCAACAGTTATGATTTTTTCCCGTCCTATGTAAAAAATACCTTGGTTGTTATCCACAAAAGCGCAACTGAAAATAAAGCAAAGATAGAGAAATTCTTATAAAGCCGGTCATTATGTCCTTGGGTGTGACTCTGTCGCATTATAGTTGGTGGCAAGTATTCAAGTGTAACACCCGCTGCCAGGATTTTAGACAACCAAAGGCCTATGAGATGGTCGGACCGAAGAAGGATGTACCGTCCAAGAAAAGTATAAACGATCCCTTCTCGCGCAAGGACACGAGTTCCAGTTTGGCAAAATCCGCTCATAGTTCTGAATCGCAAGTAAACGGTATGAGAGAGGGCGTCAAGTATCCTGATTATCGTTTCATCGGAAGGACTCTGGTCGGGGCTTGTCTGGAGTAAACCGTGCAACCCATTTGCTAAGGCGGCGGCGCTCTCGATTGCAATATTAGCACCTTGCCCCATCGTTGGAGCTGTCTAGAATCATGATGTTAGAAATCACAGCCTGTGGGGGGTGAAAGTACAAGACATTACTTTATTGACACTGTCACCAATGCAAACGATACGACCGTAATTCCATGTTTGTAGAAGACCCTCCTCCAGAGCGGTCATCACAACTGACTTCCTTCTATCCCATATATTACCGAATCTCAGATCATTCCGGATTGGGAGATTCGTGAGCCGTTCGCACAAGGAAACAGCATCAGCTTGTAGATACCGTGGGATATTTGGATATCGGTGCGTTTTATCTAATCTTTGGACTGCACACCAACCAATCAAGCCATCCTTTCCCCCAAATATGATAATGGTTAATCCATCATGACATTTCATGATTTGTTCTCCCGGTATGATACCAGGAACTGGGTCTGAGGTACCGAAAACGCATCTATAATCTGCAAACATTCCTACTCACATCATGATCAGTTATGCTCTAGTATATCCACATAAGATGGATTGAATAGGAAGAGAACCTACTGGTCATGTCACCGGTGATGAGACCTGGTCGTTGAATATTGGCAATTCGCCACATTTCCGAGCGGGTGATGCTGTGAACACCATCTGCACCCACAACCAGATCTCCATAGTATTTACCGCCATCCGCCGTCGATACAGATATCACTGAATCTTCTGTGTGGATACTAACCACTTTTTTGTTCAAATAGACCTTTGACTTGTCTTTTAACTTCGTCATCAGAAGGTACATTAACTGTTGGCGAGTCATAGTACAGAAAGGATATCCTAACCTGCATAAAAAAGTATCAGGACCCGAGAGTAACAAGAAATACCGCTCTACACACCTTTGCTCGACATAGATCGGCCACTGTTGTTTGAGGACAGACCCGTCAAGATAGCTAACATGGGCCAATCTGGTAGGCTGACTGACTGTTTTCACAGCATCGTACAGTCCTAGTTGGTCAAGAATTCGAGCTCCGTTGGGTGCAACTGTAATGAAGGCTCCTGGTATTGCTTCACTGTGCTTCTGTTTTTCTAGAATTATGTAGTCGATCCCCGCGTGATCGAGGCAGTGGGCCAAGGTTAGGCCAGCGATAGAGCCGCCTATCACAATTACTTGGAACTTTGTAGGCATTGGGAAGCGTGATGGAGCTGATTGCTATCATTAACGAGTGGGCAAAGGGTTGCCAAATACTTCGACTTCCCAAAGATCCATCATAGCACAGGTCTCCGTCAGTTGTTCTATGATGTAAGGTCAATACGTTTGCCAGGGTGCCCCCAAGCGGAAAGCCTCCAGTTAGACAAAGACAAGTGTACATGACCTACTGGTCTTACATTGGTCGACAATTTTCCTATCTTTCCACATATCAAGGAAATGGCGCGAAGATCAGGAAAATCATCTACGTCGGTGGACTCTAAGTACGACTAATGTGTGGTTGCTTCTGAGCAAAGACCAACAAGATACCTTCATATGACTTTCAAATTGAGCGGTCTGGCATCACACCTTCCAGCCCAAATGTATGTCGTATCAGCGTCAGGTGTTACCTTTGCGATGATGCATTCTACCCCCACAGCACGTCCGCCACTGCTGATGACAATGGGGTTCTATTACTGCAGCCGAGCATGATGAAGTCTGTGCGTGAAAGCAAGTAGCCTGGTCCATGGGTGTTTCAATAAGATCTGTTAGTTGATGTAATACGAATCGGTGTCATCGCAATGCTGCTTGGGATACGGTTTGAAAATAACAGAAGTATGAATTTAGCTTTATCACTATCTCCAGGCAGTTTCGAGGGTCTGGACTGCTGTAATTGTCTATATTTATTGGAAAACGTGAAGGGTAAATAGACTCTGAGTATAGAGGTGGTGGGAGATGAACCCAGGTCCGCCTGAGGTACCTTTTGGAATGAGCCCCCAGTATCAGATTAGGTATTCACTTCTTCATCAGCAGAGCATACTGCAGCTCCCACCGATCTTGGAGTCCCAGATCTTGTCTCATCAAGCTAAGCACAGTATTCATGTTCGACAGAAAAATATTATTATCTTATTTCATCAAAGTTACCGTTTTTCTTAAGTTTTACCTTATCTTTAGTTTTTGAATGCCCTTCTGCGTATTTTATTTACCATAAAACGAATTACTCCCAGTGGACCCTGTGTCATCTCTGCATACGACTCTCTTTGGTTAAGGTTCCATGCAAGCCGTGAATTAACGCGTTGTACCCCTCTTAAAAGTTAATAGGTTATTTAGCCAGCCCTTTGAGAAAGAAGTTGATATAGGGATTGAAGATACTTTGTGTATTGAAGTGTTGGAGCAGCAATAAATTATCTATCTTCACCTCCAAACTGTGGGACTAAATCTCATCATTGCACAAAAAGTCTCTTACCAATCGATCAAATTATGGGAATTATGTATCCACTTTACCTTGAAACTAGAACAAAAAGGGGCGGGGCATCTAAATTTGTTGTGCATAGGCAATTACCTAACTGCAGTTTCGGGAGGGGTCGAAGATTTCATATGGGAGCGCTTATATGGCTCCTATCTACTAACTAACAACTAATTATCAAGTTCGATTTTCAGTGGCTGCACAAGCGAAGGATATATGTACGAACTGACCAATGGGCAGACAGTGACATGGTGGCGTTTGTCCACGTCACTCCCAGCTACAGTAGCTTCTTGATGACAGGGTAATGACGGTAAAATGGTCCGAACCTTACTGCTCAGATCAAAAGGCTCTGAACAGCTTTCAACCAGAGCTTTTGGCGACACGTTCGGTCTTTCGCTTCTTGCAGAGAACAGACATACATATCGGACAGGTGACGAGTCACGTGTGGCTGGGAGCCTCTTTCCCCGTTTCAATGAATTCGTAGCCTTCTTCTTTTATTATCATCCTCGTCGGAGTTAATAATCCATTTCCCATCTGTTTTTCATCATCAGTAGACCTCTTTCTCATCAAGTTCTTGGGTCCCTTCATCGCCCTAAAAAGAGGGTCGAACCGGGGTGGTTCGGGAGATTTCCCGATCATTGATCCGATCATTGGTCCGATGGGAGTGGAAAAAGTGGAGAAAAGGCTGACGGGTATCGGGCCTTCAACCATGGCAGGTGGCACGGATAGGATGATCATAGGCTGAAAAGGAAAGGATGCGTGGTTACAGGCAGCTTGCATATATGAGATTCTAGCGTATCGAATACCCGGTAAAATTACGATACCATCGAACAGGTATTTCTTGATTTCGTGGCTGCATGTGGAACTAGGAGAGTACTGTTCCGATATCAATTACTATATCGAGTTGAGTCACTGGAAAAAATCATGGTGGCGGTCTATGAGATACTGGTTTCTTGCATCATTGGAACATCTTCTTGATGTCTGACGATGTCTACATATCCACATGGGTAGTAGTTAGGAGTGGCGAGCATGGATAAATATCAAATCCCGAATAGGATATAATCGAAATATATACTTGTTCCATAGAGCTCAGCGGCATTATATCATTAAGCTTTACGAAAGACAACATCCGGTCCAGATTGCCTTTTCTTATTTTCCTCGAGAATAACTCTTTACATGTACTAAGCCCATTGCACTTCTTTCACTTCAATCATTCTAAGAACGCCTCCAAATAAACACCAAAAAATACCCCCAAAAAACAAGAAACCTAATGGAATTGTCTGCACCATCAGACAACATGTCCACCAGCGTACGTATAGTCGAATGGAGATTATCTTCTGTCATGCTAAATATCTGGGCCTCTAGATGTGTGATTCTTTGTCTGGTACCTCTACTCCAATGGCCATCTGCGGTATGGCCTTGAGACTACCAGGGGGAATTTCCAATGATGCTCAGCTCTGGGAATTTCTTCTTGCCAAGCGAGATGCAAGATCACGAGTTCCCAATACTCGGTACAACGCTTCAAGCTACCATTCCAAATCAGGAAACCACGGGACTTCAAAATCCGAGTATGGGTACTTTCTTGATGAATCCGTCGACCTGGGAACCCTTGACACCAGCTTCTTCAGCTTTACAAAGCTCGAACTAGAATACATTGATCCTTGTCAGCGTCAGCTGCTAGAGGTCGTTCGAGAGTGTTTCGAAAGCGCCGGAGAAGTTAATTACCGTGGAAGAGATATTGGATGTTTTGTGGGCTCATTTGGCGATGATTGGACTGAAAGTCTTACGCACGATCATCAAACATCGGCTAAATATCCTCTTATGGTTGGGGGTGACTTTGCCATCCCAAATCGAGTCTCGTACGAGTACGACCTCCACGGTCCAAGTCTGAGTATTCGAACAGCCTGCTCGTCATCAATTGTCGCACTCCACTCCGCATGTTTATCGATTGAAAGAGGGGACTGCTCAGCCGCTATTGTTGCTGGCTTCAACCTCATTCTGACTCCCACAATGACTATGATCATGACGGCAAAGGGCGTACTGTCTGCCGATGGATCATCTAAGTCATTTGATGCGGACGCCGATGGATATGGTCGTGGGGAGGCAGTCAATGCCGTATACATCAAGCCATTGAAAGACGCGATACGAGATGGAAACCCTATACGGGCCGTTATTAGGGGCACTGCGACGAACTCGGATGGAAAATCTGCAGGGTTTACGGTCCCCAGTCCAGATGCCCAGGAGGATGTCATTCGGAAAGCTTATCAAGCTGCTGGCATCAGTAACCTGTCCCAGACTGCGTTTGTGGAATGCCATGGCACCGGTACCACTGTCGGCGACCCTATAGAGGTTGCGGCAGTTGCAAATACGTTTGGTGGGGATACGGGATTGTTCATTGGGTCCGTCAAGCCCAATGTTGGGCATTCTGAAGGTGCATCGGGTCTCACCTCTTTGATCAAGGCAGTCTTGGCTGTTGAGAACCGCACCATTCCACCCAACATAAAGTTCAATACCCCAAACCCCAAGATCGCGTTTGAGGCTCAGAAAATAACCGTCCCAGTGGAGGCAACCCCATGGCCCCAAGGCCGCTGCGTCAGAGCCAGTGTAAATAGCTTCGGAATGGGCGGTGTCAATGCTCATGTTGTGATTGAGTCTGCCGAGAACTTCACTCCATCAAGCTCAGGATTGATCGAAAAGCAAGAGCTAGTACCACGATTGCTCTTGTTTTCAGCCAATACTCAGGATTCACTCGAGGCAATGATTCAGCAAAATCTTACCTATTTGACAGATAAACCTGACTCTCTGCGTGATCTTGCGTATACAATGGGTGCAAGACGGGAACATCTGCCGTTCCGGGCTGCGTCCATTGTACGCGATGATATGTCGGTTACCACAACCTCATTCGGAAAGACCTCGCAGAATTCCCCAGATATTGTCATGGTATTTGCGGGACAGGGCGCTCAATGGCCAGGCATGGGTGTTGAACTTTTCAAGAGCAATGCCACCTTTCGAAGGTCACTTTTGGAAATGGATAGCGTCTTGCAGAGCCTGCCCAACGCCCCTGCATGGTCAATCATAGATGAAATCTCTAAGGAAAATGAGACAAGCCAGCTTTATCTATCATCTTATTCACAACCGATATGCACCGCAATTCAAATCGCACTTGTTGATACCCTTTTAGAGCTGAACATCAAGCCCTATGCTGTCATTGGCCATTCTTCCGGGGAGCTTGCCGCAGCCTACGCTGCAGGCAGACTCACTGCAAGCCAGGCTTTGATTTTGGCCTTTTACCGTGGTATTGCCGCAGGAAAGGTGACACAGGCCGGCTGTATGGCGGCAGTTGGGACGGGCAGACACGAAATCGATCAATTCTTGAGACCAGGGGTGGTCGTCGCGTGCGAAAACTCTCCGTCTAGCGTCACTATCTCTGGTGATGTCGATCAAGTGGAGCAAGTGATGCAGGTGATATCTTCAGCTCGACCAGAAATTCTGGTTCGGCGACTCAAGAGCGATACTGCCTATCACTCAGATCATATGAAACCCGTGGGAGACATGTATCATTCATTCATTGATCCCGTTCTCGATAGTGTGGCCAAGCCAAAACACCAGACTGCGCACTTCTTCTCAACAGTCACTGGTGATATGCTGAGTGAAGGAGATGCTGTGGGATCCAAGTACTGGCAAACGAATCTCGAGTCTCCTGTTCTGTTCCACGGCGCTCTCAACAATATTGTCACCGGGCAGAAAAGTCGCCAGCTATTATTCCTAGAGGTTTCGCCTCACTCCACTCTCGCTGGCCCAATTCGTCAAACACTTGATCAAGTACAAATAATTCATCCTTATGTTGCTTGTCTGGTTCGTTCAAAGAACTGCGCAGAATCTTTTCTCTCCGCCGTTGGTCAGTTGTACTCGCACAGGCAACCCCTCGATTTCGACCTCCTCACGAATCCGGATAGAAATGCCAGGGTTCTTACGGATGTACCGACTTATCCATGGCAACACAACTACTCAAGTCTATATAAACCACGCCAAAATCAAGAATGGCTATTCCGAAAACAACCAAAACACGAAATTCTGGGAACTCGAGTGGTTGATAGCACAGACAATGAGCCCTGTTGGAGAAATGTACTTTATCTAGATCATGTGCCATGGCTTCGAGACCACAAAGTCTCGGGAAACATCGTCTTTCCAGCTGCTGGCTATATCATGATGGCTGGAGAGGCCGTGAGACAGATTGGTGCAGTTTTGTCCGGATTCACCGTCCGCAGCATGGGCTTGGATATAGCAATGATCTTGAACGAGTCAAATCCCACAGAGATTGTGACATCCCTGCGCAGACATCGTCAGGATAAATGGTACAGCTTTACCATTAGTTCACACAATGGCGTGAAATGGATCGAGCACTGCTATGGGGAGGTTATTCAAGGGCATGGCCTACCTTCAATTGCGAACACACAGAAACAAAGGCTCTCTCGCGATATCAACGTCTCTGGCTGGTACAAAACACTCAGACGTGGTGGCGTTGACTTTGGACCCTCATTTCAAGGAATTGAAAGCCAATCCTGCTCAACCAACAGCAACACTGTGTCCGGAAAGATTGTATCTAGAGGGAATTGGTCGACATACTATCCAGTACATCCTACAGTATTGGATTCCGCTTTCCACCTCGTGTACGGTGCAATCTACAAAGGGCTTGATTGGCAGGTTGACTCGTTGCCTGTTCCAACAAGTATTGGAGAACTCAATATTGGCGACTGTGCGTCAGACCTGGATGTAACTCTGCGGGCTGATGTGTCCAAAAAAGACAGAATACTCATTCATGGTGGGGCTTCTGGCTCTGATGGGTCTCTTTCGTTGCGAATGAAAGACATGGTTCTTCGACCCCTCGGTGCGAACCAGGCTATATCTGCAGAGAGTGACTCCAAGGCTGGAGCAAGACTACACTGGGTACCAATTCTTAAATTTCTGAACTTGGCTGACCTCATTCGCCCGCCAGAAAATTGGGAGGAAAACACAATTTTATTGAACAGTTTAACTAAGTCGTGCGTTGAACAAGCGCTCGTCCGTCTTGACGCCCAGGGCGTGTCTTCAAGTATTACGCACCTGCGCAAATACCAAGACTGGCTCCACAGACAGCCCAAATCAACCTCCGAGGAAAGCATAGAATTATTGGTTGACCAAATTCTACATACTTCGGCAGCACCTTGTGCCAAAGCAATGATGAAAGTATTGGACAACATTGTTCCGATATGCAAAGGCAAAATCGATGCTTTGGAAGTTCTCATGGGTGACAATACTCTATATGAACTTTACAACTATCTCAATCAGGTTGATCGTGCTCCATTCTTTGGTTTTCTTGGCCATTACCAGCCGCAACAGCGAATTCTTGAAATCGGGGCAGGCACAGGGGGAACGACAGCAAAGATTCTTTCTCAGACCAAGTACTCGACATATACCTTTACGGATATTTCTGCGGCCTTTTTCCCAGCAGCGAAAGACCGGTTCCAATCCTATTCAAGCATAGTCTTCAAAACACTCGACATTACCAAAGACCCCCTGGATCAGGGTTTCGAGGCTGAATCCTTTGATCTGATCATTGCAGCGAATGTCTTGCACGCTACTCCAGTTCTCCATGAAACACTTACCAACGTCCGCAAGCTCCTTCATTCACGAGGCAAGCTATTGTTAGAGGAACTGTGTGGCGATGCCAAATTCACTAATTTCATCGTCGGAGTTCTGCCCGGTTGGTGGGCAGGCGATTCGGATGGAAGAGCAGACGAGCCGTATATCTCTCCTGATCGATGGGATAAGGCACTGAAGGCTACTGGTTTCAGCGGTCTTGACGATGTTGCGTTTGATGCAACACCGCCACTTCATAACCTTGCATTCATGCTTGCAAGCAGCTCATTGGTCCCTGTTTCCCCATTGAAAAGAGATATCACGTTGCTATCTGATATAACATCATCCGAAATTGCAATGCAAATGCAGAAGCAGTTGCGTTCTAGAGGTTACACCGTCAGGATCCAGGGAATTGATCAGTCTTTGCCAGATGAAGAAGATTTCATTATTCTTCTTGACACAGTATCTCCATTTTTCAACAACCTCAGCACTAGCAAGCTCTCCACCTTCCAGTCCTTCTTACGTGAACTGCAGCGATCACATTCCGGAGCCCTGTGGGTCACCCGATCGATTCAAATGGACTGCGAGGATCCTAGGTTTTCGCCTGCTGTCGGTGTTGCACGCACGGTGCGCTCCGAGTTTGGTATTGACTTCGCGACATGTGAGGTGGACGTTCTCAAATACACTGGCATCGGGCTTGTCATTGACGTTTTTGAAACGTTTAATGGCCGGTTCCATGGGGACGATATCTATCCCGAATACGAATATGCCATTCGGGAAGGGATTATTCATGTTGGACGTATATTTCCGTTCTCTGTCCAAGACGAATTGAAGCGGATTCAAGAAGCGGATATAGACATCAAGAACTCGCGACTATCCCTTGTGCTTGGAACTTCTGGGCTTGTTGATTCTTTAACATGGACTGCCTATCCCGGACAGCAAAAGCAGTCATTGAAAGATGACGAAGTTGAGATAAAGGTGGACACCACTGGTGTCAACCTCAAGGTATGCACCCAATTCTATCTTCAAGGAGGAATCTAATAAGCCAAGGACATAATGATCTCTTTGGGCATTTTGGAACTACCTAGTACAGTGATGGGTCTTGAGGCCGCTGGAATTGTCCTCCGAGTTGGTGCACAAGTTCGGGATCTTTGTCCCGGTGATCGAGTAGCTGCGTTTGGCCCTGGAATCTTTGTGACATCTACCATACTTCCAGCGTCACGGTGCATCAAAATTCCTGACTTTCTGTCTTTGGAAGATGCAGCCACCATGCCGCTTGCGTTTGCCACTGTTCTTCACGGAATTTGTGACATCGGACAATTGCAAAAGAGCCAGGTATGTGAGTATCGACTTTGGGAAGATATTTGACTAATGGTACGTGCAGACCATTCTCATCCATTCTGCCTCGGAGGGTGTAGGCCTTGCTGCGATCCAAATCAGTCAAATGATTGGAGCAACCATCTACGCCACGGTCAGTAGCGAAGAGAAAGTAGAGTACCTGACCACGTCGCTTGGTATCCCCCGAGATCACATCTCCAACTCTTGTGATTCGTCGTTTTTAGACGCTATCATGATGTTGACGAATGGGCACGGAGTGGATCTGGTGTTGAATTCGCTTTCTGGAGACTTGTTGCAGGCTTCTTGTAAATGCGTGGCTAGGTTTGGTAAGTTGGTAAACCTTGCCACATCGACTGCAATCAATCAGGGGCAGCTGCCAATAAGCGTCTTCCCTCCGAACATGAGTTACATCGCAATCGACATCATCGACTACATTGAGTCCAGGCCCGAAGAAAGCAAACGGTACATGATCATGCCCAGGTCCTATAAAAGGGTTGAAATTGTGGGAAACTGACATAATTATCTTCCAGGTTATTGAACACAATTATGGATCTTTACACACGGGGTCATATTCAGCCTATTACCCCAGTGAAGACATTCGCTGCCAATGATGTCAAACAATGCTTCGCATACATTCAGACCGGTCAAAATATCGGCAAGCTCAGGCTTTCTTTCAGATCGCAGGATACACCTATTCAGGCAATTTCTCACTCCGCCATGAGCTTCCTAGCCGATGCGTCCTACCTTCTTGTAGGAGGACTCGGGGGGTTGGGCAGTGGGGTGGCTCGATGGATGGTTGAGCATGGTGCTAGGCATCTGGCCTTCCTATCTCGGACCGCGGATGCAAAGTCTAACAAAGATCTCTTCCGTGAACTAGAAGATCAGGGTTGCTCCATCACAGCCGTCAAGGGAAGTGTCTCCAACTTACTGGACGTCCAGAAGGCTATATTATCCACCTCCAACTTGAAAGGAATTTTCAATATGTCTATGGTGTTGCAAGACGAATCACTGCTTAAGATGACACTAGATGAATGGAATCTTTCCACTGGACCAAAGATTCAAGGTACATGGAATCTGCACGAAGCGAGCTTGGACATGAAACTTGATTTCTTCCTCCTTTTCAGCTCGATGGGTGGCATTCTTGGAATACCCGGACAGGCCAATTACGCCGCCGCGAACACATTTATGGATGCATTTGTGCAATTTCGCCATCGGTCCCAACTGCCAGCCTCTGTCATTAACATTGGTGCTGTCCAGGGTATTGGACATGTGGCCGATAATCCAACGATTTTGGACAACCTGAAGTTGCTTGAATGTGCTCGCATGAGCCAAAAGGATTTGTTTAACGCTATAATAGTTTCAATCTCTCATGGTCCCGGACCGAAGAGCCACGGGGACAGCTGTTACGCGAATCCAGCGCAGTTTATCACAGGGCTCAGAGACACTGTCGGCATATTCAGCAATCCGAATGGAAATAAAATGTTGCTTGATAGTCGCCTCGTGGCCTACTTTGGCAGTTCCGCTGAAAATGCACCTACCGAGAAAAGAACATCGGCGGATAAACTCCGATACTTTGTCTCTTCAGCTGCTTCAGACTCAAGCATTCTTACTGAGCCAACAGCGGCTGGGTTTGTTGCTACCGAGATCGCAAAATGGGTATTTGACCTTCTCATGAAACCAGTTGACGATGATTCCGAGATCGACGTCTCACGCTCCCTCGTCGATGTCGGACTGGACAGTCTTGCCGCGGTTGAGATGCGTTCCTGGTTGAAAGCATCTTTGGGGTTGAACATTAGTGTTCTGGAAATCATGGCAGTGCCAAGTCTGGCTGCAATGGGTGAACATGTGGTCCAAGAGTTGATCAGACATGTTGACGGAGGGAAGAAGAAGTGACAGGGATATAACCTTTGATCGTGTTCATTTTAGTGGCAATGATTCCATGTATGCCTGAAATTTTGGGTTTCCCAAAACTCGCTTCCTTATTTGGCACTTTCTAATATCCTGGTTTCTGGTTTCTCCGCCTACTTTGCCCTTTGTAGCATCAAGGCGAACATTAGGGTATGACTGTGAGAGAAAGGATACCAACCCGAGGCATTACCTCCATTAAATGAACAACAATCTCGGGACTACGAACACGTTCAGGTTTTCTAGGATCTTCAGCTTCCGTCTTACATGGTAAGCCGACCAAGGGGGTACAGGTGCACTGAAACATTGCTCCCTCAGCCATATTTCTGCGTGATCCCGTATTGCGGGACCTGTGCACGCAGTTTATTCAGGAACACTTGCACGTTGTTGTAGTATGTGGCGCCTAGGACCGTGCGCAAGTGGGTGAAACTTGTTATAAGCATTGATGCTTCCTCTAATTCGTGGAAATGCCAACAGTTGGATATATTTTTTAGGTAAATAAAAGAGGTAAAAGAAGAGGTAAAATATCATACTGAATATACCGTAATCTTCACGCTAATATTTACTATACATCCACTATTATATAAGGGGTATTTTTTGACTTCTCTTTAATTTTAATCACGCTTACTTCTTAACTCATCTGCCTGAAAACTCACAATTGTTGAGGATACACCGTAAGTGGTATACCATGGTTCTTCTGGAAACTACATTGGCGGATCTTTGACTATGAATGCAGAGAGGCTAATGTATGGCGAACTAGCCTCCAAGAAGTTGGTGTGGGCGAGCAGCCCAACGAGGTCCACGAGGAGTTCCCCGTAGGGGATGAGGTCGAATCTCATCCGCCTCCTGTGGCACCCGCGCTCTCAACAACGCCGGAGAAGAAAGAGGCGAAGAAATGAATTTTGAGGAAGCTGAACTGCACAAAATTGGCCAGTATCAATACCGTGGTGCGCAACAGCGCCCACGGGATGAAAGAGGGGCTTGAGGATGAGCAGCCCGCTGCGATTGCTGGCTTGGTATGCTGAGATCATGCCAAGACGACGGAGTTTCTCTGTTATTTTATCCTTGTCTTCTCTCTGAGGAGCTCAGTGAGATGAGAGGGAGGGGAAAGAGGCTATTGTTTCTACCTTTCGTTGTTATGTTGTTTTTGTTTTCTGTATTGTTTAATTTTATTTTTCTTTGGTTGGCCCTCTTCGGAGGTGACCATGCCTAAATACATACTGCCGCCAGGCAGCTTCATCTTGAAAAAATGCATTTTACCGTTCAATTTAGACCCCCTGCGCAGGCTGAGATCTCTTGGTAGACCCTAATTGAGCTGATACGAGACCTTGTAGAGATCAGGTGCTAAAATTCCCTTGATATAAGTAGTTTTCTCATTCATCTCTTAGTTGTCTTTAAGATATCTCTTGCCTTTGGCTCCTGTTAATTTTATGATCGTCCTTTTCCAATGACATAACGTCTATAATGGTAAAAACTTATAAAAGAAATAATTCCGCGATGGAATTTAAGGACAATTACTAGAAGTAATATATTGAATAAAGTAACTACATCGTACTAAAGAAATCTACGCACCTAGGTAGTAAAACTTCGAGGAAATAGGGCTCTAGTGTCTAATTTACATATAGCTTCGCACACGGGGTGAGAGAAGTGTTTTCATCTAGACAGCATTAGGAGTTTCACCAAGCAAATCGATTGATATCGAAAGTCCACGACTATTTCAAGCCGAATAAACAGGAATTTTCAGTAGTCTCATGCAACGAAGATCACTCTTAGTGAAACCTCATTTCCCTAACCATTCAAGCCGAGCTAAATATTTCCAAAATTTCTTAACAAAACTCCGAGGGGGCTTTGCGGGAGCACTATAATTCGCCTTCCGAACAATAGCCGCCATATCATAGGATGGAGGGCTTTGGCCAAGTTTCCCATTCATGTTACCCACCTTCGAGGACTCAAGGAACCGCCCAAAAGAGCAAAAGTAGTCATCGTGATTGTGAGTGCTCTGGGCTAACTCTCTTCGCACCTGGCGTTTGGGGTTCTGCTTCAAAGAAGCATAAGCTCGGTCGAACTCACTGTCAGAGAGTCTTCCAAACGCGTGGTAGATTTCGGGGTGTTCAATGCGTTCTTTGAGAACATTTGGTAGCGTTTCAATCAACGGCGACCCCTGTTTTAGTATCGGAAATAACTTTTCAAGGTAGTCTATCGCTAGCAGGATATCGCCGTCGTCCATAGTAGCGTGAGTCTTATCCAACTTCTCGCGTTCTGTCTCCAGTCTTGCAAGTTGTTCCAGTGCTAACCGGACAGTACGCTCGTTTTCGATGACAGAGGTGAGTACATCCGGGCTCGACTCGCATAAGTGGTATTCTGGAGAAGCGTGATAGTCGGAGGCTGGCTTCACTTCTTGGCTTCCAAATAGTTCGGACATTTTTTTTGGAGATAATGAATCTATTCTTGTAGGGTGAAGTTTGGTATAAGATAGGAAACAGGGATATCGAATACAATTTGATCGAGGTTTGAAATAGTAGAAAAATACATCTACCTGGGCACCATTGATACGTATGCTTGCCGCCACCTAATAAGAAATAGATCTCTAGGTAGGTTTTCTCCCAAACCTTGGGATTAATCCGAGTCTCTCTCACCTTTAGGGCTAAGGTTTGGTTTAAGCTTTTTAGGTATCATATAGCCATACAGCTTCAAATTTAGCGAAGGCCTGTAAGTATGCCAGTCTTTTTGAAACAAATGACTGGGCTTGGGTCCACAATCTCGCACATTAAGGTTTGTCATAGTTTCCGACCCCTGGCCAGGATAAAACTTCACAGATCAGGTAGAAATGTCTAATTTTAATACAAGTTTCAACTAAATTGAGGTTTGGATCTAGCTAGTGGACAAATGCATTTCAGTCTCTAACCTTCTTTGCCGAACGCATTTTGACTACGGTGGGCTTTAAATGAGAGGAAATATATATGGCTTGTGGAGTAGATGCTGTAAAAGGGCCGCCTAGAGATAGGGTTATCTTGACTGAATTGAAAGCTGACCCAGACTCCTTATGATTATAGGGAGTAAGTAGGCCCAACTACAAAGTTATTTGCGTCAAAGCTAAACCATAGTTAACTTGGATACCTTGTGCGGTAATAGATGTAAGTGGATCCTGCGAGACAGTACTTGATGTCTTCGATATTGGTCGAATTGATAATTAATCTCTTATTAGCGGACCGCAACATTATTCGAGGGACGAAGCTTGATCCCTATTTATTAAAGAGAGCTTGAAATTGTCTAGAATTTACTGGATCCATAAGAAAGCTACTCTTGGTGAGAAGCTCGAGGACGCCCTATCTGCGGCACTCGTTATTACCGAGGTCTTGTCTCCGACTAGTACCGGGGAAACGACGGAGATACGAAAATATATACGGCCGGCCGCATTGGGAAATTTGCCATGATCCTGGTATCTCTTCCGAATATGAGCAATATTAGCGCGGCTGAATTATAACGCGTGTTGTCTCCGCGACTCACACCTCTGCTGCACAGTAAACGGCCAGATATTCGAACACCCGAGTTCTGAATCACCTTGGGTCTTTTCTTGTCCAGTGTACTCAGCGAGTAATCATGTCTGACCCTAAGGGATGCACAGCAGTTTTTTCAGCACTTCTGCTTCATGGGGACTCTTCATTATGTGGTCTCAGCATTTCTGGAAAATCAACCACGCATTCATGGTTGATTTGCCATCCCAGCATATACCATAAAAATAAATTTGAATTGCCATATTCTTTCGGATGCTTCGAAACCATGGCGAGATTTTTGCAGAGATAGGAGAGCTTCATTTAGACTTGAACTTTATGCGGGACGCTTACCTCTGGATGGTTATTGGCTGATAGTCGCCTCCACGGCCCACTTCGACTGGAACATTTTCTCCTGCCACTCTTAATTAAGTGAACTACTTAACGTTGAGTCAAGTTAACATTAACTAACGTTCATTTAAATTAGCATTTACTAAAGTTAAATTAAGTCAACATTAATATACTCTGCAGATGAAACAGACTCCGAATTCGTGAACTTTGGGCCCACCGTAAACCCTAATTTAAGCTGCTTACAAGTCGGATCTCATTGGACAGCAAATACCACTGGAATGCTCTTTTTCTGGTGTTCTGTCATTAACGGAGTTTACGAAAACTAATAACATGCTCTATTTACCTTTCTGCTAGTGTGCACAGAAGTCTCTACATTCTTAGTACCAATAAATAGCGCCGTAAACCACGCAAGTAATTTATGTCACCTGCTTGCATTGTATGAATCATTGCGAATGCACTGACGTTAAAAGGCGACCTCCTATAAACTTCAATAAATTTAGGGTTAGGTCCAAACCAGCTTCTCGGAAGGAAGGCAGTCGTAGTTCTTCCATGGTCATGGCAACGTGTTTAATGATATCAGTGTTACATTGAATTAAGTCAGTATGCTTAGGATTGAGACTGCGTCATCTTGCCGTTGGGTTGCTTTTCCGCATGATTCTGGTGAGTAATGTTATAGGGATTTTCTTCCAGTCTAACTCCACTTAATCCCGTACTTAACTCCGCGAGGATGCTAATGCACCATATAAAGCCTTGTACCCGAGAGTCATCTGCGAGTGCCACTTGTAAGGTCGGAACTCTCACAACAATTTTTCACTTAACCCATCTCCTGTCGGAAAGATCTCAGAATCTTAACTTGTCTCGTTGCTCTTCACGGGGACCAAGTCGCTCTTCGAAACTTCACCATCACACCGAAAGTTAACATGACCGCAAGCGACATGATGAAGGCCCTAGTTTTGAGACCCCAGAGTCAATCTTTAGCCGTGGAGGATGTGACAGTGCCAAAGCCTGGGCCCAAACAAATTCTTATCAAGGTGCAGGCAGTTGCGCTCAACACGGTAGACGTCATGAACGTGGACCACTCTTTGGCGCTCCAAGATAGACGTGTCGTGGGAACGGACTTCGCAGGACTTGTCGAGACAATCGGCGAAGATCTCAAATATCTTGAGGACCCACGTGTGAAAATTGGCGCGCGAGTCGCGGGTTTTGTTCAGGGTGGTGGGTGGTGCCTCCTTCGATCCCGACCGCATATCTGACAAAATTCAGCGAATTCTACTAACGAGCGTCCCGGTGCCTATGCTGAGTACGTTTTGACCGATTACGACTTGACCTGGAGAGTCGCTGATAGCGTACCGCTGGAAAACGCCGCTACTATCAGCATGTGCGGTATCACTGCCGCACAGGGCCTTTTCTATCGTATGGGATTTCCATGTCCATTTTATGGGACGCCGACATTTGGGGATGTAGAAGAGCCTGTGAACGTTTTCATCTACGGCGCAACAACCAACGTCGGCATTTTTGCAGCGCAGTTGGTTCGCATCGCGGAAAAGACAGCAGGAAAACCGATTAGGCTCATCGGAGCTGCTAGCGCCTCGAAGCACGCCTCACTTAAGGGAGCACCATATGGATACGACGTCTTAGTCGATTACAAAAATGATGACTGGCCAGAGCAGGTCCACGAAGCCACCGGTGGGCGCGGTGTGTCATATGCAGTTGACACAGTATCCATTGGACCAACAGTGGCAATGGTCGAAAGAACGTTGAGCCCTTCAGGAAAATTTGCCGCCTACCGGACCCCATCTATTGGCGGATTTGACATGGCCACCTTGAAGATCAAGCCTGTTGTCGGTCCAGTTTGGGAGGGCCTCGGGGCTGAGATTGGTTATCACGGTAGCGTCATTCTTCTCCAGTTCTTTGGTTTGTTTGAAATCTAATGTGTCAACAGGTGTAACATTACCGGCCAACCCCGAAGCGAGGAGCTTCGCCGCTGTTTTCTTTAAATTCATTAGCCAAGAACCAACTCCAGGTTTCAACGTTCTTCAATCGGTTCCTGTTCGCCTGATGCCTGGTGGCTTAGACCAGATCATTACTGACGGATTCTCTGTGCTCCGCAATTCGCCTATGATATCCAGGACCGCATCTGACCGCAAGGACGACGCTCATTTGCGACCAGTCAGCATGGAGAAGCTGGTATACAGGATATGAACAAAAGTACGGAAGATGATTCACTAGAATCTCTTGGCTTCCGTTCGGGCTGGCAAGTTCTTCACGAGCCAGGGTCACTCGGCCTTTCGTATCATCACGTCTGTTGAGGAAGTCGAATGATCACAAGCACCCTGAGTGAAGGGCAGTTTGAACAGCGGCTTAGGTGTATATAGCTTCTTAAATTATCATCGCAGGGATGCTTGAAACCCACAAATGCCGATATTCCAGCGGCGACTTCTCCTCTAAGCATGCTCAAGTCTATGTAGGATTCTAAGCAGTACTTCTTGAAGACTCTACCTCAGATCCGCCGAACGTAGAGCAAACTGTCAAGTTTAGCTGAATCATAGTTCTTTGTAGCCCACTAAGACGTCATTCTCGCTGAACATGAGTGGAGAGTGGAGGCGACGCTATAGCATTAATTTGATCTTTACTCGTTCTGGTTCACTACGCATATCTCAGGACCGGCTTCTTTCGACTTTGCAGACAGCAGCTATGAATGACAATTTCCAACAACCCTGAAGTCCTTTCCTTTCTCCGTAGAGAGAACATAATGAGGTATGCAATCACCTTGCTACCATTTGAGCTATTACTGGAATGGGCCTTACTCCACTAGAAATCTGTTGTCCGGTGTTCTGAACTTCAATAGCCCATCATGTTGGATAAAATTTGCCCAATAACAGTGATCAGTTCCTACGTTGAAACGATCGACAGTTGTAGAGGGCAGTTAATATCAGTACGGACCGGTTTGGAGGCTATGGATATAACTGGTACACTTAGGCACGAATATCTCTATCTCAAATCAGCATGGTAGCATTCAACGACAGAATGACATTTCTGAGCAATGGGTCAACAAAGTAACGAAACAATCTGAGGTTATCCCTGTTTCCGTTGTAAACTGCCCAAGCCCGCTAAAGCTTCATGTCCGTTACAATAACATCACGACTTCCAGGTCAATTACATGTGTTCCGGGAACTCCTCAGCGGTCCATACTTTCCACACAAGCCTCTCGCCGCTGACAGTGCCACTTCTCATGATGTCCAGAGCAGTAGTTGCTCGCTCGAGTAAAGTCTTTCCTTCAATGACTCGCTGTTTGCTGGGTTGAATTGCGCCTTGGGCGAGTAAGGTGGGCAAAATTTCAGGCATAAGACGGTCCTTCAAGAAGGAATTCTGGATCGACATTAGTTAGATATTCAAGAATGCTATGCTATTTTTAGAGCACACTTACAGCTTCATATGCGTAGCTCACAATTGCATGGACTTCCACGCCCTGGACCCAGTCGGCTTCCTTGGAAGGGTCGGCAGACAGTTGCAATCCTTCCGAAGATGACGGTGCACTGATCACGACCGGGAGAACTGCGGCAACCTTAGAGCCTGGCTGAGTCGCGAGTTTAGATATCGGAAGCAGTGACCCGAGTTTCGAGTCCACAGAGTCAAAGACTCGAAGTGGCTGACAAGACATTCCAGACTCGAGGGCCCCGGCGATGGAGCTCACAACTTCAGCGCTGCGATAATCAAAAACGCGTGTTGCACCAAGCTCCTTCAGATGCTTTTCATGTTTGGGAGAGGCTGTAACTAGGACATTCCGGTATCCCCAATGCTTCAGAATCTGGACTGCATAACTGCCAACGGAGCTACCTGCCCCCCAAATCAAAATAGGAATATCCTGGTCCTGAGGCACAAAATTCTCTGGGCGTGGCCAAGGCAGTTCAATTTGAAGGTTTTCTGACAACGTCAAAAACGATGTACAGAAATTAGTAGACAACGTTGCAGCAGCAGAAAGAGGAATGTTATCTGGGACCTGTTCGATGTATTAGAAATCTCCCAAAAGAAGCGTAGCTAACGTGCGAGAATATGAAGATACCTTGCCAAACAAATGATCGGCTGCTGTCACATAGACCTGGTGAGCCTTTTCGTTCTCGTTGTGGAACACAAACCCAAATACTCGGTCGCCGACCTTCAGGCGTTGAACGTTAGAGCCGACTGCAACTACCGTTCCAGCCACACTGTCTCCAAGACGAAGCGGAAATTGTGCCATCAAGCCGGCATCAACCTGGAACACATCCAATGGAGCAGATGGCACCCATTCGGCTCTGACCTGAACCTCATGTTTCTGCGGCACGACAGTGGGAACTTGCTGAATTGTCAGCGGCTCTTTGATGCCGGTCACAATAATTGCGGGATGGGTCGTCATAGCTGTTGTATTGCTGGTCAACTTGAATCAAAGAATGAAAAATTGGGACGTAGACTATGGCCGATGTTAGACTTTATAAGCTGCTCGGATTAACACGGATGTAAGTTCAAGGGTTCTATTGTCTATGGATTATACGCTTACACACAATGATGTTCCACTTGCCACTGAATACCCACTCATCGTAGTTCCATAACCTTTGCGGGACTGAAAGGCTAAATCGGTCGCTGAAATGGCATATATGACCGTACAGGCTCGATAATTGCCTTACCTTGGTGAGTAGTAGCTAAAGTGGACTCTCGTGTTCAAGTGGGGCGTAAGCATATTAACGTGTTCGGGTTACTTGCTTGGTATACTTTGTACAGTGGCGATTCATACGTATTGGACCGAAATACTTCCGCGACGAACAGAAGGGCAAGTGAAGCACGTATTGTCGGGACATATGGTGGGAGTACCATGTTTCGTGTACGATTGCCGACCTTGAAACTAGTTACCAAGCATCAGGAATTACATTTCTGCGCCATTTGCTGTCCAATGCGATTAATTTTGTAAGCAGATTAAAGTGAAGCATATGTGGCGGGGAACGACTTTTTTATTGAAGATTTTCGGGTGGGGTATTTCACTCCCGAGGTCTAATCAGAGTCCCAAAGTAAGCAACTTAGTTAACTAAGTTGGCTCCCGCAACTTCGCTTCATTAACAAGTGAACTATGTCACAATGACTAATTAATATGGATCAAGGACCAATATAAAGCTGCAACGATCTACTTCCTCAATATGCTTGTCAAATACACTATTAATTGTCTGCGGCTCCAGTGTTATCCAATCTTCTTCAACAATGGCGCAGAAGTTGAGTCTCACATCTACTCAAAAGATCCATTCAGGATATGAAATTCCGATCCTGGGATACGGAGTAAGTAGTGAACCAGCATTCCTTTCACGACAGAGAATCTGACCTAATACTGCGTTTAGTTATATCAGGTGTATGCCAAACGACGGTATAGTATATGACCAGAGTTGCTAATCATCTCAGGCCAGGTCCCATTGCCGAAGATGTCACCCAAAAGGCTCTGAAAGCTGGGTATCGCCATGTATGATGATCCTCTTTTCATGTTGGATTAGCACATTTGACATGAAATTTCTCAGATCGACTCGGCTGCAGTGTATGAAAATGAGAAGGAGTGTATTTCAGCCGTTGAAAAAGCTGGATTGAACCGATCCGACATCTTTCTTACAACAAAGGTTTTACCGCAGGCCACAGGCTATGAAGCAGCGAGACGGTCAATCGAGGACAGTTTGAAGAAAGCGAACACCGACTACTTTGACTTGTGAGAAACATTTCCTCCAGGATTGACCACGATATACTGACAGGTGCAGGATTCTTCTCCATGCGCCATTTGGTGGCAAGGAGGGTCGCCTCGGTGCCTGGCGTGCTTTGGCAGAATCTCAGAAAGCCGGTAAAGCCCGGTCCATCGGCGTGTCCAACTTTGGCATCCACCACCTCGAGGAGTTGGAAGAATACATTGAAAGTACTGGAGATGGTAGAATCGAAGTTTGCCAATATGAGCTCCATCCTTGGCTTGGCCGTGCTGATTTGGTAGATTGGTTACGCAAACGTGGTGTGGTTATTGAGGCATACTCCCCTCTTGCCAGAGGATCTCGAATGGACGAGCCCGTTCTGCGCGCAATCAGCAAGAAGTATAATAAGAATCCCGCTCAAATTTTGATTCGCTGGAGCCTTCAAAAAGTAGGGATCAGCTTGATCGTTTGCCAAGGTGCTGCTTAAGCTAACGTTCTCAATTGTTTTCACTTAGGGTTTCGTACCTCTGCCCAAATCTGCTACCCCTGAGCGTATCCAAGAGAATACCGACGTGTTTGATTTTGAGCTAGACGAGGATGACATGAAAGCTCTGCACACCGATGAATATGCACCTTCCACTTGGGATCCTTCTGTACAGCAGGATTAACATAAAAACCAGAAAGGCCTTCAACCAGGTCGTCAAAATGCAGTGATTCATGCTCCATATTTCTCAGAACTGGTCGAATACTTTCCGCCAGACAAGCGGTTTTTCACCCCTCTGTATTCTCCATTTATTCGTTGAAATAAGCAGCTCAGGGCATCCGTAAAGAAAATCTCGCCATTTCTTTGCGAACTCCTCAGTCACTTCCCAATTTTTGGGATCCCAAGGTGTTCCCCACACAAGAATAGTTGCATTGCTACTGCGCGTATCCCAAAATGCTGTGAGATCGTGGCACAGTTCATCATCATCCAAACTATTTCCCGCACGGATCAAATTGTCTCGCATCTGGGGAAACGGGAAAATATCAAGCCACGGGTGATGCGGAACTGCCCTTTGCAGAAGAGTTGGTCGCAAGCTTTGAGGAATGCTATCTTCAGGAAGTTGCGGCCGCGCTAAGCTAAAAATCGAAACGGTGTTGTCTTCGCACATCCATTCGATAGCCATGCCTACTGCAACCACGTTCTGATAAGCTGCACGTAGCACGTTTAACCTGCTCAGCTTCAAGAGGTGATCGGTTTTCGGAGACCCCTCTATGTAGCTCGTGACTGCTCTCTTCTCAAACTGGGTCATCAGTTCGTGTACATTTAGAGGAGCAAATGTACATTGCTGATGCTGTGTTTCGGATAAACTGCATCTAATGAGGTCATGCTTTGCAGGTCCCTCCACAGTAGATTCTACGGGAGGAAGATCGTAATAAACAGTCGACCTAGCAGGCGCATTTGTCGTTTGCTTTTCCTCACTCTCCCGAGCACGTTGACGTAGTCCTGCAAGCAAGAAAAATGGGGACTGGGTTAGTCACGATATATATCGGGCATACTTGAGGTGTCCTTGGAGAGCTCACGATACACTCTTTGGTTCAGCCGATTTTGAACTCTCCGGCGAGTGGCGGGATTAGTGACCCCCCTCAAGTCGTCATCAGAGGAGTAAGCTGTTGACTGCTGGGGCAGATGATAACGCTTCGGGACGTTTAGGCTCATAGATTCAAAGGTCCTTGGCTGCTCCATCATGTACAGGAAAATGATTTCTAGTATGTGCGAAATAGACGTCAAGAATGGCGAGGATTGTGCTGAGGTCACTGATTTATAACGCTTACACCTAGACTGTGATTGGACACATTCATGCTTGGCGCCCCATCTGTGGATTGACGGAGTTAACGTCCAAGTCAATGGCTCGCGAGTAACTCCGTGGCTCAACAAATTTTATTCATTGATTCGCATTCCGGTCTAAATCCGAGACGGCTACCTTGAAGGACGTAGTCGCTGGCCCCACGGGCGAATAAAAATAGATTACCATTGCCAGAACTGCCACATCTGAATCTATTGGTAGATGGTAGAGTGGCAGATGTACCTCGGCGGGATCTACCCGTATTTATACCATTATACCCTGTTGAGATTTATGGTGGCCGGCCATGGTTTATACCATGAATGAGCCATGACGGCAACCGTAGTGATTCATCACCTGGGAAATCTAATTAGGACTAGCTGAAGGCAGAGTTTTCTGGTATATAAGGAGGTTCTCACACAAATGGGAATCTCCAGACTTAAACACCTCGGTAATCTATTGTTAGATTATCTATATTGTACGGTCGTACCAGTCATCATTCCTACTTGCATCGTAGCCTTTAAACATACCCATCCACCACCTGCCTAGTCGGGTGAGAGTTGGTACTGGAATTCCATGTGGTTTTGCGGAAAAAATATAATAGAGTCAAATATTGTGAAACACTATGATTAACTTGGGCCTGTTATCTACCAATCGATATGCTTGCGGCATCTGCCACTTGAACAACTAGCTTGCCTCTTCTTTTTCCAGTTTTCAACTCCTTGAATGCCTTTGGCACGTCATGTATCGAAAACACACGATCCACCGCAGGTATAACCTTGTTTTCCAAAACCCAGGTTCCCAATTTCTCCATGTCCAGTTTTCTTACCTTCACTGCCATCATGGAAAATTCTCTCTGGCCCCCACCAAGGAACTTGGGCAAGAGGAATATTTTGAGCAAATTCCATGTAAGTTCCCCAATAGTACCTGTCCCAACAAGCACGTATTTTCCATTCTCCTTCAAAAAGTGGTGAGATTGCCAGTACATTTGCATATTATTCCCAACCAGGTCCACAATGCGGTCGAACTTCTCGCCTGTTTGATTGACGTGTTCTCTCAGTGCGAGAGTTACATCTCGGGTTGTGTAGTCGATTAACGTATCTGCCCCGAGTTCTTTCAGGTACGTAACGTTGGTTGGCGAGCAGCTAGCAGTAACTTCTGCACAACCCAGGCCGTGCTTTGCGATCTGAATTGCAAAGGTTCCGGTGCCTCCACTACCACCGTTAATAAAGACGCGATTCCCCTCTGTCACGCCATCAAGAGTTTGCAGGGCCGTCAATGCCGCTATTCCCATGCAAGAGAGCTGCTGCAGTTTCAACGCACAGTCATCCTCATCCACGAACTCCTTGGGAACTTTCACAATACCGTCCGTTCCCATGACGAGGATATACTCCGCCAAAGAGCCATGCTTCTGCGGTAGACCCAATGTCCCACAAACAACATCATCAATCTTGAGCCCGGGGACATTTGTCTCGTAAATGCGCCCGACAAAATCAGAAGCAGGGGTTGCTGGAGGCCTAGTGGCCATTTTGCCAACCAATGTCATTTCAGGGACCTTGTAGTCTTGAGGATTCAACGAAACGGCGAGTACTTTGACAATGCTTCCAATGCCACGGGATGGTATTTCAGGCCTAGGGACATTTTCACAGAACTGAAGATTCGTCTCCAGTCCTTGATTTGTGGAATTATACTGCCATGAAAACATAGACTCCGATGGACTTGCCATGGCGAGTACGGCAGTATGGACGCAAACGATGCGGCTAATGGTGTTCTCAACAAGAATGAGCCAATCTTTGCCGATCCGTTAGTGATGATATGGGATACGTTGGCTGGCTATCGAAACTCTCTACCTTGAGGCTTGCCTTGCTAGCTTTTGTGAAATGAGTGGTTTGTAATGCTTTGTAGTTATGAAGATGTTCGAGATGCTTTTGAAATTGTGGTGGTCGCGATTTGGGAGGAAGGAGATATACTGGTAGTCTGGAGTTCAATATTTATACATACCAGCAGTTAGCAGTGTTGATCAGTTGGTTAATAACACTTTTATACTTTCCATAATACAATGAGCGATATGGAATTGCTCGGACCGTCCGGCTATGTTGAAGAAAGGGACCCGAAATACTGATCCCCTACAAAACATGATCGGCTCGGATGTCGGTAAGATCCGAGAACTAGGGCGAGGTCCAAAAATTCATCTCCAACCTCTCAATTACCTGCAGTGTCCTTACGCAGCACGATACATAGCAAATCGGAGGAACCTCAGAAAATTGATATTGGCACTGGAGCAGCCTGGAGTCAAGCAAACTAGTCAAGCCTGGTCCATGAGTGATTAGGCTTACAAATGAACTGTGAGCCCATAACGAAATGACCCAGAATAATTAACTTGCTTACACCCCCACTTAGACTGTAGGAGCCAATCCGCGGTGTTCCTCAAAGAGGAAGAGGTGTGGGGGGGGGCACGGGTACGGAGTATAGAGAAAGAGGCTCCATCTCCAAGAGTATAGTTTGAGTGGGGCGTAAGCAGGTTAATGAAATGCTTCTGTCACAACAGTTATAGATTGACCTATTCTAAGAATAATTGTGCCTAGCTCACTGGATTAAATGGCGTTTTAGTTGAGAGTCATGAATTTAAATCGCGCGTCTTCGTGCTGCTGATCCACTCGGTGTGATCCACTCGGCACAGACGTACGTTGACTATAATGATTGATTTCTAAGCAATAGGCTCATTAGAGCAAGGGCAGAGATAAGAAAAGCCCAATAGAGCGCATTGCGTCAAGGGAATCATATTAGCCTGTTCATGGTTGACTTTCCTAAGGTTCAGTCTTTGATTGCTAAGCAACTGACAACAGTGTCAATCAGTTGTTTGTATCTGAATTTGAATCTCCACTATTCGAAATTGCTTTCAAAAAACATAAGTAGCTTGAGATTACACACATATATAACGCCTATCTCTCAAGAGGCAAACATCCAACATCCCAGGTTAAGACAAAGTCAAGCTACGCAATTCAGTTTTTATCCAATATGGCACCACTCAAGATGCTATTTGCGACACCGGAAGAGCCGAAGACCGAGCTCGGTCGATACCGCATCCTCTCGAGTACAGCAGGTGTTCGCGTCTCCCCGCTTGCGCTTGGGGCCATGTCCATCGGGACGTCTTGGTCCTCGTTCCTAGGCTCTATGGACGAGGAACAGGCTTTCAAGCTCTTGGATGCCTATACCGAAGCCGGGGGAAACTTCATCGACACAGCCAACAATTATCAAAATGAGGAGTCCGAACAGTTCATCGGAAAATGGATGGCTGCACGAAAGAACCGGGATCTTCTATTCGTGGCCACCAAGTTCACCAATTGCCACCGCTCGCACGAGCTTGGGACCGGAAAGACAGTCAACTATGCTGGCAATCACAAGAAGTCGCTATATCTATCTGTGGAAGATTCTCTGACCAAGCTACAAACAAAATACATCGATCTTCTCTATGTGCACTGGTGGGATTGGACAACTTCGATCGAAGAGCTCATGGACTCCCTTCACATTCTTGTTCAGGAAAGAAAAGTGCTATATCTTGGAATCTCGGATACTCCGGCCTGGGTCGTGGCCGCTGCCAATGTATACGCGAGAGATCATGGCAAGACTCCATTCTCTGTTTACCAGGGCCGCTGGAACTTGATGCGCCGCGACTTTGAAAGAGATATCATTCCTATGGCCCGTCACTTCGGCATGGCGCTTTGCCCATGGGATGTCTTGGGTGGAGGCCAGCTGCAAACTGTGAAGCAGCTTGAAGCCCGTCAGAAGACCGACGAAGGGGGTCGGGGTCTTCATCAGACCGAACAGGCTAAGCGGATGAGTGCAGCCTTGGAAAAAGTGGCTTCGGAGCATGGAACCGCAAGTATTCAGCAAATTGCGCTGGCATATATTTTGAATAAGTCAAAGAATGTCTTCCCGCTCATTGGTGGTCGCAAGGTGGAGCACCTGCAGGACAACATCGGCGCTTTGAGTATTCGCTTGACGGCGGAGCAGGTCAAGCATATTGAGAGTCTCACGGAGTTTGATATCGGTTTCCCGATGGACTTTATTGGGGATGATCCCAAGGAAGTGGGTAGCCAGCCTCCTATGATGGAGGTACTCACTGGTGCTAAGATTGCCTGGTAGAGCGTGTTGAAGCTTATCAGTTATTACTGATGGCGTAGTACTAGAATGTTTGAATCAGAGCTCCGGCATGCATGGCATACATTTGAAAATGAAGACTTTGAGTTCCATTTCGACTCAGCTCTTTGCTACATCACATTTCTATCTTTTCATCTGTAGCAAAACATCTACTCAGATCCCTAATTATAGAACCGCTCAATATAAGTAAAATATAAGCATCTCGTACAGTGATATTCAAAATCAGTCTCACCAGCATCTTTCTCTCTCTCTTTATCTCCCAAAGCCCCATTATAACGCATCAGTCTGATGAATAATCCCGCAAATGTATACAGTATTCTAGTCTAAATGAAATATGACGTTATGCCTCGTCCTCAGGGACTTCCTGAAATCCCACACCGCTCCCAACTCAGCGGTGTGGGGAGACGGCAAGACATAGCGCCCTCCACCTTATCTCGGAAAATATCTGACGTTAATAGGGGTGAAACTACGCCAGGCTCCGGGTTTTGAATGTGTAAGTTGGACAAAACCTGATGGTAGCATATATACCAATGATGGTATTATAATGATAGGCAACGGTAATGTTATACGTTCACTATTATATGGGGAGGGGTGTGTTTTCAACATGACCCCATGAATACTGCTGCTCAATCGAAGGCGGTTTGTTCCGTCAGGGAATCTCAGACAAGCCACGGAGGTTCTAGAGTGATCTTCTGGCGTCAAGAACTTGACAAACTACGATCTGATCGTACCAGACCCGCGTGCAACCCGCTACGTTGCCAGGTTCATGCACAAGACCCTCTTACTACCAACTACTTCCTTGACACGTTCGGACTTTTCGGAGATCCCAAACAACTTGGACCAACCATCATGTCGGCTAGAGAGCGAATGGCGGTTCATGGTCAGATTCCAGTTCCACTCTTATCGCGCATGATTATCAATGGCAGCAAAGGCAGGGGAATTAATCTTATCCAGCAACATCGACTCACTGGAAGCAATCACAGTTTGACCAACCGCCTTTACTACAATCGACAATGATCATGACAGAGATCCCCGAGATCTAGAAACCATTGTGAATCTGACAGAAGAAAAACCACGAACCCCCCCGAGAATGTGACCTGGCCATAGCTTAGCCTTGAGACAAATAATGTCATCATCATTATCTTGACCATTCGTCAGCCCTACAATGCTACTCTGGGCGCCCTCATGAAAGCGACAGCACACATAGGAAAACCCCAGAGACCACGCACAATCGTGGGTTTTCGCTACGACCTCGACTTACACCATATTGGACGGGTGAAATCACAAATTGATTTTAATTTTATCCTTGACTTACAGGTTAGCGCTCTTTCTCCTTGGAGTCCCCGTGCGTGGTTCTTTATAATCCCTCTCATCGCCCCTTTGCCTTCTTGCCGTGCTTTTCCTTTCTCCTCGTCTTTGTTCATGGTCCGTGGGTGAGACATTTTTGCCATTGATCACCGACCTCTGCCACTCTCATTGTCCCTGGCGTAAGTTGTCAAGTCTCCGCCATCCCTCCAGTGCCATCTTCGCTCGCCTAGCCTCGTTGTCCACTGCATCGCACTAATGCGCACAAGATGAGGCTACTTTGCCTTGATCCACTGCGGCGACCTACGGATCTGCCGAACATGCTCATCGGTTAGTTGTAGACCTGGCACTAACTCGCGGGTAATCCTCTTCGCCCTGTACCCAACCCTTCCAGATCGCTCCCCACTGTGGAGTATGTATATAAGCTTCGGGTTCGAAGGAGTTAGACTAGACGCTATTTTGGTGTTCCCACGTGATTGGCTTCCAAAGTGGAGTTGTCTTTCTTACACTTTTGCCTTTGGCCCGACCTTCCCACGTTGCCAAGGGTGCGTCTTAGTCACCACTCACGGAGAGCACAATATCTAGACAGTCCCTGTAGTAGACACCATATTCCCACAAGAAAATATTGGAGCTCGAGTAGAAATAAGTTGGGGTTCCAAACCTCGCAAATCATGTCCTGGACTCTGTCCCCATCTCCTTTTTCCCCAGAGGAGAGGCGGATCCGGGGTCATGTGGGGGAGTGTCCGGGGTAAAATCCACCGACGGAGGAGATGAGACCGAGCCGTGCTTATCCTTTCTCAGCTCGGTTAAATTCTCAACTTCCAAGAGTTCGCTCGCTCATTGTGATAGGCTCGATACAACCGAACCACCCGGACAGGGAATCAGGAGGCAGTTCAGGGGCCACAAGAACAAAGGTCAGTGGCACTGGCAGGACTCGCGCTAAACTCCTCCACGATCCCAAGCAAGCAATTCTCCGGCGAATGGAACGCCACATCTTGACACCCAATGGCCACTGCTGCATACCCCGCAAAGAACCAGTGTATTTCCTCTCACCTAGCACCTATCAGGACTAGAACCTGTCAGATTCCTTCGCTCGACAAGCGTCCACCACAATCAACTGACGCTGCTACCGTAGCGCCCAGACAATTTACCCTCGCCAATGGAATTGTTGGATTCAGGAGGTCAAGGTCCGGAGCAAGCTTGATTTGAGTTAAGGCCGGGATTACTATCACGAGCATGGCGTGGCAGACATAAAGATCAGATCTCCCCCCAGTCGGGCCTGCCTCTCTCTCATTCACCAGTTTCTCTCAGAAATTGTCAACATGACTAGTGACACCACAGAGAAGCAGTCCTCAGCATTGGAGGTCGAGGCCCAGCCCGCCTCCACGGGCGGACCCGTTTACGATGTTGACGAGAAGGTCGACTACGACAGAGCGGGTGCTATTGAAGCCGAAGCGCTCGAACATAATATGACTGTGATCGAAGCTGTCAAGGCCTATCCCGCTGCCAGTTGGTGGGCGTTCGTCATGTCATGCACCATTGTAAGTTCTTGCCCAAGATAAAGCCAATCATTTTTTTTCTAACGTGACGATAGATCATGGAGTCATACTGTGTTTTCTTAATGGGACAGTTCATCGCGACTCAAAAGTTCGCCGACGACTTTGGTGTATACAGCACAACTAATGGAAAATACATTATCGAAGCGTCGTGGCAGTCAGCATTCCAGTGCAGCGGGCCAATCGGCGCTTTCATCGGTGTGTTCGTCGCAGGTCCCATTACCAGTCACATTGGATATCGATGGGCAACCATTGGCGGTCTCATGTGCTTGAACGGCTTCATCTTCATCTTCTTCTTCGGCAACAGCCAGGGCATGTTCTTCGCCTCCCAGATCCTGGAAGGCATCCCGTGGGGTATTTTCATCGCCAACGCACCTGCCTACTGTGCCGAGATTGTACCAATGAGATTGAGAGCTCCAGCGACGCAGATGTTGCAGATGTTCTGGGCGATTGGAGCCATCATCGTCGGCGGAATCACTTACCACTACCAGTCCAAGAATGACTCGTCCGCGTACAGGTTCGTCCGCTCCTATACATGCCACCAAGGAGCACTGCACTGACATTCATCCCAGAGTTCCCATTGCACTCCAGTGGATCTTCCCTACCCCCCTCGCTATCCTACTCTTCTTTGCGCCTGAATCCCCTTGGTGGCTCGTACGAAAGGGCCGCCTGGCCGAGGCGGAGAAGGCTGTCAGACGCCTCGGACGCGCGACTGCAACCGATAATCCCGCTGCCGCCGTCGCCATGATGCGTCGCACGATTGAACTCGAGAAGACCGAGAAGAAGCCCAGTCTCGTTGAACTGTGGAAGGGCACCGATCGCTATCGCACATTGATCGTGTGCGGTGTGTACGCATCCCAGAATCTGACCGGCAATCTGATTGCCAACCAAGCGGTTTACTTCTTCAAACGTGAGTCCACCCATTTCCTGCAGCCTCATACTAGACTAACACCAGCTCAGAGGCCGGCATGGCGGACAACACCGCATTCGCACTTGGTCTCATCACCTCTGCCCTCCAGTGGATCATGGTCATGCTCTCCTGGGTCCTCACCACCTACCTCGGCCGACGCACCATCTACGTCTATGGTCAATTCATCAACTGTGCATTCCTGATCGCGCTCGGTATTGCGGCGTCAGTTGGCACCAGCAAGGCGGCTAGCAATGCGCAAGCATCCCTTGGCTTGATCGTCTCCGTCCTGTTCTGCTTGGGACCCGCCCCTGCCTCGTGGGTCATCATCGGCGAGACATCTTCCGTCCGTCTCAGACCTCTGACAACCGGTATTGGACGAGGTGCCTACTACTTGGTCAATATTCCTTGCATCTTCCTGGCCAGTTACATGCTCAACACTGATAAGTGGAACCTGGGTGGCAAGAGCGGCTACATCTGGGCTGGTACCGCCTTTGTCTGCACCGTCATGGCTTGGATCTGGGTTCCAGAGATGAAGCACAGGTCCTTCCGTGAGATCGACATTCTGTTCCGCCGTGATGTCCCGGCTCGCAAGTGGAAGCAGACCGTCGTCGATATCCGCGACGACGAGTAGATGGAAATTGCTATGCGGAGCAGTTTGAATGGTACTGTTTGTGCAGGCATGGCTGGTTTCTAAATGAATACTTGCAGGTGATTATTTTCAAGATGAATTGAAGGGTGAGGATCTTGGCGGACTGGACTGCATCCTCTCCTCCCCCTGATCGTTAAGATTTAAGCTTCTGTATATAGTGTTTCCTTATGCTTTATCCATGACCTGCATTGGGTTTCCCTCGTTCTCTCTCCCTGCGTATCTACCTGTCTGTTCTCAGAGACCGCCATCGCGCTGTCCCCTCTTCATTATGTATAATTATCCAGCCACTTTGGCTTCATTCATGAGTATATTTCATCGTATGATATCACAAAAGAAAATCAGAAGCATCTTGCAGTAGGAGTGCCCTGCTAAATACCATCCTCATCCTTTATTATGTATGTACCTTACGGCATGCAGCTTTTGTACGGCTCTCAGTCGGGTGGGGCCGCCCAGACTAGAAACAGACAGACAACACTTTATGGGCACACGACTCAGATCGAGTATGGAATAGGAAGAGCAAAAGTTGAGTGAATCGCACAATCTGTGTCTAAAGAGTGAGCACGAGTCCCATTATCGCATGAGTCAAGATTCCGTGTTCAATATAACGCAAGCCTCCTCGGCTAACAAGTTTGCCATTCGACATCTCTCCTATACTTGTCTGAACGAAAGGCTGAGCCATGATTTTCAGAAAACCAAGTCCATTTGAATTATCCTGAAGTTTATTCTAGGCATATCGAGGCTTATTTATTCTTGCGTAGCTCTTTTAAGGGGTTTTCTTTTGGCGGAGTTTGGTCAGGTCGGCCGTGGCACAATGCTTTCGTGATAGCGTGAATGGTGTTATGCAGTTACTCAACAGTAAATACACAGCTGTAAAAGAGAAAATGGAAAACATCTTAATCGAAAGAATATAATATCTGACTGAAAGATTGGCTATCCTGAAAATCTCTGATATTCAAATTGAATGTCTCAACTTTAAATACGGCAGCAAATCCTATTAGTTGGAGAGTCTGAAAATCCTCGTATGTTGCAAAAGGCTATTCAGCGCGAATTTAGAGAATCTAGAGTGCGGCTCGTGTATGGTTTTTCTGACTGTGTGTCCAGTTTGCTGTAATTTTCATGTCAAATGGGCCCCAGGGTGGGGGGGGAGGTACAAGGCGAGACTGCTCAGATTCCCCTGGTTGTCCTCCTCAACCCTGGACCTACCTAGACCAGATACGACGTATGATCACGGTATATCATGGCAAATAAACTGGTCATAGTAAGGTGCGCCGGGCCAGTGGTCCAGTGGATATTCTTATCCTCTATTCTTACCACCACTAGCCCTGGCAAGGCCCCTTCCGTGTCGTATGGCTAGACTGAAGTGCCGAATGATCTTCGGTCGAAACCTGCGATGATTTTTTGTCGTTTTTTTCCGTCATCTTTCTTTCATGCTAATCCGTCTTTGTGACCACCATCTACCCCTATCCAGTCATGTCCTAGAAAGCTGCCTTTTTGAGGTTATTGTATTCAAAGATCAAGCAGCTAGCAATGATTAAATCGTGAGAAGAGCTGACTCAAATGACAAGGGGGAACAGTTATCAGTCAACGCTGGACTGCGCCATGAATCAGTAGAACATTCCTCCTTCCCCCTCGGCACTGTCATTCAAACGCCATCTGGCTCAGCGATCAAATCAAGATCCATCTCTTCACCCCACTATAAGCCTCCACTGGAGTTTTCTTTGAGTGGGCTGTTGGGAGGGGAGCGGCAGTTGTCCCCCGCAGAATCCGCAAGGCCTCTGTTAGAGAGAACGAAGCTGTGATGTCCGCGTGGTTGTGGAATGTGCGACAACACAACACACGCACTCATGGACATATTCGAAGCGCTCGCTGCACAAACGAGGGAGGTCTGAGCAGGTGTTCGAGCTACCTTGGCGGGAAACGTGCAGAGATGGTTGCTCGCGTGCCTCAACGACGGTATTTGACTTGCTTGCGATACTCTGGCTTCTCCCTACATGTGATACCCATTGCTACCAGATATGTGGTCAATGAGATAAGTAATATAATGGGAGGTGGAAGAGGTGATGAGCGACTGCGTAAATAAGAAGGAGGCAAATGCGAGTGATGTTTAGTTACAAAGAGCGAGGTGAGGAGCAAGTGGGGTTCAGTGTAGAGTGGCTCCAGAGCAGAACCACGCCATCAAGGATTGCGTCCCTTTTCTTCTATATATCGCTCGAGACCTTGAAATGGTCCACTGTGATCCGGGAAGCCTCCTGTAAGTCCGACGCCTGTCGGTTTATGCCTCACTCTTCGACCTCCTTTTCGTAGTATTCAATCGGTTGCTGGCCATCGAGGCCAAGGCCGAGGTAGTTCTGCATATGCAACCGGTTGGGGGCATATGGTGCTAGGCCAAGGATATTCCCAAGGACCTTGAATAAAAGACTCGACAGAATGATCACGATACGGGTCTCAACTCCAAAAATCAGCTTATACGGTCTTTTTTTCTGTGTTCGAGGCTCTTGTTTGTTGTTTTCCATTATGGTGGTGGCTTACTGACTTTCAATGGAGTTGGAGGAAAGAACAAAGGTCATGGGGTGGTTTGCTTAGGGCCAGATTAAAAGCACACCCTCCCCATATAAAAGTGCATGTATAACGTTATCCTTACGATTAGCGCATTTCCAGTATTATATATTACCACACATTCCACCTCATATTTTACTCAATCAAATGGTTTATTTCCATTAGTAAGACCCTGCTTTATTCTTGTGAGAGCTGCACTAATACCTTGAGCAGGAGGAAAGCACTTCCCCGATGTCACTCAAGATGATTGAGAACTCCACTCGGGCCGATGGGCTAAGTGAGCTGTCACTCTCCCATGGGATTGCGAGTCACCATCAACTAGAGTTCCAGCCGTCTTGACACGCAGATCAAAGAATGGCAATACCAGTCATTAGGGTTCAAAATAAATAGTGTTGTGTACCTAACGCAGAGAACATCCTGTAGTATCATTTGGAGTTTGATTATGGTTCAAGAGTTTCATGGCTCAAAGAATGAGACAATGAGAGCCATCGAATCACATTCATTACAAACTTTGAACATGAATCCAATGCTTATTTGATAGTAAACTTCTCACTATATCCGATAGGTCCAGTGCCATGACTGGTCCACGCAACCAACCAAACGTCACTGCGTAAAGCTAGATCAGTATCACCCTTTTCGAAATGAAATCACGAAAGTTCAGATGTACATTCTTACCCTGGCTGAAGATTCACATCTCTTGGTAATTTGACCGTAGCTTTCTCTGGCTCGGCATCAACGAGTTCAATCCATTCAAAAGTTTTGAAGTCTCGAGTAAGAGTGAGACCAATTTTTGGCGTGTCTAGTCTCCATGAGACATCCCAAGTCCGACGAGATTTGATGGTGGGCGTATCGACGACTACCGCAATTACTGCAGGTGCAAAAGCGAAAATAGAGAGCAATGGGAAATGCATCGTTGTATAGCGAGGAACTGGTAAGTCAGAGAAGGACGGATGGTTAGCTGTTAATTGAAGCGGGAGTAGAGGTTGTTCTTATAGTAGTCGTCCTCTAACGAGGAATACCAAAGACCTCGTTCTCATACATGCATCTCCATGAATCATTGCGGGGTAAATACTCATCAAATGGCGAGACATTGTCAAATTGGCTGATTTCATTGTACAAAATAATCAATCGATATGATTCTGCATGTCTTGCGTGATACTCTGTGCATTCTCATCTGCATTGACGCCTCATTAAGATCACGATGATGATGGAGCATGCGTACGTAGAAGGTGTTGACCTATCATTTATGTACAAAGTGTCGGCTGTTTGAACTCGCAATATGATTCTGGTTCTGCTGATTTACAGCATACAGCCCATTATCGAATTTGCAATGGGAATTACTAAAAGAGAAAATGCGTACCTGGTGACATAATTCATTCGGTGCTTCTTTTTGTTAAGAAATATTTTACCTTTAATAACCAGGTTTTCTTCCGGCGAGCAGGAACCTATTCCACTGCCAACTCAAAAAGGGTATACATGCGCTGCAGGGACCAAGCCACTGGTTGCGCCACCAACATGTGACGTGATTAGAAAGCCTGACTGCTTCTCATCGAAGTTGGTGGAAGTATAAACGATAGGGTAGCGTATCTCAGGTCTTACATATACGAAGCCAAGACCGCTTGGCGCATGAAAGCCGGAGAGTCTCGAACTCGCGAGTCCCTGAATACTACGTTTGATCTATTTGGTCTAGGGAATCATCCTTGGGGATTGGTTACCGGCGCTCCATGCTAGTTGGGCGATATAACACCAACATGTACTTAGCTTGAACTGGGGTTTTCGTCATTTCCTTCATTATCTTCAAAAGGCTGAAGAGAATTAAGATCCTCCAATCTAGTATACGTGGGGGATACCGGTAAATGAAACTTATTATGAGGATGTGGGGCAATTTACCTGGACTTCAGAAGTAGCAGTCTCCAGTAGTCTAGATAATTCTGTTTCTTCTTTGTCTCTCGCGCTGCATCATACAGAAATCTATCACTGCAACACCCTCTCACTGGATGGATGGCATTTCTTATGAAATCAAAGTCACGGAAACAATTTATATCGTGGTGAAGTTGGAGAACAGTTGAAAGACTGGCTGCTACGGCCAAGCAGACTTGAAGCCGATAAAGAACTCGAAGTAATTCCAATGCTGCGCGTTGATGCAAAAATGCGCTTCTACTTCCCACAATTGCCATGGTTTAATGTTTTTTTCATTCCAAAGGTTTTAAATATAATACGAACAGGGCTCACCGGTCGCCTCGCTATGCAGCCTAGTCGCTTGCTCTATTCATGATACGTATAGTTTGTCGTAGGAAATCTAGTCTAAAAGTATTAGAATAGAAGCCACATCTTTAAAAAGTATAAACAGAGTTCCTAAATCCCTAAAATTACCCAAGGATTGAAGTAGATGATGAAAAGGACTGAAAGGTGAAAACTTGATATCATATCCCAAGTCGTACGGAGACCTTTGATTGACAGAGACTTATAACCCTCTCATTTACTTCCTTTGGATGTCAGGTTTAGCGTCATAGATAAGGGATCCAAAGCTCAGACCCTTAGAAATTGCGGTATATCAACACCGACATCACGATGAATCACTCACTGAATACAATAAATCGGCATCTACATCGTTTTATTCGTCTATGCCTTCATACCGAAACCTAACTACACCAGATAAAAGACCGACTCCGGATCACTTGATCATTTTTTCCTCTCCTCCAGATGTTCTGGTTATCTAGAACTCAAATTCCACGTTTGAGTGGGGAAAGAGAACAGTATGAGGGGAATTTCAAAAGCAACAGTGACATCGATAACTTCCAACTATATCATTCAAGGGTGTGGCAGAAAATAGGTGATTGGGCATCTGATAGTACAATCTGTGCTGAATCTTTGCGCACTCAGGAATGTCTTCAAAAGATAAGCTCAAATGACACTGGTTTGAGGATGAAGCCTGATACTTAATCTCAGGAACGGGAGTTGAAAAAATTAAATCAAGGCGTGACTTTTGATCCGCGAATGTCTGTACTTGAGAAGCAAAATCACAGAAAGTTCTGCCCTTCTAGGAAGAACTATCAAGAAATACAGATCTAATCCGCGTATATGCACGATGTCCTTGTCGAAGATGCAGGAATTGAGGGGCCTGTTGCGGCCGTGGCTGTGGATACTGCACAGGCCATGGGCGCGAGACGAGCTCCATAGTCTAACTTAGGATTGGGCATCGCACTAGTGAATTTTTGTGCTACTACAAGGCTCGAGGGGCTTGAGCGATAGCGGGAGAAAACAATACATTCAAAAGACGGTTTTTATTTCTTGTTATCACCGAAGACGTTATGATAGTCGACTATGTCTAGCATTATTGTTTCTACTTCCTGCAATTGGGGGCTATTGAGGAACACTTTGACCGGTGATTACAATATACTCGTTCTACTTATGATATGCCATCTATAATCTGTGAAAGTATCAGTGTGGAGGGAGGGGTAAGTTTTGAACTTCCATATACGTATGAATCTAATTAATCATCTCTACAGGACTACTGGAGGAGCCACAGTTGTGGTGCCTTTCGCCGGCTTTGCGCTGAACTCATTGATACAGAAACGTGCATCTCAATTTGGATCTATCCACTCTCATAATGGGTCACATGTATCTTAAGCATCGTCATGTCAACCATCAACTGACAACTCTAATCATACAAATACCGGTGCTATCGCTAGTGAAGTGGTGGGTGGAATGGTCGGACTGCCGCTAATTCTTGCCCTTGTTTTGTACATGATGATCCGTCGTAAGATAGCGTTAATCTTCTCTAGCCTTCTATAGCCTTTCTGTTTTGTTTTCTCTTTCTCCCTCTTCTTGTTTCTTTGAGCTTTCTTGACATTGTTAAAATATCGTGGTGAGACACTAGTTTCGAGAGCCTAGCAAAGGAGATGTGACCCAAAAAGCCTACTGCCACTGTCATTTGGCAGTCATGCTCTCACATCATAGTGAGTGTGTACTGCCACTGACTCCCTAGCCAACAACGCTGCACACCTGCGTAGGCACCCAAGAAGCTTATTGCATAGATCAGTGACTGTTCAACTGGCCCGGCAAAGATTCGGTTCTCCGTTATTTAATCGCTAGAACAAAAGATGCAAACTTTGACCCATCGGAAACTTCCCGAAAAGGTCCGTTCGATTGATAAGGGGCCAGCTACGTGTAGTGATTGGCCGGTGATGTTGAAAATTACCAGGCAGAAGCTTTCGGGACCCACCTGTAATTATCTGATCAAAATTGGCTTTTCACTTGGCGTTCTTAGCTTGCTTAATTATCTCAAACCCCGAAAATTCTTCAAATACCGGATTTTATGATTCGTTCCCGAGCAGCCACAGTGGTTGAGTATCATCAAGGTTCCAGGGTACACTACCCAAGTTTGGTAAGAGACGAACCGGGGGGCGATTTCCCTGAGAGGGTCGTCCTCTTACGGAGTAGTCACAACTCTTTTGCGCCGTTTTCGCATTCAAGTGAGACCCTTTTCTTCCATGCCGTTCCGTTTCACCAATTGGAGTTCTCCGGTATCCCACGTGTATTATCTAGGTTGCATCTGATAAAGATCGGCGAAGAGATAGAATCTCCGCCGAACGGCCAAGAATCAACGGACATGCATGGAACCTATTCAGTTTTAGAATGCTCCGCTTTCGTCGGGAACCATGTCCTCCGGGGCTTACTATCATACTGCTGTGTCATCAGTATGTCTGGAAAGGTTGTGATGAGCACTTTCTTGAATAGCAGTATCTCTGTGGGCATAACGCTAATAGATACGAGAGAGGGAGAGATCAATAAGAATCAGTAAGAAATACCCTGTCTTTTTCAAGTACTAGTTGCATGATGTTTACTGACAGGTGTTGGAAAAGGTTGGGCGTTATCTCCGTGTTTTGTTGGCCATAAATACAGTGGTAATTCTACGGTAAACAAAGAAAAGCCCATTTCGTCACCGGGAAGAATTTTAAAACCTTATCTGATTGATTAGATCAATTTTGACTTTTCTTTGTGCCCTCAACCTGAATAGTCCCTCTATCACGCGACAGTCGCATTCTATAGAAGCTGTAGTCTTCAGTTGACAGATTTGGTTTCTTCTCTTCCTTGGATGTCTAAATTCCCTTATCTCGCTAGTCGCCCTGCAGGTGGAAAAGATACGCGGTCTGTGTCAAACCAAATGGATCTTCGCGGTTTTTGCCAAGCAGCCTAGGCGTAGGATCCACGTCCACCCGATTACATCGGCCGAAGAATGCCCTGCGTCCCGGCTTCTTTTCCTACTTGGGCGTGAGAATGGACCCTGCGGGTACGTCACGACGAAGTCGATGTCCATTTCTCCCACTAATATCGGGAAATATCCGAATCCATGTCCTTGAGACAGTGGGGTCATCGAGGCAGTGGGCTTTTACCCTTGGCATGGGTAGTTCTCGGGCAAATTTCCAATGGAAGGATGTTCATTAATGATTGCTTCCCCCAATTGGGCTGCGATTATCCTGAAACTTTTCCTCTATACTTGAACTTTGAGACTGCTTGCCAAAATTCCGATGAGTGAGTCCAAGGCTGAAAAGGCCGCTGCAAAGGCTCTGGCAAAGGCACTGCGTCTTTCTCACAATATATGGAGCAACAAGTACTTTGCCATCGCCATTGGTGCGATTATGGCTCTTTTCGTTGTATTTCACTGGTCGATGGTGATCTACTTTCATTATGGTCCCAGAAACAGTCATCCTACGTTGGCTCGCAAGTATAGGTAAGTTGTAGTCGTTTATTAAATGCATCAAACACGATGCTGATGATCTTTTCGCAGGGAAGCCCGACGCGTTCTCTCTAGTTCAACCGTCGGCCTGAGAACAGATCGGTCTATTCTATACATCATCTACTGGTCTATCAACCTGATTCTTACTGTAACCAACGTTGACCTTACACTGCTCACCGATGTGAGTTGAACTCATACATTCTCTCATGGTGGTATAAACTTTCGCTGACAGCTCTCCAGGTTGGCAAACGGCTCGGTTGGTCCGTACAGCTCTTTAAAATTTTCCAAACTTATGACCGAGAAACTTACCCAGATTAAATAACAGGATCTCGATCGCAAACCTGGTGCTATTGGTTTTCTTGGCGTTGAAAAACACACCGCTTGCACCATTGGCCGCCACATCCTATGAAAAGCTTCGCCCGCTCCACAAGGTGGCCGGTTACACCTGCATATTCACAAGCTGCGTGCATGCTGCAGTGTACCTAAGTGCCTGGTCACTGAAGGGTAATCTTGGAGACATGGCCGAAGCCGCAAATTTCTCTGGTGCCATTGCAGGCACGGCGATGGTCATTATCGGCATATCTACAATTACCTACTTCATGCACGGCTACTATGAGAGTCAGTATCTTGTCCAGAAACACGCAACCGTTGCTAATGAAACATAGTCTTCTACCTACTACATGTCGTCATGTTCATCTTGATCATGATCACAGTTGGAATGCACCGTCCAAAATTCTCGACCTCAACGCTGATCATCGTGATCTTTACTGCCAGCCTTTGGACGCTGGATCGTATAATCCGCGGCGCAAAGTTGGCTTGGAATTTCTTTGGAAACCATGCAACTATCACTGCGTTGCCCGACAAAGCGCTTCGAGTGAAACTCAGTCGCCGCTTGAATTGTACTGCTGGATCTCATGCATTCTTGTGGGTGCCCGCCATCCGGTGGACTGAAAGTCACCCGTTTACTCTATTGTCACCGAACCCGACCGAGTTTGTCATTCGAGTATACGATGGCTTTACAAGGGACTTGTACAAGATCGCCCAACAGACGCCAGGGAAAGCTTTGCGTTGCTCCGTAGACGGTGGATATGGCCAAGTTCCCAATTTCAAGGTATTTGACAGGGTTCTGCTTGTTGCTGGTGGCAGTGGTGCTAGTTTCACCTTTGCAATTGCACTAGATCTAATTCAAACATCAACGAAATCGGTCAAGGCCATTGACTTCATTTGGATAGTGAGGGAAACTGGTATGTCTTCCAGCGGCGATGAGTATCTCTTTCTTGCTTTTCAATGGCTAACATTACCCGATAGACTCACTTGAATGGTTCTCTCAAGAGGTCAAGCAGCTTGAGAGCCACCCGAGTGTCAATGTACTCATTCACGTCACCCGCGCAACTGACTTGTCTGGTGCATCCTTGTCCAACACACCGGAATCTTATTCTGAAAAGTCCTCGGTGAAAGACAGCAGTCTACCAATAGAGCCTTCTCCACAGCCATCTCCAATACATGACATTGAGAAGAGTGCGGTGGAACTGACTACAAAGACCACGCCATCTATAAATGAGATCCGGCCGGGAAGGCCCAATATTGGAAAAGTTATCGCAGATGCGGTCGCTTCAAGCAAAACCGACGACCGCATCATTATCGGCGCTTGCGGTCCTAGTCAACTGATGAGTGCGCTTCGTGAAGCGGCTTTCTGTGATTCGTACCACGACGGACCTTCGTTGACACTGTACACTGAGGTAAGTCTACAAAATTACTGCAAAGTCAAATTTCTCCCGCTAACATCTATCCCCAGGAGTTCCAATGGTGATGAGATTTCAAGCATCTGATCTAAAATGTTGTTAAATTGGCACAGTGGATGTAGTAGGCTATTTAGCTGCTATAGTATGAATTATGATCCTTATAAATGTTGAAACATGCAAGAATTTGCCTCAAATGGTGAGAATGCCTTCTAAATTAGAACCTTCTCTTACGAGCAATCTATTTTACCCTCGAATTGAACTAAAAAAAGCGTTGACAGAAACGGTACAACCACTTTGTTTAGAACAAGTCAGAAGAACTGCAAAAAATAACGCCCCTTATAAGCAAACTTCTATTATTCAACTTAGCCGTCGTCTGACTAGACGATCAAATTTCCTTAGAAGCTGATACCAGAGCACTTCTTTTCCAGAATGAAGTCCTCCTAGTATGGAAGTCTCTAGAAAATATAAGATCCTTACCCTTCAAGGCTATTAGGTCACGTTAAGCAATTGACAGCAGAATTTAGGACTTGATCATCTAAGTAAGTAGTACTTGGCACCGTTTTCACTCTATCCGATCAGCAACATCACCAGTCCAACGTATCCCTTTATTTGCATGTGTAGGATGAAGCCTTGTCGGGATTGCCTTTTGAATAAGTCAAAACATGTGGATAAGGGCACAACCGTGCCGTCCTGGTGGATAGATCGGCGCTCCCAGTAGCTGTAGGTGTCGCAAGGGCAAGCAACGTGTCAGGGGCCTTTCCATGCTCCACCCAATTAACCAATGCCTTGAGTCCATCACCAGGGAACGGTCCGGGTCCTCCACTGCAATGTTCCACGCCGGGAGCAGCAAAGAAACGATAGTAATCAGCAACTTTGGGGTCGACAGCTCGAACCCGGTCGTAGTAGTCCACTGTGCCATTATACATGGCATATGGGTCTTTCATGCCGTGCCAGGTAATCATTTTGTTTCCGGATTGCTTGAACGCGGAGAGGTTGGGGTCTCGAGTTCCAATGACGGTTTGGAACTCCGTCACGGAGGTATGGAAGAGTTGTCGGAATTCTTCGAGGCTGATTGTGGATATATCACGAGCTGCATTCTTCGACAAGAATGTTGCGAGCCAGTCGGTCGAGAGGAAGAAAGGAGCAGGCACACAGTCATGCAACGAAGAACAGCTCGTTCCACCAATGCCTGTAAGTGGCGCATCGTGGGTCAGACCATACCAGAGTGACGATCCGTCCGAATCTGTCGGGCCTGCCCAAACAGCTGCTGCAAACTGCGCACTTTTATTAGATAATGTGATTGTACCGTTAGGGTTTGTACAGCTGATTTTCTTCCCGACAAGTGTGAAAGGATCAAATCGACAGAGTCCTGGCAGAGACACAATACCATCTTCGACGCCATCCAGCTTGTCACACGATTTGATAGCAAAGTTTGTGATAGCATCCAGTTCACATGGCGATGGATAATAGTCTAGGAAATGAAAATTTAGTGTCTGTCACTGATTTCGACCATTTTAACCTCCGACTTACCCATCTTGTGCATCAACAATGGAGGCCAATACTGAGCGGGAATAAACTCATCCCAGTTGATAGCAGGAGATCCAGCCAAAATCCCGTCATACTGCGCTGGAAACTTTTGAGCCAGCATATGGCCTTGGCGGCCGCCGGTAGAGCAACCGTTGAAGTAAGAATATTTTGGAAGAGATCCATAGAACAACTTCGACGCAGCTTTTCCAAGTGAAGACGCCTCATCCAGAGTAGTGGAACTAAAGTCTTCAATAAGAAGCCAGTTTAAATCACCACCTTCGAGTGCCCATGAGTCAACACTAGCTGCAGCTGAGTGACCGCCATCGGTGGAGGCTGCAGAGTAGCCCTCGAATACAGGCTGAGCGAGTGAACTAGCCGTACCGGTCACCCAGCCACTACCACCCATCCCTACAAACCGGCCATTCCAGGAGTTGATGGGAAGCCAGACCCACGTATTGATTGTATCATTTTGGCCGACGTGGGCATAGGTGATAGTCAGTTGGCAGACATCCACAGTCCCGGCCTTGGTGCTTGGGAATGCGTTGACTAAATCGCTTGATGATGGCCAAGCCGTCTGAGCGACAACAGAATCGATGGAGAGAATCTTGATATCAGGCAGAGTGAGGCCTTCAAAGGTGGCACTGGTGCATGCTTTTGTGGCAATTTTCGCCGTGGCACCCGTAGCTGAACCCAATGCCGCAAGCAGCAGTGCCAACACAGAGGAGGTATAAGGGCGACCTAACATCTTGGCGATGAGAGCTAGCGGTGAAACCGAAAATTCTCAACTGGAACACATCTGGTAGACTTTCATGACTGGGAAATTTCTCCATTTTATAGCTGACTCGCTCGACTTCAATTAACTTTGCAGATATTCGGCCGATCCAAAATTATCCAGCTTACTGCGTTGATGTTGCTTGGCCCGTCCCGCTATCATCTCCAGTACTCTGACTGTGCCTTCATATATGATCGCTAGTATTAAGTTCGGATAATCTTCGATCGCTGATTGGTCATGAACAGGCCCTGATGCGCACCCCTGTCTCGGCACCAGTAACTTGACAGTCCCTGCACTCTATTCACATAAGATCGAGGGGCACAATGATGGACCCCATTCTCCCTATTCGGTCTAGCAGAGATGCTCTCCGCCACTATGGGTTACCCAACGAAATAGTCACTTTTTACTCAGACTGGGTTTATAACTACACTTGCTGATAAATGGTTTTACACTCACATCCTTTAGTTACGCAAATGGTAAATAGCAATCCAGTTGAATATTGAGAGAAAAGGGATCAAAGAAATGCAAATCAGTACCACTCGACCTGGCGTGCCAAGAAGTCAGCACTAGAGTCAAAATGGATCAAACTGGATATAACCGAACCCGACTTCCAAGGTTGTCTTCACATGGTTTTCCCCAAAGCAGTTCTCTACAAAGATGTTCAATGCTTGATAGACCAGCCTTGTCAACCTGAAGTCGGGCATAACGGAGAAAGAGGCTCCTGCGTGAGATCGATGTCCAATACTAGCACGCTAAGAGTTTGATGTTACCTTGATTAAGTCAGAAGGTCCGAGACCCTGGTTGCTTCGAACAATATGCAGTGACAATTGGCTTCTATTTATTTGAACCACATATTTTGTCACTTAACGCCATTAAATCTCTTAATCATTGGTGATGCAAGGCACGCCTTGCATCTTTTGTATCGCTGGACTCCTCGCTGTCAGCCCATCGGGTCAGTCTTTCCAGCAGAATTCTTTGCGCCCCCATTTCAATAACTACCCACGTGCCTCAGTCACTCTGAGACAGATATCAGTTTTGAATGATCTCGAGAGAAGAAGGCTCCATATTACATCGAGATGTCGATTAAGAAATTCAAGAGGCAAATCCCCTTCGTTCATGACCACCGAGAGGGCTTCGTGGACCACCGAGAGGGCTTCGTGCAATCCTCTCCAGGTTTAATCTATCAAGCACGACTCACGACTTGACAGCTTCAGTCGTTGAGCTTTAAAAGCGCAGCCACCTTAACCCAACCAGGCGACGGTTGCAGGCGCCCAACGAAGTCAAGTGTTTCTAGATGACTTCTATGTCTCTATACCCAAGCAGAGATCTTCGAATTTGAATTTGACTTGCATCAAGCAAAGACGATTTCTTCGCCGGAATCCAAACGGCCGAATTTGCGACTGTCGAGCTTCTTTCCTCAATCAGAGTCAAGAGGATATCAAGTGTCACATTTGTTAGCGCTGACTGATTTTCAAGAGTTCAATTGCAACATGTCTTCTGCCCTAGTATTGATCTTTGAGAAGCCTTACTACAGCTTCATGGAGCTCCTTTGACCAAGTGTTACGACCTAGTAGGATTTTGGACACGTAATACGAGACAGAATCGCCATAAAAAAGGGCAGCGCAAAGTTTGGAATCTTTGATTGGATACTTGACAGCTTTATTTGATTCGAAAATCAAGCTTGCTAGTACTCCCAGCGCTGTGAAGCTCTGTAAGAAATGGATGGCTCTAAGTCTCACTCTATACTTGCCAGGTAGCACCTAGCGAGGGCTCGGTACTGACGTTAGAGGCTTCCGGTGGGCTTCTCTCCTTACTCTCCTGTCCTCAGGCTTAAATCCCCAAATCCTAGGGCTTGCCAAATCTTGCAGCAAGGGCCAATATCCGAAAGCTCACACTCGCAAGCTCCTGCAGCGGCCTTGTAGTATGAGTAGGCTGATCATGAGTCCCCATACTCGTCCCATTATTCCATCCGGGGTAGGTTGCTGTGAAGCCAGCATTGACATTGCATTGCCAATAACTGATTACTATTTAGTCTACATTAGCCCTAAGCCCGTTTTTCGACGACGTGAACAGCCGCTGTTTGTTTCACGGCTTTGGCGGATAATTCGCCGCATCCGCATTTCCGCGGGACAATACGCGCAGCGACTGAGGAAAGAGGACCAATGGGCGATATAAACAACCGTGATGGTTTTGTGGATGGATGTATAAAATGTATTGTGCTTGTAACACCCTTGCAGAGAAAGCTGGCATCTCGCATGTCCCAGATCACTTGTTCTTGCGTTTTTCTCGTCCCTTAACTTCTTCAAAGCGATGCTCGCTGAAGTGCTTAGGCCAATCTCGTTCGAATAGCTTGTACGTCGCTCTTGGATGGAAACATTATTTTGAAACTCAAATAAGAACCATGAAACTCTCTCAGTGCCGGTGTTGGAGAAGATTGATGGAGGTGAATCAAAAAGCAGTCTCTTCAATGGCGGTGATTATGATTTTTTCCCTCATCTTCAATATTTCACGGAGACTGATATCGTTATAACGAAGACGCAAGTGGAGGCTATGGGGAACTACCAGAGGATTATCAGGATTCCGAGGGGCTTCCTGGGTCGTTGGGGTACTACAGTATCATGCAACCAACAAAAATTCATGGCCTATTTGAATCTCCAAGGCACCCCCAGAATAGCAAAAAGAAAACAAAAAACATACAACAGTAAGGATTCGCTAGTGGTCACCCACCTAACTACTAACTTACCGGCGTGTGGCTTAAGTACGGCTGAGCGGACGGGAAGCCCTGTTCTCCACACCCTGTGGTCGTATGTACTTGTTTTACAATTCAAAAGAAATATATAGAATAACAATAAGGTCAAAGTACGCTTCCAATGTGAATTGCCGGGTAAGAATCACCGAGGCCGCGCGACTACTGCACTGACCCCCTCGGCAGTCCAATAGTAGAGCATTCCTGCAGTATAGTCCTTCTTCATTCCCCTTTGGTCTCTTGGCTTCTGCACAAAGCTACAATTAGAAGCAGTCCCATGAACGACCAGAACCTGCTTATAACGTAACCCATTGTGGACCTCGGGGACTCTTCTTATCGTCAACTGGCGCTGCGATTGGTCGGCTTTACCCCTGCAGATTGGGCAGACGGCCACTAGTGCGATATTTCTAACGACATGGAATGGATCGAGAGATATATCCTATGTCCTTCTCTCATGAGGGAGAGAGTGGAAGGTTGGAGGTGTTTCGACTCTCATAAATCATGTGAGGTGGAGTTCATTTCCAGTCGAATTCGGTGGTTTTTCATTGGTGTATTCCGAAGGACACTGCACGATGGATCAAAACCCGACAGTCTGGATACAAACCCCTCTGTGTTGAGCTGACAAGCGAGCCGTTTTTTAAGGGGGGAAGAATATCTTCATTCAGCCCAGAAACTCTCAGGCATCTCATTCTCTCATTCTTTCACCATGGTTTCTTCCGAATCCCAGCCGTCGGCGCCATCCGAACCCGCCCCATCTGTACCAGCCGACGCTGGCTCCCCGGTCACCGCGCCCATTGTGGTCGATAACTTTAGCAGTGTAGGTATCTCGCCGGACTCATCGTGACATGGTAATTAACTCGCGGTGTAGGACAGCAACAGCGAATTCGACAATGAGCTGTCCGATCTCACATCCCTGTCGTCCAGTGTCCTCGAGTTTGAGTATGAAAATGGTCGGCGGTATTGCAGTACCCGCTCAGTAAGTGATTGTGTCCATATGCTCTACGCACTACGTGGCAATGGCCAGCTGACCTCCTACTAGGGAAGTTATATGTACTTTTCTACGCTCATTTAGAGGCTCATGGCTGGCAATACTGACCACGTTAGGATGCCGAACGATGAGGAGGAACAGGATCGAATGGATATCGTAAGACACCAGATCCCGAGGGACTTTTCTTATGCACGCACTGACCCGGCCTCCAGACACATCATATGTTCGTGAAAGCAACACGTTCCCGGTGCACGAGAGTGACTAACCAGAGTGGTGCAGATGGCTGATGCTGTTGGGAGGCGAGCTCTACAATGCTCCTGTCGCAAAATCAGCCCAGAACATTCTTGACTTGGGAACCGGAACAGGCATTTGGCCTTTAGACATGGCCGAGTACATGAAATCTTCCACCCCTCCATCTTTGCATACCAGCAAGACTGACCCCGGATAACAGGAAATTCCCCAATGCCCACATCATTGGGAACGACATCAGTCCGATTCAGCCGAGCTGGGTAGCCCCAAATATCGAGTTCATCATGGAAGATTTCGAAAACGAATGGTTGTATGAGGAAAATCACTTTGACTTTATCCATGCACGATGCCTGGCAGGGTATGTTCCTGCGACCGCGTCCCCTATCGCAATGCGATCGACACTCTAACATACCGCACAGATGCGTAGCCGACTGGCCCGGTTTCATCCGCCGGATTTTCGACCACGTCAAACCCGGCGGCTACTTTGAATCACACGAGAGTGCTGTGTGGGCCCGTAGCGACGACGGTTCCCTCAAAGCAGACTCCGCACTCATGGAATGGCAGCAGGCCATTAACTTTGCCGGCGAACAGACCGGCCGCGACCTGAACATCTACCATAAGCTCAAGGACTGGATGATTGCAGCCGGCTTTGAGGACGTGACCTTGCAAGTCTACGCGCTGCCGTTCTCACCCTGGCCGCGCGATCCCCACCTGAAGGCTCTGGGGAAGTACCAGGCAGTGCAGTTGCAGCAGGCTATCGATTCTTATTCACTGCGCTTGTACACACAGGTGCTAGGCTGGAGTTCTGAAGTAGCCAAAATTCACAATGCTGTGGTCAAGCGGGAGCTACGGGATAAAAAGTTACACGCTTATGTTCAAACGTACAGTTTAACCCACTCCCTTTGATAGCCTGGTTGCTCGTACTAACTATCAACAGAGTCGCTGTGCATGGAAGAAAGCCTCTTCGCTTCTAATTTTTGTTTATTTGTTTTTTTTTTTTTTTGAAATACCATATTAACGACCGCTCAATGTGCCTCCGGTTTTGAACGTATCTGGCTTCCTTTGTGCTCCAGGAGGTCGTCACATAGCTGCAGTTAGCTTACTACCAGTGCTTCATAGCTGCGCGACTAATCAGTCTATTCACTTGCTGTTTCCGTGACGCGTAGAAACCTTTTGATTGTGCCTTTCAGCAGCACAAGACAGTCAATCACTAAATCACTCATGAAATACCCTCTCCCCGTAAGTCGGATTCCGGTTACCGAGGGCAGTCGGGGCCAAGCATTTCAAGCGCTTTAAGCAAGCCAAGCCTCTCTCCCTTCCCCCGCTTGTTCGGCGATCCAGCACTGCGCATTCACACGTCCCTCGCAATCCTATCGAAATGCTTCCAAGGTGATTATATGCACGCTGCAAGCCCCGCCAAGCCTATTTATTTCTCCTGGCACGCTTCATCTTCCCTAAGGATCTCTATCCACCATGCTGCACTCCAAGACGCGTCTTTCTCTTCCATTATGGGCATGCCTGATAGCCATATGCCTTCCGCCTTGAGTGCGGAGACTATAACCATGTTGATTCTGTTACAATATCTCCCTACATCAAGCTCCATCGAGCCCTTTCCATCCATCTCATGCATTTGTTTCAACAGAACGGGTCCAAGCTCGAGCAAACATAGACGGCACTATTTCACTCGTAATTTTGCAACGAGGAAACTACTTCTCGCTATATTTTGCTTGTAGCATGTGTAAAGACATGCTGACGTATTGTGTTACGTTGCGGACGTGCAGAACCCAAAGCCAGGAGTGCTGCTACCTGATATAACTATAAGCTTTCTATTTACTCTATCTGAGGTGGGTTATGATAGATCCCAACCACGCCTTATCCGCCAAAGCTTTTCCAAAAAAGCCTATCTAGTGCAAGATTCTAAGCTGTGCCCATGAGATATGATACAGACATCCTGCAACCTATCACACCTGCTCTACAAATTTCTCTCTCACTTTGCCGTCGCTGGCATTGGACTCCTCAATCGCACAACGAAATTCCGCCTCGTCTTCCTGCAACTGAAGCATGATTTTACCATGCGCTTGCCGAACAGGTTTCACTTCGAACAACCGATCCATACGCTCCAAGGGTACACCCTTTGTCTCCGGTATCAAAAAGAAAACAAACGGAATAGAGCAGAGCATTAAGGCTGCGAACAAGAAGTAGACCCCGTATCCCATTTGAGCAAACATCTGTGGGGTGAAACGCGAAATAACAAAGTTCCACAACCAGTTGCTGGAAGAAGCAACCGCCTGTGCCAAAGATCGCATATTTGGGGGAAACATTTCCGCATTCAAAACCCACGGGGTGCCATTCCAAGTAGGAGAGAAAGTGACGGTGTATATGTAAAAGAAAACAATTGCCATGATACCGGCACCATCGACCTTGGCACTGGGGTTCTGTTCGGGGTCTTGGATTTTGATATATCCGCCAATGATCCACATACAGATAGAACCCCCAATAGATCCTGCGATCAGCAGCTTCCGACGGCCCAGGTGGTCAATAAGGAAGAGCAACCAGAGGAAACTGACGATGGTCTTGACGACGCCAAAAATGCCAGACATCATCTGATTCAGAGAGCCGGTAATTCCAAGACTTTTGAAGACTGTAGGGCTGTAGTAGTTGATAGCATTTATACCCGAGCAGTTCTGCCAGAAGAAGAGCATGAAACCGAGAAATAGGCGCCACATCACCTTGGGATTGGTGGCGGCCGCCTTGAAGGGACTGAAGAAGCTGTTTCCAATACAACCAGTCTGCTCATCAAGGGCCTGGTCAATGGTAGCTATTTCTTCCACAATATAGAGATCAGTTTGAGGAAGTTGGCGGACCCAGCAGAGATTCTCAATGGCTTCATCGCGACGCCCACGACTGAATAACCAACGGGGAGATTCCCGAATGAACAAGGCACCGATGAGAAGGAGACCAGAGGGAATGAGCTGAACAGCAAACGGTATGAGCCATTGCTTGTTGCTTTCAGGGAGGGTCTGCGAAACACCATACTAGAAACACGTCAATAATGCCCCCGGGCAACCCATCGAGGGTAGACTTACATTGATCCAGAACCCAACCAAACCCCCAATCTGCCATCCCAGTTCATAGAGACCAACTAGTCGGCCACGGATCGCCGGAGGCGACAACTCTGAAATATAAATTGGCGTCAAATTCGATCCCGCTCCCACGCCGAGGCCAGCCAGGACGCGACCAGCATACATGACACCCAACCCCCGATCCCCATTCGCTGCCAACATAATTCCAGCACCGACCGTGAAGATTATTCCAGTGATCCACAGACCCCATTTCCGACCACAGAAAAAGCCAATGGGGTATGCTATCAACGCACCGAAGAAGGCACCAGCCTGGTAAAGGGAGACAATGTTGCCCGTGACAAGGTTTTGTTTGGCCACAGACCAGTCCTGGAAATGGAATTCATCGCGGAAGGATTGCAATTCGACAGTCTGGCCAATGAAGGCACTGTCATAACCGATCATGCAAGAGGCGCATGAAGCCACGGCCGCAAGTAGGTAAATGCGCCAGTTGTAGACTTGTGGGGGAGTCGGCCGGTCCTCAATAACAGCGAGAATAGACATTTTGACTTGTAGTAAACCACATAGAAAGATTCTGTAGATTTACCCCAGATATACCCCAGATATACTCTGGGATCGAGCATTGCTGATGTCATCCGGTCACTTAATTTGCGTGCCGGAGCCTTGGAATCCCCCAGATCTACATCACTGAACCAATCACGTTCATAGTGACTCCGGTCCAAAATAGTGGGATTGAAAACACTGCAAGAGCTCATATCAATGCTTCCTCCTGTCCTTTCTCTGTGTTCATAAATATCACAGGTCTATCAATTGCGTATCCAGTCAGGCTTATACAAACAATAGAACACAAAGCCCAACCAAAACTCTAGGAGGTTCAATTTTAAAATTTAGACATTACCATGAACGGGAGAAATATAGTCGCGATGATTATGAGAAGGATCCATGATTCATACTGACTCGTGGGTAAGTTATATCTGGACGTGACGGGGTTTATCCATTACGATCATCCCCTTATATACAAATTCGTAACCACGTATGTCCGAAAGAGGGACGCTAACTTGAAAACTCCTTGTATGTACTAACAAGTGAAGCAAACTCTAAACATCTGGTGAGAAAAGCTCCGTGTTCTCCGACTGAGATTTCCTAGAAGAGCGTCGCTTCTTCAACGGCTGAGAAAGAACCCTCGATGGGTGGAAAATGCCCATGGCAACCATTGCGAAGAACATCAACGTAGCATCAAATACATACATGAACACCTCGTGGCTGATAAGGTATCCATCGTTGCCTTGAGCATACTCAATCAATCGGAAAATTGACCTAATGAGAATAAGAATGCTGGCCACATACAGCCCGGTCATGACGACTTCCCATGTGGCTGAACTCGATCGGCAAAGGGATTTTTCGGTAGGGAACTTTCGAATCCGGTAGTGAAAAATAGATGAAGCGACAATAAAGACAGTGAAGAACACTAACTGCACGGCAAGACCGCCAATTGTGATATGCTCGCCAGTGGTCATTGCGCTAGGAGTTCCGCTTGCCATAATTCCGCCGCCTATATTCGTCATTAGCGTAGATCAGAGGTGGATATTGACAGAAAGATTATTTTTACCTGATGCTTGCATCAAAAACGCAATCACGTCGCCCGTAACGAAGATTGCAGTGAGCCATTTGACTGGCACGACACTCAAGTTCTCGGCATCCAAATGTCTAATGAGTCGACCCAGAGTCATGTATATCGAAGCCGCATATAGGGGAGGAGCAAGTAGAATCATGATCGTGCTGATTGAGTATAAAGGGATATTCTCTTTGTCGTTGTGGGCGAGTGCGCGGCAAATGTAACCTATGATTTGAACTATGATATCGGTTAGCTCTACTCTGGGCTCCTGTAAAGACTGATTCAAAGTTGCAACGCCTTGGATGAAACGTTTTGCTACTCACAGGCTCCTCCGACAACGAAGATAGTAAAGTACCGAGATCTGGTACTAATGACTTGGTAAAGATGATAGACAGTCGCAAGCACAAATAGGATAATGAAGATTATTGCTGCCACTAGAGAGGGTGTATAGCGGTAGAGCTCAAAGCTCACCGATTGAGTCTCACTTGCACTCATCTTGTATCGGTGTCGAGTTCGGAATGGTTGACTTCAAAGTGGCTCGGTATACTTTGAGAGATCTGGTGGAGGATTGGAACTATGCAAAGAGGCTTGTAAATGATCGAAAGTCTGTGAATCAGTACTACATGAGCGCGACTGCTCTGTTTTTAAATAGGGTATTTTCCAAAAATCGTACTCGCATCTGGGGCAACTAAAGAATTCTATTCACAGATTGTATCCGCGGTACCAACTTGAAGTGATTGGTGTTGATAGACCCACCCGTATTCGCTTTCTCGGTTTAGCCGATGTCCCAGTTTGGTTGCCTAAGTGCCCTTGGCATCTTTCTCTCCTTCTCATAGATCGGTCCTATGGAACTCATTTTTCATTTCCACGTAAAGAGCCGCAGGGTTTCATCTTTATCTTCGGTAGCCTGTGCATTCTGTCTTCGGCCCCGGGAATTAACAACTTCGCTGAGAATGACTTTTCCTTTATCCATTGACATTATTCTCTATAGCTGGCACTCTTTCGCCAAAGACAATAGTTATCTTTTACTTCTAGGTGCTGCCAGGTATTTTTGAATGGTTGATTGATATAATTTGCTAATTATGCTCTCTTCACGTGTCAATACATGTGTTAAGCGGCATTAGCGACATAATCGATTCTTCACTGTTCCTAAACATAATGTTTAAGATATGCTGTTAAGTGGCAAGTTCATAACTTCGTTAGGCCACAACATGAATGTTGATAGTTTGCTCTCGTTCAGTGAACCAACAAGTGCATTGAGTCCCAGTATCTCGATTTGAAAGGAGCCCTTGAGATGCCAGGCATCGATCAGCGTGTTTATCAGATAAAAGTGAGCAAGGATGACAAGTGAAAGCCCATGAAGACAGTTATGCTCACTTCTTTCAAGCGACTCCAAGAAGGCACTGGGGAGCAAATCCGGCCAGGACAAAATAGCTGCCTCTTCAAAATCCAACTGGATCTCTTTATCCGTGGAATTTTCAGTGGCTGCAAACTGCAACGTAGATGTAATACGTGAGTAAAAGGTCTCCAGGATGCGTATTGTCTCAACGTGCACGTCCATAGCCACGTCCAAACTTGTAGACGGTGAAGGTTGAGATGCTGGTGTGCCTGAGCAGCTAGATCTGTCATCCGAAGCGGATTCGATCGCATTCAAAGATTCTCTGATGGAGACGATTGCTTGATGAGCTCCTTCGTAAAATTTAATTAAGCGAGGTGAGCAACGAGACAGTCGAGATGGTACATCAAATGATGAGACCGCCCAAGCTTCATCGTTATGTGATGACATTAGCATCTGTCGGAGCCGGCCGGTTTTCAAGACAGGCCATTGATCACGAATCACGGAAACCACTCCTCGATTAAGGTATAGCCAATTAAGGCGTAGATTCTTATTTGTTAAGGGATTGGCCAGGTTACTGCAAAGGTCTTCCGTCGTTCCAGTCTGGAAGTTGAAGTCCTGGATCCGGAGGAATGCAAAAGCAAATCCAACAAGAATCAAAGACCCTGCGAACACAAATTCGGCGTTGGAGGGAGAGGTGCGGGACACTTCTTCTCTAAAGCCTTCCAATCCCCTCTGATGGTGTTCCATTACTACAGCCAAGTCCATCGCATCTGAATCTTCAGGGATGGGCGTGTTTGCATCTGCCTTCTGTTTGATCATGTGAATGCCTCCAAGTGCTAAGAGCAGATGCATCAGGTATGGACTTTGGCTCCCCAGTTCGGGGATGATCCTCTCCCAAACCTGGGATCTCCTCTGAGCCAACGCCATGTTTCTTGCCGTATGAAGGTGGTAGAATTGAAGTAGCCTTAGGTCATTCATCTCTAAACCTCCATGTCGGTGTTGAGAAAATTGGTCCGACATTGCCGATACTGTAGGATTTATTGATAAGGGCTGAAGGTCGCCGCTCAAGGAACTTTCGTCAGGAGGTTCGAGAAGATCCGGTAGCCCATGGTGCTTGGTTTGATCTGGTTTTGATCTTGAAGATCTCTTTGCAGGCACGCGTTGGGGAGGGTAGGAGCAAGGTTCGCCTCTGGAAGAACATGTACCACACACGGGTTGAAGCTCGTCGCACTTACAAAATGAGCAACAGGTAACAAGGTCAACAGGTTCAGGTAAAAGTAATCTCACCTTGATTCGTCTGAGTTTGCAAGGGTAGCAGCCATTGCGAGACTTGGTGTGACGGGCGCGATGTCTTCTCACAACACGTTGGTTGTCTGCTGTGTCAGAATGTGAAAAAAATAGTGTTTCTTCGTCCATTTCTCGGCTGATGGGAATATATGGGGATGTAAGAGAATATCCACCATAGTTGCAGACATTTGCGCAAAATTGTAGCCTGTCTACAGTGACTAGCTTGCTAACTTAGGTGAAATGCGGCGAAAGACCTTTGTTATACGGCGGCCCACAGCAGCCAGAGACGTCGACATTCAGCGATGTCAAGTTCTAGTTCATCTGTCCGTAGCCAGTCTGATAAGAAATCATTGTGGAAGCTTCTGCTCCTTTTGGCATCATCCTTTAGTTGACTTAGATTTATTTAACTGGCATTGCGGCAAATATGCCCTGAACCTGAGTAACGCAAGACCGTCTCAAGCCAGGAGGACAACAAGGCCGCAAGATGGCGAGATTTGTAATGGGATTCAGAGGGCCATCTAGAAGCAACTGAATTTTCAGAACCTTGATCTGCCAGGTGAGTATCTAGCAGTCTAGATTCTCGATGCAAAACCTATGGTTCTAGCGATGAGGAGGGACCTGAAGATCACTACACTGCACATTGCCAATGACCAAATCCCTGACAGCCCCACGCAATAAAAATTCAAATAGGTATCAACAAATCAGAGAGAAGAGAGTTAAGGAAGATGATATAGCCTGAGAGCGGCTGGTAGTTGTTATGCTTAAAAGGGATCTAAAAGAAACCCGCTGTGGATCTTGGAGGTTCGAGACCCATCCGTATTCTTATCCCAAATACGAACACGTATGGGTCCCCGTTCAAGTTCAAGCTTGTCCGTGTTTCATGAATTGCTTCATTGATAGCCAGAGTCCGCTTTTCGGTTTCACTTGAACCTAGGGTCCATATCTAAACGGCCATGTTATGCCCTTTGAGATTTTCCTTGTCCAAGTCGAGCGGGATCCGATTTAATAGCTATGTTTGAGGCACCAAATAATCTCTTCCAATGGAACTAATTTGTAAGTTTCTGCGGTATTTGTCTATTGTGCGTGATTATAGATAGCTCCTCAGTCGTTGCATATTATGAAATCAGTAACAGAACCGTCGAAACAAAAGCAGACCCAAATACCCACGAGGCCAGACAAGAAAGATAGCTGACATGACCAACGAATCTATCAGACATAGGATTCAAGTGCCGTTATAAGCTCCATCTGGCTTGACGGTTTGTTCTCTCGGGTTGTGAGTCAACTCATAATCTGGAACAGCTTTCAAGTGGCGTGTAATTTCGTGGGGGTGAGCGACATTGAAAATAATCATCGCAATGAAGATGAGCAGTGAGTCAAACACATATAAGTAGACTTCATGATGCAAAAGATATCCCTGGTTGCCTTGGATGTATTCCACAAGTCGAAAGGCCGAGCGCACAAGAATCAAGAAGCTAGTCGCGTAGAGAATGGTAAGATGCTTTCTCCATGGAACCTCGCCAGCAAAACACCTTGGAATAGGATATTTGCGTAACTTGAAGTCAAATAGAACAGCGACAACAATAAAGAATCCAAAGAATATGATCTGGACAAAAAGGCCGGCAATGATAATGTGCTCTCCAGACTTCATGCCGTCAAGACTTCCGCTGCTCTGAATGCCTCCACCTGTATTCAAAGTAAGTATAATATCTCCATATTTTACTCTAGCATCCTTGGGTGACACTAACCAGCACCTTGCAGTAAGAACGACATCACATCGCCAGTGACGAAAACCTTAGTGAGCCACTTCTTCTTAAGAACCGCGTGCGACTCTGCTTGCAACACTAGAATGATTCGCCCGAGAAGCATGTATATTGACGCTGCTAAGAGAGCAGGTGCTAGAAGCAGGCAAAGCGTCTGTACTATATATGGCCCAAGAGTCCAGTTCGGACTCTGCTTGCTTGACGCGGCGCGGCCGATATATCCCACAATCTCAACTGCTAGTGTTAGCTCACATATAGGAACACATATGGCTGTTCTGTACATACAAAGACCACCGATCACAAATGGAATAAAAAACCAAGTCCGAGTTTTGATCAACTGGAATATATGGTAGAATGTGGTGCCCATGAAAAGAAGGGTAAACAGGATAGCACCACCCATGCTGGGGTTATAACGGTAGAAAGCGAAAATGGGTTCATCATCAGAGCGGATTGAAAGCATCTCATGCTGCATGTTGACACAATTGGTCTTGCTGTTTGAGTTCAGTTTGGAAGAGATCCCGGTCGTTCGATTTGTTGAGTATGAGGTTTGAAGAGCAAGTACTTTGGACTCATACAAGCCACAGTCATAGTGGTCTTATAATGTGCTTCTTCCTGCTCAAAATTATAAATAGCATGTTTTCAAGGGGTAACAAGTTTGGCGACTTGTCTATATCAAGAAGGGTTTCAAAGCGAATACGGGTGGGTCGGCGGCGAAGCCGACACGAGCCCTTGTTTTTTACGGGTGCCTTGTTCTCCAATGGGGGTCTTCTGGGCAAATAAGATAAGATTGGGTGGAATAGAATGATGAATTGATAAAAAGAGACCTTCTGGGTTTGGATGTGTTACGCTAGGGTTGGCCGGCAGAACCAACTCTTACTAGAGCATGCGAGGTACAATACTGCAGCAGACTAGAATTGCTTTCATAGGATTTCAATAACTCGATTTTTATATGTGCTATTAAAAAGATAAGAAATCCACTTTCGGGGTTATTTGGCAAAGAAATCCAACAAATTATTTGCATTTGACGAAGCTTAATCCTCTGATCCTCGGAACTCACCAGTGCACTGAATTGTCATTAATCTCATAACAAAACTAACCGGCCGCCAAACTAGGCGACCATTCTCTTGCTACACTTATGATGTGAAGAGTTTAGAAAAAAGAAATCAAGGTATAAAGGCATAGCTCACATCCTTTTGAATAGAAACATCAAGTGTTAAATAATGCAAGACGTCGTATTTGCAAAGTATCAAAATAATGCCCAAACCCTAGTAAAAAGCACATTTTAACCCATTCAAAATAAACGTGAACGTTCGATACGATATCTCAAAGACTACGGAGGCATCTGCTTGGTGGGGCCGTAAAAGCTGTTCAATTTTTCTTCGAAATACTGATCAGCACTTGTAATTGGAGCACTAATTGTCTCAAGACAGTACAAACTGGCCAACATTAATGCTTCCCTCGAGCTCTGTGGTTGCAAAATTGAAGATCCCATACCGATAGCCCATGAAGAACTCCCATGTGGTGTTCAAACTATAGATACCCCCCAGGTCTGTGAAAGTGACTCCATCCAAGCTGTACGCAAATTGGCCTGTGGAAACGGTGGGCTCAATGTCTGCCGTTGCACGCAGCCAGACTTGATCCCCTGAAAATCCCACTGATGCAATTTCTTCTCCCGTAGATAGAGTGTTCCAATCACTATCCATTTGCAGACCAGTGGTAACTCCGATATGAGTGTCACCATCGTTATTCACAATCCCAATCCAAGCAGAAGAATCCCTAAGCAAGGCAAGCCCGGCCCGGTTTCCAGCCTTGATAGACGAAGTGCTCACTTGAATGGTGGCCGATGATTTTGGACCACGGATACGGTGCGTGAGGGTGTTCTTGGCGCTATATATATCATTTGTCACAGACGCAACTTGAAGAGTAAGTCCGTTGTCAATAGACCACTTGGAATTGTCTGGATTGTGATTCCATTCCCATTGTGCATCCAAATTCGGACCTGCAAAATTATCTGTACTTTCTGCTAAAAAGGATGAAGCTGTAGCACTTGCTGCAATGTTAGGTGTATCGTATGTCGTGCTCCAGGATCCATCCACGAGGCTGACTGAGGGCCATCCATCTGAGTCCCATTTGACCGGTGCAAGGACTGGAAGACGGCCACCAGGGTATGCATCCACAAAGGCCATGAAGTACCAATCGCCGTTTGGAGTATCGACAATTCCTCCTTGGTGTGGATTTCCACATCCAGGAACTGGATTTCCAGCATTGGTGAACAGCTCTTTAGCCGTGTATGGGCCCCATGGACCAGTTGTAGACTTGAGAACATACTCCGAAGATGGGACTCCGGGTTGGACCGTCATGATATAAAAGTTGCCATCTTTTTCGTAAAACCGAGAGCCTTCGATATATCCAACATCTGATTCATATACGACCTTCGACGCAACTTCACTCAATCCATCTGATGACAGCTCGGATACATAGATGTTGGTGCTTCCGTAGGCAGCATATATCGTATCATTGGCAGCCACTAAGAGACCAACGTCGTAGTAGCAAGAATCGAGGACAGCAGCCTGAGTCCATGTACCTTCGACAGCAGCGGCAGTGTAGATGTATGTCTTGGAGAAATCAATACAACCAATCCAATAGAAGGTCGATGTGTTTGCACGATATCTCAGCGACGAAGCCCATGTGCCTTGGACGTATGCTTGTCCGCCATCTAGATAGTAGCCAGAGCCAAATGCTAGCTCTGGCACGGAGTGTCCAGCCATCTCCCAGTTCACAAGATCCTTGGAACGGAGAATTGGCGCACCAGGAGAGTAGTGCATGTTCGATGCGGAATAGTAGAACGTGTCATCAACACGGAAGATATCCAGGTCGGCAAAGTCCTCCCATATAATGGGATTGGAGAACGTTGCAGTAGCAACGGCGATCAAGAACAAATGAATAGCCAGAGTTAACTTCATCTTTGGTATTGGAAGAAGTAGTTAGTAGTTGGACTCTGGCTTGTCAATTTCTAACAGATACTGGATGTTTTATAGACAACAAGATTCATGGGAATAGGCTAAAAAGATGAGAAGCCAAGTATTGCGGCATTTTACTTCAGTGTCTGAGCTGTTGGTAGTTCAGACACTGTAGATCATTACCCTAATGTATGTTAGTAGTACATTCGGCGTGATTCCGGTATAAAAAACGGCTAATAGCCCCGGACTTCCACATTCTTCAGTGGGTCCAAGTTGAACATCAAGCCACTCCGGGTATGCCGATGCCCTTTAATCCTGCAGAATGTCAGATTGTGAAGATCAAACTGCTGCTTATGCATGTACTTGTCCCTGGAATTATGCCTAAAATGATGACCTGCACCCTTTTCTTTTGAATTAGCCGCCTGTACCAAGATAGGCAAATCTGCGGTGGAGTATAACTCAGACACGAGGGCTTCTTTTCAGCTTAGAACGAAGAATTCCTGGAGGGGGTGTCATTTACTTGGGAGATTCAAACTTATGAGAAACATTATCAGGCGTTTATTTGCTTGAAGAGTCTTCACTGGATAAGTTAACTTATGTATTAAACAGATACAATGCGAGGTGCCCTCCGCACATAGTGGCATGGCAATGAAATGTTGCAAGGGGAACTGGGAAAGATGCATTATATTTGAGCAATCGGATCATACAAGAAACTTGGTCAACCAGAAAATTCGATGGTCTCGCATATCACAGTCAAACATGAATGATGTCGGCTCATAGGGTTGGGAGTGGTGTTCCAATAAAATAATTGAAAGATAAAGCAAAAAGCAAAACAGTAATATCTTCTCACGATAACACTGACGGTCACCCCACAAGGACAAGTGAGCAGACTCTATCCATCAAGGCCTTCTCTTTGCAATCGCAGTTGAGCAGTTCCAAAGTGACCGTCGAACTCGGGTACGCGATTCAGTACGCGTCTGGGCGGTCAACCCACGCCAAACTGCCGCTTTTGCAACACAACTCCCTCCTCCCCCCAAGTCCATGTGAGAAAGCGCCCATCATGCCTTCGCGCTCTCGCCCTCCTCCCGAGGTCGAGGAAGACTCGGGGCTTCGCAGCCTCTCCTTCAACCAACCCCTCTCATGGCGCGTGGGGCGCGCCGCCATTCCCATCGCGGATCTCCTCGAGCGCCTCCAGACGCTCGCGCAGGAGCTTCGTAAACTCGACCAGGAAGAAATTGATAAGGAATCACTTCGGAAGGTCTCGCAGGAACTTGCTAGTGGAAACCTGCTCGCTCATAAAGACAAGGGTGTGCGGGCCTGGGCTACGTGCTGCATCATTGATGTCTTGCGATTATGCGCCCCAGACGCGCCGTTTACGCGCAACCAGCTCAAGGTATGTCAATTAACAAAACGCTGACTTGTAGCTGCTTGATGCGATCGGAATCTCTAACCTGGGTTCATTAGGATATCTTCACTTGCATCGTGTCCTCGATAATCCCCGCGCTGGCCGACCCATCTAACGCCTACAATGCACAGCACATCTACGTTCTGGGATCGCTCGCCGAAGTGAAGAGCGTGGTTTTGATGGTCGACCTGGATCACCCGGACTCACTCATCGTACCATTGTTCACTGGTTGTTTCGACATTGTTTCAGGGTCCGCAAAGGCCTCCACCGGTGAGGAGGTCGCCAAGAATGTCGAATTCGATATGACCAGAGTACTTGTCACAGTTATCGACGAATCGATTGTTCTGGCACCGGAGGTAGTTGATATTATTGTCGCACAATTTTTACGGGTCGACCCACGAGTCATGGACACCTCGAACAAGAAAGGAAAGCGTCCAGATGCACAGGTTGACTCTAAGCAGGATACTCTTCTGCTGAAAGATTATCCCGCCGCCTACAATATGGCAAAGGCTATCTGTCAGGCTTGCCCTGAAAGAATGACCAGTCACATCAGCCAGTACTTCAACAACGTTATCATCGATGCGTCTGTGCCAGCTGGTCAGACAAACGGTTCCAAAAATGGTGCCCGGAAACCCAATCTTGACGATTCTGATGAGGAGGGAGAAGACATTAAAGAATTGAGCAAAGCTCACCGTCTGATTCGCGAGCTCTGGCGTGCCTGTCCTGAAGTTCTGCAGAATGTGATCCCCCAAATCGAAGCAGAACTATCTGCGGAATCCGTTTCCCTTCGATTGTTGGCTACGCAGACAATTGGAGACCTCTCAGCAGGAATTGGAGTTGCAGGACCCCCTCCCTCACCCCCCATGGACCCTGCTGCATACCCACCTGTGACTCTGGTAGACTATGATAAGACGATCCCTCAACCCAACGTTCTATTAACTCCAGTCTCCCCAAAGCCTTTCTCTCAGGTTCATACCTCGGCATACGAAGCATTTCTCAGTCGTCGCCTTGACAAGACCCCGTCAGTCCGCGCTGCCTGGGCCACAGTTGTGGGACGGATCCTCCTGACATCTGCTGGTGGATCAGGACTTCACGAGAACGAAGAACAGAACCTCGTCCGGCACCTTGCCTCGATGCTCCGCGATGTGGATGAAAAGGTTCGTGTGGCTGCAGTAGATACTGTTGGGCAGTTCGGCCTATCTCAAATTGTTCACAAACTGGGAGTGGATGGTGGCTGTTCTATGCCGGACTCGCTTCTTGCAATTCTTGCTGAACGAGTCAAGGACCGCAAGCCCCATGTTCGTGAGCATGCCATGAAGATTCTGGCTCGGATGTGGGCTGTGGCCGCTGGAGATATCGAGCAGAATACCGAACCCGTCGTTTCCCTCCTCAAGGATGCGCCGTCCAAGATATTTGATGCATTCTACACGAATGACCAAGAGATTCATGTCCTGATTGACCGCGTGCTGTTTGAGACACTTTTGCCTCTTTCATATCCACCCATCAAGGCGAAGCTGTCTCGTGGAAATTCAAACCAATCACAAAAGCAAAAGGATATCCAGGCCTCGGAACCTGGACAAGAAACGGATGTTGATAAGGTTCGTGTTCGTCGAATCCTCACCTTGCTCCGTGGCCTAGACGAGAAGGCTAGGCGAGTATTCTTCGTCATGTTGGCACGTCAATTGTCGATGAGGTCGGCTGTGACACTCTACCTAGAGGCCTGTGAGAAGTACAATGGCGGTGTCTTTGACAAGGACGAAGATCAAATCAAGGCCCAGCTCTCGAAGATTGTGGATTCATTATCCAAGACCTTCCCTGATGCTGCACGCGCATCAGCGGATCTCTGGAAGTTCGCCAAGGTGCACGATCGTCGCAGCTACCAGTTGATTCGCTTCACTATGGCTGCCGTGAGTGATTATCGTACTGTTGTCAAGGCTACAAAAGAGCTGCAGCGCCGTGTACAGACTGCTAACAACTCGCCCTTGCTTGAAACATTGAATCCTCTTGTATACCGATGTGGATCCTTCATTTTCAACCGCAGCCATATTCCCGCCATTATGAGCCTTTCCCGAACCGATGAGAATGGACTAGCCAATGCTGCTCAGGAGATGTTGAAACAAATCTCCTCTCAAAATCCAGAGGTCTTGGAGGCTCAGGTACAAGAAATGTGCAAAGACCTTGAAGCTCAGGCTCCTGCGGCTTCTTCGTCTGGTGATGCCAATGCCGAGGATATTTTGAAAGCATGTTCGGGATTCGCTAAGAAGCTTCCTGCCAAACTTCCCAAGGAACGCAAGTTCTTCCAAGCTCTTACAAACTACGCCCTTTACAGCACATCTCCACACGCAGCAAAGCATGCTGTCTCGATTTTGATGGCTACCGCTGACAAAAAGGAGATGTATGCCAAAGACCTTGTACATAAGTGTGTCAAGAAGTGGACATATGGGTCTGATCGATTCCTCACTCGCCTGGCCGCCTTGTCGCAGCTCAGCCTTCTCGCGCCAAGAGAGGCAGACGAGGAAAGCGATGCAATCATTGCCATTGCTATCAACCAAATCCTGCTCACCAACCGCAACCCTGAACCAGAGTCCGGATACACTTGGTCAGAGACTGTGGATGATGAGACAAATGCTAAAGAGTGGGCTCTAAAAATCATTGTCAACCGCCTTCGGGCTAAGGACGGGGCTGACAATGAAGCGGACTTCCGCGCCCATGCCAAGCCTGTTTATGAGACATTGAACAAACTTATTGCTGGCGAGGGCGAGATCTCTAAGAAGAAAGATACTCCTGCCGGCCAGAAATCCCGTCTTCGTCTCCTCGCAGCAAAGTCTGTGCTCAAACTATGTGCTTCCAGCACCGTCTGCGACAGTCTTTTGACACCTATCGACTTCAATTCAGTCGCTTTAGTTGCCCAAGATCCACTATTGCAAGTGCGTAGTGGATTCGTCAACCATCTGAAGAAGAAACTTGTGCAGAAATCCCATCTGAGTCACAGATGGTATATTGTGCCCTGTTTACTTGCCTTTGAGCCCGTTCACAGTCTGAAAGAGAGCACACTCACATGGCTACGCTCTCGTGCAGCATACTTTGCTCAGCAGGCTCAAGCCAGTGGAAAGCGGACAGAACAGACGATGGTAATGGAACTCATCTTCTCGCGCCTCCTGTCTCTTCTCGCCTACCACCCCGATTACCCGTCTGAGGATTTGGATGAATCCACAAAGCTGGGTGACTTGACCGACTTCTCTCAGTACATCCTTTACTACTTGTCCGCAGTGGCCAACGAGCAGAACATGTCTTTGATTTACCACGTCGGACAGCGTGTCAAGCAATTCCGCGATGGCATCACTAAATCCGACGAAATCTCTACCCGCCTTCATACACTCTCTGACCTGGCACAAGCAACCATCCGCCGTTTCGCCGATGTGTACTCTCAGCAGCACAAATTTGGCGGTGCCGCCGGCGCAACCAACATCTTGCAAACATACCCAGGAAAGATGGGTGTTCCCAGCTCTCTATTCGCGTCCATGAGTGGCCACCGCGAGGCTCAGGATGTCGCCGACAAGAACTTCCTTCCTGATGAGTTGGATGATATGCTGGACCGTGTCGTTCGCAATGCCATGAAGCCCAGAAACTCCTCTCAAGTCGCACAAGGTGGATCGAGCAAGAAGCGGAAGCCTTCTCTCGACACCAATGGCAAGCCCTCCGCTGCCAAAAAGGCACGCAAGGAGAAACCAACTCGTCCACGTAAATCCTCATCCTCTGTTGGGACATCCAAACCCAAGCGCAAGTCTAGAAATGAGGACGGCTGGTCTTCCGATGGAGGCGCTCAACATTCCATGCCTGCTTCTGCTCGCAGACGCAGCGTCAGAGGAACTGCCAAGCAGGAAATCAGTTACATTGACAATGACAGCGATGAAGATGACGAGGAGATGGCAACATGGGATAAGCCCGCAGAAGCCAATGATGAACAGGACGATGAGGAAGAGGAAGAGGGAGAAGAGGAGGAACAAGAAGGAAGCGACGATGAAGAAATGCAAGAAGCAGACAACGACGAGAAGGTAGATGAGGAAGAACCAGAGGCAGCCAGCGAGAAGGAACCAACCCCACCTCCCATTCCTGCGAAGAAGCGCGGCGCAAGGACCTCTACAGCGAAGAGTCCCGTTGCAAAGAAGCCCGCTGCGACTACTTCCTCGACCTTGCCGACACGTCGCTCTTCTCGCCGCGGATAAGTCCTTTTTTTCACTTGATATCTCAATCCCACTCTGTCAAAAGTGATTATCGGACATCCTTCCTCACGTTGATCTGATCTATCTCTTGTCTATTTTCCGTGTTGTGTCCAGATCAGGTCCGGTCAGATTTTTCACATGCATATCCTATCATATCCATATCCATATCTATATCCTGATTCCCATTACTTTCCAGTTGATTTTATGTTCATTGCATTTCTTTGCTCTTGTCTCTACTTTTTATTTCCCTGCTCTTGTTTTTGTTGTTCATTATTCAATTTTTTTTTTCTACGTTCTGTGCCTTGCAGTCGATGCTGGTTCGAGATGTATACCCTATCTGCTTTTCCTGCTTGACGTTTATCTACATAGATCTTTCTGTGTGGATTTGATTGATGGTTGATGGTTGTGGTTATCAGTTGAATATGTGAAGTGTTTGTAAATGAACGCACTGTAGCTTTAAATTCACATTCTCTCAAAGAACCGCTTAAGGTAGAACCTTAGACCTGGAAGATTGTAACAGTATCTGGCCGTATTCGTCTTTCTTGGTGACAGGTTAAGCAGCACTAACTAGCTATATTGCCTGGTCGGTATCATGTGAGTATAATGCTGTACTAGCAGTTTACACATCTCACAGTTGGATAGCAAAACAGCTTATATTTACTCAACCCTGAGATCGCACAATCTATTGCACATGGACCAAGAAAACAAAGCACAAACAAACACCCAAATGCAGAACAATCGAGCACCTTGGGAGATCAGAAACAAGATCAAGACAGTAACTCGCTTGACCTAGGCGCAAAAGAAAATCCTATACAAACACCAGTGCGTAGAGATGAAGCTAGTCTCGAGCTAATTGATGATGAATAATAAAGAGATGGAATTGACTCAAATGTGTAACAGAAAGAATACAAGCCATCTGAAAGAAAAGGGGGTGAAAATACAGATAATGACCAGTTGAGGGAGAAAGAAATATCAAGTATCACACACGGCGCCGCTGTCATCAAGTCATGAACAAAATTGACTATGGCTGAGACCCAGTGGTCTGGGAGGGAGAAGCACCATGCATTCCATAGACTCCTGGTGCGGGACTCGCGCTTGTAGAGCCTCTGGCGCCAGGGGCAGGGCTGGCACCATCACCGCCGACACTCCTGATGCGCTCTTCAACGCGCTCTTTGTGCTGTCTGTTGCGGAGGTGAACTTCAAAGTTATCCACCGTCATGCCTGGACCTGGGGTGTACAGTTTCCCGGGGCAGTCGTGGCAGCGGATTCGGGGCAGGTATTGATATTTGACTTTCTGGCCGTCAGATAGACTGTTAGGATTGGCCACGGGGGCGAGGGTTTCGGTGTCGACGGCGGAATATCGCATCACTCCTTCAAATGAGTCATTGGGGTGGGATTGTTTGAGTTTTTGGAGACCAACTGCGAGCCACGGGGGTGGCGGGGGCTGCATGACGCAGGGAGTCAGCCAAGGGCCAAGTACTGGGGTTAATATCTACTCACGCCAGAGACACCAGGTTGCGGGGGATTCGGGGCATCAACAGCTCCGGTTTGTTGTGGTCGTGGCTGCGTATGAAGTCGGGATCTATCGATCGGAGGTGCCATTGCTCGCTGAGCACCAGTCTGGAAGGAGTGGATTCGCTTTCCGTTTCTCAAATCGACAAGCTTATCCCGCGGCATCCTCAGTCTGACAACTAGTTTTTCGGGCGGCTCCTCTACACTTTCCTCTCGATATTGCTGGCGTCGAGATGAGACCCGAGGTTCATATGCCACTGGTTCAGGGGTAGCAGATTGACCCAGAGTTTGGCGAAGGGCTGCATGAGCTGCACTTGCCGCGCCCCGCATACCTCTCGTCCGGGCAGTGCCTTGTGCAAGATTGGGACCGATTGCTGGAGACCCGACAGAAGAGTCATCGCTGTCAAACTCATCAGAATCATCGTCCCGATGTCCAGTCATTCCACGGCGGCGACCAGAACCAGTTCGCTTGACCACGTTGCTTTCTTCGAAAGAACCGACTGAGTTGGGAATAACAGATGAGACAATCATTGTGCGTATCGTGCGTTGACGGTCCTTGAGATCTGGCAGCGCAGGGCCACCACGTCGATTGATGGATCGCTTTTGACGACGCTGTTCTCGAGATATCGAAATCTCGGTTCGTTCGAGATCTGTCTCGTTCAGTTCATAAAGATAAGGTGTATGTTCTTTGGCGGATTGATATGGTCGGAAGGCGGAAGAAACAGGAGTTGGAAGGAAAGAGGTGTGTAGGTCTGGGTCCTCGATCGGACGACCATCGAACGGGTGAGCAACAATGTACAAGGATTTGGTGAAGAGCTGAGACTGCTCGCGGATTGAGTGTGCAATGGCGGTAGTGAACTCGCCCGAGAGGGACAAGTCGTCCGTCATGCGCATGGCAAACTCTTCGGGTGAATTACTGGGGTCATTGATATCCCATTCGAACTGATCGATAAGTGTATGTTGACCAATAGTAATGTTCAACTTCACCAAAATGCGCATCTCATCATTTTTGTAGGCACTGTAGGGTAGCTGATCATCGAGGGGATCTTCATGAATAGAAAGGTGTGGGTAATAATCCATCACCTGCTCCTGTATGCTCTGAGAGATCATGCGCGCTAGAGGGACCGATGACTCCAGTGGAAGGCCCAGGTCTTCTACGAGCTTCTCAGCAAACAAATCCGGAGAAACAACTCGGTCATGGAGATTCCAGGTGAAAGTATCGCGAATCTTGACCTTATCCCAGTCGATATCCAGCCGAATAGGTACGAGATCTTCCGTCTGTTCACTTTGGATCTTTGCATCGCGTCGTGAAACTCGCAGTTCTCGTGTTTTCCGGTTTCCTGGTCGGCGTCGGTGGACGGGGTACATAAGTTGAGGATGTTGATGTCGTAGATCGGTGCGCGGGTTTCCAAATCCCTCATAGCCCACTCCGTAAAGAGCAGCCGGGTTCATCTGGGTTTCACGTCGTACTGCAAGATAATAGTCGCGCTCTGCCCGCTTGTTCTTTTGCAACTCGAGCCCGGGGTTTTGCCAGGCGCTCGCTGCAGCATGCTGGAATTCACGATCCACATACTGCTCGAGTAGGATCTTATCAAGCGGTGTTTCGCGAGCGCGAACAGGCATTGCTCCCGAGACCTCTGTGGATCGTACAGCAGATCCGTCGCGCGATAGGTTTTTTGTGGAGTTGTTGCCATTCGAACGAGCACCGTTGGAACCCTCACTGCCCTCTGAGGGTGCGGGCACCCCCGAAGCAGCTAGCATGGCTTTTGCGCTTTGTTTTCCTTCGGCGATCGTGTTCGGTGTTTGGCCGTTTGAATGGGCTCCAAAGTCGATGCTGTCACCTAAGTCCCCGGTGTCCGACGCGCCGGAGCCGTTGTGAGAGCCCGACTGGGAGTCCTTTGGCGAATTTTCGGGCTGAAATGGGCCACCTGTCATTTCAGGAGATGGCATTGTCGATGGATGGAAAAGTGAAAGAGAACCGAAATTGGATGTCACTCAACACAACAGGGATGGGTCGAGGCAGATTATTAGAGCATTATGGTACCAGACCTAAGCATGCGATCAAATCTTAATTAGCATATGTTCTGGGAGCATAAGGTATTGTCCCAGTTGCTGTCGCGACCGTGCCACCCGTGTCACCGATGAGGTTGAACATGTCGCAACGGGGGAATATTGCGAGCATGTTCCCATCACCAGCTGATAATGCGCAGCCAGGTCCAATGGCATGGTATAGGAAACATAGGGCCTGGGAAGCTAAATGGGGGGATCGAACATACCAGGGCGGAAGGAGAGCTCAATGTTTCGTGAATGGACCGACAGTTCCAGCGCAGAATCCGCTCCAGTCGTCAAGTCCAAATCAGCTGGTTTGATGACAGGCGATGTTTAACCCCAAGTGGTTCTTCTATAACCTGGGGGCGGTTGCGATTCTTAATGGCTGGGGTGGGTGGAAGAGGCAAAGGAGAAGAGGGAGAGGTCCCGTTACAAAGGTCCGCACCCGTCAGGATCAGAAAGCAAGGAAGCGCGCTGTTTCACCCACGCAAACAGTCCTGGGGTATTGAATAAGATAATAGTCTACAGGGGATCTGAAGCTATTCGCAAATGACCAACAACGGGCTTTCAGAGGGCCCAATACCTTCAATACCAATTTTACTGTATTTGCGCTTACCGATCTTGGCAGTCATGTGATGTGGTTAGTCACGCGTCTCACGTGTCTCGAGTTGGTTTGTATGGCTTTCATGTGCAGGACTGGGAAAATAAGCCGGTGAGAAGACCATTTCTTTGTTTGAGAATTGTGACTGCTGGGTTTTGGTAGGCCAGTTTGAAGTCCCACAAAATCTGGACTATCACATGGGCATATGGATTAGAGTGGGACCTGGATACAAGGGCTAGAGAAATATATCGGTAGGGGAAATGCCATAATTCAAGCAGCCAAATAAATGGAGTTCCTTGAAAAACCACATTCAGCTTTAAGCTATCTCATCACTACTTACTCGGATCTTTATAGATCATAACGTAAAGGCTGAGACAGACTAAGTGGAAGGAAGAGCCAACTATAGATATCTCCCATTTTAGGTTAATTTTGGCCTGGGCCAAGGGACCAAGAATTGAAAGAACCTGTCATTGCAGGCCCGCTGGTTTAATGGTATAATTCACCGTTCGGATTCAGTTCCAGTGTTGGTTATGATACTATCTCGGTGAGGCTCCGCGTTCGATTCGCGGGTGGGCCCTGCTTTTTGCTCTTTTTTTGGACATATCATTCACTGTGTGTAAGGGCAGCACATAGGCTGTAAGTGGAGGCTCTGTAAGGCTCTTAAAGGACCGGTAAACAGGTGGGAAGGTCCTCTATGGATGTAATATAGAGATCCATGGACCAAAGGAAGATAGGGTATAACATAGTCACGTTACTCCTTGTAGAAAGTTGATTCCATATAGCTTGTTACAGCTTATAAATTGAGTATTTGGATGTAATATCCAGCTCCGAATGACCTTAAAACACAAAGTTTACATATATAATCATGTTCTACACGGAGTTTAGCATATGAACTAAAAGCAAGTCTGTGTAAATACTCCAGTGGCAAACTCCACTTCGGCATCTGTGGAGGCCCGAAACCGAACTGCTGCAAATCTGCAACTTTAACTAAAACCTGAAACATACACAATGAATCCGTGGACGTATGAGTGATATCATCTGATCCGTGAATTGATCATTCAAGACGGAGATATAATTGGACTGACCAAATACTGATTTTTCATCTTTTATACTCCCTCGGCCATTGGAGAGCGCGAACGACCGCGCTCCGAAGGCATAGATGGGTCCAACCCGGCTATTCATAATACCCCGAGATCTAACTCCGAGTTTGAAAAGATGAAAGATATGTTGTTATATAGGGGTCTCTGGCCCGGTCGTTCTTGCTAGCTCACAGATTTCCCAATTGATACACATCATGGCCCATCCATTCGACTCGGGTGCCACCACACCTCGATTAAGCATGGAGAATCTATCCAACCAGGCTGGCACAATTGCCAGTTCCAAGGAGGAACAAACCGACGTTGAAAGTGCACGCGAACCAGCAGTCCAAGAAAAGCCTACTGAAAAAGACCCAAATCTTGTCGACTGGGATGGTCCCGATGACCCTGAAAACCCGCAAAACTTCAGCACGTTGCGCAAATGGGTCATTACTTTGACCATGTCTTCCATGACCATGTGGATCACCTTTGCATCCAGTGTCTTCTCTACAGCAACTCAAGTTACCGCAAAGGAGTTCAATGTCTCCACCGAAGTCATGGTCCTGGGCACCAGTCTGGTCGTCTTTGGCTTTGCGCTTGGCCCGCTTTGCTGGGCACCACTGAGCGAACTATATGGCCGTCGCATCCCCCTGTTCTCCGGCTATGCCATCTTCGCCATCTTCCAAATCCCCGTGGCCGTGGCTCAAAACCTAGAGACGGTCCTCGTTTGTCGTTTCCTGGTGGGTGTCTTTGGCTGCTCGCCTCTAGCCGTTGTCGGCGGTGCCATGGCCGATATATGGAACCCCGTCGACCGCGCAGTGGCCATCGCCATGTTCAGCTCAGCAACCTTCCTCGGACCCGTCCTGGGACCAATCATGTGAGTACAATACATCCCGTTGTCTGCCACAGCTACCAAACCAGACACTAACACCGTTCAGCGGCGGCTTCATCACAGATTCATATCTAGGCTGGCGCTGGACAGCCTGGATAACCCTCATTGCCTCATCGTTCTTCGGCCTAGTCGCCCTCCTCGTTGTCCCAGAGACATACGGCCCCGTCCTCCTCCAAAAGCGCGCAGCTCGCCTACGCACCGAAACCCGCAACTGGGCCCTCCACTCCTTCCTCGACGAACACAAGCCAACAATGTCCGACATCGTAACTAAATACCTCCTCCGCCCCTTCCAAATGCTCTTCCAGGAACCCATCCTCCTCTTCATAACCCTCTACCTAGCCCTAATCTACGGCATCCTATACCTCTTCTTTGAAGCCTACCCAATCTCCTTCGGCGAGGTGCGCGGCTGGTCCCACGAAGGCGTAGCAGCCCTTCCATTCCTGGGGATCCTCATCGGCGTCGTATTGGGCGTTTGTCTCATCGTCTACACGACCAAGACCCGCTTTGCGCGCAAACTCGCCAAACACGGTCGTGTCGTTCCTGAGGAACGTCTCGTGCCCATGATGATCGCTTCTGTCCTCTTGCCCATTGGACTCTTCTGGTTCGGATGGACTTCTGATCCCAGTATCTCTTGGGTGCCGCAGGTCATTGCCGGCGTGCCGATTGGAATGGGCATCTTGGTTATCTTCATGCAGGGCTTGAACTACATCATTGATGTCTATATGATGTTTGCAAACTCGGCCATTGCGGCTAATACCCTTGTTCGTTCCACGCTTGGTGGTGCGTTCCCCTTGTTTGCTACGCAGATGTATACCAATCTCGGGGTGGATTGGGCCTCTAGTGTTCTTGGGTTTATTTCTCTTGCTATGGTTCCTATTCCGTTCTTGTTCTTCTTCTATGGTGCGAAGATTCGGGCTATGAGCAAGTTTAGTCCTAAGTTCTGAGTACATTTGATGTGTTGTCTGCATTTTCAGAGCTTGGATTTTGGTTGACCTTGTTACGGGGTTTGGGCGTTGCATACTATAGAACTCTCCACATTACGATAATAATTAAGACTAATGATATAGTTACTTCAAAGTGACCCGCTTCGTAGCTTGCAAGTACGTTATAAGCCTATCAAGACACCAACTACAACTTAATTAAATACTCTAGAGCGGTATCAACAAGATATCACATACATATAAGTTACTGGACTTATTTGAACGTAGAGATCTCTCCACCTGTATTTGGTTATTATGGCACATTGTATGCGGCAAGAACAGGAAAGAAAATCAGAAAAGAGCATATCTCATTAGCCCAGTGATCAAACCCGCATCTCCACTCTGGCGAAACGATCTATGCATAAACGAATCCCCATGCAGAAAGTCAAGCATAACTGAACCAACATAAAAAAAAAAAAGAGAAACAAGTCATATCACCACTTAGCAAAAGGAACCCATTTAATCGTAGAGGCTGTCATCATTGCCGGCATCGCCGAAGGTATCATTCTCTTGGACCTCACCAGCGGAGGGGAAGCGGAAGAAGCTGCCACCACCGGTGTTCTTGAGGCTCTGGGCGAATGCTTCGTAACGACGGATCTCGACGTCGCTGACGGAGCGACGAGCAGACTTCATGGCCTCCTCGAAGTGGGCACGGGTCAGCTCGGGCACGGGATCCTCAACATCCTCCTCGTCGACGTCCATTGAGACGTCCTCACCAGCAGCTTCGCGTTCCTTAATGCGCTCAATATCGATGCTGATGGCCTGCTTGATGGCGAGCTTGACGGCACGCTGGGTCACGAAGCCAAGATCGGCACCGGAGAAGCCGTGGGTCTTGCTGGCAATGAAAGACATATCGATATCGTTGGCAACAGGGGTCTTGCGGAGCTGGGCCTTGAGAATACCCTCACGAGAAGCCTGATCAGGAAGGGGAACGTAGACCAGAGTGTCGAGACGACCGGGACGGACCAGGGCGGCATCGAGCTGCTCGGGACGGTTGGTGGCACCGATGACGAACACGTTCTTCTTGGAGGTCATACCGTCCATCTCAGTGAGGAGCTGGTTGACGACACGGTCGGAAGCACCACCGGCATCGCCGACGGAACCACCGCGAGACTTGGCAATGGAGTCAAGCTCATCGAGGAAGACAACACAAGGAGCAGCGGCACGGGCCTTGTCGAAGATGTCACGGATGTTGCTCTCAGACTCACCGAACCACATGCTCAGCAACTCAGGACCCTTGACGGAGATGAAGTTGGCAGCACACTCGTTGGCGACGGCCTTGGCCAACATGGTCTTACCAGTACCAGGGGGACCATAGAACAGAACACCGCGGGAAGGCGAGAGACCAAACTTCTGGAACATCTCGGGGTGGTCCACGGGGTATTGGACACTCTCGATAAGCTCGCGCTTGACTTCCTCGAGACCACCAATGTCATCCCAGCGGACGTTGGGAACCTCGACAACGGCGACCTCGCGGAGAGCGGAGGGGTTGGAGACACCAAGGGCGTAACGGAAGTTCTCCATGGTGACACCAAGGGCCTCAAGAACCTCGGCATCAATAGTATCCTCGTCCAGATCGATGAGATCCATCTTCTCACGAATCTGCTGCATGGCAGCTTCAGAGCAGAGGGAAGCAAGATCAGAGCCGACGTAACCGTGGGTCTCGGCGGCAATTGTCTCAAGATCGACATCCTCTCCAAGCTTCATGTTCTTGGTGTGGATCTGCATAATCTCCAGACGGCCAGTCGGGTCAGGAATGCCAATGTCGACCTCACGATCGAAACGACCGAAACGACGAAGAGCAGGATCGATGGAGTTAGGACGGTTGGTGGCAGCCATGACGACAACGTTGGAGCGGGCCTTCATGCCGTCCATGAGGGTGAGCAGCTGGGAAACAACACGGCGCTCGACCTCACCGTTGGTCTTCTCACGCTTAGGAGCAATCGAGTCGATTTCATCGATGAAGATGATGGCGGGAGAGTTCTTCTCAGCCTCCTCGAAGGCCTTACGAAGGTTGGACTCGGATTCACCGGCCATCTTGGACATGATCTCGGGACCGTTGATGAGGAAGAAGAAAGCACCAGTCTCGTTGGCAACGGCACGAGCCATTAAGGTCTTACCTGTACCGGGGGGACCGTACATGAGGATACCACGAGGGGGCTTAATACCAATGGACTTGAAGAGTTGAGGGTGGCGCAGAGGCAGCTCGACCAATTCACGGATCTGAGCCATCTGCTTGCGGCATCCGCCAATATCATCATAGCCGACCTCATTGAGGTTACCCTCCTCGTCCTCTCGTTGGATGGGCTCACCCTCACAGTGAATAATTGTGTCCTGAGCAACGATGCCGTACTCTGGGGGGTCGACCTCCACAACCTTAAACTCGATCTGTCGCATACCACCTCGTACTGTGAACAGATCACCCTGGCGGACTGGTCGATATGCCTCACGGAAGTAGGGAGCGAGGTAGACATCGAAGAGGGAGCCGGTCAGACCCTCAATGGTATCGGCGATGGGGAGGACAGCAATGCGCTTGGCCTGTTTGCGACAACATAATCAGCATTCACTCATCGAGAACTCAATCCGAATCCATCGACTTACATATTTAATATCGGGGCATGGGTGGACGGTGATGATGTCGCCGTGCTTGACACGGAGGTTGTGGCGCACAACACGGTTGATACGGGCGCTCCCGTCATCAAGATCGTCATCGGCGAGGACGATCAGCACAGTGTCCTTACGCTTCTTACCCTTGACCAGGACTGTGTCTCCACGGAAAAGCTGGAGAGTCTCCATGGTGTTGTTCGAAAGGGCAATAACCGAGTTATCATCGTTAACGGCATCGGTCACACTGGAACCGTTAGCACCAAGTCTCGAATACGATTATCTCAAAATCACTCACATCAACGAATTGGGCTTCTTCTTCTTCTTGAGAATAGCAGTCGAGGTGTCGAGCTCCTGCATACGGGTCAGTTCTGCGACTTTTTCAAGCTTTAGACGGCATCGTCTTACCTCCTTCTTCTCGGCGCCAGAGGCGTCCCTGTGATGAAAGGTTAGCATCGACGACAATCAACACCGCACAGCCAAAACATACTGGAGGTGAACCCTCTTCTTCTCGTGTGTGTGATCCGGCTCGGCAGACATGATGGCCGTATCTGAGGTTGTGACGTGGAAGGAAGCAAGCTTGAGGAAACAGAGGTGTCAAGTGCCCGAACCAGGCGGTTTAAGACACGGGGATGAGAGTGGAAATAAAAATGAAGACGGAAAGAATGATGCGATGACCGACAGATCAAAATCAGAAAGCGGATCGACGGGGGGAAAGATGGAGGGAGCAGGAATGATGATGTTGAGCTCCAGGTCCACCGCGATGATGATTAAGCTCGGCGCTTATGTCATGGGTCGTTGTCCGCCACAACGAAGCAGATGGAAGTCAGTCGATTGGCAGCCTTGATGCCTGAATATGTGGTCCTTTACTGTTTGGCCGCTAAGGTCCTCATACAAAGGACCTTTTTTTTAATGTATACCCGATCTATACAGAGTGAAACGCTTAAATACGTCTGATTAGACGAAAATGTCTTTCAATTTTCTGAATTACGCATAATGCTTATGAAAGACGCATCTTCACATCATCTGGTCCCATATCAAGAAGTAAACGAATGGCTGTAAATTGAACCGGTTCAATATCTCAGTAACTTGCAAGAACAATACAATTTGCAGAGTGAGTCCAGTATGTCAGACCAGAAAGCTTCCGGTCACGTTCCTGGTGAAGCCCTGGTTGAGAGATTATATACTCAGGCCCACGGTACTTCACAACGTCAATACATACGCCGGTCTAAGCCCAGATGCGTTATTGAAATGCTGACCTTCGGGGACCATAGATGTAATGTTAAAATTTCAATGGCTTGGAACAAACCCCCATGAGGCTCAGCAACTGCGCCATTCAGTGCCCGGGTGTTATGCGCATCCCAATTAGGCTGCCGAACTAAATCGTTGATAAATCGCATCGTCATGAAAACGATTGATAGCCCTGAAACCCGACTCTCCCTGCTAAAGATCACACTCTCATAATACATACTCTCGGCTCCTTCTCGCGCGACAATCGTTCGTTGCCTTACATTCGTTTACTCTATCCACCAAGACCGACCTGTATCCTCCCATCGCCACGCCAACACCACCAACAACTACAATGCGCACTCGCTACAAGCCAATGCTCGCCTGAGGCCATGGCGTTCGACCCCAGCTACCCAGAGGACTTCAAAAGAGCCCTGACAAATACAATCTCCGACAAGGACATGGACCAATTCGTCAAACACGGCGGCTCCCCTCGCTTCGTTTACGGAGCATTGATGCTCCCAACCGTTCTCAAATACTACATCGATAGAGAACAGAACGTGAAAATTCACAAACAAATGACACAGGCTACATTGCATGGCTATCAACTCTACGACTTCGCAGATGATGGCGTGCCGGTCATAGTTCGTTCGCATCAACCTCATGCCAATGTCAAGGGTATGCTGATTTTTAATCTCAGCAATGAAGAGCGGAACTCAATTTATGAGTTTGAAGGTGGATTGATGCAGCTTTCGAGTGTGCAGGTGGATACAATCCAGAAAAGCTGCTTGGGAGTGTATGAAATGCGGAAGATCGATGCTGGTGCTTTTGTTTGGCATGAAAGTGCTCATCTCTTGAGTCCTAGGATTGGACTCAAAGTTATTCATGCATCCAGTTGGGATCTTGTTCCTTTCCTCGAGGGTATTTTCTATCGGGATATCAAAGCGTCGCAGCGTCGTGGTGCCCGTGAGAAGGAAGTTATGGGGATAAAATCCCAGGCGGAGTCTTCAGGCTGGGACCAGGCAAACAGAATTGACCCCGGATATCGGGACGCCAAGATGATCACTTCGACAAGTTCAAATGAGCTGATTGATGACGATGATGATGACGATGATTTCTCAAGCCCCAAGACTGAGATCTTCATGTACCCACTTGATGAACATGAGGCAAGGCTCAATCACTGAAGCCTTCTGAAGAGGGATTGAAAGGGCAGGACGAAAGAAAGAACATGAGCCTGTGAACAAACTCTGCATCTGATATCTCTTAATTCAGTCGTTTCCGACAAATAGAGGCATTCTCTTTCAACACTCTATTGATTCAGCAAATAACAGTATGTCCGCTAAGACAACAAGATGAATAATGAAAAGTATGTGCAAGTAGATGGTATAGTCAAACAAGAAAAGAAGGTATAAGAGCAACGAGCAAGCCAGGACCTACGCCTTGGCCGTTCCAACCCAATGGTCATGCAAGCTCCAAGCACCAGCACCAAAACTGATCAGTCCCGTCAGGCTCTCGGGAATCCCAATCCCTTTCTCCAGACACCAGTGAAGACACAAGGGTGCCCAGATAGCATTGTTGACCAAGCTCTTGCGCCAAGCGCGGACTTCCAACCGTAGCGCCTCCTTATCCTCCGCTTCAGTCGCCTTGTTCTCGACGGTGCCCGCAGCCTCACGCTGAGCAGCGACCCGCCGTCTGCGCAGGACGCTCTCACGCCAGAGCACAAAGAACTGGAAGAAGATATGTCCAAACCACCCTCTCGTACTCCAGATATCCCACTTGGTCATGCCCCCGTATTTGTCCACGAAGCGCTTGGAGACCACCCCCTTGCCAGCGAGGTAGGCCACATTCTCCAGGAGCTGGTAAAACACATTTGAGATGACCTGGAGCAGGGTGAGGGCGTGGAGGATCGGGTCGGCGGGCGGGTTTCGCAGCGTATCTGCGCCCCAGACCCATAACGGGAGGAGGCCGAAGAGACGGAGATTGTATCTCGTTTCTGACGCGAGTGTGCAGAGGGCCGCGAACTTGGATTTGGAGGATGCGGGGGTGAGGTTCTTGGGCGGTGCGCGGCCTTTTAATCGGGCGACGATGCTTAGCCGTGTCTGAAATGCAATCCACGGGGCGGATGCTGTGAGGTGGTGTAGCATGGAGGCTACATAGTTGATCGTTGCGAGGACGCGCTCTTGCCCGTCTGCGTTGGACAGTAGTCTGGTGCGATTTGCGTTAGCGGTGTTCTGTGGTCGTCGCAGGACTGACTGCTGCAGTCCACAGGCTGTGTTCCCATTCCAGGGAGCTCCTTACAGGTCTAATCGGCGGATAATCACATCGGTTGAGGTCACGATCCCCAGCAGTTGGCGTTTCGCGCACGAGCTCTGCGCCGACGGGGCTTTCCCCACATGGTGCTCGGCTGGCTCAGGTTTCTCGGGCATAGGGGGGATATGTTCGGGTTCGGCCATGGTGAGAATGAGAGAGACCAGCTTTTCTCACCAAAATATAAAAAATATCCATAAAACAAAGAAGGTCGAAGGTAGAAGTTCCGCGTCAAGTTATCTCCGAGTTGGGTTCCGACATCCGTCGCCAGACCTCGGTACTTTCCGACCCGTGAAGGCTGGCCTTGCCCTTTTGGGCTTCTTTTTGTCCGTTTTGTCAGGTGGAAACTATAAGTTCTATTCTCATGGAGAATCTCTGACCGAAGAATTACTTCTCTTAGGCATTGTTGGGAGAGAGTTGACTAAACCCGCGGTCTATACTTCGGCTGTACATTCCTTTCACGTGGGAGTCGGGAGAGAAACGGCCAGTCGTGGCTGTGGTTGGATTGCTGTTCCGACATATAAAGCTACGTTCTACCGGCCATTCACTCGAGTGGGATTTCCAACCTACGGTGAAACTTCAGCATGGAATTGTCGGCAATCTATGACTCTGAGACTTTGCCGTCTAGAAAGAACCTCGAACCCTTGTGTGGTACCGAGGACGACTTCTGTGATCTGAACGCACTGCAAATACAGATTCGACTTATGATATGGGTTCGGTTCCTGTGCTTTTCCACGGGAAACAGGAAAGAAAGAACTGGACACCGAGAACAGTGATCTACTGAGGTGAGACCTTCCAAAAAGCTCCCCAGGCCACAGAAATAGGGCTAGGACTAGCCACCAGAACTCCACCAACTCCATGTGGAGAGCAAAGCAAGTGGATAGTCCCGTTTCCAGTCGGAGGGTTCCGCTCTGTGATATTGTTTGCATCTCTCCCTTTCTGTCATCATCGACTGCTTGAATGTAGCATATATATAGCATCAGATGCTCCGCACACAATTGTACCCCGCAAAAAAGATCGAAATGGTCCCAGGTTGGGCATGAAGAGTGATGCTTCTCCCAGGATAGCTTGGTTCCGGACTCGATGATCACTCGGCTCACAGAGGATAGCAGTAGATATACAGGAGATATACAGTCGATATACATTACTGAGGAATCGAATTGGATATTGAGACATGCAAGATGAAACTCCTATCCTCCTATTCAAGTCGGGGAATTGGGCTAGCGTGTGTCGGAGAAGTCCGACCCGACGAGCTCCAATGGAGATGGCCGGGTGAAGACTGCACATATACTCATTCCTCCCCCAAGATCGAGACAGTGAAATTGTGCGTCTTCTTCCAGTTGTAAGTGTGTTCAATGGGGCCTCGGTTGTGTCGGCTCCCTCAGCTCCCCCAACAGCCGGAGATTAGGTTGGTGGCTGGGCTCCAAAATAAACAACTCTCTCCCCGTCTCTTCCACTTTCCCATCTCATCTCCACTTGGCTTGAAGTTGTGATCATTCACATTTTCCATTGTCCTCGTTTATTGACACTGTCCAGGCGCGCCTTCGACCCGACCTGACCCCCAACCCCTCCCCGATCGCACATCATGTCCGTCAAGTTCACAGAGGAGACCACCCGTGCCGTCACGGGCGGCAAGTCCGAGGACCTCGCGCACCGTGTCGGTGAGCGATTGACCGGTGGAAAGGGAACAACTGGATATCTCCAGGTATGCAGCAGCCCTAGGGGATTTCTCTCACCCCCCTCTCCCAATAGCCTCCACCGCCACTGACCGGAATGGATCGACAATAGGCCTATCTGCTCCAGCTGCAGAAGAACCCGCTCCGCACCAAGATGCTCACCTCGGGTGTGCTCTCGGGTCTGCAGGAATTGCTGGCTTCATGGATCGCCCACGATGTCGGCAAGCACGGCCACTACTTCAGCTCGCGCATTCCCAAGATGTCGCTGTACGGCATGTTCATCAGCGCGCCGCTCGGCCATGTCCTCATCGGCATTCTCCAGCGAATCTTCGCTGGGCGCACAAGTCTGAAGGCTAAGATCCTTCAGATCCTCGCCAGCAACCTGGTTGTATGTGTTGATGAGCACCCAACCCGATCCGCTGATCCGCCGAGGGAGATATCCCGCTAACACCGCTTCTCTTGCTCGCAGATCTCCCCTATCCAGAATGGTGTCTACTTGACCTGCATGGCTGTCATCGCTGGTGCGCGCACCATCCACCAGGTCCGCGCCACCGTGCGTGCCGGTTTCATGCCCGTCATGAAGGTCAGCTGGGTCACTTCGCCCCTGGCTCTCGCCTTCGCTCAGAAGTTCCTCCCCGAGCACACCTGGGTGCCATTCTTCAACATCATTGGATTCTTCATCGGAACCTATGTCAACACCCACACCAAGAAGAAGCGCCTGGAAGCTCTCCGCAAGGTATGTCGGGATTAGACTTGGAATTCACATATCGCCGCTAACAACACTCCCAGCGCTACGACCAGCGCCGCGATCCTCGCGATCCCCGCGACCCCCGCGACCCCAGCTACGAGAAGCGCGACTACCCTTGAATGGGACCCAGTCACAACCTGTAATCAAGTCAAGACAGACAACGGATCCCTGCTGAACTGTTTCCGGCTTGTCTGCAGTCCCCTTTTGATCTTCTCTGCTTAATTTTCTCCGGTGTTGATTTCAATCCATGCATACACCCCCGTGCATCTTGGCATGCCACCGATATCTTTCCCTCCTGATGTTATTATTCAATCTTATGACGAATGGCTTTTTTGTTTCATTTCATTCAACCCCATATATACGTTGTTTCCTTCATTGGGCTCGCGCTCTATTCTCTTTCCTTTGTAACTCAGGATAGACCACTGAAAGAAATGATGCTTTGGATATAATTGGGTTGAGAGGCCTTTTGCATTCATATCTGCAGAGCATAGTAATTATCTCCGCCACTCGTCCAGAGATAAATGCCCAAGCCGACTGAAGGCAACTGAGGAAGAAGAAGTAAATATAAGCCATGACATGACAAGGAAAGCATCCTCAGCACGCCCAGCCCATCTCCATCATCAACTAACTCATCACATAACAGCCGAGTCAAACATCTCTCATCTCACTTCATTGACCTTCATGATTTTCCCATCCTCTTCACTCAACATCCATCTCACCCCCCTTCCTCTTTTCCTTAACATAATCCACAAAATCATCCAGCGCCCCCGGCCAAGCCCCATCAGGACTCCACCACCCAAACTCCTCATCCTCCCGACTCTTCCGCATAAAAACCTCAACCTGCTCCCACAGATCCTTATTAACAGGTTTCTTGCCCCGCCCTTCCAGGAAATCAATCCACCAATCCAGCCACGGCGTGGAATCCGTATTCCACTGCACGCCGCCATGCTCGGGTGTGAAGAATAGCCGCCATTGCTCGGCCGCAATTTCGAATTGAAGGTTGCGCTGCCCTTGCATTCTGGACAGCGGGAATGTGTATCTGTAAACCCGTCTGAAGAGTTCAGGGTCATGTTGGATTTTCGTGCGGAGCGTGTTGGCGTGCGCGGTCATTTTGGGGAGCGTGTCGCAGCTTTGAGCGGTGTTAATAATATATCCTGTATTGGGCAATTGGGCTGCCTGGTTGATGGATTCGTGGATTGGTCCATCCACTTACAATGCTTTGCACCAGCCTTCCATGAAGCCCTGGCGGGTGATCTCGCCCATGGAGGGGCATTGCAGTAGTTCGGCGATGGCGAGACAGTTGACTTCGTCTAGTTGGACATCAAGTGCCCCAAGATATTCAATTGCGCGCTCGATGCCAATCAGATCTGGGTTTTCGGCGGGGTCATCTGGGTTACTTTTAGCTTTTGCGCTTATATGGGTTGGGGTTGGGGAAGATGGGTTGGTACCTCGGAAGCTGTCGAAGATTTTGGTGAGGGAGTTGTTATTGCCTAATGAGCTGGCTACGGAGCCAGTAGAGAAGTATCTAGATGGCTGGGTGTCAGTTTCGGGGACTTTGTGGATATTGTTCATGTGGATGTCTGGCTGAGAGGTGTCATGGTGAATGTCATCATTGGATCCTAGGCAGAGATCCCAGAGATGCCGAATGATTTGACAAATTCCATAGCAGTAAGACATTGGAAGTGACAGCCTCGTATGAAAGCGTCCAAACAAGTCTTGGTCATGAGCACAGCAGGTGGCCTAAGAGCTTTAATGTCTGCTGATATGTTGGACCTCATGTCTCGCCGGAGGAGATGTATGATTGAAACCTCAGATTCGTTTCAGGTAATGCAATCACTTACGAATCAAGTGCAGATGGCAAATTCCAGCCACTTGCTTTCAGGAACTGGGACAACAGTCAGTTCTCTGATGCACGTGATCGAGCATAAAGATGAAGAAGAGAGGCAGTGGGCTGAAGATGGGATGCGGATAAAGTCATGAACATACCTTGGCTGCAACAGAATCCTTTGCTTCTGTGCAACTGACAAACTCAGCGATTTGGTGCTTTTGTTGGGAGTTGTAGGCTGGCATGGTGGGGTTGCGCAATATTGCCTACTGCGTCGGCGGTTCAGAAATGAAGAAGAGGGAGCAGCTGTAGAGGGCAAGATGGGATAATGCTCTCTCGTGTTGTTGCCTATTCCCAGATGTTGAGAAACCGAGATATTTTGGGGAGAATACACTAGAGCTATGAAGTCTGCGCGAATTCGCATCCCGCTTCCCTTTGGATCTGATGGCTTTGTGCTGACTCAGCATACTCGAGTCTCTGACCTCAGGAGTTTTTATAGATCTCCAGCTCTCAGCCTTGATTGCACCGTTTCCCCCCTGGGATTTTTTTAATTATCTCGGTCCAATCAATCAGGAACAGTTAAATCACGTGAACAGAATAGCCTACCCCTCTTCTCACAATATGTTGCTGCCTTTTCTCCGATCATCTTTAGCTTGGAAGCTCCTTCTTGCCTGTGTTTTGATCGTCTCATTGTTCTTTTTTGTTCCAACTTTGACATTGATTGGAGTGCCCAGCATGTCAATCACCCATATTGTCCTCTTCCAATTTAAACCTGATGCCACTGCTGATGTCGTCCATGGGGTATGTCTCCACGATCTATGCTGCATCTGAGAAGAAGCCTCTCCAGTATGTCATTTGAATCAGGTGCTAATATTCCACCCAGGCCTGCCAGCGTATGCTTGCTCTCAGAGAGAATTGTCTCCATCCGACATCACAAAAGCCTTATATAAAAACGGCCCTGGGCGGGAAGGATAACTCACAAGAAGGGATGCAGGTAAGTCAATTAGACATCTAGCACGACAAGAAGGGGGAATTGACCGGTGGGACATAGAATGGCATTACACACGCCTTTGTCGTCGAGTTTGCAAGTGCTGAAGACCGGGATTACTATGTCAAGCAAGATCCCGCCCATCAAGCATTCATGAAGAGCCTCGGTGGTATTATCGCGAAAGCACAGGTTATTGATTTCACCGATGGTGACTTTTAATAATTCAGTGGCGATAAGGGGGGATACGATACCTGCTAGCATAGGGGTATCTACGCTGTGATCCTCCATGATATTAGTTCTATATCGATATGACCAGCTGATTAGACCATATTTAGCTTACAATCTGCATCATCTACAATTTTAGATTATTCAAGCACAGAAAGTGACTATCCAAGACATGCTGTCTGTCCTTCCTAGTCTGTCTACGGATTGCCAACTCTCATCCCACGCAGTCACTTCTCTTATCATGTTTAGTTTTACCACCTCCATTCCATTTTTTCATACATGATACATCCAGGAAGATCCAAAATGTCATTTGGGTAGGATAAGGTCTTCAACGTGGCCGCCACGGCGACCTTCTCTCAACTAAGGGAAGTCCAGCGTACTAAGCAGATAAATTTAATACTCAATACGACTTCAGTGTATCCAGAAAAAGAAGAAATGATTGCCGTCAATTCATGACATTAGAACCAGTGAACACAGCGTTCAAGCATAGTAAGTACAGTGAACTTTTGTAAGATCAGGCATATCAATTGAAACTCCAAAACGCCCAATTCAAGGATGTGAACATGCAAGATCCGGTATTGCGTAGTTGCTTAGGTCGTGAACAATGAGTCCTCCTGCTTAATATTAGCACTCTGTTCCTCGAAGTGATCCATTCAGGGCGAGCTCGACTTACCTCACGAAGGTATTCTCCCACATCAGCTGCGAAGAAAGAACAATGTTAGAATATTGGAAACTAGCCTCGAGGATGTGATAGTTACCTTGTCTGAACACAACAATACCTGTTGGGTCCAGCTTCTTTGCCTCGGCGGAAGACCGCGAAGTAACACCGAAACCAAGACAGTTATCGTTATCATCGAACACTAGCACACCGGCGTGCTCTGGTAGATCCTCGGACCATCTGTGGACATGCGCCTTGAGGACGTTGCCTCCGTACAGGTAAGGCATCTGGGATTGTTATTAGCATACCGACTATGGACTGGAGATGAATGAACTTACGACACCGTTGGACTTGATCCAAACCTTATAACGGGCGTGGGGCGAGATGACATCCAGGCAGGTAAGGGCCAGACGGAACTTGCCAGTCTTGGTGACTGTTTAATGGTCAGTATTGAGGACCAAAAAGCAGACCTGGAGTATTTCCGAGTTTGCATGTGTTGCAGACTAACATTTTCCAATCATTGTTCCCATAGACAGCAGGTTTTCACGAGGGATTGAGACGGAAAGGTTGGCGAGCTTCAAGGGCATGTAGAAGACACGGCTTCCCTGGAGACGGAAGACATGTTGTTCGCCGGCAGGTCCCTCGGCGGTGGTGGGGGGTGCGATGAGGTTGTTCAGCGATCGCCCTGAAAGATATGGCCATTAGATCTGTGCTCGCTAGATAGGTTCTACAGCGAGTCGAAGGAATTGATTGCGCTTAATTGCAGCGATCTGAGATAAGCTGTAACAAAGATTTTCTTACCGGTGTAGTGAGCAAGCTTGCTGAATAGCGTTCTCGTTTCTGGGTCTTGTCAGTACTATTTCCAACAATAGGATTGAAGCGGCGCATACCTTCTTCGGTCAGTTGACGCATCTTGACGGACTTTTAATTCTCAAAAAGTTCAACAAGAGAAAGAAACAAGACTTATCGGGTCACGATACGTGCCGGCCAAAGGCGGTAACGGAACGACTTTTTCATTGCGCCAAGCCAAGACTTTACTGCCGCGTGCCTGGGAATTTTTCTTCAAGCCTACACGAGTTTCAACGTCAACCTCCCCGCAATTTCAAAATGGCTCGCCCCGAAGTGAAGCGGAGACGTCTGAGTCCTCCCGACGATGTCGAGGATCAATCCTCGCGCTCAAAAGCCGACGAAGAGTGGGATGTCGAGCAAGACTACGAACGCCGCCCGCGCAAAACTACCAAGAAAGCCGGTGAAAACACCCGATTGCCAATCAAGACTTCTGAAGGTTTTGTTCAGGCCGAAGATGAGCCCGAGGACCAGGGCGAGGAAACAGACAGCTTTTTGGGCACCGACGACGACGAGGATGAAGAGGGTTCCGGTGATGAGGACGAGGAACCCGAGGAGGAAAAGCCCAAGATTCCCGTGAAGGTCCAGATCATGCAGGCCAAGGAAGATCTAGCGAGGATGGCGACATTGATCAATGAAGACCCCGAGGAGCACATTTCTCTTTTCAAGACCATGGCCGAGCTGGTCTCGAAGAAGGATTCGCCTGTTACAGTTAAGAAGCTCGCACTGGCTTCCCAGGCGGCTGTCTACAAAGATGTCATCCCCGGATATCGCATTCGTCCATTGTCCGAGGAGGATACATCTGGCAGGGTGTCGAAGGAGGTGCGCAGACTCCGTGATTTCGAGCAAGGGCTTGTCTCCGGATATCGGGCCTATGTCCAGAAACTCGGTGCCCTTGCAAAGCCCTCCAAGGCAGATGGTCCCACCGATGCTGGTCTGAAGACCGTCGCAATTAGCTGTGCTTGCAGCATGCTTCTTGCCGTTCCTCATTTCAACTTCCGCGGAGACCTGGTCAAGATTCTGGTCAACCGCCTTGCACGGAGAACGATTGATGTCGACTACGTCAAGTGCCGCGATACCCTCGAAGAAATCTTCGCCAAGGATAACGATGGCACTGTATCTCTGGAAGCTGTAACCCTGCTCGCAAAGATGATGAAGGCCAGAGACTTCCACATTCACGAGTCCCTCCTTGACACATTCCTGCATCTTCGCCTGCTCGGTGAGCTACACATAAAGGCTTCACAAGATCGCGTGGACAAGGAAGAAGAAGAGACTACTTTCAACGGGAAGAGGAAGCAGAAGCGCGAGTTCCGCACAAAGCGAGAGCGCAAGGTGCAGAAGGAACGGAAAGAGGTCGAGAAGGATATGCGACAAGCCGATGCAGTGGTTTCAACCGAACAAAGAGACAAGAACCAGGCCGAAACACTAAAGCTTGTTTTCGGTCTCTACTTCCGTATCTTGAAGCTCCGTCATCCCACCCTGATGGGTCCCGTTCTCGAAGGTTTGGCCAAATACGCCCACCTGATCAACCAAGATTTCTTCGGTGACTTGCTAGAGGCACTGAAAGACCTCATCTCCCACGCTGAACGCGAAGAAATGGGAGTGGAAGGCGACGAAAACACAGTCCAAGAAGAGGAAGAAGATGACGAAGAGAGCAACATCTCAATCGCAGAAAACACTGCCCGCGATGCCCGCCGCCGAACCCTCCTCTGCACAGTGACAGCTTTTGCCTTGCTCCAAGGTCAAGATGCCAGCAAAGCAGCCTCAGCCCTCCACCTCGACCTCAGCTTCTTCGTTAAGCACCTCTACCGCTCCCTCTACTCCCTTTCTATGAACCCAGACGTCGAGTACAATCCGGAAAAGTCCCTCCGTCTTCCCGACCCCAACTCTGCGTCTGAAAATAAGCTCGCCGCAAGCCGCTCCAAGAATAAGGTCAACTTCCAGACACCAATGGTCCTTCTCCTTCGCTGTCTCCAGCCGACCCTGTTATCCCGTGCACATGGAAACCCACCCCCAGTCCGTCTTGCCGGTTTCTCCAAGCGTCTTATGACCACCTCGCTTCAGTTGCCTGAGAAATCGGCGCTTGCTACTTTAGCGCTCATGAATCAGGTTTCGAAGCATCACGGTCGTCGCATCTCGTCTTTATGGCATACTGAGGAGCGCAAGGGCGATGGTGTTTTCAACGCCTATGCTAATGACGTTGAGGCTACCAATGTCTATGCTGGCTCTGTGTGGGAGGGTGAGTTGTTGCGTGTGCATTATTGTCCGCAGGTGCGTGAGGCGGCCATAGAGATTGAGAAGATGATGTCGTCTTCCAAGTAAATACTGTTTTTTTGTGCATAATATCTCATTTTACTTATACTACGAAATTTATGGCGCAAGTTTTGAAAGGTACCTAGCTCAGGGTGATTTTTATGATTGTTGTTTTTTAGTGTTTCCTTTGGGATAGCATAGGGCTTGCTCAAGGGCTTCCTCAGAACCAGATACAATGATACAAGTATCATAGACCAATGGAGGTAAGAAAGTACAGATAGGAAGAGAGCGAAAGATCTGTAGACCATCGATGATCTATCTACCTACTGGCTGCATGCTCTGATTTCATTCATACAGAAAGAAGCGTTTATCTGTGATTAAAGCAAGTCGGAAATTCGGTTTTCATTGGAAACCGCATCAAAGCATGCGCTCTATCGCTAGCAATGAAAGTGCGTTAAGTAAGGACATGCGTACGCAGATTACGTTCCACTGAGTCCCCCTGTCCCCATTCCCTCATCATGCGGTTCTGCCGCTTTAATGGGCGGAAGAAATGTCAGGACTTATCAAAGAATCAGACAGAAGAGTGACACTGAATTATCTGAGATATATTTTTGAACCCTGATTACTCCCCAGAAAGTACCCAAAACGACCTTTTCGTAACGCCCATGCTATTAAGCTTCCAGTACGTAGTAAAATAGGATTCAAAGAAATCATTGTTCATTAAGTTCATAGGTGTCATTAGATACACACTGGATACAGAAAGCAAGACGGCACCTTATCTCGAAGATCTATTAGGGCCCTGAACATGCCAACCAAACCAACATGACAGACAACAAAAGGAAATCATTAACCATCAAAAAAAAAGCACGAAAAATCAAGAGAGGCAAAGGAAAATCGTTAACAGATAATGAAGCGCAGATAATACAGGGGAATAATGCGTATGAACATTTTTTTGGTGAGAGGGTTGGCATATAGTCCGGAGTAATTTTCGTTTGCCGATATACTTCAGTTAGGGCCACGCCAACACGTGACACCCCCTTCATTAAGCGTTTTTGAGCCAAAAGTAGGCAATAACAGGAACTGCAATGACCGCCAACCAAAACAAAGGCCTGGTAATCAATGTCAGTACTGCGAATTCATCTTCATATGGCCTGTTTGTCCCATTCCTTGCATAAGTCGAACCAAGGAAATTATTGGAAAATTGGGGATACAGGAAGATGAGATGAGCATTCTAGTTGGAAGACTTTCCACGACGGAAAGGAGAGAAAATGGTTCCAAAGAATCCCGAAAAGACAGAGCGCAGGATGGCTTTGAGCCAGCTGTCAGGTGCATTATTCAGAGAAACAGCAGTCACTGACCGGTTCTGGCTCGCGGGACGAGCATCATCATCGTTGTTCTTGGGCGCTAGGGCGTCGGAGGACTTGGAAGTCTCGGTGGTTTCCTGGGTAGGCTCGGTAGCGGGCTGGGTCTCTGGCTGGACGGGCTCGGCGGTCTTGTCGGTGGAAGTAGCGGCCAGCTTGTCACTGGAGGGCTGGTTGAGCTTGTTGAGCAAGGCATCGCGGTCACCAGCGAGGGCTGCAAGACTGGGATCAGTGTCGAACGACATGGCAGAGGGCTGCTGTGAGAGATAGAACGGTGCTGGCTTACCGTCTTGGGATTGAGTGTTGGCTGCGGGAACCTCGGGCTGGTTGTCAGTCTCAGCACTAGGCTCCTTGCTTGCTTCAGCGTCCTGAGTATCCTTCTGGTCCTTTGCAGGGGACTCTTCATGAACGAGAGCGGCCACACCGACGGCGACGACACCTGCAGCAGCAGTGGCAGCAGCGGTACCACCAAGGATCTCGGAAGTAAGAGTATCATCCTTGGCAGATTTCTGCTGGACCTCCTCAACGGAATTCTCAGCGGGAGCTTCAGCCACGGGCTCGGCCTCCTTCACAGCAGTAGGCTCAGAAACAGTCTCGGTGGGAGCCGGGGTAGGGGCAGCAGCTTCCTCGATCTTAGTCTCCTCCTGGGTGACCTCGAGCTCTTTGGTGGGCTCCTCAACAACAACTTCAGCGACAGGCTCCTCAACAGCGGTCTCAGCAGCGGTCTCAGCGACAGGCTCAGCTACGACAGCTTCAGTGACGGGCGCCTCGATAGTTTCGGCAATGGGCTCAGCAGCGGTCTCAGTGACGGGCTCGGCGACAGGCTCCTCGACAACGGCTTCAGTGACGGGCTCCTTAATAGTTTCGGCGATGGGCTCAGCGATAGACTCAGTGGACTCAGTGACGGGCTCCTCGACAGCGGCTTCAGCGACGGTCTCGGTAGCCTCGGCGACAGTCTCGGCAACAGTCTCGGCGATTTCCTCAGCAACAGACTCAGGAACAGCAGCGATTTCAGAAACCTCTTTCTCAGGGACAGCGTCAGAAGATTCCTCGGCGGCAGCAGCCGCACCAACAGCAGCAATGCCGGCAGCGACGGCGGCAGCACCAATAGCCACATCTTCCTCAGCAGCCAAAGGCTCGGCATCCTTAGAGACAGGTTCCTCGACAGGGGTAGGGATAGTCTCGGGCTCCTTCTCGGCATTGTCCTCGGGAATGTCAGCAGGAGTCTCCTCAACGACTGCGGGAGTCTCTTCAACGACGACGGGAGTCTCTTCAACGACGACGGGGGTCTCCTCAACGACGGCGGGAATTTCCTCAACGACGGCGGGAGTTTCCTCAACGACGACGGGAGTTTCCTCAACGACGACGGGAGTCTCTTCAACGACGACGGGAGTCTCTTCAACGACGACGGGGGTCTCCTCAACGACGGCGGGAATTTCCTCAACGACGGCGGGAATTTCCTCAACGACGGCGGGAGTTTCCTCAACGACGACGGGAGTTTCCTCAACGACGACGGGAGTCTCTTCAACGACGACGGGAGTCTCTTCAACGACGACGGGGGTCTCCTCAACGACGGCGGGAGTTTCCTCAACGACTGCGGGAGTCTCTTCAACGGCAGCGGGGGTCTCTGCAACAGCGGCGGGAGTCTCTTCAACGACGGCGGGGGTCTCTTCAACAACAGCAACGTCAACAGTGGGCTCGGAAATCGTAGTCTCAGCAATTGGCTCCTCAACAGCCTTCTCCGCGACGGGCTCTTCAATAGTAGGCTCGGACACTTCCTTAGCCTCCTCGGTGGTCTCCTTAACGACCTCAGCAACGAGAGCGGGAGTCTCCTCGGTAGCCTCGACGACGGTTGCCTCAACAGGGACAGCCTCGGGGGCTTCCTCCTTGGGAGCTTCAGCGATAGGCTCTTCGACAGCAGAGACCTCCTCGGCAGTCTTCTCAGCGGTCTCCTCGACCTTCTCCTCGACGACAGCTGCGGGGGTAGCCTCATCAATGGTCTCAGTGGCGACTTCGGGGGTGGCCTCGACGGCAGGGGTTTCGACAGCAGGAGTCTCAGCAGTCTCTTCTTCAGCGGAAGTAGGAGCAGGCTCTTCAACAACCACAACCTGCTCAGTCTTCTCGGCAACGGGCTCAACAGCCTCAACCTCCTTGACTGGCTCGGCAACCGATTCCTCGACGGCGGGCTGCTCAATAGGAGCCTCTTCAGTCACTTCCTTGGTGACAATCTCGGCCTCGGGCTCCTCCTTGGTGGACTCAGCAACGGCCTCGACCTCCTTGGTAGCAGGCTCCTCGGAGACAGGCTCAGTAGGCTCGACAGTCTCCTCGGCCTGAATCTCAGCAACAGTCTCCTCGGAGCCTTCGGGAGCGACCTCGGACTTAGCCTGTTCGGTAGATTCAGCGGCGGGTTCGGTGATAGTCTTCTCCTCGGTAGGAGCTTCAACGGGCTGCTCCTCGGCGATAGACTCCTCAGTGGCCTCAGGTACGGCCTCAACCTTTGACTCTTCGACCGGTTCGGTGACAGGCTCAGCGACGGGAGCGGCAGCCTCTTCAGAGACTTGGGTCTCCTTTGCGGTGGCATCAGCAGTCGACTCGGAAACTTCTTCAGTTACAGGCTCGGCGGGAGCAGTGGTTTCCTCGACAGCCTTCGTTTCCTCCGTGGTCGGTTCAAGGACGGACTTCTCCTCGGTGACGGGTTCGGCAGTGGGAGCGGCAGCCTCTTCGGGGACCTTAGCATCCTCAACGGGGGCTTCAGAGGCGGATTCCTCAGTCACGGGGGTCTCGACGGCCTCGACAGCTGCCTCCGCAGGCTTAGATTCTTCAATCACTGACTCGGTGGCCTCTTCAGGCTTAGTCTCCTCCACGGCAGGGGCCTCGGGCTGGGGCTCGGCTTCCTTGGGAGCGTCGACAGGTGCGGACTCTTCCGCTGTGGCCTCTGCAGATTGAGTCTCGGGGGCGATCTCCTCAACCTTTTCGGCGGGGGTCTCTGTGGTCTTTTCGGGTTCGGCGGCGACTGGTGCAGCTTCCTCGGATTTGATCTCTTCGGTAGTAGCTTCAACGGGCTTCTCCTCGGCGGCAGCAGGGGCCTTGGCGGTTTCGATAGTCTCGTCCTTTGCAGGAACGTCAGCGGTCTCAGTCTCGGGGGCTTCCTCCTTCTCTGATGTCAGAGCAGGAGCTGCCTCTTCAGTGGTGGGTGCTGTGGACTCGTTGATCTCCTCCTTTTCGTCGGCCTTGGCCTCTGTCGCGGCATCGGTTGTGGTCTCAACCTTGTCAGCCTTTTCGGCCGAAGGTTCGGGCTCAATGTGTGCTTCCTTCTCCGCAGTTTCGGTTTCAACCAATGTCGCAGTAGAATCGGCAATCTTTTCTTGAGCTTCCGAAGTCACAGGCTCCTCGGTGGGAGCTTTTTCGAGCTCTGGTGACTCAGTCACTTCGGGTGCGGTGACGGTGGCAGATTTTTCATCTGGCACAATTGAATCGGGGATAGAGTCCACGGTAGGCTCTTTGAGCAAGACATCACTGTCGGCACGGAAAAGGAGCTGCTCAACGGTCGCCATGGTACTTTTGGGTCGTCAAAATCGTAAGTCGTAAAAAAATAATAGTGGTCAAGGTGGGTATTAAGAAAATTTTCACTTGACAAAGGATTAAGTATCGCTGTACAGAAAACACAAGCTCACGGAGCAAAGAGTAGGGAGGATATCAGATATCAGAGATGAAGGAAGAAGGAATCAGAAGGCAGAAAAAAAAAACCCTCTGACAAGCATCTGATCTCCAGGTGGGGGGTTGTCACAGTGACCAACTGCCCTTCTGTACACTTCCTTTACACACTTTTCCACACTGTTACCCATTTTACACGCTATTCTCGTCTCCACTGAACTGTTGCCCAATCGATAGCACAACGTTTGGGCTTTCATCTCCACCCAATATGCGGTGAAGCTACCGAGGTCCTTTCGCTGCGACCAAAGCGCATCCAGAGTAAAGTGTGACTGTAGAAGAGATGTGCGACCTGGATGTACAGCGACACAGCTCCTGTGCCGTCCTCCTTACGACAGTTGCACACCAGGTGAACGTTCAATAGCTCCAGAAAATTTCGGGATGCGCTAACGTGGAGACCCATTATTGATAGACACGCACCAATAACAGGCTATGACCTGCAAGGTGTTTCTTATCCACCTGTCAGCTCGTCTGAGTCATGGTAGATCCATGCATACAGTATGTGCATGTGAGAGAAATCGCAAAAAAGGGCTCATATGTGCAAAAGCATAACAAAGAGAGTGAAAACTCGGTGTCCCACTCGGCTTCATTGTTCATGGTATGACACGAGCGGAACTCGACGGATCAAACTCGGTTTTTTGTTTATTATTCGGCCCACTTCCGACGTCATTTCTTGACTATCTACTCTAAGTATCTGCTCTCGATACGATGTTGGTGTCTCGTTATACTGAGTTGGGCTGCCTGAAGCTTGGACGGTTGGGTACCAATTGCGTACCTGATACTGATCTTTGCGATCATGTTGGCGCCCACGCGCATTGACTGTCTTATTTTCTTTGTTGCGTCTGGCGACTCTCTGAAGTTGGAGCGCAGGTGCGTCATTTGAGCTCGGACATGGCTTTATTGACCCCCCTGTTCCCCTATTCTGTTGTGCAGTGGTGGGTATGCAAGTCAGGGGATCGGCTTCCCGAGCCTTTAGGATAGGGGTACTGGGTTATTTTGGGGCTTCATATAAAAGCTGACTCCACATTCTGGATGTCGGCGTTTTCATTGTCTCCAGTTTAGGGGTCGACACCTAGGAGCCGTTTATTGTTGCCGACGGCTGTATCCGGGATGCTAGATCCTCGGGCCGGTGATTCACGGTATATCTACAGGCTATCCCGGATTTAGGGCACGACCAGTCGATACAAATCTAACCCTGTGTTTGATCGGGAGACTTCATCCTGGTCTTGCGTATTATGCCACAGCCTATACATACATGATGTGTTCTGTTTGGACGAAGGCTTCGTTTGCATGATGGACTCAAAGGATTTCCTACTATCATGGACGTCTGTTGACTCGGGTAAGGTATTTGGTGGCTCTCTGGATCTTGACTTAAGTGCCTAGGCCAAAATTCTTGACGAGTCCGGTGACCTCATCGGCGAGGTCAGGGCTTCTACTCTCCTGATTTTGTCTGAGCGTCTGCTCAATATGCAGTACGAGGCTTAGAGATGCGGGATCTAACGAATTGTAGCAGGGTTGGCGCGTCGCTGCTCAAGTTAGGCAACTGGAATTGTCCGGCATCAGGAGCTTGCACGCCACGTCTACGCTTTGGCTGCTGTACGTCTGGCTCCGTTGGAGGAGTGGAATTGGTGCCATCTCGAGGTGTCTTCCGATTAGCATGGCATCGAAGGAGGTATCAAGCATACAGATCTCTAACTAACGCGATGGTCTTCTCTTTCAATCCTATCTTGAAATTCAGGTCGGTTATAGGATTGTGGAAGATGAATTCTATATGGTCTATGGAGGGCAGTCGTCTCAGCCATGCTATACCCCAGATCAGGCCATAAGAGCTGACTGCATCAACATGTTGGAAAGTAACCTTTTCTACCTTGGGTAACATCTCTCGTATCTTAAAGAACAATTCAATAGTTTCCATAGCTCTATATCAAAAAGTTCCTTCTATCGCCCTCTTCAATACCTTTTGACTCAAAAACGCTGTAACTTGCCGTTTGCGAGGAACCTAGAATATGCATCAGTTTTGACTCTATTCGCTCTTTTGCCGAATGGCATTGAGAAACTGTAAGCGCCAAAGTGTGACTTCTGCAGTTTCATTGGACCGGCATCGAACTATGTGTTTATCAAAAGCAATAATTGCCGCGCATTGACCAGCAAGATCAGCAAGGGATGAACATATTTCAACTTAGGGTTGTTCCCATCGCTGCTGCTCTTAATGATCGCAGTTATTCAAGCGTTCGTCAACTAAAGCATTGAATACAGTTCAATATGACAGTCGAAACTGGAGTCGATCCGGGTCCAAGCTCTCGTCTTGTGGAGTCCAATGATCCGGAGAGGAACCAAGCACAGGTGGCGATCCCTCTAGAGCGCCAGTCGGCCATTTGCAGAAAGGTTCATCGAGCATTTATTATGATGCTTAGAAGTGTTGCTTACTGTTTCCTAGTTTGACCGCCGTGTTTTGCCAATTGTATGCACTCTTTACATTTTGTCCTATTTAGATCGAGGTGAAGCTATCTCCAGTGATCCATATGGCCCCCTAGCTCACAAATAACCAGGGAACATTGGCAATGCAAAAACTGCCGGACTCGACACAGATCTTAATCTCAGTGATTACCAATGGTCTTGGGTTTTATATGCTTTTTATATCTCCTACATCGTGTTTGAGTGGACTACCGTCCTATGGAAAATCCTTCCGGCGCATTCGTATATTGCTGTTCTTTGTATTTGGTAAGTTCAAACATCTCAGGCTGTTTCCACTTTGACTCTTAACCATTGCGCTGCTAGCTGGGGCACGGCTGCTATGTGTAGCGGTGCAGTCAAGACTTTCGCTCAACTTCTCGCAACTCGGTCGTTGTTGGGTTTCTTCGAATCTGTCTTTGGCTGCGGTGCACCATATTTCCTATCCTTGTTCTACCAAAGAAAGGAACTAGGGCTCCGAGTATCATTACTCCTTGGCATGTCTCCAATTGCCAACTGTTTCGCTTCTGCTCTTGCCTATGGTATCACCCATATCAAGGGGTCTATAGAGCCATGGCGCTACCTATTTATCATCGGTGAGACACGATCACCCACCGAATTCCACCTACCTAGACACTGACTGTAAACAGAGGGCGCGCCGACAGTCCTATTCTCAGTCGTAGTGTTCTATTTCCTCCCAGACTCACCAGGCACCGCATCTTTTCTAGACAAAAAACAACAAAAAGAAGCAGTAGAGCGCCTTCAATCCTTCGACAGAACAGAAAAGAGCAAAGTCCACTGGTCACAGGTCTTAAGCGGATTAAAAGACTACAAAAACTACATCCACACAGCTATTCACTTCTGCTGCAACTACTCGTTCGCATGCCTGTCAAACTTCCTCCCTACAATCATCGAGCACATGGGCTACACATCCATCAACGCCCAGGGCCTATCAGCACCGCCCTACCTCGTCTCCTTTCTTTGCTGCATAGCAGCCGCCTTTCTCTCGGATAGATGGGGAAACCGAGGAGTCCTCATTACAGCCTTTGCGACGATGGCGACAATTGGGTATCTCCTCCTGACATGCGTGCAAGATGAGTCAAAAACTGCAGCTCGGTATGCAGGAGTTTGGCTAGCAACGTGCGGAATCTTCCCTGCTCTCGCATTGAATGTGACTTGGATGCTTAACAACCAGGCCGGGGATAGTAAGCAGGGGGCGGGTATGGCTCTTCTGGCTGTTTTCGGTCAGTGTTCTAGTTTGGTTAGTAGTTCTGTTTTCCCGGATTCTGATGCGCCGCTATATACGATGGGGTGTGCAATCGGTGCTGCATTCTCTGGGTTGATTGCTTTCTTGGCTTTGGGGTTGAGTCTTCAGATGAAGTATGAGAATCGGAGGCGGGACCGGGTTTATGGGGTTGTTGATCCTGATGAGAGAGTTGATGTCACTGAGGGTGATAATCATTCGAAGTTTAGGTATCTGACTTGAAAAGATTGGATGGGTTTATTTTCCATGATGTGTGCGTTATTCACTGATGTATTGATTTCTTTCATGATTGTCATGCTATTCGAATATTAGATTTCGATAATCGCTCATGATTGATTTGGCGTCTAAAAGGATCTATTAGATCTATCTCTTCCGGGAAACTTCCCGGTCAGACTCTTAGGGGAAGTCTTCTGAGGCTGACATCTAGTTTAGCTCTCGGAGTAGGTTGTCCAGCGTCACTCGAGCCTTCTTAATATCAGGTGCTTCACCTTCCCAGTAGATCAAGGCCTCAAGTGTCCGACGCAAGTGACTCTGAAGGCCGCCGGGATGAATACTGGGAATAATGACATTCCCGCTCCTTGCCAAGGCAATGAAAATTAGTGAAGCAGTCACCAAAGCTCGCAGATCAAACCAGATTCCATGATGTCGATGGCGAAGCGACCGCGCTTGGAGAATTTTGTCGCAGCAATCTAATCCAGATTCAACGAGGCCCTGGATTATACCTAACTCATCGCTAGCAAGCGGAGGTGTTGAATTATCTGGAGCTGTAGATGCTGTGCTCATAGGATGGTGGGCTGCGTAGTATAAAAATGGCTGGTAGAGCCATAGGCGTATTTCAAGGAAGCGATTGCTGAGCGCCCAGCTCAATTCCCTAGATATTGACCCTTGGAGGTCTGTTGTGTATCTTTGTCCGGCATTGCCCATAATCGGGTCATTCTCATAAGATTGCATTGCTGGCGGGAGATTTGCAAACCATGCGTTAATCTGAGATTCGAATTCGAGCGCTATCGGAATCAATGGCTTGATGTTTGACCATGTGGATGGAGCTTCGCGGTAGAACGCGTTCAGGACTCGATTTCCCATCCTTCTCAACGCCACTTCCGTAAGATAGTAATACCAGCTTTGCTCTTCATTGAATAATTTGGAAACATGGCTGTAGACGCCTCGTCCAGGCAGACTGGATTGATCATCCTCCGGGGATTGAGTTGCATTATCATTAATCCAATCAGATGCTTGATCTCTGCGCCTCAGGTATTCCTCTGATAGAGTGGGAGGTGTGGGGAAGAGGGCTGGGTACTCGTACTCGGCTATAGCGGACTGTGGCAGTGGAAGCTCCACGCGAATCTCGACTTCGGACTTAAAACATGACCAGTATAGGCTTTGTTCAAGACGCTGGGCAACAGACGCTCCTGGTTGCTCTGATTCATAAGCTGACTTGTCAAGTCCGTCGATCAGTCTCAGGCGTAGTCGATAAAATGTAGATGCCTGGTAGAAATGATTCCAAGCCGACAATGGGCGAAATGTGTACATCAAGTACACTGTGAAGAGAGCTGTTAGAACAGTGACATCATCGCAAACAGTATTTTTCTTCCAACATACCTCCAGCAAAAAAGTGGCACTGGGCACCGATGACCGAGTACCGCAAGAGACCGATTCTCCTGCAAGCCATCATAAAGAAAGCCTCTCCTTCGCGCAACTTTGTATCTGAGCTGGAGTTGAATCCTGGGGCCTGCCAGCTAATCCCATCATGAAGAGATCTCGCAGTCTGAGGTAATTGGATCGAAGTGTCGAACGGTTGCGAGATACAACCCAGCGCGCAAGCCAGTAGAACAAGACATGACTGAGCATCCCACTGAAGACCAAATTCAGCTGCATGCCTTCCAGACCGGATCAGAGATTCTAAATCCAGTATTGGGTTTTTGGTGTGAACGTTCTGAATAAAACGATCCACCAATGCTGGAATCTGTTCATCTGGCGTGTATTGAAGACCATCTGGTAAAGTCAATGAGTCTGTCGGTCTGTCTTCGGATGCACCATGTGAATAATGGAACAGAGTCGTGATGAGAGAGCTTTCTCGAAATTGGCCGCGGAAGATTGGCCAGCTTAGCACCGTGTCAGAACTACATCTCCCTGCAGGGATCCGCAAATAGTCTTTTTGTAGCTCTGCAGATCTTATAGGAGCACTGCCACGCCTGTCTTGGGTCTCTAGTTCTGGAGACCTGCTAGGTTGAGAGGTGTCTATTGCTTCAAGTTGTCAGGGTCTGACACTCTGTGGTGCGGGGGGTTTGATCTACCTCTCGAACCGAGCATGTTCTGCATCTGCTCAACTGTTTGGGATAGTGTGTCCAATTTCTTCAGGACTTGCTTCAAGTCTCTGGTCACATTGTTAAGTATAACTTTTGATAAGAGTCATAACCGGGAAAACATACTGCTTACACCCATCATCCCCGCGAGTAACATATACGCACTCGGTTTCATTGGCACAACAGAAACCACAGGCTGGCTGGCCATTGTCACAGCGCACCTTTCGCCGGCGACACGTTTGGCAAGCCGGCTTTCGACGAACTGGACCTCTTTTTACCCTCTTGGGTGGTGGCTGGTCATCTTCGTGACCGTCTGATCTTGATGAGTTCGATTCAAGTTCTGGGTCCATTGTCTTGGTAGTGATGATGCAGAAGCCAAATGAATCATAGGAGAAATGAGTCTGTTCTACTCCGATGTACGGGGTAAGCGGTAGTTCCCCAGAAATCCCCCGTGTTGACCAATCACAGCCGGCGAAAAATCTGGAGGCAACACGTGATTTACCAGTTCAAGGTCGTTATACTCGGTTATTTACTGTGATGAGTCAATTGGTGTGTAGTTACGTTCAATATGCACTGGTAGATACTTGGAAAACCTCTGTTAGCTAGTGTGGTCCCCATTAGGGTAAACATGCCTCTATAAAGATGTGACACTTTCATGCGAACGACGTTGAAAACCACTACAAAAGTGCAATTCAATAATTTTTCTACCACACAAATTTGAGAAAAATAACATTCCTTGGATCTTATAACCTAAAATCTAAGAATCGCCGGTCGCATCGTCCACAATGGCTCGATACTCTCGCTGCCTCACACATTGATCCAAGAAGACCTGATATTTAGCCCGAAGCAGAGCTTTTTCGTGCTTATCCTCTGTAGGGTAGAATGCTTTACCAGGCTGGCTCATTTCATCAATCACATCCCACAAATCAATCGTCTTGCCCTCCGCATTCACCGTGGCTGCTTTGACACCAAGCATGGCAGCACCATGGCAGACAGCAGCATGGATGTATCTCGGAACCACGACAGGCATGTTACAAGATGAGGCAACCAGATTGACCAAAATATCATTCTGGCATTGTGACCCCGACATGAAAATGTGACTGATATGGTGCCCCGAGTCATTCATCGCGTCGACAATCTGTTTGGTTTGTAAAGCGATGAACTCGAGGGTGCCATAATACTGAATAGCGAGACTGTCAATCGAGATATCACTTGATAAGCCAATCATGGAACCTCTCATCTTAGAGTCTGCCAACGGGGACCTGTTTCCAAACAGGTCTCCATAGAAGAAGAAATGCCGCGCTAGATCAGCTACACAGTGCACGCCTTTTTCGACTGCTAGCTGGCTAAGATGAATATTGAGAAAGTCAAATATGTTCATCCCAGCGCTCTCAGCACTGGCAAGTGCCTGCTTAGATGCCGGGTGTGTCTCAAGCACATGCTTGAGCAACTGCCCGGTCGCAGACTGACCTCCTTCAGCCATCCAACAATCCGGGAAGATCGTATCTCGATACGGACCCCAGACACCAGGCACAAAGACAGGCCTAGGAGACATAGCGATATGGCACGATGACGTTCCAGCAACCACAGCCAGTCGTGAGAATGCTTCCATCCTTCCACTGAAAGCCAAGTCTAAGTTGATGCTTGGTGTTGACTGCTGCTTCATATCAACCTTAGCACCAACAGTACCAATCCATCCAGCATATGCATCAATGACACCGCTTCCGATCGCAATACCCGGCAGAAGGCCCAGCTCATTAGCAGCCTTCTCGCAAAGAGTGCCGGCAAGGTCACCTGCGTTCAAGTGTCGACCAGTCTAGTAACCCGGTGTCAATATGACTATTTCAACAATGGAACTCAATCTGAGTATTTTTCATGAATACATACCTCTCCGTTAACACCTCCAATTCGGTCAAACCCATTTCCAGCAAGCTCTCCCAATCCAATTTGCTGCAGGAGGTCCTCCTGCCAGCCCTTCTCACTCCCTTCGACACCTTTCGGTAGATACCCCTGCTTGCAGACCATACTAGAGAAGCCTCTCGCCTCCCCACCCGTCGCAATATGTGTGAGAGCATCGACAAGATCGTAGAATTTGGATTTAGCAAAGGTCTCCTTAGGCATGTTGTTTTTCAACCAGAGAATCTTGGGCATCTCCATCTCAAGAGACATCTTTCCTCCCACATAACGCAGGACTTTGTGACCGGTGGCGTTTATGATATCCGTTTCTTTCGATGCACGATGATCCAGCCAGAGAATAACATTGCGTTCTGTATTGAAGTCGGGCGCGGTGACAGAGATAGGGTCGTCAGTCTCACATGAGAAAAGACATAGGGAGCATGTGGCGTCGAGTCCGATGCCGTGGACTTGTGATGCCGGCGTATTGTGCTCTTCTAGGGCTCGACGGACAACCAGGCAAATGCATCGCCAGATATCAGTGGTCGATTGCTCCTATAATTCCGATGTCGGTCAGTTTTTCAAACATGCAGATGAGAGGTACAATTCCAGCATTTGGAGTTGACGCATACGTAATAGTCCTGTTCTGGCTGCCAAAGACCAATATTCTCAGAAGCAACGCTGACAATCTCGCCAGTATGGTCAATTAAACAGGCGCGTGCGCTCCCTGTTCCCACATCGATTCCAATATAATATCCAGTCTTGATTTGCATGGTGTCGGGGAGATTGTCGGGATAGTGAAGTAGCACAGAGAAATTGGCGAGACTAGGAGAGGTTGGAACCGGAAAGATTTCGCACTATAAATGGGACCATCATACTCAAGCAAATTTTGACAAATATCAACAGCAGATTCAAAATGGGGCTGTAAGCAAAGCAGGTATATGAACTGGTGCATACTTCGCGGGCATTTCGCCGTTTGTCCCGTCCACAAATAGACGGCTCACTTGCGAGTGGATCAAGAGCAAAGCCACCTCTAAGTCTATCGATGGCAAAACATGGTACTTATCGATAGTTATGTTGCATTCTAGGTCATGGTTATACCAGCGGCTGACTATCAAGTTTCTCCGTGGCGAATTGAAAATAGGGCTGCAGTAGGTGTGATCAGTGTGGCGCATATTTGCAAATAACTACTTCAACCTGTGACATGAAGTGCAATTTACTGATTCTAGTCCTGTGACAAATAATAATCTTCTACTATTTCTTCTGATATATAGAAAATGTACAAGGCATTATTCCTCAACACCCGCGATGAGGGTCTTGATTCCAGTCCCAGCCTTGACTTGCTCGAAAGCCCGCTCAGCATCCTCAAACTTGAAGATATCAGTAATCAAATCCTGCACATTGACTTTCTGAGAGGCAATAAGCTCAATGGCAAGCTTGTAGTCACCACTCGAGTACCGGAAGCTCCCCTTGATGTTTAATTCCTTCGTACACGCAGCCGTAATAGGGAAATTCACCTCATCGCGTCCCATACCACCCTGAACATAAGTACCACCAGCACGAAGAACATGAATACCAGTATTGATCGATGCCTCTGCCCCAGAAGCATCAATCACAATATCGGCACCGTTGCCCAGATCACTATCGGCATTCAAACGCGCGGCATTTTCCATCGCGGAAACGGCTCCTGGTAAGTAAGTCGAAGTCGCCCCATAGAGCTTAGCAAACTCCAGCCTTTTCGGTTGGATATCCACCGCAACAACTTTCCCAGCCCCAAACGCCTTGGCTACAGCACAGCACAACAATCCAACGGGCCCCGCGCCAAAAACCACGGTAGATACGCCTGGTGACACCTCTGCCCGTCGGACAAGATGCACTGCAACACTCAGCGGCTCCACAAGGGCGCCTTGCTCTAGAGTCATGCCTTCTGGGATTCTATAACAAAGATCCTCTGGTAGGCGATAGTATTTCGCCAGGGTTCCGTCGTAGGGGGGTGTTGCGGCAAATGCCATGTCGGGACAGAGATTGTATGTTCCAACTTTGCATGCATCACAGCGACGGCATGGTTCGCCAGGCTCCATGGTGACGCGGTCGCCGACTTTCAACGTTGTGACTTTGTTGCCTACTTTTTCGACAATTCCGGAGGATTCGTGGCCTAGGACCATTGGTTGCTCGACTTTGAAAGGGCCAATTTGGCCGGCGTGCCAGTAGTGTACCTGAAACGTATGTTGGGGTTAGATCTTGCTTGGTTGAATCAATCTTTCTGTTGCAGTACTCACATCGCTCCCACAGATTCCAGTAAATTTCACCCTCACAAGGACGTCATGGGGGTCCTGTAGTTGAGGAATAGGACGGTTCTCAAACTTCAGGGATTGAACCTTTTCAAGGACAAAGGATAGGTTCTGTTCAATGTTAGATAGTCTTATAGATCAGGACTGGGAGCACCGACCTCCGTAGAATGCATCTTGCCGTCTGTCAACTTGCTTTCACTCGAATTGAAATAAGGGCAGATATTATTTCGGGCCATTATCTGAAGCTCCTATCCTTAAATACATTTGGGTTTCCAGCGAGACAAAACCCACCCTCGTGGTCAACGGAGGTTACGGCGTCTTCGCCGTCCACGGCTCCACTGGGCGGCTCGTTCCTCCACATCTCGGCCCATTTCTGGCTATCAAATCGAGGAGCATTTTATCATCTTTCCATTGAATAAGAGCCTTACTCTTCCAGGCCTCCCACCCTTCGTCTTCAAATTCGAAAGCCCGTCGAAGCCCCGTAAACAGGGGTGGAAGTGTATCCGCATCTAGAAAGGACCCCTCAACCCCAAGAGCAAAGAAGAATCTCTGAAGCTTTCTGCACTTTATAACATAGTCTGCAAGATCCTTACGACCTCTCTCGCGAAAGATATCAGCCAGTCGTAGCTCATCCACAGCTAGCTCGTTGAAGCCATCGTAGAATGCGCCTACTGGCCACATCATACACGGGGAAGAGAACGCCTCGGCTTTGGTGACGGTCTGAGTCCATTCCCAATCAATAATTCCCACAATATCGAAAGATTCATTGACCAAGATATGGTCGCCTTTATCGTCCGGGTGCTTGAGGAAGAATTGCTCGTCTGCTGGGATGTCGGTTAAGAGAGAGTCGATAATCTCTTGACGGAACCGGTGGACAAGGTAGGTTTCAATCGGGCAGCAGGGGTCAATCTCACCGCTAGCTATCATCGTGAGATAGGCTTTCAGCGTGGCTTGTATCCATTCTAGCGCAGAAGGGAACGGACCGAGCCTACCCTTTCCCGCTTGGAAAGTTGATGGATAGGTAAGTCCTTGAATTTGGATTTCATCTTCTACCAAGATGGGCGATCCTATCGATTTGAAGGGATGCTTCTCAATTTCGAGAAGAATTTCCACTAGCTGCTGCATCACTTTCTCTTTTTGCTGTAGGGTCGCCCCTTGCCAATTCAGAGGCTTTCCGTCCAGCTTTTCCATCATGATATAGTCAACTCCAAGTGCATTCCCTGGGCTGGATTCACACGCCCAATCGAATATTCTGGGTGATGGAATCTGAGTATTTCGCTGAAGATAGGTCATAGTAGCTGCTTCACTTTGAAGAATACAATCACAGACTTGACGGGGTGGTGTTGAAGTCCTGGTAAGACGGAAGCGTGCGAGCCATTTGACACCATCATCAAACATGATCTCGGCGTGACAATTCTGGTTGCCCATCATCGTCGATAATGCCCTATGGGATAAGTCCACAGTGCATAAGATACCATTTCGGAGCATTGACGCACGGGCACATAGTTCTGAGCTGTCTATTCGACGGCGTAGCTCGTCTATGTGGCGGGCTTCGGTGGCTGCGTATTGAGCAGAGTAAGAGTCCCAGTCTTCCTTAAGTACGGGTCAGCAGGGCTTCTCTAGCGAATGTTTTCCTGCTACGCGCCTCCGATTTGGGACATTTGTGCCACGGCTTTTGGCGGTGCGTGCGACACAGGTGTTGATCGCACAACAAGCAGTCTCCTGTTCTCTGAGCGGCCAGGCTCTTACAGCTGATCCAGTCACAATTCCAGTGATTCATGGTGTGTATTTGACTCAGAAAGAGAAGACGATGGTCGCTGAACTTAAGTGATGTTTGCTTGATGCCGGGAAAGGACGGTGAGCCTGGGTTGTTTGACTTGCATGGTGTAGCCCCAGTCTCCGCCTTTTAGATGACCATGCAGCACACGGGATATGGGAATTACTCCGAGAGTAATTCACTTATACTTTTTAATAAGACACGCAATCCAACCTCGAAACTTGGAAGGGCTACACCAGGAACAAGGCACAAGGCACAAGGTAGAAGGAACCAACCTTGCTTTTCCCCGGAATATAACTGGAACAGACAATATGAGCAATTTAAGGCACCTTGAAAACCAATCAAGAGACTCAAACAAGCCCGACTCCACCGGCGCACTGTAGTGTCCAGGCAGCAAAATTCAACTAGCTCAGCCCTATGGTAGTGTGGAGACATTCAGCCCTACACTTGTGACGTTTGGCATGTTGAACCATGTCCCCTCTGGATTCTTAGCTCTTACTATCTCTCAACTTCCCAAGAACCACTTGGCCAATATCAGATGCAGTTCCCCCGGTTGATGTTGGTTCTTTCCGCCTAAACAGGGCCCGAACTGTAATCCCGCTCCAGTCCTGACGCGAGAATGACCAGATGCCACTCCAGTCATTTCGGTGATTGGTCCAAGTGAATACTTTGAGTCATTAAAGTTAAGAATCACGACATCGCTGTATACACGGATTCAGCCCTATCAACCCGTGTTTCGCCATGGAGTCCATACTACTTCTATGCCTTTGCGCTCTCCTCCTTTTCTTCTTCCTGCTTCAACTTCGATTCTCTGTCGCTTTATGGAGAGCAGACTGGAAGGAAGAGACACTTTACGAACATCCAAGGCAGCTGCGACGCCATGCCGGAACCTATCTCGACTCGCGTCGGCCACGCTTTAGCCAGAGTCTTACGTATTGACTTGGACCCAGCAGAAACGAGGCGAGATGACACCGGCCCTTTCAGCTATGTCGAGCATGAGCCGACTGCTGGAGACTGGATTCGATCACATACGCCAACCTCCCTTCAAGTCCGTCGCTACTTTATCAACATGTTTCCCTTTCTCCGGTGGATCACCTCGTACAACACGCAGTGGTTGGTTGGGGATCTCGTTGCAGGTAAGGTATTCTTCTAAGGGGTGTGACACAGATACTCACAGCGAGACATCACAGGTATCACGGTCGGTGCGGTGGTAATCCCCCAGAGCATGGCCTATGCCGAGCTAGCCAAATTGCCTCCAGAGTACGGTCTGTACTCTTCATTCATGGGAGTCTTGATTTACTGGTTCTTTGCCACCTCGAAAGATATCACAATTGGGGTAAATCTTTCCTTCTTCTTTCTTGTTCTTTTGAGGCCGACGGTCTGACATTGCTAGCCCGTGGCCGTGATGTCTACACTAGTCGGCTCCATCCTCATCCGAGTCCAAGCCGTTCACCCTGAGATTCCCGGTCCAATTATCGCTTCTGCTCTAGCAATCATCTGTGGCGCAATTGTTGCATTCCTCGGGTTCTTGCGTCTTGGTTTTGTTGTCGATTTCATTCCGCTCCCTGCCATTATGGCGTTCATGACCGGATCAGCCATCAATGTCTGCGCTGGCCAGGTCAAGACTGTTCTGGGGGAAAAGGCGAAATTTTCCACTCGTGGTGCAACATACAAAATCATCATTGATACCCTCAAGCATCTCCCTTCGACTCAAATGGACGCTGCAATGGGCCTGACAGCTTTGGCCATGCTCTATGCCATCCGGTCTGCCTGCAACTATGGCTCAAGGAAGAAACCTCATAAAGCCAAACTCTTCTTCTTCCTGTCTACTTTGCGAACTGCTTTTGTTGTTCTTTTCTACACAATGATCAGCGCTGCAGTCAATATTCATCGACGCGACCACCCTGCCTTTAAGCTACTCGGAAACGTTCCTCGTGGGTTCAAGGTCGCAGGGATTCCGAAGATAGATATTCAAATCATCAAGGTTTTTGTGGGAGAGCTCCCTGCTGCTATCATCGTCCTCTTGATTGAGCATATTGCAATTTCCAAGTCATTCGGCCGGGTCAACAATTACACCATAGACCCTTCACAAGAATTCATCGCGATCGGCATCTCCAACCTGCTCGGGCCCTTCTTAGGAGCATACCCAGCTACGGGCTCGTTCTCGCGAACTGCTATCAAGGCAAAGTGTGGCGTACGTACTCCTCTTGCGGGTGTGATTACCGCCGTTTTTGTCCTTCTTGCGATCTATGCTCTTCCTGCGTTATTCTTCTATATCCCGAAGTCTTCTTTGTCGGCCGTTATTATCCATGCGGTAGGCGACCTCATCACACCACCCAGTGTCACCTATCAGTTCTGGCGTGTTTCTCCTATTGATGCGCTCATCTTCTTGATGGGTGTTATCGTGATCATCTTTTCAACCATCGAGACCGGAATCTACTGCACAATCTGTGTATCACTAGCCGTCCTTCTGTTCAGAACAGCCAAATCTCGAGGCCATTTCCTCGGCTACGTTCGAGTCTTTTCGGTCGTCGGTGATCATCTGCTGGATGGGTCCCAGCGAAACATCAACTCCGACTTTGATGCAGACAGCGGCCGACGAGTCTGGCTCCCGACCTCGCATCATGATGGAACAAACCCATATGTAAAGGTCCACCAGCCTGCTCCTGGAATCTTCGTGTACAGAGTGTCAGATGGGTTCAACTACTCGAACGCAAATCACTACACCGACCATCTCGTCCAGCATATCCTAGAGACAACACGTCGCACAGATCCAGAAGCATGGGAGAAGCCAGGAGACAGACCCTGGAATGATCCAGGACCAAGACGCGCTGAGCGAAAAATGATTAGGGCACAGGAGCCCCCGACCACACCTCTTCCAATTCTTCGGGCAGTAATTTTCGACTTCTCCGCCGTTAACAATGTGGACGTGACCTCCTGTCAAAATCTGATCGATGTCCGTAATCAACTTGACCGCTGGGCATCTCCAAAACAAGTACAATGGCATTTCGCTCATGTCAACAGCCAATGGACAAAGCGTGCTCTCACCGCAGCAGGATTCGGTATGCCCAGTCCCGCCAACGATGGAACATACAAAACCAAGGCAATTTTTGACATCGCGGAGATCGTGGACGACGGCACACCATCCGTCACATCAAACCAATCCCAACCCTTGGCTTCAAAGGAAGAAGGGGCTAAAGACCTAGAAATCGGAATCAAAGTCCAAGAGAAAAGCGCCAATTCCTCCATCACAGGCACGGCTGAAGATGAGATTCAAGTCATGCAATCAGCCACTAAAGCTGAAACTACGCAGACTGCTCGCTGCCGCCGTCAATCTGGCTCTAGCCCCGATATGGCCGCCGTCGATGGCATAACCACGCCCTACTTCCATATTGATCTAACCAGTGCGCTGCGGAGCGCCATGGCGACTTCATAGAGAGAAAACGGGAATCGCGAATTTCACCTTGGATTCGCTCTTTGAAGAATTTCATGTTTACCTCAAGCATGAGGTTAAGTTGAATCTTGTCTAGCCCCGGGATCCTCTTAGCTTAGCTCCGCTAGTTCAATCCAGAGTCCCCACTATAGCTTCTTCGGTTAGCTTCCTTTGTTTACTGTACACACCGCTGTCTGGATCCCTCGGTTATTGAACTGGCGGTGTCAGATCTTTATTTGCGATTTGTTGAGGTAAGCTTTTGGTGTACTATTGGTAGTATTTTGCCGGATGATCTCGTGTTCGATACTGTAACCTGAGCTGCAGGGCTAAGTGAAGTGGTAATATTGGTGATATTTTCTTGTAAAATACTGGAAAATAGCTATCAGTATACAACACGGATAAATCAGTCCATAGTGCGATGAAGTAGTGGATGATTTCTATCCGATATTCTCAAAGCAGGTATGCCATTCGATCAGTTACGTCCATTTTCGAGTGACTTGCGTTGATCATTCAAGTATTTACAGGGGGCATAGAAGGATTTAGGCTCTATCGTACTATACTGCTAGAAGTGAATTTAACTGCATACTCCATCGAAGAACATTCGGAGAATGTTGCCGAACTGGGCAAGTGAGGTGAGGTGGTTTTCGGGTCTCCGCCTCAGGCCAGCAATCGCGAAACGCGAAACGCAGACTCTTCAACTTCAGCTGTAGTCAGGCAGGACCATCTGCGTTTCTGACCCCAAGAAATTAACGTCATCTGATGAACCTCGCCGGTACAACAGTACAATTTTGCTCGCAAGTGGAAAGCTGCAATGGCCGGCAACGACGTCACGCAACATCCGCTGGTCCCGGCTTGAAGCGTTGAGCTTTGCTATATGGCGGCAAGACTGTTTTTTTCTGGAGAGACATTGACGGGTTGAGGTTGTTTGAGGCAGTTTGGCTAATCTTTTGACTTCCAGGTACGGCGGTGACTACGATACTACCTCTTCACGGTCGAGACTGCAAATGTTCACAGCGTATTCGATTCCTCTACAAGTCAACATGGGTAGTTCGTGATGTCTTCTCTCCCAGACCTCGACACACGCATCTTCTGTCCAACGACAAATTTATCCCGTGTACATCTCATTGACTTGGGGCCATTCCCATGCCATACCCATACTGGAGGCCTGAGATGAATCTATCGCGTTGGAACGAAACCCAGTGGAATCCACAGATATGTACTGATGGGGTCATGCAGTGCTGTACACATTCGTACCGTGTTGATATCGATTTCGGCATACACTAGACGGTGAACTTGAAGCTCCGTTGTGGCGGCATCAGATCGTCGAAGACAAGCGCTGATCGAGGCAGGGATGTTTCAACTGGATAACGCGGACAGCGTAAAACACCTCTCACAATGCGTCGCTGCACCGCCGAGGTTCAGGCTCTACTGATCAAGGCAGGTCTTGCAGTCGGTGCGCAGGTCGACGTCACCGGCGCCGCCGTGATCGGAAGGCGCCGCGGCAAACGGCGTGCATCTGCGATATACATATACCCTGCGTCGTGGTAAGCGAGATTAATCCGAATCTTCTCACCGTCACCAAATATCGTTCGATAACAGAAGATTGTAATCGCCATCATACTGCGTACTGCAAACATGGACGGATAGGGTCGTGCCATGGCAGTGATATCCGGAGCTCCATATGTCCGCGGTAACCGTAGCCGGCACAAAATTACGCGCAGGGGCCAATCTTGTGATTGCCGCTGTGGCCGAGAAAGCCTGACAATGGATCGAGGAGCATGGATATAAGCAGTCCAAACATGTCTCAATTGAGCACGGTAGTGGATATCTATTGTAATAAGATCTCAAGATCTATGGATACAAGCCATGAATACCCTGATGCCATGATTACCGGGAGACGGGGCCTGGTATCATAATTATAAGGACTGCTCAGTACTGTACGAAGTGTGCCAACTGGCCTTTCCGGGTATGACCTCACGTTTTCAGATCAATGATGAGTTGATGAGTCGGGTTACAATACCGTATTGACGGTAATACCCGATTATACCCGACCCTGGAGGGCGCCCCTTGGTATGTTGGATCTGGTACGGGCCATGATCCAGTTCAACTATTGTGCATTGCATATAAACCTAGCAATATTTTGATCTCCGAGTCAATTGCTCATTTCAACACCCTGCACACTGACCTACACTTGCAGTGTCAAGCAAGGGCAACGCGCGTAACGGTGCACCCTGAAATCGAGCTTGTGTGGGTCCGCCAAGCTAGCTGCGATCAGCCGAAATACCACCCAATCGAAATACACCCGGAAGAATGCTCAGAGCCTCTGGTTTGCCCGTTTAGGGGCTGATTTTGGGATACTGAATTTATGGCCGAGGGAAGGCCTGGGTATATAAAGCTCTCCCCGGGCCCTGTGGACGCAGGCCGGGAGATGGTGCTAATTTCCTGAATTACCGTGCAGTGTTTTATACCTGTATCCCTTCGTTTCCTGGGGACCCGATAGCAGACCAGTTTCTGGCTGTGATAGTCGGGTTCTGGCGGGTCGGGAATTCAGACTAAGTGGACCGGCGAACGCGAGGACACGACAACCCGGTTTTTTTTTTTGGTCCTTTTGCGCTGGTTCTTTTTTTCCGTCCCTCCCTTGCACAGTTCGCATTGATATCCCCTGCTCCCTGTCTATCAGAATTGCAGTTTTCAGGCTTGGTGTGAGGCTGTTGGATAGGTCTCCCGAACAAATCATTACGTATTCCCCATTTGACCACTCGGTGAGGTGGATTCCCGAGTCAGAAGGGAGATCCACTAAGCCCACATTTCTCTCCTTTCAGCCGACCAAAGTGGTTGCCCAGTGACTCGAGTGGTGGACCTGGAATCCGAGTCGGGCCGAATTGGGCGACGCCGGGAAGCAATCCAGAAACATAGGGGACCGGTACACATTATGATTGGTTAACAACAGCTCAGCTGTGGATAGATCCACAGGATTGGAACATGCTTAAGCTCCACTTCCGATCCACTGCAAGGGCGAAATGAATGTATTTTTCGATTTGGGGGATTTTATTTTATTATTTCGTCCTTTTCCTCTGGATATTTCTATATTCCCTCCCTTCTGTCCCCTTGTAAGGGGATAGTATAGGGATACATGACTCCGTACAGCTTGTCTATACGATATCCATACTCCCATTACTCGTGTATAGAATATTATTGAATAATCACACTCCATCCCATTATGCAGGGGGAATTATATCCCCCCATGATATGATCCATCCTTAATGGTCTCCGTCTGAACCCGATAATACATGTAAGAATGGTAAAACGAAACCAAAACATCCCCCCCAGCATTCCTCGCAGCATGATTTGCGAATGAAATACTCCGGAGTCCACGCACAGAGTAGGGCTTTTTCCCAACAGAGCGCACTAGGACAGAACAGGAGGCGGACGGGCGAAAATTTGGCCGTAGAGTATTTATGTCCTGGGGCGGCCTTCTCCCGAAGTTTCCCAGCTTTTTCCTCCCTGAAAAGTCCGTCTCTCCTCTCTCTCTCTCCTTCTTTCTTCCATCCCCCCTATAATCCATATCCATCACAATGGCCACCTCTCGTGTCTTCGCCGCCCGCATGGCCTCCATGGCCGCCCAGACCTCCAAGGTCGCCCGCCCTGCTGCCCGCTTCCAGCTCAACGCTGCCACCAAGCGCACCTTCACCTCCCAGAAGGCCCCCGTCGCCACCTTCGGTGCCCCCAAGCGCATCCAGTCGCCCACCCTCCTCCAGGCCAAGGCCTTCCAGACTGCCGCCCGCCGCCAGTACTCCTCCGAGGTCGCCTCCGCCATGGTTGAGGTCTCCAAGAACATTGGTATGGGTTCCGCCGCCATCGGTCTCGGTGGTGCCGGTATCGGTATCGGTCTCGTCTTCGCCGCTCTCCTCATGAGTGTCTCCCGCAACCCTGCCCTCCGTGGCCAGCTCTTCTCCTACGCCATTCTGGGCTTTGCCTTCGTCGAGGCCATGGGTCTGTTCGACCTGATGGTTGCTATGATGTGCAAGTACGTCTAAATTATCACAACTCGGGCACAGCAATTCTTGGATAAAACCCTGTTTTCTTTCCTATTTTTACCGGAGATGCGGGTTTGACGAGGATCTTTTCCGCCGGGGAGGGTATTTGGTCGTGATGTATTACCATGTACTACTTTCAGCGTCATCTACAACACTTTTCTTTCTGTACATATAGAGTCTATATGGCCCACCGACCATCCCAACTATCAAAGAGCCAAACCAAAACTCTGTGTGTTGAGTCTGACGGCCGTATAACCTTCCCTTTCTCTCTCCCTAGAGTATCCCCAAGCCGGAACCCCGGGTTTGCGGCACTTGTAGACTTTTTCCCACCGCCAGCTTCCCCGTAGACTAGCCGGAAGCTCTGACTAGCTGGGTTCTCCAAATAAACAGCTATGGCTCTATTTGAGGGGGGGTTTCTTTCACTCCATTCCGGTGGATGTAGCTACGGGTCCCTGTGCAGACGGTGACCCGCTCTTCAACCCCCAATTACGCCACCGTCACTCTCCATTGAGCTCTAGAATGTAGTTGTGCTGGAATCTATGTGTCTGACAATGCGATTGACCTCTCTAGCCCGCTATTCCTGGCCCTGGAGGACCTCTTTTCAAGCTGAAGACCCTCGACGGAAAATCCTGCTAGCTCCCGGACCTCGGGAACGGCAGTCCCGTAGTCAGCTGACTCAGCCTCTGACATCAGATTGGCTTTCTGCATGCAGGTGCAGGGAAGATAGTGAAGCAGGTCATTTTGACTAGTAGATCTCTTTGGTCGGAATCAATTACAATTCTAGTCTTCAGGGGGCTGGAGGTGTTGACGCTGGACTGTGAAATTTGCTGCAATCGTCCCCGGTTTATATCGGAATCGAAAATGAATGCGTCTAGTCCGCTTGTGGGTTAGTGACTGTGTCAAATGTAGTGTATATTTAATGTCTAATCTTGTGACGAATTCGGAATTGGGTATGTCGTTGTATAGTTGGTTATCCATTGTGTTAGTGTGCTGTGCAACAAGGTGTTTCTAATGAATTGTGGGTTACAAAATATATATAGTTGGTCCTTGTTGATATTGCCTGACCTGGTTATATATTACGCTATAGTCATATTTCGACGAGATTAATGCTCCTAGAGATTTCAATTCATCCTATAAACAAGCTGATACTGATTCCTGCAAAACTTCATCTGATTCAAATGAAGGATGACACCTGTTATGTGATATTCGCGCGTAGACGCGCGCTGATCAAAGAACAGGGCCCAAGCGAGACACGCGACCTCTCGCGTCAAAATAAGCTCAAGTGCCAGCATAATCGAACTCCAAACCAATTGATAATAACAATCCATCGCCACAAGAAAATGGGGCCCAATGTCGTGACAAATAGCCAAAAAAAAACAAAAACAAAGCAATCGACTCCGAACATGCCATGATCGCTTGAACGCCGGGTAATATGAACCACAAGACTTGAAAAAGCAAATCCAAAGCAAAAATGACACAGTCACAATGACCCAGAACCAGAAAAGCCCCAGTGGCCCCTAGAAGATTTCCAGATCTTCAAACTCAACAACCAACCCATCCCCCGAACCAGCCGGCAACGAACCATCAAGAGCCATGCCAGGCATAGCATCCCACGCATTCTCCCCACCCGACAACCCCGTCGGCCGACTGGCATAGACGCCCACATGCACAAACTTATCCTCGACCCCATAAAAGAACCACGTAACCTCGCGCAGCTTCTTCCATGTGCTACCCACCGCCCCAGGCGACAGAGCATACGGCAGCGCCGACGGAACCTGATACCAAATCCACAATGCAAATCCCACCCGCTCAAGCTTGATACGCAGCGATTGCATCCCAGTCGACACTCCCATCCCCATCCCCATTCCCGTCCCCATGCCAGGGCCCGCCGACGCTAGTGGCGAAAGACACCAATCCGCCCCATCAGCAGTCGCACTGACAGACGAGGCATTCACGCTTCCCGACGAAAACTCCATGCCGGCCTTGACCCATTTACACGGGAAGCGCGGGTCAGACCCCGCCGATCCGGCGCTGGTGCCGGCTCGCCAGCCTGGCGTCGATACCGGGGTCGGTGCGTGCGCCGTGTCAACCTCTGAGAAGAGGGTGGATTGCGCGTGTGGTGCGGCGCCGGCGAAGATGACTAGCCCGCCTTGGTCGCATTCGAGCTCCCAGTCTGCGCTCACCGTTACTTCGGCTACGACGAAGGGGTGGCGGAGAGATGTGAACACGATTGGGGCGGTCGATGTGTCGCCGTTTGGTGGTTTGCGCCAGAGGTCTGTGTTTGGGCCCGCCGGTAGGGTGAAGTATTCCATGCATTGGGGTAGTTGGAAGGTTGGCGGTAGGTTGAGGGCCGTGAATGAGGTGCCTGATGGGGGCATTTTGGGGGGATTCGAGGGGGTTTCGTACTTTTGGTCCCTCGGGTGAGGATGAGTTGGAAGGAGAGAAGAAGAGAAGAGGTGATTATTTTATGAAAAAAAAAGAAAGGAAAGACGGTAAAGAAATTGGACGTCACAATAATCGGTCACACTATGATTCTCTCGAGAATGAAAAGGACCGGATTATGCAATATGCACTATGCAATAGGCAATATGCAATTAACAGCTGGTGTTTGCTGAAGGAGAAGCTCACAGCATTTGCTCAAAAGTTTAAGCAAGCCTAGTCCTCGAGGAAATGCAAGATTGTCAATTGTTGGGGTATGATGCAGTCGAGAGTCGGGACATGCGGATGCACCGAATGCGGGTTTGCGCCAGGGAACAAGCCAAAAAAGAAATGAGCCAAAGGAACAGAAAATCTTCTGGAGAGGAGGATGAGAATTAATGGAGACTAACCCCCGAGAACTAGCTATTTATATATAAATATTCCCATCTCAACAAGTCTTGTTCACCCTATCAATTGGTGCATCCCCGTTCAGGGGACGATCGTTCGAGGTCTCCGCTGGGGAAACTCCCATCTTCGAACCAGAACCTTGGAAAGCGGAACCGAGCTGTTGGATTCTTTGAGACGTCCGGATTCGCTTCTTTGTGGCTCCTTTGATGCCAGATGTGTGCTTTCGACCATGGCCATGCAGGCCAGTTTGCAAGTGGCGGGTCATCATGCATCTGGAGAGGATCAATCACGTTGTAACCGAGGATCTGAGGGGTGGAAAAGGACCCTAGCAGGAGAAACAGAGAGATCGAGAAACAAGGAAACGAGGATGCCTATGCTGACCTTCATTGATACATCAAGCACTGCTGGCGAGGGCTGAAACGAAGCGTCTCATACTCTCGTGCAACCGCGATATACAGTACATTCAAATGGTCGTGACCGAGGATCGATCGGTACAATGCATGCATGAACCTTTGGGTGGAACTCAGATTGATCCATTCGGCTTGAGAGCTGACTTCTTCTCAGGGATATACCCTGGTCGGCGGTTTGAGTTTGACAGCCGTACACTTCGAGTCCAGGCAAGTCAACAGACTCCTTTTCTTGCTTGTTTCGCTCTGGTTTTTTTTTTTTTTTGGAGACACTTGTTGAGTGGCGCTGTAAACAGGCTCAGCCACACGATGTGCACTGCACTTGGAGGGATTCTGCACGAGGCTAAAGAGGGTAATCAGAACAACCCAGTGCGTTTCAGAGAAATGTCTTTCTGATATCATCGACATGGGCAAATGGGAACAAAGTCTGTCCAAGAAAGGGACAATGTTCGACCAGGGCAAAACGTGGTGTTGTGCCAAGCACGCTCGTGATTGCTTCGTTTTCTTCCTTTTCAGACCTTCCATGAGTTGGCCTTGGGTTCTTTGACTGCCCAACATGCTGAGCCCATCACTTCATCCCACCGCCTTTTTGCATTCCAAATAACGGGGATTTCGTACATGTCTCCTACTCTCCCATTGCCCCGTTCTTTCATCCGACTGTCGATCTACTATTCAACGCCTTGGCCCCGATTTGGGGGCCAAAGTGTGACGAGTGCCTGGTTTAGCATCAACCAAGCCTAGCATCCTCAGGGACTCGTATTTCAACGCCCTGCGCCCTAACCCAGACACTCCGAACCAATCAACTGCGCCTCATCTCATCTTGGCCTCGTATCTCAGGGTCCTTCAGCCTCAACCCAATCTACGATAGTGTAGCATGTGCCCCCTAAACCCCCGACTTAAAAGCCCGGCGCTCGTAGAGTAGACTTGAGGGGGTTTCTCTTGAGATTCTAATCCTGAAGACAAGAGACTATCCGGGAAAAAAATGTCACCTCGACGCGGAGGGTATAGTAGTTACACTTCGGGCTATGACTCGAGTCCTTGGAGCAAGGAGACCCTTTTGAGTCTCGACTACTCATCGTACCGCTACCCTAACTACCGGACCCTCTATATTGCCGGGTTTGTCTTCGAGATCTTGACTGTCATTGCATTTGTCGCGTTTCTCATTTGGTCATGTACGATTCGCAATCGTGGTCTGCCAGTGAAGGGACTGATCTCCACTCTCTTGGCTTATATCCTGTATGTTGAAGATCAAGGCCTCTGGAATCCCCCGCCCTCTAACAATAGATCAGGTCTGAAGCATGCAATATCATCTATGAGGCTCTATTCATCGCTGATGCCTATGTCACGGAATACTACCGCATCATCCTGATGCTTGGGACTTTCTTCAATCTGCTCGCTACATTACTTCTATTATACGTCTTCTGGAGCCTCGTCCACCGCTTGCTGGGTCGTCTCACCGATTCCGGAAAACCATATGCAGCAGTGACCATCATCCATTGGATTCTTCTCGGCATATTATCGGCAGTGTCAATCGCCGACTGGGGAATGTATGTCGCTTACGAAGTCGGACAAGTGACATATATCAGCTTCGAGCTCATCTATGCATGGATTGATCTGGACGCCGCCCTAATGATCATCTTCTGGGTGCTAACAATTGAGATCATGGCCTGGACAATCTTCGTGACTGTCAAGGCGGGAACCCATCGCTTCCTGTCAAGAGTGAGTCCTCACAGCTCGACACAGTACCATGGAGCACATATCTAATCAGACAATTCTAGACACCCACCATTTCCCTCCTCGTCGGCTCCGTCTGCTGGTTCGCCGTGAATATGATGTGGGCCATCCTTGCCATTCGCTACAATCTTGAGAGGAATAGCTACCCTGTCTACCTGACATGCGCCAGACCAGTTATTGCCTTCGTCTTCCTGGTTGGTACCTTTATGGGGATTGTCTTGTGCTGTGCGAAATGGAGCACCCTTGGTGTTGGGCCGGATAAGTATGATCCTGCTGTTACTGGCCAGTACCCTCAATACCCTCCTGGACAGTATCCTGCATATCCGCAGTATTCTCAAGGACAATATCCCTCTGCTCAATATCCGGCTTATGGTCATCATGCTTCTGAAGCTCCAGGTTCAGGTCCAGCTTTAGCTCATTCGCCCCAGTAAAGCCCTGAGATGTCCCTGTTCTTTATGTTCCCGGCTTCATCATGCCAAAATTTGATACCCTTCTTTCTTACAAGTTATCTGAAAGCCTACTTATAATGTATCTTACATGCCTTAATTAACTCACGAAACTCATTTCCCCCAAAATTAAAGTCAGCTCCATATAGAACTAGCTCTCAGAAAAATAACCACAAGAACACATCCCAGAATAACAATAGAGAACCCCAACATAATCAACAACACGATCAACTTGAACGTCTTGGCATCGAAACCAGGCGGTGGCGCAAACCCGCGATAACATCACTTCCCTCACCCCCAAAAACCAAACTCGAACCCGACATCAACGCACCGCCAAAATGGTCTGCTCAAAATGCCAAAAGAAGCTCCAGTCTACAGAGCTAGCTACACCTGGTGTCAAGCGCAAGAATGATATGTACTATGGCTCTCCGAGTAGCTCGCTCGGCGGCGGAGACAAAGGCAAGGCTAAGCCGACATTAGGTGCGACGGGCATTGGCAAGGTATGTCATTTAATATCTGTATCCTTTACCAGCAAGGATGGAGCTTTTTTCCAGTTCTTTTGCATGGTCTATTCTATTCTGATTTGGACCTGGTTGACTGACATTGATTGCAGAGCAAACTGCTTAGCTCAAAAGCTAAGAATCCTTATGCGGCTTATTCTTCTTCTTGTGAGTCTTGTAAGACCAAGACCGAACAGGGGAAAAAGTATTGTCAGCGGTGTGCGTATAAGAAGAATGGTATGTCTTCTCTCTCTCTCTCTTCTTTCTTTCTTCGCTGTGTTGCTGACGTCTATCCGATAATTAGCCTGCGCTATGTGCGGCAAGAGTCTGACAGGAAAGCAATCCAAAGACCAGCCCATCGTACAGAGCCAGAAATTCAACTTGAAATGATTTGAAGTGTTGCAGATCTGGGTGGTTGTTCTGTGATTTCTAGAATTAAAATTTACATGGCATGGCGTTTAGGCATTATTGATACCGAATCAAACCCCAATGGAATGAATTTGATTGACAATGTAAGAAAAATCTAGTTATACATGGCATGCGCAATAAGTGTATATGCAGTGCGCCAATAGTGCGCTGATATCAAGACAAGTATGCCTTCTCTTCAGAACTTCGTCTCCACTTCCTCCCCCACGTCTTTTCAGCTTCTGGCGTTTACCGGTCGGCCAGCATGTTCTTGATGTTGCTGAAGTATTGCGTGTTCAGGTACTTGGGGAGCTCCTCCTTGGACAGCCACTTGAAGTCCTTCAGGTTCTGGGTGTTGATGGACATATCGACCTGGCCGGCCATGATACGAGACTTCAGGAAGAAGATCTTACTTCCGGCCACTTCAACTTCGGTCTTCTTGTCTGACTTTGCGCGAGGTGGGTTGAAGGCGTGCCAGCCGACGGGGTGATAGCCGACCATCCAGGTGTTCATGTTGACACCGGCGGACTGAGAGAGGGTACGTTCAGCGGCCTGTATTTGAAAGTCATCAAGTTAGTATGAGTGAGAGACGGCATTTCAAGATATGGATCTAACGCACCAAGCGAAGAGTCTCGCCTTCCTCAACTGGTGAGCTGGGGAACTTCCAATGTCCCTCCTTGGACTGAACCAAAAGGTAAAGTGTGCGAGAAAGCAAGCGATCCAGGCTCTTCTGGTCGTTTGTCTTGTCTGCTTCCGTCACCCGAGGGAACGGCCGAGGGATCTCCTCCTTTTTGCTGGTATCTTGCGAGGTGGCATTGGCAGTGCTCTCTGCATCCTGCACAAGCATCTCAACCTGGTGCTCAGGCTCAGACTCTGGAGAACCGAGCAAAAGCTCATCGTTCCATGCTTCGCTGTCGTACGCGTTGTACTTTCCGATATCGCGCGCGGCAGTCCGGCGTTCGAGGATCTTCTTCTTCCAGTCTTCATCCGCCGGGGTTCCGCGCTTGAAGTAGAAGTATTTCGTAAAGGGGAGGGCCAGACGCTCGTTCAGACGCTTCTGGTAAAAGTAGTATGACTTCTCGAAGGGCTCGAGTTCACGGGTGATCTGGGGAGGGCGGGAGAGGACCACACCGGCATTGATGGTGTAGGCGGGCTTCACGACGGGGGTTGTCGATGCAGTAGTTGATGTGGTTTCGGTGGCTGCTGGAGCTGCAGAGGCATAGCTGCGACGGCCAAGGGTTTCTTGACAGCTTCTGCACACGCTGGAGTCGACTTTTGACGGGCCTGCGCGCAGAGTTAGTGGACCGAGAAACCCGGGAAAAGTTGGATTGAACGAACGCAGCAGCGACGCCATGCGCCTTGCACCATTGGATCCTGACGACATTGTGTTAAGTGGGCGATGAGTTGGCTAGTCAACGGGGGAGTCTCCGAGAAAAAGATCCAACTTGGGTCACGTTGTCGCCATGCCCGATCGGGTTAGTCACCTCCCGCACGCTTTAAAAGTCGGCAAATTTCCACTTTCCCTTCTTTTCTTCTCCCAAGCATCACTTATCATCGCCTGCGTCACGTTTCTTCTACGACCAGTCGACCATTTATCGGTGCTCAGATTGAGCTTGGGGCCAATTTTCGCTAGCGGTACCTTCTGATATCAAGGTGTACTGTTAGATAGCTGCTCCGAACATCCTTAGATTCAAATGAACTGTCATTTTTCTGTCTTAGCCACTTGCGCTCGCTATTTCCTACATTCTCATCTCAAAAAGAAATACCCTCTCCATAGACCACCCTCATTCTCGGTTCACTTTTCTCTCAGTCCATATCTAGGAGATGACTCTCCTTGGTGGTCTTGACTCCCACCCGCACCATCCTCTCCATAGTGCCAAACACCCGCAGTCTGTTTCCGTAGTCCTCCCAGAACTTGCTGCCCAGACGAGGCAGCAAGACGCCCTTGTCGGCCAGGGCATGGATTTCGGGACATCCAGTGTCCGCCAGGGTGGTGGGAAGTGAAACATGGTCAGACGCCTCAACCACAGGCGAGGCCTCCTCGTCCTCGATGTCAGGGCTTTTTGGTGGTGAGGGAATACTATCTCCCCGCTGGATCTGACCTGCCAATTTAATAAAGGCCATGGCGCAAATCATGCTGTCGTATCCTGCTTCATGGCTAATCGCGCGCCACCTGTACTTCGTGAAGCGAGGATCCAGCTCTAGATCATGGTCAGTTCCGTGCATTTATGGAATGGATATGGAGTTCAGCCAGCCTTACCTATCTTGGGAGTGTCCACGTTCATCAACTTGGCATGCAAATCAGCCAGCGAAGAGGCGGGATTGGTAGAGCCGCAGTCATAAGTATCCAGATACTTGGTATCAATAAGCACAGGGAACAATTTGTGGATGGCAGTCTGAAACTCTTCGATAGTATCAGGCAATGGACCAAGGAAGCATGCATGGAAGAAGAGTAGATCACAAAACATGTTGTGGCCGACTAGAACAGGTCTGTTAATCTGGAGGCATGTCTTGACCCGATTGACCATTGTGTCGATTCCATAAGTGGGATTTTTGATTCTTCGCATCAAGGGTCTGAACATCTCTGAGCCAAGCTCCTCAAGATTGCCGCCAACCAGCGACTCTGCAACCCAACGGAATCCGATGTGCTTCTGGAGTTGTGCCTTTTTGATCTTCACCCTCTGCTCTTCGGCCGCCTGCTCGCTCTTGACGTCCACAGCATCGATTTGGATGAACTTGGACCCTGTTCTAGACCGCAGATTGGGGAATTCATTAGCGACCAGCTGGTGAACAAGCCATTTCTGCATGGCGTCATATCCATCGGATCTAATGCCCAGTGGGACCTCTTGGTTCGAAGGTAAAAGATTTCGCCGTTGAGCTCGGTCCTGTTTGTGTTTAGCTGCTTGCCCTAAAACGTGATCACGAAGCATTTACCTTTCCCTTTGCCAGCCAGTCGGTGATCATAGTTCGAACCTCGGCGAGGAATTCCAGAGATTTATGGTCATCTTCTTTGATGTCCATGTCTTGACGAGGGGTTTGGTTGTATCGTTCCTTAGCTCTTGCCAGTGCAAATTGCTCTTCCGCACGGGAAAGATACTGGATGCCATGTTGACACATAGTCTTCATACTGAATCCATGTCGGAGGAGGAACTCCATGGCTGCACAACAAACAGTTAGTGTACGACCAAAGCTTTTTATGTTCAGGGAACACATACCCCGGCTGCTGGATGTCCAGTCTCGATTGACCTCGGAATCACGGTGCGGAATGGGATTGAGATTGAAGTTGTATGGCTTGACACAATACGAGGCTGTTTCAAGTTAGCAAACCATTTATCTCATGTGGTGTTCAATACTTACCGGTTTCCAGGTTCTCATGGCAAATTGTGAGTCCAACTTGCAAGATCTGATACTTCTCCGCCGCAGCCTTCGTTTGTTCGTACCGCTCTTGGAGCGTTTGCGGCTTAGTAGGGATGAATGGGGCAAATGCCAAGCCAGAGAGCTCAAAGTCCAGGCTAACAAAACAGCTGACGGAGATGTCGTTCAATATGAACGGAAGATAATCCGGGAAAGTGGCGCTTGTCACCTCCATCTTGCCGTCGACGTTTGAGACCAGAAGTAAGCGATTGACCTCGGGGAAGTGAAAGACAAGTGAAGATGAGGGGAAATGAATGGTTCAGTCTCATGTAAATCACCGTAAAACGATTGGGATGGCGTCAACGAGGAAGGAATATGGTTGCATGGAGATAGGTCAAAAGGCACATGAGCGCCGGCGAGGTGTCTTTGGGCAACTCTGTGAAGTATGGAATCGAAAGCACAAGTGACATTACAAAGAAATAATTAATAATCTACAGCATTACATTTTAATCTGAAGCTATTCGGAATATCGTGATGTTTTTGCTATAACGATTTTCTTATAGATCGAACCGGCTGATCCCGTGACCCCCCCGGACTTGGCTTGAGCCGAGGGAAAACGACAGCCGATCGCAATCGGCCCCAACTCGTTTCACGTTGTCTTCTTCAATTACGCTTGCTTTCACACTCTTGATTGTCATTTGGACTTGATTTCCAATACTATTTTATGATCTTTTGGCCTCACAATGGCTAACGGATCCCCAATGTCGTCTCATAACCAAGCCCGCTCCCCGTCCTCGGCCTCCCCCACAAAGCTGTGCTCCAAGACATACAAGAAGGCCTCCCAGCTCTACCTCACACGTCGACTACCCGAAGCTTTAGCAAGTCTACAGCCTATTATCACACCCTCAGCGCTACAAGAAGACCAACACACAAATAGCGACTTGTCAACACCGGTCGCGCCGATCGCCACAGCCGCTGGCACGTGGAGGATCAAGGTGTGGAACCTCTACATCACCCTCCTCAGCGCAATCGTCGACCTTGGCGCCGAAGAAGGAAAGAAGCAATTTGGACAGAAAGAATGGAAAGGCATTGCATCGCAAGTGAGAGAAGGCGGAATATGGGCGACTGTCGTGGAGGTCGGGTACCAAAACCGGGAGGGCTCGGTGGACGCCGAAGTCGTCTATAACTTGTCAGTCTTCACATTCCAGCCCGATATCCTTGAAAAAACTAGCTAACAGAGCCACAGAGCTACCCTTCTCCTCACGCATTCCTCTTCGCAATCCCTGAACCAACAGCGCCTTGAGACGTACCTCTCTTCGTACGGACAGCCCAATCTTGACCTTGCAGATCGGCTACAAGATGCCGCCAACGATATCCAGCAGCGCCCCATGCCAACGAGCGGCGCTGACACGCCGAAGGACCTGACTTCCAGAGTGAGGATCATCGAGCTCTTCACCCTACATGTCCTGCCCCGCAACGATGAGTGGGAATACGCAACCGAGTTCATCAACTTGAGCGAAGTTCTCGACGAGGAACGGAAAGACCTATTCCTGCAGACGCTCGAGGGTCTGAAAGAAGAGAAGGAACGAGGCGAGATGCGCGCCGCTGAACTACAGCGTTCAAAAGACGAAGAGCTGGAGCGGCAACGAGAGGACGAGCGCCGAGAAGCTGAGGAAGCAGCAGCAGCTGCTGCGCGATCACAATCCAATGGCCACAAGCGCAATACCAGCGAAGTCGACTACGGGATTGAGAAAAGCCGCCCACAAAGCTCACCCAAGGGCAAAGGAGGCAGGTCCACCGATAAGTCGCCCAATGGGAAGGCCACAGGACGGACCTCGCTGTCATCGTCCGGGTCTAAGAATGTCAAGAAGAACGACAAGACTCAACCCCGGACCCGTCCATCTCAAGCAGTAACAGCTGCTTTGCGCAATCTGTTCCGCCATATTATCCAGACCGTGTCTGGTAACCCCATGTCCTTAGTGCGCACTCTCCTCTTCGTGATTGGTATCCTCATGGCGATGAGCCGACAGGATGTCCGCGAACGTGTACGAAGGGTTACGGACTCTGCTTGGCAGAAGGTCAAAGGCACCGTCGGGATGGGTGTCAAGGTGAGCTATATTTGAGACCTTGACAGACCTCTGTCATGTACATGGTGTATGATGTATATTTCTATCTTGTTCCTGTTACGGTTATCAAGGAGCCATTGTCGCATACAAGTTCTGCAATTGTGATTTTTTTATACCTGTGTATCCTACTCGCATATACACCAGACCAAGGACATCTTTTGATGCGGTTATCTCTCTATCTTTCTTTTTATGTTATAGTCATAGGCCAAGCTGCCTCTATTTGATCCATCTACTTTGAACGAGCAATGATCGCAACTAGTTTCTTCACAAGCTCTGGACACCGTATTGGTGATTGGCTTCCACCGACCCACTCGAGGCAACCACAATAAGAAGGCTGTGTCTGTAGGCATTTCAGGAGTCGACATGTGAAGGATGGTCATTTTGATAGGCTTCAAGAACCATCAACATTAAACCGCGACATCCAAAGAAAAGTATGCAATTCAGCATCGAACGTTGAAATCACTGGGGAAAAAGAAGCCGATGCCAAGCCTTGTCTCAGGTCTCATCTAAACCACCGAGTCTTTTCTTCCCCGATTATTCCTAAGATCATGTCTCTCCGGACATTCATCCTCATTGTACTGTCCATTGGCTTCTCATCAGTCCTCAGTGAAGCTGCCACCACCAACCAAATCTGCAATGACAAATCCACAACCGCCGCTAGCCACGGCGGTCTAGTCAAAAGATCCCCTACGCAGATTACCCACCACCGGCCTTACCCAACCATCTCATCAGGCCAGAGACCGTTCTGTTTCCGTGAACACAATGACAGAAGCGGGTTCTTGAGTTTCGATGCCCACGAGTGGAACAAGGCACTTGACACCCTCTGCAGTCAGACCACTCTCAGCCCAACTGACGGCTGGCGGGGCTATGTGTCTCCAGATGGGATTGTGGCCTGGGGAGCATATGCGCGAGACCAGTCGGATTGTTCGAAGAAAGCGGCTTTCGATTTCACAGAGCCCTGTACGAAGTACATGAAAGATCTTGTTGAGTCGTGCGACGGGTCGACTTCGGTTGAGGGGTTCTATGGTTATGGTGGTGGTTTCATTCAGCCTGGGCCTAGTGGCTGTATCGAGTATTATATTGCGAAGCCGTCGCTCAAGCCTACTTGAGCGGAGAATAGTCTGGAAGGACGGTGTTGTGTATATAATTGGAGTAAATTGATGTCTTGGTATTATGTTAAGTTATGTTTTCAAATTGGTATTGTATGGATGGGATGGTATTGGGTTTTTGTTGGGCTTAGTCTATGGCGGAGGGGGATACGGGCTCTCTCTGTCTGCTGAGATTCACTCTATACGCCAAGATCTCGGTATAGACAGCGCTGAACAACGCCAAGACACCCACACCCTTGAAGCATTAATTGAGAGAACAAACGACGAGTGGGCACCTATAGTATGTATGGTAACCGATCCAGGAGCCAGTGTAAAAAAAAAATGCAAATATCAAACATTACATATGGGATATCTCTTTAAGAATATAAAACAATCAACCTATCATCGTGTCCACTCAGTCGAACGAAAGACAAAGACTATACTGCAACAGCATCAGAAGTACCAAGGATAGTATCGCCCTTACGAGCAGCAACCTTGATATACTTAGCACTGACACTCCCGAGACGAGCCATAGTCTCAAACCCAGTCCTCTTCTTGGAGACTAGCTTAGTTTTCTCGGTAGACTGAAGAGAAGGAACAGAATAGACAACCCAGTTGTCATACTCCGTAGCACCGTTCCAGCTCATATAGACGTCTGTCATATTAGCCGCAGTGGTGTCGATAGCAACAGCAGGGTTCCAAGTTGGCGTCGTAGAAGTCCACTCGTACTTTAATCCACGGTAGGTCTCAACTTGTCCATATGCGCCGAACTGACCGGACATGACGACGTTGCCGTTGCTGTCATATTCCTGGATATTGGGTGTGGAGCCGTAGTCCATGAATATGTTGGAGGATTCCGGAGAGCCGAGGAACTGGAAACTCCCCTGGGTCTTGGCATATAGGGGATCGGAGGGGTTGGAGACGTTGTACATCAAGGAGGCCTTTTGATTGCGGAGGTCGACGTTGTAGGCCATTCCGGTTGTTTCGCTGTCGACTTCGGTGAGGGTGTTGGCGTTGTTGAAGATGCTGAGGATGAGGCTGTCTTCTGTCTCATTGTGCACTCTGATATCGTGTTGCCAGGAGAATTGGAGGTCATCGCCTGTGAAGTCGCCTGTTCCAGTGCCCTGGAAAAAACAAGGTTAGAGTATGCTTTTTGTTGATATTAGTCGGAACTTACAGAGAGTTGCCAACGGACGGATCCGTCCTTGTTCAGGTAAAACGCGGAAGAGAAGAATCGCATAGAGATCAGATAACCGTCGTTGGTAGCCATGACGGCGTTGACGTGATAGACATCCCATGGGGTATCCTGGGCGACAACAGCTTGCACAGCATGAAGGGAATTCGAGAGCGGGATCTTGTCTTGGTAGTCCAAGGCGCTCCACGAGAACACAACTTGGTTGGTTGCAATATCGATTTCATAGAACTGACTGTCGATCATCCACTGGGTCCCCGATCCTCCAGCAGAAGTGAGGTCCTGCTCAGTCATATTGACAGCAGTGACAATCATAGTGTTCCGATCCGTGATAATGTGCTCGTGTACATCAACATAGGAGTCTGGACTCTCCCCAGTAGGAGTGACAAAGTCCCCTTGCAGAGTCACGGTATAGATCTCATTATAGGTGTTGTCGAGAATATGAACCTTGCCATAACCATAACCACCAGACACCCCGGCATCACCAGACCAGAAAGTGATAACGTCCTGTCCGAACAGCTTTTGAACTTTGAAGTCCATAGTAGTCTCCGCAGGCCCGATGTAGACCACGTTCCCATCGTTGTCGTAGATTGTTGGACGAGTACTGGCGTCGTTGTCGGCGGTCCGGACACTGATGAAGATCTGCCCCGGGGCGACATCTCCGGTCTTGTTGAGCTCCAGCTTGGTAGGCTGCCAATCTCCAGTTTTGTATGTGCTATAAGACCATGTGTTGGTTGCAATGGCACTGGAGGCCAAGAGCAATGTCCCGCATGTAGAGAGTAGAGACCACATGTTGAGGACTGTGGTTTTAAAGAGAATAACCAACTAGGTGAGTCTGAGCCAGGAAAGGGCGGACACACTCTTATGGGGACACTATTGAAAAGAAAAAAGCAATGGATATTTACAGTACAAAGATCAAGTTTCCTGGATGATGTCCGACGTGGGCCATTACGTGGTCTGCGAGCTTCCAGATGGACCCATTGCACTGTACAGCACAGTATTGTAGGCTCAAAACTGATTCTCCGCTATTTCAGCCTTGAGCGGAAGAGGCTGCTTGATGAAGCTCCATTTTTTTTTTTGAAAGATCTTCAGCAAAGATCGACCGAACTAGCGAAAAGGTTCTTGAGTCTCACGAACCTGGCCCACTGAGTCCTCAGCGGAATTTGCTATGTAGTTGAAGGTATATCATTGAGATATGAGAGAATGCACATGAGTCGCCAAGTAAACGACACTGCAATGCGATCATCGCCGTATTGAGTCAATGACAAAGGTCAGATTTGATAGAACTAGTCCCAAGGGTTGCATTTATCATAGCTTCCTCAGAGTTCCACCACTCTCATGCCTTACTGTACATCGTTAGTTCGTGCTGGATCCACAGAAGATCCCAATATCCGATCTGCGAGATTCGGTCTGATGCTCGTGGACACTGGCAATGGCCAATACAAGCTCTCCAAAGAGCGAACTTCCACTGGAATACGAGCTACCACATAGTTTTGAAAGCCATCTCATCCTGTTGATTTGTATTTGAGATCTCAAACAAGGAAAAAATAACCCCTGAATGAATCTCAGGAACCAAGTCCCCACAGTCCCGCCCACGATCATTCAATCGGGGCCAAGTATACTGTTGAGTGAGATCCATGTCTCGTGCCTGTCACACTTGATGGCAAAACAGGTTCAAATGGGTTGGAAGGCAAACATATGATAGCTATTGCTGAGAACTTGATTTTTCCCAATGGCCATCACCAATACAAATCCACGTTCAATAAGCATAGTGTCGGCAATTGGTGGGGCGAAATGGCGAGGAACCGCTTAAACGGCCTTTTCTCGAGGCCACTAAGGAGGTTGAGATGTAGAATCGGGACCTGAACGTAGTCGGCTTCAAATGTCTTGTAGAGTGTAAGTTCTGACGCTATACATGCATACATGTAGTAGCCAATTTAAGCTCATGATTTGACTTGGCTTTGCGATTAAGTTGAAGCACGCAGCAAAAACTCCACAATCACGCCACTGCCATGTCAAATAGATGGATTGTCTTGTTAAACCGCCCTACAGTGCATTCTGAGACCTATCCTCATGCGTTTCGCTTCCTTATAGGACTTATCAGAAGCCTCTTAGCCATAGCTATCGCTCTGCTTTCCCATATCTGGGCATATACCCTTGTTGCTATTAACGCGCAGTGCCACTGATGTTATTACCAATGTTGGTAAAAACCGTTTGCCTTGGGGTGGTCGTATATGACTCGTTTCTAGGGGACGATGTGCAGTCCGGGCATTAATAACAGCAGTAGATTTCGCTAATAAATACAAAATGCAGTCTTGTCTCGTATAGTCGTTAATAAAAATCCGTGATAGATAGGATCCAAAATCCTCAATCGAAATCAAACAGTCGTATTCTCACGCGTGATATGATTTTCATGACCAACTTCGGTCATCCCAGCCTCAGGGTCAACCGCATACTCGACATGCTCCTTCTCCGCAAGCCTCGCATGCCACCTCCGGAAGAGCTGCACAAAGAAATGCGCAACACAGATCTGCTCCGTTGTATACAGCAGAACTGGCACCGAGGTCTTGGATTTCGTGTATAGGTCAATTGGCTTCCACATAGCATAGAGGAGCGGGATACCGAGCGCCGTGCTCTTGGCTGGCCCGCAGAAACATACGGCAATGGTTTCTTCGGGAGACATGCGCTTGAACATTGGCTCGGACCATTTCCGAGAGCTCAAAATCCGGGGTGGTCTTGAGCCGAGGAAGCAGACTAGGGTGAGAAAGATGTAGAGGGCGATATTGAAGAGAACTACGAAAATCACGCTTTGGGCGGAGAGGGATTGGAGGGCCCCTGTTGCAAAGCAAGAAGAGAAGGTCGACCTGAATAGATTAGCAGTCGATTCCAAAGAGAAGAGAGGAACGGAGAACAGGAGTCTCTCGGACGAACTCACCAGATCAATAGCAGCATACAGACACTCGCCCACTTGGGCAACTTGGTCTTCAACAACACCCAAGCCGTCCGATCCGGCCAAGTCCATCGAACAATCTGTCCAACAAACAAAGGCAGCAAGACACTCAACCCAAGCTGCTGAAACACATCCTTATACATGCTCCCCAGCCCTCCACCCCCAAACCTCCACAGATCAAACTCTGCCGTCTTCGGGATCAACACCACCGTCCACGCAGCCGTCACAAACGGACCCAGAACATTCGCAATCAACACCTCGACCAGCGCAGCGGCATCGTCACCGCCAGCCGCACGGGTCATCACCACATTGGACGCAATCGTCGTCGGAATGCAGGCGGTAAAGATATACCCAGCCAACACCGCGCGATCAATCTTGCCAGTTGGATCCCCAGCCAGAATGACATGCACGACGGCCAAGACCAGCGCAGGGATGAATAAGAACGAGATCACCTGGACCACAAGGTGTAACCGCCAATTCAGGAACTGGGAAAAGAGTTTCTGGCGCGGAATACTCAGACCGGAGATCAAAAAGATGATCGCGATCACGCCGTACATGATGCTGTATTCTGAGCGGATTGTCCCGCCGTGCTTGGCGACGTTTGGGAAGAAGTAGGCCAGTACGCAGACCACCCCGATGCCTATCAGGAGCCATTGGTGCAGGAGGAGTTTGGCGATCCGCTTGAGCGCTAGTATCCAAGGGTTTGGAGAGTCTGTGGACGGCTCGTCCATTTTAGATGTCGGCATAAGTGAAGTTCTTCGATGTGAGAGGCATTTGGATGGGGGGATTTGGATCAGTCGGTGTTTGGTGGGTTTCGCTGAGAATTGCGCGATCGGATTTCATCCGAGTGCGCTTCAAGGATTCGCCTGATTCTCACCCTGAAGTTATTCAAGTCACTGATGTTCAGTTCGTGACTCTGTCTATCGAGTAGGCCGAGATCGGCCCGATTTTATCTTCGGGTCGACTGATGCCGTCTGGACTCCAGTACGGCCAGTACGTCCAGTACGTCCAATACGTGAAGTGCAAGGGTATGACATTTTGGGCTACAAGGCAGTATGATACGTGTCCATCACTCAGCCCATGTCGGTTTGCATAGCTGAATAGAACGCAGATCTATCGCATCATCTCCATCTCTAACCGACTGTACCAACTCTGGGTAAAACGTTCAACCGGCTAATGACGGGCTCTATAACCCCGGACTCGAGGGACACAAATACCCAGCAGGCGCAAGACTAGGAACAAGACTAACTGGCCGACCATCTGACTTCCACCAAGTCCCATGACTTGTCTCCTATAACACCGCGCTGAACCTCGGCTGAGGGGATCTATTGCGTTGGCCCGAGATCACCCGCAGCAAAAGGTGCGGAAATCGCTACTTTAATTTTCGGAACTCAGCTGCAAGTCCCGAAAGGTTCTTGAGTATATCCGGCGTTAATGGCTCCTGGGTTCTAGTCAGATATCGTAGGGGTAATGTGTGAGGGTGTCGCTATCTTGGTAGGTATGGTCCGAACAGGGATCTGGAGACTACAGAAGTAACATTTAGATAGCGTCTATAGATAGAGTCAAGAATCACAAGCCACTTTGTCCTTCCTATGACGACGACAAACATGTGAAGTCAGATCAATCTGGGGGTGAATCATAGAGCCGCCCTTGTTCCCGAAGGCCTCGGGATTGTCGACTCTGTTGAACTCGGGACACTGGGTATTTGCCTGATGTCCAATGTGTAGTAACTTATAAGAGAATCTCCCTCGGCTGATCTTCGTAAACTGTACTCTTTCCTTTTCCTTTTTCTCTTTCCTTATACTGGCCGAGATCGAATCCTTCCGTTCGTCCAGCTTCCTCCGCTTCCCCGTCATAGCTCCCCACAAAAGTTTGGCTCTGCCGCCACTTTGATCCGACGTGAACCATAGCCGAACAGTTGTTTCGTGGGCGATTAAGTATCTTTGCGATTGTTCTCTTTCTCATCTGGTTCTCTCGAGAGATATCGAGAGATTGCATCTATTGAGATAATTTGGGCAGGATCTGCAAAACAAATCCAAGCCTTTGCATTCGCCGCTTATTCCCCGGGATTGTATACTTCCGCTTCTCCGCAATTTCGGTATTCGCGACAATCGGAAGAAACTCGATTTCGCGTCATTCCGGGAGTCTTAGATTAAAGACCCAATTGGATCTTTTCCTGGGAAAACTTCCTGCTTCCTTTACTACACCATAACTTCACAATGTCTGCAAAAAGCGCCAATGGCAAGCGCACATCGCCTGCGGTCAACTTGATCGGTAGAGTAGACCCCGTCCTGGAGAACGCGGACAAGTATTGACGTTTGGTTAGCTGGCGGTGGTGCCGGTATGATGGAAGCCCTCGTGTGCCACCCGCTGGACACAATCAAGGTCCGCATGCAGCTGTCAAGGAGAGCCACAGCACCCGGTGTAAGTTGGGAACACCCATTGACCATGAAACATTGCTAACCATGTGGACGGGATAGGCCAAGCCGCGCGGGTTCGTGGCCACCGGTGCCCAGATCGTGCGCAAGGAAACCGCTTTGGGTCTGTACAAGGGTCTGGGAGCCGTGCTGGGTGGAATTATTCCCAAGATGGCCATCCGTTTCACCTCATACGAGTCATACAAGGGCATGCTGGCCGACAAGGAGACGGGTCTGGTCACCAGCAAGGGCACCTTCCTGGGTACGTGAAGACATCCTATCTCGAACAAAAGCAGTGGAATAGCAGCTAACATGTTAATAGCTGGTCTCGCCGCCGGTGTGACCGAAGCCGTGGCCATTGTCAACCCAATGGAGGTCGTCAAGATTCGTCTGCAGGCACAACACCACAGCATGGCTGATCCGCTCGACGTTCCCAAGTACCGCAGCGCCCCACACGCCCTCTTCACCGTCGTCAAGGAAGAAGGCCTGAGCGTGCTGTACCGCGGTGTCTCACTGACAGCCCTGCGCCAGGGAACCAACCAAGCCGCCAACTTCACGGCCTACACCGAGCTCAAGGCCGCCCTGCAGCGCTGGCAACCCGAATACAGCAACAGCCAGTTGCCCTCCTACCAGACCACCATGATTGGATTGATCTCCGGTGCCGTCGGTCCCTTCTCCAACGCTCCCATCGATACCATCAAGACCCGTCTGCAGAAGACCCGTGCTGAGCCCGGTCAGTCGGCTGTTACTCGTATCATGGTTATCGCCAAGGACATGTTCAAGACTGAGGGTACGCGCGCCTTCTACAAGGGTATCACCCCCCGTGTCATGCGTGTCGCTCCTGGTCAGGCTGTGACTTTCACTGTGTATGAATTCCTCAAGGGTAAGCTCGAAGGTTCGAACTGGGCTTTCGTTGGTGGTTCGTTCGAGGAATAAACCTAAAATGTTTTGTTTTGGAAGCATTGTGATACCTGGCCATGGTGGGCGTTGTGTTTCCTCTTGAAGTCTTGAGGATTGTTCAATTGCTTGCCGGTTGCGGCTGTTTTTCTTGTTCTTTTTCTGTATATATTGTGCTGTGCTTTGCGTTAGTTTCTTTGTATACCACTTTTGGTGCGCCTGGAGCAGAATAGATTTTCTTCAAACGGCTCTGAAATGAACATAGACTCAATCCAGTCCTGAGACCACACCAAAAAGAAATTGTATCGAGTCAAAATAAATGACAAAAGTGTAGAGTGGGAGAAACAGAAGATGCCCTGTGGAGGTAAACTTGGCTGACAGGCTTCCCCCCCTCCTCATTCACCGCTCTCTCTCCCATAAACAACTGCTCCGAGGCTACAGGTGAGAAAACAAGCATCACCATGCAGTCCGGAATCACAGGTAAATGATACATCACACATCTACTGTACAACTCCCAATTGAAAAAACCACTAACAACCACCCCAGTCTCCTCGGAGCTGCAAGATGCCTTCACGCGCTTCAACTCCGACCCCTCAACCTTCTGCCTCCCAGTAACCATAACATCTGAGAGCCTGACTCCTCTCCCAGCCCTGTCATTCCCAGGCACACCAACCAAGGAGTCCTTCCTGGCCTCCCTCCCCCAGCTGCAATCAATCCTCCAGCCCAAAACACCCCTCTACCTCCTCCTCCGCCGGCCTACCGCCACCGGCACCGCAACTCTCATCGCTTTAACCTACATTCCTTCCAATGCGCCCGTGCGGGCCAAGACGCTCTTTGCATCGACGCGGTCGACTCTGAGTCGTGAACTTGGCACGGAGAAGTTCGGTTCGAACGTCTTTGCTACTGAGGAAGAGGAGATCCTTAGTGTTGAGGCCTGGAAGGAGCGTGATGGCGAGGGTGCTGGTGGGGTGAGCCGTGAGGATATGATGGGTGAGAAGGAGCGCGAGCTGGAGGCTGTTCGTCGGGCTGAGGCTGAGGCTAGGAGTGGAACTCCTGGTCGGGATATTGGAATTGGAGGCACCTTTGGTCCTGGGTCTGGAGCTGGCATGAAGATCTCTATGCCTGTGGACGACGAGGCTAAGACTGCTCTGCGGGATCTACAGGATGGTGGTTTGGTGCAGCTGGTACGTTTTTTATTATTATTATTTCATACTTGTTACGCGGAATGCGGGGGGTCAATGTGGAGGGATTGTGAGATTGGTATGCTAACTTGCTCAAGACGGTTGATATCCCCACAGAGAAGATCACGCTGGCTGGTTCCCAGACCGGTGTTGAGCCCAACGACGTCGCCATGCATATCTCTGAGACGTCGCCGCGCTATTCCTTCTACCACTACCCCGGGTCTGATGTTGTGGTCTTTGTATACACTTGCCCGACTGGATCGTCTATCAAGGAGCGCATGCTGCACGCCAGCTCGCGGAGGAACGCCATTACGGTGGCTGAGCAGGAAGGACTCAAGATCTTGAAGAAGGTATGTGCATCCGAAGTGTTCGGTTCGGTTCGATGCTCACTGTTTGCAGATTGAGGCCTCGGGTCCTGATGAAATCACCGGCGAGCGTTTGCAAGAGGAAGTCAGCCCGCCACAGAACCAGGGCTCTGCGCGAGGATTCGCCAGACCCCGTCGCCCTGGCAGGTAAATTCGCCACAGTATAGATAGAACGAATGAACCAGTACAGAGTGGGCCAAGACAGTCCAACACGATAAATTGCCTTGTTTGGTAGTGTAGATTCGTCGGTCTGTCGACTGTTGTCGCTAGGCTTCATATTGTAGACCGCCGAGCTCATGCCGAGCTCCCTCAACCTGGACATACCGCCAAGCCAAGACCAGGGGAGTGACAAGCGTGTGATCATTGATTCCGGAAACTTTTCTTTTGGTAGAACAAGTCCGTTCTGGAACTTCCCAGATTAATAATCTTCGGACACCCGTCGCGGTCCTTCTCCAGACGCGTACACTCGAAACAGTAGAAGGCATCACTGATTCCCTCGCCGCCGCAGACCACACACTTGTTCTGGTAATTGCCGAAGGAGCACTCGTCGCAGATGCGGACTAGAGTCGTGGGGCGCACGTAGGAATCGCACACGGGGCATTTGCCGTCGCATTTGTCACACAGGCGGCCGATAGAGATGCCTGGCTGCTTACGGCACATAACGAGATCGGGGTGGTGGCGAGACATGGTTGTGTAGGGGCGAGAATGTGAGTCGGAACAAGCTTGAAATGCAACTGAAGAGGAGGAGTGAAGGGAAGAGGTGAAGTTCAGAGAAGAAAAGCCGAGTAGGAATGGCGTGGTCCGTGCACGTGCCCCCAAGCCGTTCTGTTCTTTCGTGACCCCAGACAACCAAGTCCAGCCTGTGGCAAACGTCTATCTGTTTCGATCTTATTCTGGTCTTTCGACTTTCAACTTCGCGTTACGCTGGCACAGCTGGTGTTAACAAGACAGCATGTCCGAACAGTACGGCTACTCTCCTCCCATACCAGACCCGCACCCGCACACAGTGAAGTACGGTAGCTAACACTCTATACCATCTTTGTAGCATGCTCGCCTCGGCAGTCGCCGTACCAGAACAAGAACCGCACCATCAATCACCAGAATTGACCGCAAAGCGACGCCAGTCGTCGGTCTCAGAACACGATACCAAGCGCCGGCGACTTAGCTCTCAAAGCAACCTTTCCCCGCAAACCGAGCGCCGCCGCTCATCACCTCAGCCCACAGCGCAAGATGCCTTTGTAGAACACAAGCCTGCGCGACCGCGCGGAGGCCGCGAAGAAGATCGTAAGCGCGGTCAGCGGTTATTTGGCGGGCTTTTAGGTACTCTTTCGCAGAGCTCTAGCTCTGCGGCGTCCAAGCGACGTGCAGATATTGAGCGCAAACAACAGGATAAGCTCAAGTCTCAGGATTTGCAGTATGATGAGTTGAAGAAGCAGCGCAAGGAACAGCGCGAGGCTCTTCGCAGGAAAGAGACGCCTTTGTATGAGCGTGAGGCGGTATATTTACCCAATGCTCTCGGTTAAGGTTTTCTTTCTGACTCGGTTCTTTTAGATGGAAGTTCGGCATGCAAATATCATTGCTATGGCCCATTTCCTAAAGACGCGGGCTGTGCCCGTTCTGGTGAGGGATATGCCTTGAATTTCTTTACTGGGGATGCAAGCTAATCAATTGAGCAGTACTACAAGCCATGGCAATCACGGCCTGGCGATGAATCGGTGATACAGAAGCAAATTGAAGAAGCGCGAGCCACGGTTGCACGTGAAGTTGCCGATTTTGAAGCACGATACCCACCAGAGGCCTTTGCGCCTCAGTCAGATAACAACTCTAAGGAAGAGCCAGCGACGAAACAAGAAGAACCGCAAGACGAGAAGAAGTTGCAGCTATCAAATACCTTGGACCAACCAGGTGCCCCGGATCCTGTGGATTCAAAAGAGTCTGGCCCCAAGGAACCAACTCAGGATGCTTCCGAGACGGTTAAGGCAGACACTAAGGAGAAAGACGCTGAATCAGTAACAATGAACGGTTCTGCTAGTGTGGATACTGCTGTGCATGACCAGAGTGATGCCCATCACGATGATGGTGGAGAGGTCGTGGAGGATAACGAGGATACTGTGATCTATTAGATTCCAGTCGTTTAAAACTACGATGACAATTATGTGCAGATAGCAAATACAATACCCAGCATTGGTTTACATAATGGAAGCGAAATCAAGACATCTGAATATCCATGGAGTTTGGGGCTGGAACATGCTTATCAGGGCAGCAAAGTATTATGATATGACCTCGCAATATGGCATCATGTCCACCTCTATTCCCTGCCTGGACTGTACGATGCACACCCCTGTCGATTTGTGAAAGGCAACCGCCAGCGATATCAGCCCCGTAAGCCGATAACAAGATAAGCTTATCTCTTGGCTCTATAGCCCTAACTCACTTCCTATATAGTCGAGTAAAGAAGGCCTGGAATACGTGTACGCAGGCTCTTATCTTAATTCTGGCACAATGGCAATCCTTCCAAGTGACACGAACGAAAAACATCCCGAAGTCACCTCGATCCACACCCCCTCCTCAATCGAAAGCACATCATCAAAAGACAACACCACCCAACGAGGCCTCTCATCCCGCCATGCCCAATTCATTGCCCTGGGAGGCGCAATAGGAACAGGCCTATTCGTGAGCACAGGAGCCACACTAGCAAAAGGCGGCCCGGCCTTCTTGGTCGGCAGCTATGTCCTAATGTCCGCTTTAGTATACCTGATCCTCACAGGCGTCACGGAGATATCAGCCTACCTCCCCCTCCCGGGTGGAACGATGAACTACTATGGCAGTCGATATGTATCGCCTAGCCTGGGGTTTATGATGGGGTGGTTGTATTTCTATTCATATGCTATCTTTGTGCCGTTTGAGCTGACTGCTTCGGCTATGGTGATAAACTACTGGCATCCTGATATCAATAATGCGGTTTGGATTACTATCATGTTGCTTCTTGTTGTCTCGCTGAATCTTCTGCCCGTCAAGTTTTACGGCGAGTCTGAGTTTTGGTTTGCTTTGCTCAAGGTTTTGTTGATTGTTGGCTTGATTGTGCTTTCGTTTGTGCTATTTTGGGGCGGTGGGCCTAATCATCAGCGTCTTGGGTTTCATTACTGGATGGAGCCTGGGGCTGTCAAGGCTATGATTGTGGATGGGGACTCTGGACGATTTATCGCTGCGCTTGCTACTCTCATCAGTTGTGTGTTGCCATTCACCTTCTCGCCGGAGATGATTGTTGTGACGGGTGGTGAGATTCAATCTCCTCGTCGAAACCTACCAAAGATTGCTCGCAATTTCTTCTGGAGATTGATTGTCTTCTATATTGGTGGCACAATTGCTATCTCGGTCATCTGCCCGTCTGATGATCCATCATTGACGAGCGGAGGTAATGGCGCTGCTTCATCACCTTGGGTGGTTGGTATCAGGAATGCCGGCATTGCTGGACTTCCTAGTGTGATCAATGCTGTCATTATTACTGCAGCATGGTCGTCTGGAAACTCCTTCCTCTACCTTGCCAGTCGATCCCTATACTCCATGGCAGTTGAAGGCAGTGCCCCTCGAATCTTTCGCAAGTGCAGCAAGAATGGAGTCCCAGTCTATGCAGTTGTTGCTAGGTCACTATTCTCCTTGCTGGCGTATATGAATGTCAACTCCTCGTCAGCGAATGTATTCAATTGGCTGATGAACCTTGTCAACACAGGAGGGTTCATCTCCTGGGTCTGCTGCTCGATCATTTACATTCGTTTCCGAAAGGCTTGTGATGTCCAGAAAATCCCAACGGACAGCCTGGTTGCCCGCTCGCCTTTGCAACCTATTGGTTCTTATATCACGATGTTCATGTTTGGGCTGCTTTGTCTGCTCAATGGGTTCACGGTCTTCTTTCCATCGCAGTGGTCTGTTACTGATTTCCTCTCTGCGTATATTGGTCTTCCACTGTTCGTTGTCATCTATTTGGTACATCGATTCTGGAGGCGGGGTGATCCTTGGGCTATCCCTTCCCACTTAGTTGATTTGCATAGTGGACTGGCAGAGTTGGAGGCTGAAGAGGAGATGGAAGTTCCCAAGGAGACATTATGGGGGCGTCTGAGACACTCGAGCGTTGTCCAACTTATGCGTCCGCCGAAGTAGAAACTCACCAAGCCACAAGGCGATCTTGGCACTAATGTCTTGGCATCCAATGGGCCGAGGCTGAAGCTCTGAGGGGTTCGGTCGGTTTAGAAATCCGATTCTCTTTAAACGTTACTCTTTATGCGTAATTCATAACTTGGCTTTGGATTTGATTCTAGGCTATTGGGGGTTGACAGGAATCTAACTCTCTCACCGTATCTTGCGGAGATCACGGCAATATATATCCAACTCGGAGCTACACATCTTACAACCCACACCACTGCTTTGCTTGTCAGACACCGAGTTTGTCTGATCTGTTACATTTTCAATTGGCCATTTTGAAGCTACCAGCCATGTCGGTTGACAAAATCAAGGTGTCAGGCGACCCCCGCATCGAGTACAAGACCGCGGTTCTAAATGGTCGCAACTACTGTAGGTAGCACACATGAGCACGACAGCACCCTCGCAATCCGACAGAGAACCAAAACTAACCTACCACAGCTTATATTCTAAGCCAGCCAAAAACAGGTCAATACAAAGCCACAGTCTTCCTGGTGAGCACCTTGACACCCATATCCGATACCGACAGGCTAACTCCCACCACAGATCCATGGCTTCCCCGATATCTCAATGGGCTGGCGGTACCAAGTCCCAATGTTAGTCAACATGGGCCTGCGGGTGGTAGCACCCGATTGTCTGGGTTATGGACGTACCGTAAATCTCCCTACGCCAGTGCCAGTGCCAGTGCCAGCACGGAGAAAGAAATCCACTAACAACAACGAAACCAGGACGCCCCAGCCGACCCTGAGCCCTACGGCCACAAAAGCTGCGCAGCGGATATAAAAGCCCTAGCAACACATTTAGGGGAAACGAAAATTATTCTAGGCGGACATGACTGGCACGTCTCCCCTTTCTTCCTATCCCAGCCCATCCATCTCATCTTTTACACAACAGCTAACACCTGCAACAGGGGTGCTGCCCTGGCCTACCGCATCGCTCTCTGGCATCCAGACCTAGTCTCGCACCTCTTTACAGTCTGCGTCCCCTATGCAAGACCAATGGAACAAGAAGTCCAACTAGAAGATCTAGTCCGCACTGCGGCACCTCATTTTGCATACCAGATCCAATTTGCCAGTGGGGAGGTGGAGAAGGTAGTCAAATCTGATGATGACATTCGCCAATTCTTGTTAGCCCTGTATGGGGGCCGGAATGAGCGTGGTGACGTTGGTTTTGATGCGCATCATGGTGTGCTTGTTGACAGGTTGGGCGGGTTGAAGAGATCTAAATTGTTGAGCGAGGATGAAATTGAGTTCTATGTGCGGGAATTTGGAAGGAATGGGGTCCAAGGGCCGCGTATGTTAACTTCTTGTTCCCCCTTGGTGACGTGGTGGATTTGCTAACGGGTATGGGTGATGTAGTGAATTGGTACCGCACTCGGCAGGTGAATTATCAGGATGAACTTGCTATTCTGGACCGCAAGATTGAGGTTCCTACGTTGTTTATCCAGGCGCTCAGGGATCAGGCTTTGCCTGCTCATTTGGGTAAGTCTATGGTTAAGCATATCCCCAGCTTGACTGTAAAGCAGGTCAATACCTCGCACTGGGCATTGTGGGAGAAACCTCAGGAGGTCAATGACATTATTGAGGGTTGGTTGAAAGAGAAGGCTTTTACTGAGGCCAGGTCGGAGAAGCTGTAGTTAATAAACAGCAGTGGTAAGGCAAATATTGATTCATTATTGCTTTTGCATACATATCGTATCTCGGATTCAATAAAATGTAATCATAGCGAAATTGCAAGTGACAGACACGCATAAACATTGCTGAGCGCATGATACAACCCCTTTAATACTCGTACACCTTAGTCTCGATATTGCAGCCAACCCTCTCTAGACGATTGACAAAGCTTTGTCCCATGGTAGCAGGGGTAACAATACCACCACGCGAGACCTTCTTAATAGTCTCCTCATCATTGAGAATGACCATAGCAGCCTCTGCAAGCAACAATCCAGTGAAAAGATACATACCACCCTCGTAGGTAATTTTACCAAAGACACGCTTTGTCTGCTGCCCCTCAGGCGTAGCAATGGCATGGTATTCCAGGCGATCATTCGTTGAATCCTCGCGGCGCGGTCCGCTACCAGGCGCGAAGATGAATTTCCGCAGGAGCCACCGTACGGGTTGGAGCACAAGGAGCATCACACCGATCGTGAAGCCGATGTGCACGGCTAGACCAATAAAAGCGTTGCGCACCGACAGGAATTGTCTGAAGAAGAAGGATTGGCCGTAGAGCTCGGGCATTAGGGTGCTGCTGCGGTGCACGAGGGTGATATCGGCCATGCCGGAAGGGGATGTTGTCACCGTTCCTAGATCGCGGATTGAGCGGAAGCCCAGGACCTTTTTGAGGATTGAGTCGCCCGGGATGGTCTTTGGTGGAGCTGAGGCTGCTAAAGCGAAAGGAGTCATGGCGTTCTTTAGTTCCGATGCCGGAAGCGAGTCGAACATTGTCAGCACTGTGTTTAGAGTACCGCCGCTTGGCCCAGAAGATCTATTCGAGTTGGTCAGACTGGAGATTTCTCATGGGATTCGGATGTTATATACTTCATCTCTTTGATGGTGCAGTTGATCTCGCGCGTCTGCGAGGACAAATCCTCTCGGACTCGCTTGACGAGAGACCATGCTAAAATATCAGCTGGCGCACTCTCAACGCCGGTCGAGGGAATCATCTTCATGTAGTCAGCATGGAACTGCCACCGTGAGGAAAAATACTGGAACTGACAATTGCGCCATTGGCTTTGGCCGTCTCATGGTACTTTTCGATGATTGACTTGATCCACGGTGTTTCACCGGTCCTGTAGCAATCAGTGGCTGTCAGATCACTCCAAAGCAAAGAGATGTGAGTATAAACATACGCATCGACGTAGTGAGTCCCATTGGTAGCGCATGCCTCCACCACTGGAGTCGAGTACAAGTAGTAGGGACCCACACAGTTGATAACGAGCCGCGTCTTCTGGGCAAGCTCCTGGAGCTCAGTCGCATTGAGTTGAACGACCAGGATATCTATGCAGAACAAGTAAGCCTCTATCTATAGCAATTAAGCACAAACAAGTAGCAGGACTAGGCACCTGGTTCAGCGCGATCCGGGTTGAGAGCCTTGAGCTGTTTGGCAATGAGCTCCATCTTCTGCATAGAGCGACCAGCAATGGCCCATTTCAGGTCGGTAGGGTGGTTCTGCACAATGTGTTCAGCGCAGAATTGGCCCGTATAGCCCGTTGGGCCCAGTAGGACCAGATCATATTGGCGATTAGAAGTCATGGTTGTTGCTAGGTGTTACAGCCACAGCATATGGATTCTGGCTAACCTACCTCGGTACAGTAAGTTATATTGGCTTAGTCACATGCCACGTGACTATATATTTTCCGAATATGCAGCGCTATACAGTACAATTCCTAGTTAACTCATGTCGCCAATTCCCTGGATTTTGAGTTTTGTATTTTATAATAAATGGAGACCTCGGGCTTCTGAAAAGTGCAATTGAAAACAATGCACTTGCAGAGGCCAGCTACATCGCTCTTGAAGGCAGCCGTGGTGGGCCTTCAAATCTCAAAGACTAGGTTATAACGTTAGCAACGACTTTTTGGCAGAAGACCCCACTTAAGGCCATATTGGGTGCACTTTGATCAAGCAAGGCGCTGGCTGATTAGAACCCTGGGCTACAACCAGTTGATGCACCCGGACCACTTCGATGTCGAGCGCGTGGAAGAAGAGTCGTTTGGTGTTTGAGCTTAGCGTGTTTCTCGCCGCTCTTGTTCCGCATAAGAATTAGCCTACAATGACACCGTATTACCAAGACAGCTTTCAATCTTAACGGGTCTGTAGAAGCAATGGCTTAGGTAGACTCACTGTTAGTCATATCGCTCAATTAGACACATCCCTGTAACGGAGGATTGCCTCATAAGAATAGGGTCATTTTATATCGGCCAGGATTTCAAGGTTATATCGATCAAATGATATAATATGGGGTAATATAGAGGAATGCTACTGGTGTAGACATGATAACGAGCCGCGTCTTCTGCCCTTGATGGCGTCTGGAACAAAATCCGGCAGATTGAGATATCCATGGCATTTTGCTGCTTGCTGGTTCTTTTTGCGAGGCATTTTCACACCTGAATTGAATGGCATCAACAATCGACATCATTATGGAGCCATAGTAGAAAAAAAAAGTATGAAAAGTAATGAAAAGAGGATCCAACTGACATCATGGAGCCCTGGAGAAGCCCAAAGTAAGCATTCTGGGTGCCTGAGGCCACAACAATACCCCATTGGGTACCATGACATAAGCCCACACAGGTCAGGTGACCCACCAAGCCAAGAGCCCTAAGCGAGAATCCACAGCACAACCCGCTCATTCAAAGCGTCGTTTTCGATCTCCTGTTGAGTACCCATCTTCATCCTCTAACCAGCCAAGATGACGAAGCGCACCAAGAGTATGTTTTCCTCATTATTCGACTCATCGCATGTCGAATCTGTCTCCATTTCAATGCTAACTGTTCACTCCAGAGGTCGGCATCACCGGTAAATACGGTACCAGGTATGGCACACTCGAACTCCGCGCACACACATGAATTCCTCGAACGACGAAAAAAAAGAACGGACACTCTTCACTCGACCACGATTCTAACAATGCTCCAACAGATATGGTGCTTCCCTGCGTAAGCAGGTGAAGAAGATGGAAGTCACCCAGCACGCCCGCTACATCTGTACTTTCTGCGGAAAGAACACCGTTAAGCGCAAGGCTGTCGGTATCTGGGAGTGCAAGGGCTGCGACAAGGTTGTTGCCGGTGGTGCTTACACCGTCTCGTAAGTTTTCCATTCCCAACACTGTGCCGTCGCTCTGGATTTGGACTGCGCTGGACCGAATCCAGGCGCGCGCCCATGACCACTGGGAATGACGATTACTGACTATCATTTCACTTTTAGCACCCCCGCTGCTGCCGCCACCCGCTCCACCATCCGTCGTCTCCGTGAGATCGCCGAGGTTTAAACGGGGGATTATGTGGTTTCCTTTTTCTTCTACGGTTACGTCTGAATACCAAAAATGAATGAAAAAAAAATTCGGGATTCGAATTCAATTCTTATGCTTACGCCAATATTCGTACGATATGACTCACTCTGGCATCTGGTCGCTTTCCTTTCTTTCGGCCTGATAGACCCTCGACTACCTTATGTTTCACTTGCGACCGGATGAACCATGTTGGTCGACTGCGACTGTAGGACTTTGATCTGGATCTCTGATGTCAGACGGTCACGTAGACTAGGCCCGGTGAAGTAGTGACCTGATCAGATTGAGTCAAAATTGTGAGGACCTTATGCGCTTGGTGCCTAGCGTTGGCCCGCCTGACCTAGGTCAGCCACCGATTTCTGGGCCGCGATCATGATCACTATAGGAATGAGTCCGGCCCTGGAGCTTCTGCGATTTAGCCCAAAAAATAGGATCGTCATCGGCTTGATGATATCCACCAAATTTTGTAGTGTTGTACAAGGATCTTAGTATGCATCTTAGTCTTGAGTCTAGGCGTTCACATGCGCATCTCCACCTATACACCTATGTTAAGCGCCCAGTATCAACAACGAGACTCAATTTGTTTCGAATGTGTTACCAACTACTAAGAAGTGAATCAAGACTAGGCTTCCTTCATATCTGTAGACCATCTCACCGGATGTAGACATACCTGGGTGAACACTGTAGTCAACGTCATTTCTCACTCGAACATGACAAGTCAACTGCTATATTCTCACATTTTGTAGGGATCACCCGCTAGACAGTCAACAACAACAGCCTCCTTAAAAGCATAAGAATCAGTTTAAAGTCGCCCAATATTAAGCGGGCAATCCAGGGCATCAGTCGCCTCCGTCACGTTCCTGTTTTGCGTTAGTCCGGCAATCCGGCCCACCTTCAAAAGGCGCTCCCCACACCATCTTCGCTTCTACACTTCGCTCTTCATGGACTTCGCCTCCAACTTCTTTGTCCATGTCCGACGTGTGTATTGTTTGCTTAGGAGACCTTGGTGAAGGCGCTGGTGATCCTCTTGAACCAGTGAGCCTGGATGGGAATGGCAACTTCAAGGATGGGCTTGAGGATTCAAGCCAGATCGCCCAGCTACTTCCCTGTGGTCATATCCTACACAACAACTGCTTAAAGCCTTGGGTAGAAAGGGCTAATAGCTGTCCGATATGTCGCCGCAGCTTTAATATGGTCGAGTTAAGTGATCGGGTAGGAGGTATGACCCCCTTCCTTGAGTATGAGTATGACGATGTTGAATAATTATACTAACCAAATTCTATTTTTGCTTATAGGTGCCGTTACTTCATCCTATGCCGTTCAAGACCGGACGCAAGTCGCCGAGGTCGATCCTTCCATGCTCATTGAATATGGCGACGATGACCAAATCGACTTCCAACCCTGTACACTTTGCGGTAGCGCAGATCACGAGGATGTCTTACTTCTTTGTGATGGATGTGATGCTTCGTCGCATCTATTCTGCCTAGGACTAGACGAGATCCCATCGGGGGCATGGTATTGCCAGCGATGCCAATCACAGCGAACATCGGCGGCAGCTGAGGTACTCACGGTGTTATCGCGCCCGGCCGAACGTCGCAGTCGACGAACAAGGGCGCAGCAGAGGCGATTGCAGAATACAAATCAGACAAACTCGCACCATTGGGCCCGGGTCTGGCAGACTGTCTGGGATAATCTGAACCTCGATCTGGACTTCCCATTCGATGACGATCGTTCCGCCGAACGGGTCATACAACAGCGTCGTCGCGAGGAGGCAAACCAGCGCGAATTTCAAGCCTGGCAACGTCGCTTCGAGATCGCCGAACGTCAGGGTGGGGGTAGTCGATTCCGCGACACAGCGTCGCTATTCGATCTTGAACCTGCCCGACCATCCCGTCCGCGGGTGCCCAGAGAGCCTACGCCCGAGCCCGAGTCTTTGGAGGAAATGCGAGCATGGAATGCTTTCGAGAGAGCCCGGGAGATTGAAAATAATCCCAACGCTGCTCGAAAGCGCAAAGAGCCTACCATGTCGCCGTCTCCCGAACCCACCGAACCTCAGCGCAAGTTGAAGCGCCCTCGCACAAGGCGGCCGCAAGAACTAGCAGCACTAGCCCAACAAAACCAAGCCGGCGAATCATCCAGAGCTGCTAGTGCCAATGCGAGACTGACTGGTGAAAGTTCCAACGGCCCTAGCTTCCTTTCGTCGTTATTAAAGGAGGTTGAAGATGCACCTAGCCGCACCTCATACGAACTGTCCGCAGCAACATCTGTCGCTCTCACCGACGGCGCATCTCCTGGTCCATCGTCTCCATCAATATCACCTGCATCCTCTAGCCGTTCATCCCCTATCATGTCCACCACCCCACCACCTTTTCCACGAAGCCGCCCCATATCCCCTCTTCAACTGTCTTCCCCAGCCGAACCTTCCTCGCCACCATTCTCCCCCGAACTCTCATTTTCGGGCAGCCCATCTCATGGAGCCAACGGCACAAACGAGGACACATCACCTCGTCCAACCGCTCGCCCCAGATCCCGAATCCCTCAAAGAGCACTCCACGCACTTCAAACCTCACACCTGCATTCCCGCTCAGCAGACTCATCCCCAACCCGCTCAGGCCCGTCCCTGGCCCTCAAATCCGATATCCAGAAAATGGTCAGCACCGCGTTGAAACCCCACTATCGAAAGAAAACGATCACCAAAGAACAATACACGAACATCAACCGCTCAATCTCTCGAATGCTCTACGACCGAGTCGGCGACAAGCGAACCCTCGAATCAGACGAACGCACCAACCTCGAAACAGAGGCACGATATGAAGTGCAGAATACCGTCGACGCCCTCAAACGCAAGAGCAAAGAGAAGCAGCGCGTGCTGACCGCCGACTCAGACGGTGATCCTTGATCTTAATGAATATACGAACCCGAGGCATTTTTGGCGTTCCCAGCGATTCAACCTTGAATGGATTTCTTGATCATGGAATGGATCTTGTATAACCGGCGTTTTTGACCTTCCATAGAGACTGGTTTTTGTTTGACATCTTTTTCTTCCTTTGCTGCTGTTCCCAAGCGGGAATTCTTGTTGTCATATCATATTTTTTTTATATACCCTCGGATGAGATTGATTTGACCTGCTAAACATCTTTGGTAGAGTATGTCTTGATCTTTTTCTTTGATTTATATAATATACATGAAAAATATCTTTTCCACTCTTCGGATCGCTGATACAAACCCCCAAGTACAATCAAACGAGGCGTGG